AATAAACGCCTCTGAAGACAAAGTTGCATGGATGGTCATACAGTAACAGCAATGGAGAGAAGATATGAGACTTAGTTATTGTCTCCAAAAATTGGACCTAATTCATAAATAGTAATCTATTAAGTGCCTTTCTCTCTTCATGAAAGATTCTTCGTCTTAAAGATCCTCCAAAAGGGCTACTGGGACCTAGAGTAGGAAGAAGTCGCCCAAGGGCCCAAATATCACTACAGAAATCCGTTCCCTGTTATAACGAAAGCTCGCCTGCGTCAGAGATTACAATAATGTTAGTTCATCACTATTGAAACAGTTGGATAACCGGTCAACACTCCACGACGAGGCACAATTGTAAATTCAATCCCTATTAATTTATCAAATTTCCCCTTACACGATGCATTTTTGAGTTTTGTCTATAATCCCTATATGCACTGTAGTATATAATATCTTACTCTTTTTCTCTCTCTCTACTACTAATCCTAATATCTATAATAAGTCTGATACCTATTCCTAATATACTAGGTACCCCTATCTTTGATAAAGCTAATACATCTAAATTTCTAAGAAAGCTAGAGGATATATACTAGTAAAGTAGTATTATTTATTATATAGTGATTATAGACCTACTCCTATAGTATTACTTACAAATTATCTATAGATAGATCGAAAGTTATAAGGCTTAGAAAGAAAGAGATTAGTAAGTATTCTATAAGAACTTCTTAGATTATTTCTATCACTAGGATAATAAGTAATTAAGATATAACAGGAGATATCTTGATAAGTTTGCTAATAGTAATTGATCAACAAATAATAAAGTTAGGTGCTATCTGAGCGAATTTTATAAGATTTCTATAGAGGTCTTCTAGCTAGGTTATCTAGGTGATAGTAAGTGTACAGATCTGCTGATATAAGGTCTTCCAAAGTGTATATAACGCAGGATTATTAAGAATCATACTTAGAGATATCGTTATTGCTAAATTAATATCACTTACTCTAATACCTATTAGGGTACTATTGACTATTTACAGATAGACTCAAATATTTAGAGTAAGATTATTCAGAAGATACCAGTACTATAGTCTTAGTCTAGTACTTAGTCTGGTATTTTATGCTTTACGAAGGAGGTATATTAGCTACTCTAAGATACGACTACATAATAGCTATATAGGTCTATCTTAGGTTTTATTGTTTTCATTACTTAATTTTCTATATATATGTTATAAATCTCTTTCTTTGTTGTCTTTATCTATTATTGGTAGGAAGAGAGATAAGTTTCTGGTAGGAAATCGATATCTTACACTATTATTTCCCTGTATTAGCCAAGGGACGGCTAATCTTCTAGGGAGGGTAGTAAATTATAGGGATTCTGCTCTTAACATCAGAGTTATATAACTAGAGCCTTAGCAACAAGGCTATCGTTTTGTTTCGTGAGGTTAAGTAGCGTTCGTTCCATAGTATCAATAACAACTACGCATGTTCCCCCTTTTATGAAATGTTCTACCGAGGATGCTGAGGTAGCGGTATCGTTATACTGCTCATAAAAGGTTCTGTTATTCGTTCTATCGTCCCTCTATAGCTTCACGCCTTGCCTACTACTCCCCTGCACTCTGCGAGTGTGTGATTTTGTCCCCTTGCGATCGACCCGTCTGCTTGACAGACAGCCAGCGAGCATTACCATCTTTCACTGGGTATATTTAGGTAAATATTTTATTTAATATGGTACAATAGATAATAAATTTATTATTTTATCTTTAAACTTTCTAGTATACTCTATGTTAGATGTTACAATTTTTTAACTACTTTTCTATTATTTATAATTAAATTCTTAAATAGTATTACTTTAATTTCTATGTAATTTATACTAAATACTTCTTACTATACTAAAAGCTAATATATCTTTCTTCTAAAAACTCATAACCTATCGATACTATACTATATAATAATTAATCTTATACTAGAGAGTTATTTAGATATTCTTATAAATTATAATTCCTTATATATCTTATAAGTCATATATATCTACTCTCTAATGCATTAGTAGTATATCAACAGTAAAAGTAGGTATTTCTTTAACAATTAACTATTTTAGTCTAGAGGTATAAATTTTATATTTATCTGTAGAGAAATACTAAGTTAGGTATACATATACAATAAAAAGAATAAGTTAATTTCAAATTAACTTAGCTCTTTAAATAGATATCCCGGGATTATTCTAATAGTTTAGCTTAGTTTATAATCTGAACTAGCCTTAAATTACAATAAGAGGCATATATTCTGCTCTCTCTGCGAAGTCGAAACAGATTCCCAACGATCAGAATTTCCCTGGAGCTTTTTCCTTCAATTTAATACAGGCCAGTTTTTTCTTGTGCTATATTTTATTGTGTTTACCGTCAAGTTGCTTTCTGTCCTCCATCATTCGGTGAATATGCGTGTATTCAGGAGGATTTTTCTTTGCTACTTGAAAATGTTTCACGCTTCGCTGGCTCGGTTGCCGTAATTGATCCAATGGCTCCGATAATGAATACTTCTCCTCATGATCCTCGTCCAGGGCCCCCAGGCTTTTTCGATACTTTCCCTCCGGTCTCTCATGTTGGTTAGTATCGACATAAGGGGATGTCAATAAGCGAGCCTGCAGATTTGGCTGGATTAATAGACTGGATTCGTTCGTTGAAGGCAAATCATGCAAAATCTTCACGTACTTTTCCAGACGGTGCACCGTGTGTCAAGAAGCGATTAAAGCTTGGAGGTTCCAGATCTGATTGCGCAGTCTTCCCTCTTACATTTTGAGCCTCAAATAACTCCCCCACTTGAGCTATATTGAGTGTTGTCGGAGATAAACCGGGGCGAAGCGCTTTAATGGAAGGCAATTGTTCTTGACTTTCGGCCAAGCAAGAGAGGTCTCTCAGGTCCTCAACGACAATTTGAGAAGTACACACTGGGCTATTTGGAGGTGTACAGCCTTGAGGGCAGTAAGAGGGGTGTCTCCAGGCTGACATACCGTCAACTTGAACATGCGAAAATAAGTGTTCTGAAAATGATAGGTGCGTTTTTCCAGACACATACTAGGACTGAGCAGTATTGCTTTCACGGAATGTGCCAGAACGCTGGTGCTCACCTTTTAAATATCTTTCATCTCCAGCCGCCTCCGCGTCTTTGTAAAAACCTCCAGCCCCACTGCTTTTCACATAGACAGAATGCTTACTTAGGATAAATATGGGTTTCACCAGAGCCCTCCAATTATGATTCTTCCGGTCATGTAAGTACCCAGTCTCGTTTACACCGCAGTTTATAATGGAGCCAATTATAATCCGGGCACATACATTCGGTTCAGGCGAAGTCAAGGCTTTTGTCTGATTCTAGAGCGTCAGTTCAATTATCAAAGGGTCGTGAAGTAAACAAACGACATATTTTGCGCGTATAAGATTAAGAAAAGCGATGACCACGGCAACCTTTTCAAGGTTATCTTGATCCCGCGTCTACACCAGGGGCGCCCAATTTGTCACAATCAGGAGCATATCAGGAGCTTCATCCCAAGTCTTACAGTACAGCCGTACATCACGTCCCATCATGATTTGTATCGTAAGGCGTAGCACAATACCAATTTAAAGCACCATGGAGAAAAATCGACTCTCGTAACGCATACTCCGGAACGAGGATTGATTGGAAATTTGTCCATGCTTTGATAATCCAGCAGAAACAGGGAGGCTAGATGTTAGGATGAAATAATTGATGGACATTGTAAGGATCAATTGCTCGGGTATTTCCACGCTCGGGCCTGCAATCACCTTCTCTATTCAAGGAGGTCAAGTGAGATCTTGAGCTTCATCGAGTTCCAGATAATCATAACCGTGAGACTTTTGGAGATGAAAACACATATATGTATGAGTCACGCTCGGAAATTGTACCATATACTTGTCGAAAGGTAAAAACGAAATAGCAGTGCCTAGTTTATCTCATCACTTCGAGTGACTATTTAAATTGCCAGATGCGTTGTAGTTAGCATCTGCAGTGTGATGTCCGGATTTAGTTTCCCTCGGCAAGGGCAGTACGCTGAATTTCTGGTAGGCATATAAACCCATGGCAAGTAATCGATACCTCACGAAATAGCCTTGGAGGTAGAGGGGTCTGGTTTATATAGATTGCTAGCGTGCCCGTCGAATACGTGGATGAATGTTCATAGGTTGGCATTATTTCCGATGATCTATTTTTCTTGAGCCCCGCTACATCCAATGCATTCGCTGGTAAAGCCTCCTACGAAGTGTTCCAGGTAGGTTGTACGCGCTTTAGTTGTCATGGCCTATTTACCGCACTTAGATTTACCTGTGGAGCTTCTATAAGTGCAAACACACCGGTCGCCATTGTTGCTTGTAATTTGATTCTCAAGATAAGACACGGAGCTTCCGTCTGTTTCCATATCATTCATCTAGACCCGTCGCAATGAACTTGCTGGTGAAACTCAACCAGAAGAATGAGGACCGGTTCCTTTTGGATCTAGCAGGTAATTAATTCCTTATGACATAATTGCGCAGCCTCTGAGTGTAGAGATTTGACGCTTGCAGATTGCGTCCTTGGGTACTATGACTGAGTTCTCAGTCAGGTAGCAGTAGAACTTTAACAGGCTTCTCCGGCCTCTCCCCGTTCCCGGTCAACGAGTCGGATGCCACAGTTGACCTCCGATTGCTGCTCACTGCCACTCACTGCCTATCCGTTACACTAGAATTCGGAATTGGCTTCCAAATTTACACAAAGAAACCATCTCGGTCCCCAATACTACAGCAGTAAAGTAGTACAATGATGTAATTATCAAGGATTGGGCAGATGAATATACTTCGGAATTTCCCTATATGACTAACCGGGGGCATCAAGCCTTTCTGAGATTAGGTCTGACTGAATATAATGCAAGCCTGGTCTTAAGGTTTCGGAAAGAATCATTGTATCCATAATGAAAGATGAATATATTATTCCACATCCCCTCTAGACTCATTTCCAATGTTGATCACTGCTTATTAAATTACCCTTAACAACGCCTTCAGGAATCCATCCTTTTTGGCTGCTGATCTCGAAAATATCTTACCCATTTCTTTTATATAATTCCGAAGCGCTGCAGCACTAGGAAATTCTTTGGCAGTTTGACCATTTCTTCGAGAGTCGACCAAGTCAACCAGATTAACGTGTATATTTCTAAGTGCCTGAAACGATAATGTACAGAAGCAAAAGGAATAAAAATAGGATCATTGAGGAATAACTTACCCTACGGCACTGGGAGATACGTCGAATGGAATCAGAGGTGTCCAGCTCTACACACAGTGCCTGCCAGTTTTCTAGCTTCTTCGCATTGGAGCCATAATGAATATTGAATTCTGAAGCAAGAAATTTTGCTCGCTCCTTTCTGTATCTTATCGAGTCTTTTCTCCAATTCATTTTCTGGGCGAGAAGATTAAATTCTGAATCAGAGGACAACATCGGGGCTCTCTGAAGGTCCGGGAAGCAGATAAAGTAATCGGCCTTTTCCATGATCACGGTATAGGAATCGAATACTATTTACATATATGTGTGATGAATATGGCACCAGTTTAGTTCTCAAGGGCGCTACTTTGATAATATCAAATGGCTCTTCCCCGCTTGCCTCACTCCCATGCACGGATACCTTTAGCCACAAGGGGCCAATGAGACCTGAATGACCTAGCCTCAATACAACACATGCTTGACTCGGTGCTATACGCAGAAACACTCAAATATTAACAGATTCTTTCTATTTCTATAATCATTTAGATCTGGAGCTAGTTTTCATTCAACGCGTGGTCGAAATTTGCGTTGGATGACTCAAAACCACCTATTTACAAATTGAACATAGATGACATAATTCAATCAGAGGATCAATCAGTCGTGCATGTGTCATAGTGGTAGCCTTGAATCGTTGTCCCTATTAGGACACAACCAACAACACCATCAGACAAGGCCTCCGGTCTTCATCTTCGGACGTGTCCGTTCCCACCATCTTAACATCCATTGGACTTTTGTGGAATGATCGTAACTTCTATACCATTTCTTGTTATCGGGTTAATGTCCCTTTTTGAATCAGGTCAAAGCACGAAGATCCAAAGGGATTTCATATTGGCATGGCTACTGTCAGAGATTGTACTGGTGATACACCCGCTCTAGCTTCATCTGTTTGCCTCCAGCATGAAGATTATTCTTCTCCCAGATAGCTCTCAATCCATGATTTGGATGCTTTTCACACAACATCGACGACATATCCTGGCCTTTACTTGAGTTTCACGTTTAGTTTCATAATTGTATATGCTTTTTGATCCCGTTCGTAGGTCGTAATTAGGTTATCGGACTTATGCTCAAGGAACATGGCTCATGTACTTTTCTCGATTAGCGGAGGAGCATGAATGAGTCGTATACTCTGATTAATTGATGGCGCTCTTTTTTGTAAGCCCCTGGGGTACTTGATATGTCCAATCTAGTCGATGTTTCTGTAACGAGCGGAAGGCCGCCTATAGAGCTTCTCGCAGAGCGAAAGGAAGGTAACGGCCGATGATGTCCGATATTGGTGATCTAATGAAATTAGATGTCTACATAAACAGACACCTAGGTCATGTATCATGGCCTGAGGCATCTGCGCCCTGAAAAATAACCATAACGTACAGTATTTCCCAGGCGAGTGGCCCACCTAAACAGGCGGCCTATGGCATCAAATAAATGGGTTATATTTGGAAAATAATAATACGAGGAAATTTTATATCTAATTTATCACTTCCTTCGGTTAGTATTGTGGATTCCCAAGGGTTCCAAGCGGTGTGATCAAAGATGAGAGAGAAGTTATTTTTCTTCTTTCCGGCTCCCTACACACCAACATCAGATAGAACATGGGCAGATCTGGTGCACTTCATTTATAACGCGTCACATATCAGGTCAGGAGCAGTAGCAGGAAGAGGGGCAGGAGGATCTACGGGGTTGGGTTTGCCATAGGGTGTCCTACGGTGATTGCACACATACGCGCTCGAGCACCACTTGCCATCGTCGAGCTTATACACCATATCCCAATGGTAGGAATAACACTTTAGGGGAAGATTATCTCATACTTGTGTCAGGCGTCTCCATTAGTGGTAGGGCCTTTCATTCTGGGATTGATAAAAACATGAGTCTGCTGAATAATAATTAGGGTAATTCGCATCCCGATCTTACGAAGAGCAAGTTTGGCTCGCAGTGAAATAACACGATGCCGTGGGATGCGAGAAATAACGAGAAGTATGATATGTGGTAGCCTGTAGTGCCCTCGTTGGCTATGTGATTTATGTAAAGATTTCATTCGTTGATAGTGCGTATCATTAGGTCTAACATATTATCACATCTATCACTGGATCACAAAAAGCAGACCTGGGTGTTTCCAGAGATCTTCGAATAATTATATAAGCTCAGGGTATGAGATAGTAGTGCGACGTGATAAATCAGTTTGCTAGTATCTGCTTTCCATATAGCAAGAATTTCAGTCTGTAGATAGGGCAATGCTGAATATTTCTTGGGGGCTTTCAAAGTTCGAGTCAAGTATCCATGAATCCCGCGTCTAACTGATTTCTATTTATAACCTATATACGTACCGAAAATGTGGGGTCTAAGCACCAATGCATTCAAATGCTTATTCAGGGCCGTGCTGAAATTTCCAGAATGCTACTCCGAATGCTGCTCCAGTCTGCTACGCATTCAACTGGATGATCATACAAATTATCAGTAACATACCCTTGCCTTATCGAAAAGGCCCTGTAAAATTGGTAAGTATGACACAAGAATCCTTTTGAAGCATTTGACTTACATATAGAATGAAATGCTGGCAGTTGTTTGAGTGTGGCTAAAAGGTGGATCGATTAGATTCGAATGTAAATACTGGGACATTGTTGCTTACTCCATGGCTCCCACTAAATATAGACGGCCAATTAACCCGGGCTCTTGAAGTCTTTTCAGGATTTCCGGGTCGTGCAGAAGTCTGTGGCAGGCTCCAATTGCTGGAATGAGATGACTGCTATCAGCTACTGCCCAACACCCTTGAAACACGTCACTAGAAGCAAAAATTAGCTTTGGCTCCCTTTTGTCGCAATCAGACTCACTCCGCATCCCCTTTCAAGTTATAGGTCTGCCATTCGATAAAGAAGTATCGCCGAGGATCTAGCTTCAAAGAATGACACGATTCATGAACGATGTTGATATACCATAATTTGATACCAAGACCAAATTCGCTACAAGGAGGAGAAATCAATATTTTCCATTCCCTGGCGTTGTCTGTGTCCAGAAGATCATTCATGGCATAAACAAGAGAGTTGGAGGAAGCATGTAAATCGGTTAACTTTTCATAGGCTTCAAAATCCAGCGCCTTGTCTAATCCAATCTCCAAAGCTTTAAGTGTCTCGTCTAGCGGCGTATTGAAGTCGTGACTGAATTTCGGGAGCAAAGCTTTAGTAAGCTGAAGATTTCGCAGGGCAGCATCCTTGGACCGCCTCATTTCGATGAATTTACTGTAAATAAAGCCAATGATGCCCGCTGTGGTCGTATCGGCATCAGACCATATGCGAGACTGGCCCAAGACTGTTTCTTTCCATGCTGCGAAGCTGCTGCGTGGCTCCAGAGAGCTAGCAGCTCTATCCCACTTTTCGGATCCATCTGGAGTGCCTCCCCATTCAATATCCACGAGCTGTCCCTTGCGCAAAAAGACCAAAAAGTCCCTACCACTCATACAGAGCGAGATGTACAATATCCCTGCTGTAGTCCTCAGACCAGGAGGGTAACGAAACTCAGGAAAGTCGTGTTGAATGTCGTGAGAGCCGAATATGGAGTGAAATCTGTGCAGACGAAGAAATCCCAAGATGGCGAGAATCTCATGTGAGTTAGAGCCCTCGCCGAGAATTTTCATATCATCGGCAATTGAGAGGACAGCATAGTCCGCTCCCAAAATCTGGAAAAGATCCACAGACGAAGCTAGAACATAGCTGGAACTGTCAATTTCCTTGGGGAGGGCCTTTAATAAACTCAGCATCTGTAGCTGAGATAAATCAGAAATGCGTTGAATATGTCGCGAGACCGTGTCGCCAACGAGACGGCACATTTTGCGAATAGAAAATGGGACACGCATGCCATTGTTGCCGTATGAATGGCACGATATTAGGCCCCATAAGCCCTTCAAACCATCAAGACTAATCGACATCGATGACCGGACACCCATATTAGCGAGATACTTGATATGAACCGGTGACATTGCTCGAAGGTATGCATGAGTCATGTTCAACGGCATTTCTAGGTCTCCTTCGGTTCGACAAACAAGTCTTGCTGTGATTTGATCACGGTCATAAAGTAAACGAACTTTGTTGACCCTGTACAACTCACGGGCCTGTGGAGGAATGTCGGATGCTGGGAAATGAAGGCCTTTGTAGAGGTCGACTGTGGCCATAGGGTCAACCAACTCGGCAACAACAAAGCCATCCCAGTTATGATCAAATCGATATATCATAACTTTGTGGAATCCAGTCAGATCTTTGACTATCCCTAAAGCCACATTGAGCAACGTATCAATGTCATTGGCCAGGCTGAGTTGATCTTGGACCTGGGCCACGAGACTGAAGATCTCCATGATTTCTGCTTCTCCCTTTTTGTGTCGAGCGTTCCGGAGAAGTTGAAGTGGCTGGCTAGACTTCATAGTGCTAGCCTCGAACTGCTCTTGAGTAGGCCAAACCCCAAGGGTGGCTGTCGGAATAGGCGGAGTATGAAACTCGTTGGCATCAAGCGGATGAGCTTTGTCGTCTTTTTGTTCAAGCTCACATACAATCAAGTCTTTCTGGGTCGGACTGATGTGGGCGGCACACCAGAAAGAGCGAGGCTCTCCATTCCACATAGAAATTGTAAGTGAGAAGACCGAGGGACCATCAAGATCGAGGTTATATGTTTCTTCACTGACAAAATGCACCTGATCTAGCAGATTCTTGGCCTGGTCATCATGTAGGATATCACAAAAGCTATCCAACTCGAATAATTGTGCTGGGGAGTAACCTATGAGCTTAATGCAATTTTCGCTAACCACACGAACCACAAGCTGATCAGGAGATTCCTCCCGTAGCGCGAGCATGACCCCGAAGCTTTGGATAGCCCCGGGGGTATGTATTGGTTCATCCTTGCATTTTCTAACAGAAGGTTCAGCGCTTTCTGTAATGATAGCATGGCTATCGGCAGTGATGATATGATTGAATCGGGTCGTAATATGACGTGAACGCTCGCTTGAGGCCGAGGCCAGGTGATCTGGCGACTTCGAGTATGTCAAATCCATATTAATTCTCAGTTTGAATTATCTCGGGAAGTGGAATAGGATTTTTCTTGGTTTGAGAAACCTTGGTTTTTGGTCTCGGGTTTCAACTCCTTATATCTGACAAAATTTGCGTACTTTTTCAACCTTGCTGCCACCTTGCAAGTTTGCATAGAGTAGATGAACGAACAACAGCCGTTCAATATTATAGGCCAAGCAGCATTCATAGTTATCGGGAAAACCTTAAAATACACAACGGTCGTATGGGCGTAGCCCGTTGGACTTGCATCTAGACCTTGGGTAGCTCAAATAGGCAAACTTCAGCGCATTTTAGGCCAACAAGACTAAAGTTGCGAACCATACTCAAGTTGCCAGACTCTCGAATTTCTTCCTTCTAGGCTATTTATATGTAGCCTCAAGGTAAACTCCTGAGTCCTTGTATCTTCCTCCCTGCCAGATTTAATTTCCTCAACTATCTAGCAAAATTTGCCTCGTCTAAAACGGCATTCTCCATTCCATAAGAAACCAGAACCTGTATTCTAATGCTAAAAGTTGTCTTTCCTTTCACCACGGTTATGAAAACCAGTACTTTTACCAAATATCTTTTGTCTTCGTATTTGTGGGTCAGAATGTACATTTGTCAGTCACACCGACACTTTTGGTGTATCCTTTCGGATAGCTGCATAACGATGGCTGTCGCAAAAGTTCTTCGTTTTGAATTTATTGGTATCTTGTCCACAGCTTCATTTCCTTAGGTTCGTGAGTGCCACCAATCAACCTCATGGAGGGAAATGCTGTTTCAGATCAAATGAAATTAATGTGACAAATTTTTATTTATAACATGCTTGGTAAGATGTCCCACGAACTGCATGTAGGGAAGATATCGGGGATGGGACTGTAACGTACCACGAATTATGATAGACGTAGAATGACCATCTGGCTGATATCTTCTGGGACGGGTTTTTTTCCGAGCGTTTTGAGCGATGGAATCGGCTAGTTGCTCTCAGGAGCGATCCGGCTTCCCGCACGTAGATATGGATTGGTAAAGGTACAATACGAAAACCAGTTGATTATTTTGGATACCATGTTGAAGGTGTTCTGCATTAGGGCGGGGTAAAGAGCAGAGGCTAGTACGGGGGAGTAGGGGTCGCCAAGCACAGGTTTGGATTGGGTTTTGGGTACGCGCAGTGTTTACATACGCGACGCAAAAGTAGATAGCTCCAAATGCACGACGCGACCCCCAACAAAGTCCAATTTCCAAGCTTTCATGATAAGAAATTCCATCCTCGCGCCTGATTGCACGCCTCTTGAATATGGCTTCTTCTTCATCGTCGTCGCGATCATTACATCAGGATATCTTCTGGGACAGGTTTTTTTCCGAGCGTGTTAAGCGATGGAATCGGAATAGTCAGAGGTAATACCTTACTTAGATTGACATATTCAATGATAGTTATCTACTTACGGTTACCAGGCTGTAGGAATTTTCGCTCCCTATAGAAGTCTCTGCCAGTGATAACCATTAAAGTACTGGTAATCCCTACTACGAATCTATTTTCATTAAAATTGTAGATATTATTGTCAAGGATACCGTATTCAGTTATTCTGTTGGCCAAAAGTTGAAACTATTCCTTTATAACCTTCAGATTCTCATATAAGACACACTGTGTGTTATATCGACGTGAAAACCTCAATTTCAGTGTATCGCGATGTTTGATATATTCGTATACCCAGTTTTTACCCACAGTAATAGTCTTACTAAAGTGTGGTCGTTCAGCAAGTAATATATTTACTACATCTTTTACTATAGCATGTGAGGGGGCTTTTCCACGCGAAATAAGATCGAGTATCTAATTTTCCAATGAATCCTTTTCAATAGGATTCAATTTTATGATGTTTGGGCGCTGAATTGGCTTATGAATTACACCCTTGAGCCGATCTTGCAAGGTTGTGCGTGGCACGTCAAATACGCGCGCAGCTTCACGAATAGAAGTTATTGTATGATTTTTTATTGCTTGGATAGCAAATTCGATCCTACCCTCTTGTTCGATCAATTTTTGACGCCTTTCATGGCGAATTTGTAGCATGGCGATGGTTGGAAAAAGGAGGTTGCTACACGCGACGCGTTGGTGGAGACGGGTGGCCGGGTTACCCATGAAACACGTCATAGAGTACCTAGACTATACTCCATCCAACACACACTTCTATACATCTCCATACCTTCTTGCTACCCTACGCACAATTCTTATAAACTCTATTGATTCTCAACGATATATGGCTACACTCAGGTTCAAGTAGAGAAAATAAAATGAAACAAAGTCTATATGTTCATCAATTGCATGCTAGGGAATCGCAGTGAGCAGATAGCCTCCCAGATACACCAATTAGTAATATGAAATTCTCGCCAAGGTTCCACTCCTAAACCATCGACTCTTCAGTCTTCATTCCACCCGAGGCTTGAGTGTCCGAGCGGCTCATAGAAACATAGCGATTAAAGTCTCCAAGATAGTACTGGTCTCCGCCCTTGTCTCCTTTCTTCTCTTGTATGCGAGCCTGGCGACGGAAATAGACTCGCTTAAACCACTTCCAAGTCTCGATGCCAAGGAAGAAAAGCACTGTCTCAACGAAGACAATTCCCCACTCCCACGAAATAGCAGTGTGCTTGAAGACGCTGTGATTGATGACGGGGATATACAGAATCGGGAAAGCAAGCACAAAGCCAGCCATGATACCCCAGAAGAGGAATCGGTTGCTCCAAATATCATGCATCCACTGGGTGAAGTAGCGCTTGGATTCGGGTTTCATGCGGAAGAAGCTGCGGCGTAGATTCATCATCTCCCATGCAAGGAAGAGAGCAAACCAGGTCATGCAGGTAAATGTCGTTGCTCGGGCACGGAAGACAGTGTCACAAGTGTAGTCTGTAGAAGCGTCGTTGTATTGGGTGTTACATCCCATGGCAAGGTCGCCATCGCCCCAGCGGAACATGACAAGAGCGAAGGCGGAAAGGCAAAGAGCTGCCATCCACACACCGTAGACTAGTGTATCGACAATAATTTCCCAGGTGAAGATACCTTGTTTCTGTGAAATGTTAGCATTCAATTCGGAATTTTAGGGGATCTTCTTTCAACTCACACTCTGGGGCGGGCGGTCCATAACTTCTGGTGCAGCAGTCTCCATTCCCAACCCCATATCGGGAAGACCAGAAGTAATCATAATGATCCAAATAATCTCGACGGGAGAAATAGGGAAGACAGATTGATTGGAGTCATCCTTAAAAGCAAGACCAATGAGCAGAGTAATTGCCAAAGCAACATTCTCAGCCAGCAGGTGCAGAACAAATTTCTGGATATTGTCAAAAATCCGACGGCCTTCTTCAATGCCATTGATGATCGAAGCAAAATTATCGTCGGTGAGAACAAGTTCTGAAGCATCCTTAGCCACGTCGGAACCATTCTGTCCCATGGCGATACCAACGTCTGCCCGCTTCAACGAGGGCGAATCGTTCACACCATCACCAGTCATGGCGACATATCTTCCGCGGCGGTGTAGAGCATCGATCATTCGGACCTTAGTATTAGGTGCACAGCGCGCGATAACCAGGGGGAGTGTTGGCAGTGCATCGATTTCGTCTTCCGATAGTTTGTCAAAGTCATAAGCAGTCATTACCATCGCATCAGCGACATCCTTCGCAACCATATCCATATTAGACGGAATAATTCCGACTTGCGCAGCAATTGCGCGTGCAGTACCCGGATGATCACCAGTAACCATGTGGACTGAAATGCCAGCCTTATAGCATTGAGCAATGGCACCTGCAGTCTCAGGGCGAGGTGGATCATACAATCCAATGAGTCCGTAGAAAACAAGATCCTTCTCGATTTCTTCGCGAGGAAGAGGTTCGTTGCTTTCCTTGTTTCCAGCGTGCTCACGACCAGCCAGTGCAAGAACGCGAAGACCTTCTTTGGCCAATGCCTCCATATTTTGCAGGATCTGGTGGCGAATTTCATCGGTGAGAGGGACGGGAGAGTCTGATTTCCAGTGAATAGTCGTACAAGCTTCAAGAACGCGCTCAACGGCACCCTTGCTGAAAACCATTTCCTGGGTGTTTCCTGTTTCCTCATCGCGCTTGGCAAAGACAACTGACATCTTCTTCACACTAGAGTCAAACGGATACTCGGCCTTTTGCCGCCAGGTTGGCTTGTCGCCCTTCATCAGATGATCATTTCCCCAGTCAAATCGCCAGGCAAAGACCTGGATGGCAATATCAGTCGGTTCGCCTCGAGCTTGCCATCCTTCACTGGCGGACTTATGCAAATGTGCTAGGTTAGCTAGCGCCGCGACGTCCAGGAATGACTTCAACAGGCTACTGCCTTTCAATAAATCCTCAGGTGTAGCAGGGTCACCAGCACGGGATTCAGCACTCAGTTCAACAGGTGCCGCATCTGTCAAGCGTAGCTCTCCTTCCTTGGGGTCCAAGGGATCCGTTGATGCTCCAACAGAATAGGTACCCAGAGATGGAAGCCAAGCACGCTTTGCGACCATGCGACCTTGTGTCAGGGTTCCAGTTTTGTCCGAACAGATGTTGGTGACAGCACCGAGGGCCTCGAGGGAATCCAGCTTTCGAACAATGACATGTCGCTGCACCATCTGTTTCGTTCCCATTGCCATAGTAATCGTCAGAACAACAACCAAGCAAGCAGGAATCATAGCCAGACCAGTAGCGACAGCGTAGATGATGACTTCGTTATCGCCGCGCCAGTTGTTTGATCCTGCGACAACAATCGCGAAAATTACCGCAATAGCGAAGAGGAGAAGTGCGAGCTTCGAGAGTTTCCGCTGAAGGGGAGTTCCGACATTGATTCCGAGAAAGCGACCGATCGCGTCGGTAGTGGTCAATGTCCAAGCTTGAATGTACCAGCGCTTCTTGGTTTCGCCTTCGGGGCCACGCTTAACAGGACGACGTTTGGAGTCGCCGCCACGGAGGGCAGCAGCGATGGCACCGATCTCAGTCTTCATACCAGTGCCAATCACGACACCTCTGGCGCGGCCACGGGTCACTGTGGAAGAGCTGTAGACAATGTTCAACCGGTCACCGGGGCCGGTGTCGACATCGTAGGTGGCATCGACCTCTTTCTGGACAGGGAGAGATTCACCAGTAAGTAGAGCTTCATCTGTTTCGAAGTTCATTGCCTCGACAAGTCTAAAAAATGTTAGCAGGAGGCCAATTTCATCTGCGTTTTCTCCGTGATTTTGAACCTACCTAAGATCAGCAGGCACGGTGTCGCCAACTTTCAACTCGGCCATGTCACCGGGGACAATTTCTTGGGCAGGTACAGTTTGAGTTTTACCATCTCGAGTGACAACCCCTGTGGGAGAAGACAAAGACCGCAGAGAATCCATTGTCTTTTCGGCGGCAAAGTCCTGATAAACCCCGACGACTATGTTGAGAGCGATGACTGCGGCGATAAATCCGCCTTCGATCCATGATTTGATACCGAAACTAACGGCCATAGCGATGATGAGAACCTTTTGGTATCGTTAGTTAATTGAATATTCATATTCTGCCGTCTCCGATTTAGTATTTTACTTACAAGCATCATGGCATTGGCAATCTGTCTGATGACAATTTTGGCAAAAGAGACACCTTCGTCTCCCTCCAAAATATTGCCGCCATATTTCTCCAGGCGCTGCTTGACATCGCTCGTGGTGAGGCCATCGTCTGAGTTTGTGCCAAGTTCTTGAATCACCTCCTCGTAAGTGAGACTGTGAGCCGGCTTGGAAAGGTACTGCGTGGAGACATCGCTGGATGACTTGGAGCCTTGTGCTTGGGGGCTCTCCTTAGACATCACGCGACGTCGAGTGTCTAGGAGTGTCCTTGTGAAGAAGGATTGCGGTTATTTGCAGATTTGAGGGTTGTGGGCGATACAAAAGGTGGTTGCAGAGTGCAGTGTGCAGTCGTATACGTCTATAGGGCTTTCTTCAAGGGGGTGTCATGTAGAAAGTATCCTCAAGAGAATGCGAGTCCATACACGTGTACACGTGAGGGATAGATGTGTATATCAAGAAGAATCTACTCTTATGCCCAGGTGGAAGTAAGATTTGATCCTCAGTTTGGACTAAAGTACACTTCTGTTCAAAAGTTCTATTTTCCTTTCTTTTCCCTTGAGGGGGGATCTTGGCTGATATAAATACCTTTATCTTGGCTCACGCCGAGAACTGATCCCAATCCAGGATTGTTCCAGGCTTCGGGTGCACCGGCCGTACCGAATGGCGAATTTGCCCGACGATGCAAACGGGGTCCGAACCCTTCCCCAAGATTGGCTCCGAATATCTCTTGTGCCAATCTGGGGAACTTCCCAACTCCCATATCGACCAATCACCACATTCAACCAAGATTCGGCCTCCGGCGGACCCAACTTGGCACAGAATCTATTTTATTCCGCCGAGGCCTCAATGACGCACACGACTGGTCTCGGCGTTGGTTCGGTTATGAACCGCCACTCAACGGTGATTGGCGGAGATAGTCGCGGAGTGCCAAGAGCGGGATTCTAGGCGAAACTTGGCGTTCCGCGCTGGACGAGTCTCTCCTTTTCTTCTTGGCCCATCCTGCATTTCCTACGTTTTCCCGACATGTCTTATTCTTGGCCCATCCTCAGCCTTCCTTGGCATCCTGTATTATGTGAGGTCTGAGAGTTCACCGCGCGGTTCAAATCTGCCCGCCCGTCCTGGTCCATTTTCCCCTGTCTTTTGTTGTAAAGTCCCTCCGCTCTTCCCAGGTGGCAAATATTCGCCTCCAGTCTGTGGCCTCCGCCATAACAAAGACTACCTTCATTCACCTTCGATATTAGGCCATCTGACTATCAAAAGAATGGTCTGTGTTCAATCACTGTTGGTTATCTGCACCTTCTAGCATTAGCCTGAGCGATCCCTCGATCCACGCTGTACGGGCAGGGCACACTTGACGTTCATCTCCCCGACTTTGACGTTGCAAGCGGACGATTATTGGGTGATCCGCTTCATCGTCCCTGTTCTCGTATTCCACATCTTTCTCGCGTGGACCCAGGCTTGCGGGGTCCTCCCATGCTCCCCACTCATGTTGGAAGATGACGCCCTTCCCCAAGGCGAGGTGATCGGAATCGTGATTGGAGCCATTGCGCTGTTTTCGATAATCAGCATCCTTCCAATGTGAGTCCGCGCTAATTGACTGGATCAAACACACAGGCCGGTCTTGGCATACTCCCAGCCCCACTTATGCATGCGAATCGTCTCGAAGGTTGAAGGCTAACACGCGTTACAACTCAATAGCTTCCTGGTTTGGCACCGCAGGAGAAGACAGGCTGCTGCTGCTGCCCGCCCTGTAAATCAGGCTCTTGTCCTAAGCTCCTCTATGGAACAGGTTTCCGTGGAGAGATGGCTCGAACAGCAGAACACTAATAGTGACATTGAACAATATGCTGAAGACACCTGGTATGTTCATCTTCCGTCTTTTCCATCTGCCTCCTCCTCCTCCTCCTCCTTCTTTTCTGTGTCATTTCATCACCCGTCATGGGTCTTAGCATTCGGTTTGGCACTGGGATTGGCACTGGCAAAGCCCCGACGCCGACCTCTTGGCCTGATCCAAGGATGATGTGATGCGGGGAATGCCCAGATGCCCAGGGCTGGGCCAGGGACCGACCTACCCTATAAGGCTCTCCACCAGTGCCCCATTCTCCGATTTTACTCTAGGCACCTGGGCATTCGGAGTTTCGGCACCTCTCCCGTCCTTTGAACTTGCACATCGCTTTGTCTTCCATTCCGTGTTCACATCATTCTCACGCCATGCAATGCAATGACATGCCTTGCCACGCCCTGCCATGCCATGCCATACCCAAGAGCCATGCAATTCCCAAGACCCTACCTCGTTTTCGTACCAGACTTGTTTCAACTGGCAGTCTTGGCCGAAAGTCCTTATCATCTCAACCATTGCCCAAGCCCAAGACTCCCTCACCAAGCCGTCTCAGCCTCCACGCCCCCAAGACCCTCAATAAACTCTACAATAAACTAATATTGTCCAGTCCCATCTGTCTCTCCTCCTTATCATCCAACCCCAATCTCGCCTTCCCAAAACCCGCTCAGTTACCCCGCCGCCAACCCCCCCGAGCGTGATACATCACCGGACCCCTCAGACGGCTCGTGTTGTGGAGCTGCAGCTGCAGGGACTCGTCCCAGGTGCGATAGTGGGATCCTGGTTCTCAACCGGTGTCATCATGCGTTTCATTTGAGCTGTTTATCTTCTTGGTTTGAGTACCGGCATTATCGCTGCCCGATCTGCCAAGCTTCCTACACACCTACTGATGCGCGACCTAATCAATGACGTGGCGCTATGAGTAATTTTGGCTTCGGCTTCTTGGAGTTTATGGGGATTTTTTCCAATTATATCTATCTTACTTCGTACATTTTAGCTGATTGACAGCTCAACGCTTGTCATGCGTATTATATGGATTCTTTTATTTCACAATTAATTACTCTCCAACTCTAAGATGTGCAGCGGTTGTTTTTTTTTCGATTTCCGATTATCTCGTTCAAGTACGGAACAGAGGAAAGTTATATGTACTGAGCCTAAGTTTCTAGCAAGCGCAGTGGATTCTTGGTTTCCGCTTTGAGCTCTCAAAAATGAGCTCCCGTTGCTTCCCATTGGATCCAGTAACTGGCAAAGGCGCATTGTAGGAAAATCGCCTCAGCTCCATCACCTACTAGCACTTAATAAAATTGTCTAGGTGCTGCCAGTGAGCAGCCTGAGCGCATTGAGCGGTGCTAGTAATTTTGATTGTGCACACTGGCAGCTGGTTGAGTCATGGACTGTCCTTGTACCTTTATCTAGGTATATATTCGTTTTTCTTTTCTTCTTTTTTTAGAGATCCAGCTTGAACAGTATTTCCAATTTTTAGGTATTCTGGAATATTCCGACCCAGGAGGAGTTTTAATTAGCTTCCAAGGTTCCATACTAGTACTCTTTTCGGCCTGTCAATCTCGTACGGAACGGATTGCCCAAATTATGTTTCCAAGATTGGGAGTTAGGCCCCGATGAATTGGGGCGCCCAGTACGGAGAACAAAGGAAAGGTAGAAGACTTAATAAAAATTCTATATATTCTCTAACTAAATGAGGAATGGGAAGGGCACACGCAATTTACTGCTAGCAACCGAAGAAGGAATAATAGAAATATGACTCTGGATAGTGATTGGCTGATGTATGTGGGGAATGTACATGAAAATCTCTACAGCCCCATAAAGCCATTTTCAGCACTCTTTTCCATCCAAGGCCGGCTGGCCCAATGGCAAGGCGCTTGACTACGAATCAAGAGATTGCAGGTTCGACCCCTGCGTCGGTCAACTTTTTGCTTTTTGTATCTGTATTTTACTTACAGTTATTGTTCTGTTGCTGTTGGACACGCAAGGTGTATTTTTGCTTCCGGGCGGTTCGTCATCAACTAGCTAGCCACTTTGGGCAGGTGTCTACAGATCCGATCATATGGGATCATTCTGCAAGGCCTCTCTGTATTCCAACTATCTTCAATAAATGCCACTGTCACGTTAATCGATAAAAAGTGCCACTGGTGCATGAATGCCCAATACTAGTAGTATCTAGGTGCCAGTGAGTCTTGCGAGCAACTTGAATGTACGTTGTCCAGCGTGTACCTAGGTAGATGATACTAGTAGCTAGTAGGAAACCTTGGAATTTTTATAGTAATAGTAGTACCCAGGTACTTGATGTATCATTTCACAAGGTCTCATTCACCTGGGCAGATCCGAGTCGGTAGTTTAATTTCTGCTTGATCGAAATCTCGTATAAAATTAAGTAGTACCTAAGTATATATTCATTACGACGAGGACAAGTCACTACTACTTGTAGTAACAAATACTAGTATGGGCTCACGGGATAGAAAAGCCTCGGACCGTCCGAGTCCTTGGCCACGTTCTCACCAACTTGAATGCCAAAAAAGATAGGAAGATTGTAACAGTTTGAACATTTCAGGTGGAAGAAAATAAGGAAATGGAAAAGACGAGGCGGAACCGAAATCAAGCTCCGTATCTCTTCGATAAGATTCAAGTTCAAGTTGTTGAGAAAGTTTTTTCAGTTTAAGGAATTTCGCGATTCTGGAGCTGCGTTGGATTCGACGCATTTGGCTGTTCTTTGGATAGGGAGTGATAAAATTATTCTTCAAGTCCGAGCCTGTCGCAAGTTCTTTCGTTTTTTTATGCTCTCCCCTTTTCTTTCTTGGGAATGTAATTCAACAGTAGCAGCGGTGATAGGTCGCGGTCAAGAATTCGGAATATCTCAAAGTCATCTACGAAGGAATTGAATTGTTTCTGTTTTCATTCCCAGATATATAGTGTTTGAAATGCTGTGCTTGGAACATGATTCGCGGATTTGAACTTGAAGCATTCTGCAACGTCAGGTGGTTACATTATATTCCAGCGCTCTGAAGTTCATGGCGAAGGCGAAGTCTTATACCAAGGTTATGAAACAGCCCAGGAGAAACCGCCAGTATGTATCCTTGCCACGAAGATCAAGCCCCAGTCTATCCTCATTTGCTAAATTGTTATATAAAGCGAATAGTTAAACGCTTGCTCCAAATTTACAACGACTTCCAAGTCATTCATGGATAAATTTGGAAAAAGGCAAGCGATAGTGGATGCCCAGGTGGTTGATTCGGAAGGTATAAATGGCTGCTCCGGACTTTTACGATGACAATGCTGATATGACATAGATTCCCAGAAGAAAAGCCGAATCGTGTTGAAAAGGCTAGAAGCAGTCACGGAGGGACAGGATATTCCCAAAAAACTATCCCAAATACTTTCAAGGTCCGGTATAACCGATCAATGACGGAACGATCGACTTGCAAAAAACGTCCGAAGGAATGCCACTCATAGACATTGTTTCGAATTCAAATGTTGATAGAATAGTGCAGACCAAGAGGAAAGGAATATAATCAAATCGCTTTCTCCGATTTCCCATGGTACTAGGCACCATAAAAGACTTCGAACAGACCGCTTGCCAGATTATGGACTCGAGATCTTTTGAACGTCCAGAGTAGTATGTGGAGTGAATGACATCGAATAATTCGTCACTTCTATGGCTTCATGAATACAGTAAGCAGTTTCAATTACCTTGGCCTTAATAAACAGCCAATTTTTTTTTCAAGCGAGCACTGGAAAGGGCCCTCGTTTGATGTATTATAAGGCAACCATCCCGACCAGGACCGGACATGCCTATTCGGGAAATCGTAAAATAGAAATACTTTGAATCGCAAGATGGGATTGACACTTTCGAATCTAACACGTCGTGCAGATAGAGACGAGGAGCCGATATCAATGCTCGAACCACATGTGGAAATAATATACGAGGGAAGCGGAAATAATTAAAGAGTTGTTGGGCCCTTTACGAAGAGGTCAAAGCGGAACCTCTCGTTCTATGAATGCGCGATTTCAAACTTACAGAGGGCTATAGCGGTGATTAACACGAGGTCACGGTATATTGGGATGCCGAAGAGGCAGAAATCAATAGTAATAGTGAGCAAGAAGCGTATGGGGTCAATGAAAATCAATATACACTAATTGATCATATACCAAGCTAAATAAAATCCTAAAAGGACGCGAATAACTAGCTATTCAGCACGTAGACATCATGAAATGGCATCACTTCATCAACAAGCTAACCGCCCAAGGCACACTAAGTCCACGCAAGTCTCCATAGTGCTGTCCAACACCCAGGAAAACAATCGGGATACCCGTAGCATGAACCATACTAACCAATGTACCAACCATATCACCGACGGTATCACACTTGCTAATAATGAACCCATCAAGGTTCCGACCCGTTCCAAAGGCCGCATTGAAGTTCCGCGCTTGCATAACACTATCCGTTCCAACCAATGCCTCGCCAACCATGAAGATCTTGTCCGGGTTGGCGAACTTGGCAAACTTCTCCAGCGAGGACATCAGTCGCTGATCATTGTGGCGACGACCTGCGGTGTCGATGAGGACGACATCGAACTTGTTCGCGGCGCCGTATTCGACTGCGTCCTTGGCGACGTTCGCGGCGTCTTTACCGTATCCCTTTTCGTAGAGCTCGACCTCGCCGACGTTTTCACGGGAACTGAGTTCTTTCAAATTGCGGGCGTGAACGCGGAGTTGTTCGACCGCGCCGGATCGGAAGGTGTCGCAGGCGGCGATGAGGACTCGGTAGTTGTTCTGCAGGAGGAAGAAGCAGATCTTGCTCAGGTTGGTGGACTTGCCGACACCATTGACGCCGACGATGGACATAACGTAGGGGCGAGGAGCGTGCTGCTTAGTGGTGGGGGCAGTGACGGCGTTGATCTCACGGAGAAGGTCCAAAGACGAGGTAGGCGTAAGGATCTTCCGCAGAGATGCTTCCATAGCGATATGCAAGGCCGCATCGACGCTTTGGAAGTTACCGGTCTTCTTGCCGACCAGCTCAGCCTCGACACCCTCGCAAAGCCGAACGGCAGCTTCGCGAGCAACGTTCTTCTTCAGCAGGTGGTCCTCCATTGCCTTGAGCGGCTTCTGAAGATCAGATTTGGTCAACGTCTTGCCGCCAACAATATTGCGGAAGAAGCCTCCAATGGCATTAAATCCAGAGCCCACGACGCCAGACGCAGCACCATCCTTGCTTTTCTCGGCATCCGCATTGTCCAGGATGTTATGCACTTCCTCGCCCAGTTCCTTCAGGACAAACTGGCCCTTGCCCGTCCTGCGGCCCCAGTCTTCCTGGGCGACGGCCTCGACAGCGGGCGCCGCCACATCCCCATCCTCTGCGGGGCAGAGTAGTCCAGTATTTCCCCATCATCCTCATCGGCATATCCGTCAGCATCCCATTTGCGCATCTTCTTCGCCGGTGTACTCTTTGCGGGCTTGCGGCTGCGAGAGTGCTCGTCTCCGGACGAGGCATTGGCGGAGGCGTTTGCGGCTTTGCGTGCTCGGCGCGAGGTTCGGGGACCACTCTTTCCCGTGAGAATGTGGTTTGGTGTTGTAGATCTAGAAGTATCAGGAGTTGCTGGTGGCGTACCCTCGTCAGAGGTCGCCCCAGCTCGCGCAGCTTGATGCTGCGCTGGGGAGTGTTAGCAATTGTTGAAGGTGTGGTGGAATAAATCACTGAAGCGCGGGCCTGGACATACCCTTCAAGAAGCCGGGGACCGGAGGCGGAGGACCTCCATTATCCGATGAGACGAGCAAGTCTTTCTTGCTCTCGATCTCAGCATCGTAGACCTCCGCGACACTGCCGGTATTATCTTCAAGCTCGCGCACTTGTTGCTCGAAGTACGGGTCAAAGCGATAGGTTGTGATTCTGGTGCGGTTGCCTTTCAACTGGTCCTTGTATATATCGATGAAGATGGTGGAAATATTCTCGAGAAGTTTGTCGATCCATCCAAGGTGAAGGAGTGATTGGTAGACAGCCTAAAGTGGTCAGTTGCGATGCGATGACTCGATAACCTGAGGGTGGCGCGGGCTGAAGTAGGATGGAGCAGAATGAATGGATTTCCAACATACTACGAATATCAAGCTGAACTCCTTATTGCGACGCCATTTGAGGGTATATTTCTCCTTCTTGAAGACAGGCGACACACCTGCAGCATTCTGTGGCACGACTTTCTCCTCGATAAAAACGTCGTTGATCAGGCTGTTAACGATATGCGCCCCGACCGGAGCATATGATTTGGACCACAGGACCACACCTGAGGTGGTAAGAATTTCAAAGGCTTCCAACATGATGAAAATTAGGGGTATTTTGGCGTGGAAGAGAAGAGAAGCGAGAGTTGGGGTTGGAGGTGGAGGTGGCGGATCGGCGAGAGCTGCCCGGAGGCCGAGCGGATCTTTATCAGCCACGTATAAACACTTTCTCTACAACTCCACCACACCTCCTGCTTCTCCTCCACCACACTCTCAACCTCAACCTCAACCTCTACCTCTCACCTCCTACCTCGCCCCTCTCCTCCTGCATCACCTTCTCAGAAAATGTATCGGGGCTCCTTCGCACCGCCCCCCGCCCAGTCGCCGCCTCTTCACCATCCCATCCCGCAGCATGTATCGACCGTGCCAATGATGCGCTCACCACCACCACCTTCCCAGCAGACCCCAAATGCCCCCGGTGCCAGCTATGGAGGTCCATACCAACCCTCGTCCGCACAGGGCCAAGCACAAGGTCAACCAGGCCAAACCTATGACCCCGGATTCGGCGGATTCATCAACGATCCCACAGCACAAATGGGATTCCAGGTTGGCAAGAGCGCGATGATGGCCGGACAGGAATACGTGGAGCAGAACGTAGCGTTTCCCCCTTCTCCTCCCTTCCCTCCCCTCCCCTCACTTACAAGTACTAACAATTCCTCCAGTTCAATCGCTACGTCTCCATAGTCGCCCTGAAGCACTACTTCAACGTCTCAAACTCCTACGTCCTCTCCAAACTCGCCCTAGTCCTCTTCCCATGGCGCCACAAGCCCTGGTCCCGCCAACAAGCCCGCATGCCCGCAACCGCAGGACCAAACGGCCAAATCACCCAGCAGCAATACAGCTCCATGTTCCTGCCTCCGCGGGACGACCTCAACTCCCCCGATATGTACATTCCCGTCATGGCGCTGGTCACATACATCCTACTCTCAGTACTCCTTGCGGGATTCCGCGGCGATTTCCACCCAGAATTACTGGGCTCGATTACTACGACTGCCATCGCGGTTATCCTCTTCGAGATCCTTTGCTTGAAGATGGCTATGTACATCCTTGCTATCAACAATGACTCGCAGCTGCTGGATCTGGTCGCGTATTCCGGGTACAAGTTCGTCGGTATCATTGTTACACTGGTTGCGTCTGAGATTCTGACGCCGGGTCGGGGACGGGTGGTTGGGTTGGCTGGACGGTGTTTATCTACACTTTTGCGGCCAATGCTTTCTTTTTGGTACGTTCTCTTCAAGGTCATTGTCGCTGCCTTGGTAGGTTAGCTCCAGTTGTCTATCTTACTAACGTCTTTTGCTAGCTGCGCTCGCTGAAATATGTCTTGCTGCCCGATTCGGCCGACTCGTCTATGCGCGCGGGTTCTATGCAGACGGTTGCTCGGGGCCAACGCAACCGCCGCACGCAATTCCTGTTCGTATATTCGTACGTGATTCAGTTTGTCTTCATGTGGGTGCTTAGCCGAGAGGGACCCTCTGCATTGGGAGCTGGTGATTCATGATGCGGCGATCGGTGCAGTGTTGCCGTGCATCGCGAGCGGGGGGGGTTATCTAGCTGGGCCGTGAAAACGAAAACGAAGAAAGCGGTATAGAGTGGGAGGATATGCGAGGGAGATTCGCAGGGCTGGATGCTACGGTAGACCAGCCGTCACGATACAGTCCCGCCCAGGTTCGTCTTCCATGTTGGAGACAACAAAATATACTGTTTCAAACGCTTTCCAGATATGGTTACTGCCGTATTTTAAATTATGTTTTGATGTGAACGGTATAATTCCAAACAGATACGGGCTGTAATGCTGTGTATTATTACTGATTCAAAACTAACCACGCCCTCTCTGTCGTTGTCTGAACGCAAGCGTCTCAATTTGAGCAATGATTTACCCCATCACGCTGCAACATGGCGCGAAACCTAAATCCCTGGCAGCTTGAAATAGGTATCAATAGCACGTCAGAATGAATTGAAGCCTTTCATTTTCCATTGGAGAAGCCTGAATGCTGCTGACAAATGGTCCCTTCCTCGCATGACTGAATAGGTCACCTGATTGCGGGGTTCTCTAGCGACACAGCTGGAGCGACCACCCTTTAAACCATCTGGACGATAATCATGGCATCAACAATATCGTATGATGGTCCGAACTCTGGTTTTCAAGTGGGATAAAATCATGGTCATATCACTGCACAGTTCTGTAAGTCAGGAGACAACCCTATTAGAACGCGTGACTTATAGGTGTGAATGTCTTAGTACGATCGGAAACAACATTGAATCAAGCGTGTCTGCGGGATCTGCGGATCACCAATCCTGACGATGACAAAGAACGAATCAAAAGCACTAATGGAGGGCTTCTCAAAGATTCATACTGTTGGATTTTAGACCACGAAGATTTCAAAAAGTGGCAGGATAGCCAAAGCAGTAGCCGTCTCCTCTGGATCAGAGGTGATCCCGGTAAAGGCAAGACAATGCTTCTATGTGGTATCATCGAGGAGTTTACCCGATCGATTGGGGTGACTGTGAATATCTCCTTCTTTTTCTGCCAAGCTACGGATGTACGGATCAATAATGCCACGGCCGTTCTCCGTGGCTTGATATATTCACTTGTTGAGAACCAGTCATCTCTTCTCCTCCATGTACAAAGCCGATACAATAAAGCAGGGAAGGCTTTATTCAACGACATAAATGCATCGAATGCTCTCTCGAGGATCTTCACGGATATACTAAAAGATCCGACCTTACGGGATACCTATATTATAATTGATGCTCTGGACGAATGCATAACGGACCTTCCATTCCTTCTGGACTTGATTCTCCAAGAGTCACTGGTTCACCCACAGGTAAAATGGATTGTCTCTAGCCGCAATTGGCCCGAAATTGAAGAGCGTCTTAGCGCCCAAGCCCAAACAGCCCCGATCTCGTTAGAGCTTAACGAGGCTTCTGTATCCGAAGCTGTGGGCAAATTTATTCATCACAGAGTTCATCACTTAGCGAGGGTGAAAAGGTATAGCAATGAAACTCGTGATACGATCTGCCGTCACTTGTTGGCACACTCCGCAGGCACTTTCCTTTGGGTGGCCTTGGTCTGCCATGAACTCAATAGATCACCGCGGTGGCATGCTATTGCAAAGTTAACGGAATTTCCACCTGGACTATCTGCTTTATACGGTCGCATGGTAAATCAGATTCACAATTCAGAAGATGCATATCTCTGCAAGCGAATACTGGCTACTATATCTCTAATATATCGGCCTATCACTCTTGACGAACTTACTTCCTTGATGACACTACCTGTTCAATTTTCTGATGACTATGAAGCTTTATCAGATATTATTGGAATATGTGGCTCCTTCCTGACTTTGCGAGAAGGAACTATTATGTTTGTGCATCAGTCTGCAAAAGACTATCTCCTTAGGGAAGCATTGAATGAGATTTTCCCTGCGGGTATAGAAGCTGAGCACCTCTCAATTTTCTTGCACTGTATGCAAATCATGTTCCAAGAACTTCGACGCAATATCTTTGACATCAAGAAACCCGATCCGAACCCATTAGCAGCTTCACGATATGCGTGTGTCTATTGGGTAAACCATCTCGAAGACAGCGGATGTGAGAGTGAAAATAGTCTTGAATATAGTAGGTACGTGGATGAGTTTCTACAGCAAAAATACCTTCACTGGCTGGAAGCCCTTAGTATTCTAGGAAGTGTATCTGAAGGCATAGCAGCTATGCTGAAGCTAGAAGGGTTACTACAGGTGAGTGAAAACAGTAACCATGAGAATATCTTAGCTTCTCACTGAATTACTGTATAGAAAAATAATGAGTCACGGGCACTCTTATACCGAGCCCAAGATGCTTCCAGATTCATTCGATATCACCGAGGAGCAATTGAAAGCAGCCCCCTTCAGATTTACAGATCATCCCTGATCTTCAGTCCGAAGAATAGTATCACGAAGTCATGTTATCAAAAAGAGAAACCAGATTTGGTTGTGAATGAGCCAGTGGCTGAAATGGACTGGAGTTCATGCCTTCAAACCCTCGAAGGGCATAGTGGTGCTGTTAACTGGATTGCCTGGTCGCAAGATGGGCGCCGACTCGCATCAGCGTCTCATGATAAAACCATCAGGATCTGGGATTCTGTCACCGGCCAGTGCATGTTAGCTCTCGAGGGCCATAGTGCCTCTGCCACATCAGTTTCCTGGTTTCAAGATGACAGCCTAATCGCGTCAGCGTCTCTAGATAACACTATTAGGGTCTGGCATTCAGTCACCGGTCAGTGTGCGTCAATTCTTAAGGGGCATAGCGACTCGGTCACCTTAATAATCTCGTCGCAAGATGGACACCAACTCGCATCAGCGTCTCATGATAATACCGTTAGGATCTGGGATGGGGTCACAGGCAAGTGCGCATCAATACTCGAGGGGCATAGTAGCTGGGTCAACTCAATTGCCTGGTCGCCAGATGGAAACCAACTTGCATCTGGTTCTCATGATAAGACTGTCAGAATCTGGGATCCAGTCGCTGGCAAGTGCGTATCAATACTCGAGGGGCATATGAGCTTGGTCATATCAATTGACTGGTCCCAAGATGGAAGTCGACTCGCATCGGGATCTCGAGATAAAACTGTCAGGATCTGGGATCCCGTTACCGGGCAGTGTATATCGATCTTCGAAGGCCACAGTGGTGTGGTCAATTCGATTTCCTGGTCGCGAGATGGATACAGACTCGCATCAGCGTCCTATGATAACACTATCAGGATTTGGAATTCCGTTACCGGCGAGTGTAAATCAATCTTCGAAGGTCACAGTGGTGTGGTCAATTCGATTTCCTGGTCGCGAGATGGATACAGACTCGCATCAGCATCCTATGATAACACTATCAGGATTTGGGATTCCGTTACCGGCGAGTGTATATCAATCTTCGAAGGCCACAATGGTGTGGCCAATTCGATTGCTTGGTTGCAAGATGGAAGCCGACTTGCATTGGGGTCCTCCGATACTACTGTCAGAATATGGGATCCAGCTAGCGAAAAGTACGCGCCAACTCTCGAGAGGCATGATGGTTTGATCAACTGGATTGCCTGGTCGCAAGATGGAAACCAACTTGCATCAGCTTCTCATGATAAAACTGTCAGAATCTGGGATCCAGCCACCGGCAAGTGCGTGTCAATACTCGAGGGGCATATGAGCTTGGTCATATCAATTGCCTGGTCTCAAGATAGAAGCCGACTCGCGTCAGGATCTTGTGATAACACTGTCAAGATCTGGAATCTTATCACCGGCCATTGCGTATTAACTCTCAAGGGCCATACTGGTATAATCAACCGGGTTATCTGGTCACAAAATGGAAGCCAAATTGCGTCAGCATCCTCTGATAAAACAATTAGGGTCTGGAATCTAGCTAGTGGTCAATGTGTATCAATCCTTCAGGGACATACTGACTCGATCAACTCGATCGCATGGTCACGAGATGGTGACCGAATCGCATCAGCTTCGTGGGACAGGTCTGTCAAGATCTGGGATATGGCCACCAGCCAGTGCATGTCAACCCTCGAGGGGCACAGTGATCGGGTCAACTCGGTTACCTGGGCACATGATGGAAACCGCCTCGCATCAGCGTCTCGTGATGCAACAATTAGGATTTGGGATCCAGCCACCAGTCTGTGCGAATCGCTGTTTCCTATCAACTCCCCTTACTTCCTTCAATTTGACACAGTCAGCTTGACACAGTTACACACGATGGTTGGTACAATCAATATACAAGCCTCAGGTCCCAAAATATCTGCTGTTCACTTCTCGACCTTGCCATCAAAAAAAGGTTATGGCATAAGTGGCGACTTGGCTTGGATAACCTATAACGGAGTCAATCTCTTGTGGTTACCTGCAGAATATCGACCAACTTATCCCTCACTTTTTGCTGTATCTGGAAAATCTTTGGCGATCGGATGCTCGCCATACCGTGTTATATTTCTCGTGTTCTCAGAAGAAAGTTTCACCCCTGACCTTTGATCAGTGTTGGTATTGTCTGGGGTCCAGATAACTCTCCCATCCGCAACTTGTGATGTGTATTTTGCTTCTGTGAATAAATAATGGGAAAGGTATCAAAGCCAAAGATCATGTCTCCGCGATTATTCCCTTATCAGTTATTTTGAGTAGAGACCAGGAATAGAATTCACCTTCCGTGAGGTTAGGTATAGTGATTTTTACCCGACATTAATTAGGAATCGTAATTTTCAGATTGTATGGACAACCGCGTTGGTAGTAACCGCAAGATTCAATGACTGCGTGAATCTGAATCACGCGATACTCCAGCACTTCCAGGAACTTCAACCGGAACACCAAAGCTCCTTCCTCCTCAACCAAAGCTTTATGTGTGCCTTGTCTGCGCTGTTTATTACGTTTGCGTGGAACCTCTAGGAATTCCATGCTTCTAATTTGAGGCACTTGTATCTACCATACAATGCATCAAAATGAAAATGGTATTATTACAGGTAAGTACAAAACATGTTATCATCCCGTAACATGTGGTTAGGGTTTGGAAGAGGGTCTCTCTGCTTCCGACATGGAAGGCGATCCTGGGCGGGTTTGTATAGCATGACTTTTGTAATCAAATCAGATATTAAGTGAAGTTTACTTTATGAGGCGATGTAGTAATTGAGTTTGGAAATATTCTAGTAGGATTATTATGATTATTATTATTATTATTATTAATTAAACTAGGAATTGATGACTGGAAATAATCCTATATGATGGTTAGAGCAGTTCAACCAAGCATATGTGTGAAGTAGGCAAGTCAAAGCAAATGCAAAAATGCATAATGTAATGGTCCTCAGAGATCTTGGTAGTTATGGTAATATCATATGCCGAAGCATCAATTACTATCTAGGCGTGATAAGGTTTATAATCATCGGGCCGGGAGTGTGGTGGTGAAAGGATGAGAATGAATAGAATCAGTCACATACCTAAGTCAATTGATCAAGGATCATAGTGGTGGCGTTGAGTAGAAGCTAGTAAGTAGACTGGTTCAGTTAGCTAAGTCCAGCTGAAATTTTCAATGCAATGAGTGGCAAGATTGAACAGTATCAGAATATGTAAGAAAATTGAATATCACACTCCAGCGCTGTATCGAAACCCCGGCGAGGGTTTCACAGCAACTGGGTCAATCGCAAATTACGGCATCATGTGAGGTGGAAGTGCAGGGGAAACAGAGGGTAGAACATACCGAGAGAATGGAAAGCTGTAGGCTAGCTAATTAGTAGCAGCAAGCTGAAGGGATGAAGTTCAGAGCAACATTAAGCTCGAGTTGGACAGAGTGAGGAAGTGAAGAGTTAAGCAAGGACAAAGTTAACGGCAGCTTTTAAGGAAAAAAAGTCAGAAGCTAGGGCCGGATTATAGATAATCCCGAATGGTGTGAGATTCTCCGATCACAGGACCCGATGACTCAGCCAACCCTAGGGGACTGCCCGGAGTGGAGGGCTAAGCGAGAAGTGCGGAATTTGTGTGGGCACATCGAATTTCGCTGGACTTGGACTCTCGACTCTTGACTCTCCCGACAACAACTCCGACTCATCCACCAACCCGGTTGTCGACCGTGAGTACAGCCATTATTATCGCCTTCCACACAACTCCCGCTGAACTTGTTTCTTTGCAGAATTCCGCCATGGCCGATATCGAGATTACCCTCGCTTCTTGGAAGCTGGTCGAGGTTGGCCGCCTCGTCCTGATCCGCCGCGGCCCCTTCGCTGGCAAGCTCGCTGCCATCGTTGAGATTGTCGACCACCGCCGTGTACGTACACACTGAATTGGGCTGTGCTGTCTTGCAACTGCATCTGCGACTGCTCTGCATCCGTCAGTCCGGGAATCGCGAGAGAAGTCGATAGGAGGATTTCGATAAGAGATGGATTGTCTTTGTGCGCAACGCAGATCAACAAGATAAGGATCGGATTCGACTTGCAGGAACTGGACTGGACTTGATGAATCAGAGCAGAGCAGACCATATCCAGAACAGCCACAGCCCAACACAACAATCGCTCTCAACCCCCGGAACAAAGTACTAATCGTCTCTGCAGGTCCTGGTCGACGGTCCCTCCGGTGAGGCCCAGAAGATCGTGCCCCGTCACGTCCCTCCCCTCGCTCACGCCACTCTCACTCCCTTCACCATCCCCCAACTTCCCCGCGCTGCCGGTACTGGCCCCGTCAAGAAGCTGTGGGCCAAGAACGAGATCGATGGCAAGTGGGCCAAGAGCTCCTTCGCCCAGAAGACCGACAAGGCTGAGCGCCGCAAGAACCTGACCGACTTTGAGCGCTTCAAGGTTCTGCGTCTGCGCAAGCAGGTGAGAGACACCCACACTCCGACATATATCAGACCAGGAACCCTCCATCAACTGGGTTATCTGGTATTTCCCAAATCGACTGTTATACTAATTTTATTATTACTAGGCCCGCTACGAGGTCCAGAAGTCCCACGCCAAGGTCCGGGCTGCCCAATAGATGATTACGAGGGTTCGGTGCATAGGATGACGGAGGTGTCCTGGGACGGGTTTCCTTAGCTGGCATTTTCCAGCAAAATCGCTGTATGCATATTCTACAGCAAAAATGATTCAAAGTCCTTGATACCTCTCAACTAGCATACTAGTATGGACTAACTTGAAAGTATGACTTGAAAGTATGACTGTTGCATAGACTTGCCAATGACAAAAGTAGTGCTATAATATATGAGTCCTGGTAGCAATGTAGTAATGATAGTAGATCAGTACATTGGTAGGAAATAAAGAATATAATACATTTAATAATCTAGAAATTAAATACCTAATAACTAATCACCGATCAAACATGATTGAGGTACTGTAACCCATATGTAGTATGTATGCAGCTGTGTGGGATCTGGGGGCAACCGCCTCGCTAACGATTTTCGGTCGGCCACACAGCTAACGTGCACCTTTGAACCTCACCCCCAAAATCCACCCGCTACCACCACAGTTTGAATCCGGCATCTCAGGTGCGTTGAATTCCCCCCGATCTATCGCTGAATTGCCCTTCCGACCTCAAAATTCGTCATTTTCCGATTGTGCGGTGCGTGGGGGGGACCTCGACGAGGGGTCTGCGACTTGCCCGCACCTCCCACCACCACCATTATCATCACCACGACCACCCACATTCCACCCCAGCTCTATCGCTGTTCAATACCGTATTACTGCATTGCTTCATCACTAACTCTAGCCTCTGCGACAGATTCTTCACATATTCACAATGGCCGACCCCCGCGTTCAAGAGCTCTCCGACGATGCCGTCCCCAAGACCGTCGAGGAGGTCAGCGACTCCGAGTCCGAGGCTGGTGAGGAGGCAAACATCCCCGCTGGCGCCTCCGTCGCCATCCACTCTCGTGGTGAGAAGAAGGCCCGCAAGGCCATTGCTAAGCTTGGCCTGAAGCACGTTCCCGGCATCACCCGTGTTACCCTCCGCCGCCCCAAGAACGTATGTACTATACCGCACAGCAGAGGAGCTGCAGTGCAGTAAAAAGGCTCCAATGCGCCAGACTACATCGCAGCAGCTAACCTCTCCCCAGGTCCTCTTCGTCGTCAGCAACCCCGACGTCTACAAGTCCGCCTCCAGCAACACCTGGATGTACGTACCTACCAGCGCACCCATTGACACCTACACACCCCCACTAACCACGTCAACAGCATCTTCGGTGAGGCTAAGATCGAGGACCTGAACGCCCAGGCCCAGGCTTCCGCCGCCCAGCAGCTCGCTGCCGCTGAGGCTGCCGGTGAGCACGCCGGTCACGACCACGACCACGATCACGACCACAAGGAGCCCATCACCGACCTTGGTGAGAAGAAGGAGCCCGAGGTTGAGGAGGAGGATGATGGAGAGCCCGCTGATGAGTCTGGTCTCGAGGCCAAGGACATTGATCTCGTTATGGCCCAGGCTAGCGTTTCCCGCAAGAAGGCCGTCAAGGCTCTGCGGGAGAACGATAACGATATCGTGAACTCGATCATGGCTCTCAGCATATAATCGGATGAACGGCTGAATACTCAATAGCCTGTTTGAAATTAAATGCTAGGTAGCTAGGTTCTCTTGAGAGGCTTGGGTGTAGCCGAGATGGCGAGCTCATAGTGTACACAATACTCCAAAAGAATTGATCATCTAATGATTCCTTGTAGTTGTAGCGATGCCAGTGGAGTAGAAGTAGAACTAGAAATATAGAGGTTTGCACATAGTGTACTGGTAATTATAATTTCCATTCACTTGATACTCAGGAATGCTCGCATCTCCCTAGATTGATTTGATGTTCCCAGCTCAGCCGATGCTCGGATGCCGGATAGTCACGTGCCCGCATCCAAACCTTTCCGATTCAAACTCGCCCGGCAACTCCCTGCACCTTGAAACCCTCCCCTCTCTCCTCCACCTCCCCCTCCAACTACCACCGTCACAATGGCCGCTGTACGTGCTCCCGCTGCTCTCCAAACTTTTACCAAAAAATCCCACCCAGCACCCCCCAGCAGACCCCCCCTCATCCCACGCCTCCAAACCTGACCCACCTCACTAACACCCCCTACCATCAATCCAGCGCAGCGCCGCTCTCAAGATCGACTGGGCCAAGGTGTCCACCTCCCTGGGCCTCCGCGGCCAGACCGCCGCCTCGCTTCAATCCTTCAAGAAGCGCAACGACGACGCCCGCCGCAAGGTCCAGGTCCTCTCCGAGCAGCCGCAGGCGGTCGACTTCTCGCACTACCGCAAGGTGCTGAAGAACCAGGCGATCGTCGACGAGATCGAGAACCACTTCAAGACCTTCAAGCCCGCCTCCTACGACGTTTCCCGCCAGCTCAAGGCCATCGATGCTTTCGAGGCCCAGGCTGTTCAGAACGCTGAGCAGACCAAGGGCAAGATCGACTCCGAGCTGATCAACCTCCAGAAGACCCTCGAGAACATCGAGACTGCCCGTCCCTTCGAGGACCTCACCGTCGTGCGTATCCCTTTGGTTTCCAATAGTGCTGGGGCTGGTGCCGGTACTGGTGCAGCTGTGCATCTACCGGCAAAGCGCCATCATTATCATTATCATTCTCCTGCCTGTGCAGTGCTAATTATTCCCTTCTTACTTCCAGGACGAGGTTGCCGCCGCCCAGCCCGAGATCGACGAGAAGACTTCCTCCCTTGTCTCCAAGGGCAAGTGGATGCCCCCCCGGCTACAAGGTACGTGATTCACGGAAGCGGTGTTAGAAGGATGGTCGTTATGCTGTGCGCGAGACAGTGCTAATTTTTGACTATAGGAGCGCTTCGGCGATCTGTCTGCTGTCTAAGCGGTGGACTTTTAGTTCGCGTTTGCCTTTTCTCCCCCGTTTCATCTCTCGCATATGGCTTTCTAGCCTGGGTACGGTTAGGCACCGCCCTTCCACGTGGTTGGGTGGTTGGGATGTGTATAGAAACAATTCATTCCGATGGTTTCTCGTTTGTTATTTGGTATTGTTGGTTTTCTTGTAGGAGTTTTGTAGATGGTCACGTAGTCAGAGTTGGATCCGGACAAGCACCTAGGCAGGCTAGCCTGCCCAGGTGGACAGCGATATATCGAGTAAACTACTAGTACGGGTAGCTGTGGCGAGTATGTTTATCACACCTGGCACTGGCATTTATCTATTTGATTACTCGTGCTATATTTTCAGAACCTTGGAATACATCGTACTATCATACATCGTACTAAAACTAATAATGTCAGACTGACCTGTCAACTGCTGGTGCCCAGGTGTTATGCAGGTGAATGCGTCAGTTTAGTGCTGGGCAGCAAGTGTATTATACCTCCACGAGCTTATGTCGATCCCCGTATCTCCGTGCTTCAATTTGAGTATATATAACCGAAGAGCTCTACAATCTCCACTTTAGTAGTTGTAGTAATGATCTAGTACCTAGGTAGTACTAAGGCATCCCCATCACTGCCTCGCATGCACCCCCGCCAAGACATGTCACTGTCAGGACTGTTGGCCCCCGAGTTACCCACTTCCCCTCTTCAAGTCGATCCCCTCTGGATTGGGTCTTCTTGAAATTGGAATTCGATGTCATGCCACTGTCACACTTTCACTCAACACTTCCATTGCAATGAGCAATCAACAATTTCCACCGATTCACCTTCACCAACTACCATTCACCTGGACTCCCGTTGAGCCGCAATTGCGGGGACATCACCAGTCCAACGGTTCAACGGTCCATCAATCTCCGACTCGGAACAAATGCATGATTGGCCCATCACAAATGCAAATCTTGAACAATAGATACAAATGGCCTTATCATCCCCATCACCACCTTCATCCCGACTCGAATCCCTCCCCCTCGAAGTCCTAGAATTAATCTTCCTCCACAGCCTGGAAGTAAACCTCCCCCGCGCCTCACCACGTGTCTCCAACGCCCTATCCAACCAACTTCTCTACACCTGGCTGATCCGACTCGCATTCAGCAGCACAAACCCAGGCTCCCGCGATGACTTCTTCACCCCAGATTTCCTGCCCGAACCACTATCCTCAAAATTCTGGACCCTAAGCACAGAAGACCGCGCAACCCTCCAAACAGCCCTCCTATCATGCAAATGGTGCACATTACCTCTATTCCGCAAATGCCAACGCGAATACGTCCACCACGCCCTATCCCGCCGCTCAAAGGACCTCCGCTTCGCCCCAGCAGACCAGCAAACCCTAGACAACCTAGACGCCCTCTTCGACAAAAGTGCCCAAGAGAACTTCGCCGCCTGCGACAAAGCACCGGACGCAAGAAAAGGAAAAGGCGACATTGTCCTGCCAGCCCTCCAATCCCCAGCCCCATCTTCATCTTCTTCTGCAAGTACTAGTACTAGTACTAGTGCTACCAACGATAGCGTGAAAAAACTAGCGATATGGCTAAATTTCGGTGCCATCCAAATCCGCCCAAAATCAGAAATCTACTACGAAAACACAGCAAACATCTACCGCCTCCCCTCACCCCCAGCACCCATCACCCCAGCACCCATTCCAGCAAAACTCCTCCGAGCCCCCTGGTCGTCCTCCCAATTCGAATTCCTGCAATTGCTCGCTCCGGACTTCTATCTCGACGAGGACGAGCATGCTGCTGAGCGCAGTGGGGCGATCACGACGCGGCTTATTCGGCAGAGGAGAATTGGGCCGTTTACGGTCTTGCTGGGGATGTATTTTCGGGCGAGGAATTGTCGGATTCCGGTTCGGTGGCCTTTGAGGGAGGGGCATTTTGAGTTGATTGTTAGGTTTGCGGGGGTGGGGGTTGGTAATGGTAATGGTGATGGTAATGGTAATGGTAATTTGAAGGGCAAGGGGAAGGATGGGGGGAGTGGGAGTGGGAAGGGGGATCCGTTTGCGAGGGTTGTGCTTGATGAGCGGTGGGATGAGATTCCTGATTCCGTGAGGGCGGATTTGTTGAGGGTTGGGTGAGAGCGTGGTGGATTTGGGGAAGGGAGTGTACGGGGCATATTGTACAGCTACGAATTGCATAGCGCATCGCATCGCATCGCATCACATCGCACCGCATTTGGATTAGTTAGCAGGAGCATCAATTGGACTTAAATAAGAATATTTCGATTTCCATGATCGTCATCAGATAACGACCACTGAGTACAGTACATGACCTAACCTAACGCCTGGGTATGGAACACAAGACAAACAAGGTCGCAACAAATAAGAGGATAACGCGCATCAATCGTAAATCGTAGCCATCACAGTAACAGCAGTTCCATCATAGCCCTGCCTTGAACGAATGACTAGTTGCGAAAGCGTGAGCCAGAGCCCGGGCCCGGGCCCGGGCCTGAGATCTCTAACTTATGATTGGTGTTAGACCCTACTCCGTTTGCGACGCGAGCAGTAGCCGCAGGTCAGGCAGGAGATGATCACGTCGATGACGGTGACGATGCCGCCGATGATGGCGTGGAGGATGGAACCGATCGCGTTAACGATGCCCATTAGGCATGAGCCGATGGCTCGGAAGACGCTTTGGATCTGGAGGTAATGTTAGTGGATGCGACGGAGGGGAGGTGAGGTGAGGGTAGACATACGCAAGAGACGACGGCACCCATTTTGGAGAATGTAGATGGTTGAGAGTGGGTAGTTTTGTAGGATAGTTGATCAGCCCTGAGAAGGGAAGAGAGGTTTGGGTGAAGGTGGGATAGTTTCAGCGCTCGATGAGGCGGAAGAGTGGGTTGATGTATCGCTGAAGGGACGCATGGTGGGAAGCAAGCAGTAGCTGGCTGGCTGGACTGGGCTTTATACAAAATGTAAAATGAGGTAGCCAGAGTAGGTACCGTTCCTGTCCTGTTTGGAGCGGAGTATACGTAAAGTGGTTCTCAAAGAGGAGATTGATAGACAGTTGCCACAATCCTCGTGCTGTTTGACTGACGTCGTTGGGGATGAATTGGGAGACAGAAATGTATGGTAGGGTGAAAACGTAAAAGGGTCCAGGGAGAAGTGAGTGAATCTGTCGACCGGATTGGAGTGAAATGCCTTGATTCTAACTTCTGACGTTGACCCTGGCTGATCTGCGCCAAGTGGCTGGAGCTATTCCGTCATTCGGAGACGCTTTCCCTGATTTTGATCGGAAAGGATGCAGATGGTGGTGGTTTGAGAGCTGGTTGGCTCTGGTTTCACATACTTCCGTCTCTCTGTTTAATTTTAGTTTGACTGATCTTTCTTGAAATGTTCCGTTGACATGTAAATCTCTATGTTGAAGTACTGATTAACGTCTTGACGTCATGATAGCTTCCCAAAAGGGAAATTTGGGTGGGGTAAACGCCTTCCACGTGACTGTTTCAGCCCTGGATGTGGCGGTGCACATGGCCTGCTGTGGCTTGGTCTGTGGTTGTCGGTCACATTCCCGCCAATCAGCTGCTACCATTCAAGAGTCGGAACTAAGTACTGTACAATCTTGTTCTTATCCTTGTCCTCGTCGCATCAACCGTTCAGCCCTGTTACGGGCCGACTTTTATTGTGGAGAGCTGTTTCTGTTCGGGCCCACTAGGCATACCTTGTCTGTGGTACTTCATCTCTGTACTCCGTAGTTAAGATTGATGATCCTAGTGATCTTGTGGCTGACCACGGGTGGGCGCTGTTGATACAATTGTCTCAGTTTCTAGCCATTTCAGAATATGACGACATACCACTGCTTGAAAGCTGTCTCCTGCAATTTTCAACGACAGGAATTGCCGATCGCCCTGACAGACACGAGTTCGACACAGACCCCCCTCGGGATGCCGCACTTGCGAACCTATCCCCTTTGGGGCTTAAAATGCCAAGCATTATGAAGCTGGGGGAGACAAGGGTATCACGACAGACATACTGACTACACAGCGAGTATGAGTTACTGGAAGAGAGATTCCCGCTGCCGAGGATTTTAGAGCCCCCAGTGCGAGTATGATGTTTCAACATAAAGACGGTGATGGTCCAACGAGGACTCCCCCGACAAAATAGGGGTGTATCCCTTCCGATACTTATCTGAAGTAAATTCCCCCACTCGCAGCACTCGAGACGATCGACCCGAGACCTCTACAGAGGGGACATGCATGTTTTAACACCCCTATACCTACTAAGGGGTGGCGTCACCGCCTACAATACATCGTACAGTACGGAGTACTCCGTACAATTTATCAAACTCCCGTCTTCCTAAAGGTTCTTTGCAACTCTCTATCCTTATCCATATCCCTATCCTTAACCCTATCCCTATTCACATTGAACCATGGTTAAAAAGATCCTCAATCGCGATCAACGTCTTATTATACGCACACATCGTGAGATTGGTGCTTCATATTCTGCTATTCAGAAAGCTACTGGATTCCCTATATCTCAAATACGCTATGCATGCCGCAATAACGTCGATTTAACCCCTCAAAAACGCAAAACCGGTCGCCATCATACCCTCTCCTCCGAAACCGTTACCAATACTATCCAATGGATACAACAATCTCCTCAACGACGGAATTTAACATACAACGAAATTTATGAGAAGCTTCAGCTACCTGTGTGTGGAGAAACTTTGCGTTTGGAATTGAAAAGAAGAGGAATGGTTGCACATTCAACCACCCAAAAGTCTCCAAATACTACTGCATCTACCACCATAGCGTACCAAGACGTTCGCGGAAATTCAAGTCAGGTCCCAGGAGACAGCAAGAAAACGGGCTGAGACTTTAGAGGCTACGTCCGATCTCGTCTTCTCTTTCCTCTCTTCACTTCTGTATCTCACAAAACATCATGCATTCAAGCTTCAATTGCGATTCTCTTTTTACAGAGTGCTAAGCGCTCAATTAAAAGGTGGGGTTGCTGATACAGCTATGGGCGCCAATTGATTGGATTCTATCTCAGCTGAACACTCCACATGTACAAACAAGCCAACCATGTGCCATATCACTCCACAATATGCCTGTTGGACCCATACACAGCCTCAACTTTTTATGCGGGCTACAGTAGCTACAGGAGCAGCCAGCTGGCCTTTTTGGTACTAGTAGACTGTTCCCCGGCCCTTTAGCTCGTGCGTTGGAAGCTCTGCTTCCAATACCGTGACCCAGGCAGCGTGATACATTCAAACTTTTGCACAGGCACTAGATTTGACGTTATCTGTATTCTCTGTTGTGATATAGAGTAACTGGAGTCATGCCAGTGGGGTCTGGCACTCGTCAGCGGATAAGGAATATTTTTGGGAGGGACAGAAAGGAACTTCAGGTTCAAGGTACTGCCCCCTCCGAGTCTGAGTCCCTCACGCGCCCGAGCGAACCTAAGCAACTGCTAGTAGTACAATGGAGTTGCATAAGTTTGAAAACCTCTGTCTACTGCTTTTGCTACTACCCGCATCTCGTGCACTTTGACAGAAACCTCTGCCAGCGTGAATGATTGCTAACCGGGAAATATTCCCAGAACCCGAATCACACCTCAAAAGCACGCCCTCGACGCCCCGGTCATCCAGCCCTCTGCCCTCGACTGTCCCGAATGCCACCCAGTCCGCCTCGTCCGACGCGTCGACTTCACAACATGAAAGCCTTCAGGGACAGCTTTGGAACCAAGCCTACGATGCTCTTAAAGACAAGGAAGCTGACCTGGTTGAAGCATACGAGAAACTTCTCTCGCATGAACTCAGCGGGGGTGACCGGGATTCATCCCATATCGACGAGAGGCCCACAAACTTGATCGCTCAAACGAATTCGGAAAGAAGAAAGTTCCAGATGAATCAGATCGTTGAAGCTGGGCTCAAAAAAACAGAGAAAGAGGCCTCCATTAAGAGTGGCCTAGGGGAGAAAACACGAGTCTTATCCTCGATGAAAGATTTGATAAGTGCGGCAGTCAAATCATCCCCTGAAGCTTCTCTCGCCTGGACTGGCGCTTGCTTTTGCATGCAGGTAAGCTTTCCCCGTATATATTTTGTTGGTCTCTGCTTATATTTTTAAAGATGTTGGAAAATCCAATAAGCGAGTCCAGTTCTAATCGTGATGGTGTCACCTACGTATTATCCAGGATGAAGTGGTACTGGGAATTATCAGGCCTACTCAACGATGGAGGCGACAGCACGATCGGATTGAGGGTTGAACTTCAGAATCACATTGTTGAGCTCTATAAAACTCTTCTCTCCTATCAGATGAAAAGCGTTTGTCTTTACTATAGGAACAGAGGGGTTACGTTCCTACGAGACTTGATCAAACTTGATGATTGGGAAAGTACTCTCAAGTCTCTCAAGTCCGCGGAGGATGTTGTCAGAGAGGACTACCATACCTACAATACCTCTAACATGGCCGATCGCCTCAACGGGCTTCTTGAGGCTGCAAATTCTGAGTGTAGTATCCTTCGGGATATTGCTAGCTTTATCCAGCAACAAACCAAGGCGGAGCAGCAGAGACAAACGGAAGAGAAGAAAGAGAGAGAGGATGACAAGAACAATCAGTATCTTATCGATCTACGAGCAACAGACTCCCGTTTGGATAAAGAGCGAATTGAGAAAACGAAAGGGGGATTGTTGCCAAAGATTTCAAACTGGATTCTGGGCCATCAGTCCTTCAGAAATTGGCGCGAGAAAGACGAATCCCAGCTTCTATGGATTAAGGGTGACCCGGGAAAAGGCAAGACTATGCTGCTGATTGCTATCATCAATGAGCTGGAAAGATCTTTAGCGGATGCCACCAATTCAGACCAGCAGACATCTCCATCCCTGATCTACTTCTTCTGCCAAGGAACCAACTCGGCTCTCAACAGCGCAACGGCCGTTCTCAGAGGCCTCATCTATCGCTTTGTTAAAGAATGCCCACCACTCATCTCATACTTACAAAAGGCGTACGCCGACTCCGGCTCTAAGCTCCTTGATCACAACGCTTTCTTCGCACTATCGCATATATTGAGGCAGATGCTGAATGATGAACGAATCCCTCAAGCTTATATCGTGATTGACGCATTGGATGAATGTGACGAAGATTTGCTACAGCTTTTGGATTTCATCGTTGAGAATTTTGCCCGACAACCTATCGTTAACATCAAGTGGATCATTTCAAGTCGGCTCATAGACCGAATTGAAAAGCAGCTGGTCCCAATAGCTTCTGAAGGGGGTTATATGGCTCTCAGGTTGGGTGAGACTCAGGAGCAAATAACTGATGCCGTCAACGCTTTTATCGATGTCAAGATATCCCAGCTTGGCCTTGAAGAAGAGGAAACGAAGGTTAAAATTCGCGAAACACTGCGTGAAAAAGCCGCTGGCACGTTTCTATGGGTTGCGCTCGTTTTTGAAGAGCTTCAAAATACCCCGGTCTGGGAAATTGACGATGTGCTAGAAGAGATACCTTCTAGCTTAAAGGCTATCTACAGCAGGATTCTCGATCGGATTCTACCACCTGATGAAGCACACACAAATTCGCGAGAAAATGTCAGACATGGACTCTGTCGACTTATTCTTTCGAGGGTAACTTTAGCATATCGTCCACTCTATCTGGATGAACTTGCCATGGTCTCTGAGCTGCCTAAGAACAAACAAAAATACATCAAGGAGATTGTGAAATCATGTGGTTCACTGCTTGCTATTTCAGAAGACCAAGTTTATCTCGTTCATCAGTCAGTCAAAGATTTTCTGAGTGGCGAAGCAGCTAAGGAAAGAATCTTTCCATCCGGGCTTCCAACAACTCATCTCGCCATTTCCTTGGAGTCCTTGAATGCCATGACTAAAACGTTGAAGCGGAACATCTACAACTTGTCATCTCCTGGACTTCCAAACAGTGAATTCAAAGCTCATGGTTTAGACCCATTGATCTCTGTGCGATATTCCTGCGTTCACTGGATTAGTCATTTTTGCAATGCTTACAGGAAAGCTGAGGTTGACATCGATGATGACGACGGCAGCAGCAGCAGCAGCAGTTTCCCGATGAGCCTTGAGGGCCTTGATACTGTCAGATACTTTTTCGAAAATTGCTTCCTCTACTGGGTCGAAGCATTAGGAATTCTTCGTCATTTGGGAAATGCGATCGTGTCGATGAAGGAACTTGAGCAAATGCTCGGAGTAAGTTTCCTGCCTCATGTCAAGATGAAAATCAATCTAATTACTACTCAGAAATGGAACCCCGAGGATGAGCTAGTAGGGCTAGTGTATGACTGTCGACGCTTTGCCTTGAATAATATTTGGTTGATTGAGACTACGCCACTCCAAACATACGTATCTGCATTGGTGTTCAGCCCGACTTCTTGCAAAATTCGAAATATCAAGAAATACAAAGATGAGGAACCAAATTGGATCACAATAAAATCAAAGGTGGACGATACCTGGAGCCCCTGCTTGCAAACCCTCGAAGGTCATAAGATGTCAGTCAAGTCTGTCGCGTTCTCACGCGACTCGAGGCTGTTAGCCTCAGGGTGTTTGGACGGGACCATCAGGATTTGGGATGCCGGAACCGGAGCTTTTCAGCAGTCACTCGATGCGTCCGCTCTGGTCCTTTCTGTGGCATTCTCTCCGGACTCAATACTCTTAGCTGCAGGATGTGACGACTCCAGCATCAGGATCTGGGATACTGCAACTAGAACTCTCCGATACGTACTGCGGCATCACGAGAATGATTTCAAAATTGCAAAACTGTGCCAGGGGCGAAAGCGATTGACCAAGGACATCCAGGCTGAAGGTGATGATACTGATCCATCGCCTGCTCAATATGATAGGAACGAGGTCCTAGGAAACGAAAAAATCCTGTCGGTTGCATTCTCATATGACTCGAGTCTGCTGGCCTCCGGGTCTGATGGAAACACGATCGCAATCTGGGATAGTGTAAATCATCAACTTCAACACACTCTTTCAGGCCATAATGATACTATTAATTCATTGGCATTTTCACCAAAGTCATTTATCCTAGTCTCGGCATCAAACGACCGTACGATCAAGATCTGGGATGCAGCAACTGGCAATCTTCAACAAACACTCACAGGTTACGACGCTGAAGTGAGGACAGTTGCATTTTCACCCAATTCTCAATTTTTGGCTTCGGGATCAGAGGAAGGTACCATCAAAGTTTGGGATACAAAGACTTGGATGCTTCGAAACACTCTCGAGGCCCATGAGGTAAATGTTCGTTGTGTGGTGTTCTCTCCCGATGGGAAATTTCTGGCCTCTGCGGCAGGCGACCGTAAGGCCAAAATTTGGAATACAACAACGTGGTCCCTCCAACAAACATTTCAGAATCATGATCTCTATCTGTCACTTGCATTCTCATCTGACTCTAAAACTATTGCCCTGGGAACAGTTTACTGTAAAATCAAGATATGGGATACAGAGACTAGAAATGATTCAGAACAAGTATCTGAGTATCATGATAGTCGGGTGAATTCTGTGACAATTTCACATGACTCGAAACTGCTCGCTTCAGCCTCATCTGATAAAACCATCAAAGTTTGGAATATCGCAACCATGACTGTCAGACGCACATTGCAGGGCCATAAGGATTGGGTCAACTCGGCTGACTTTTCACCGGATTCAAAGTTTATCGCTACAGCCTCTAGTGATAAAACTGTAAAGATCTGGGATCCGGAGACTGGGAATCTTCACAAAACACTCGAGGGTTCTCACTCAATGGAAATTGCTGCATTCTCGCGGGATGGATGCCTTTTGGTCTCCGCGTGCCGCGACCGTACAATCAAAATCTGGGAGACGGCTAATTGGGATTTAATGAAGTCGATTCAATGCGACGATATATTATGGAGACTATCATTTGATCAGACAGGTATGTACTTGGATACAGACGAAGGGCGATTTCAGATATCCGATGGGAGTCGAGTTCCAGAGGTTGAACCTTTGCGGAGCGACCTTGTACGAGAAATTGGCTGGGGCCTCGACCGGGACCAGTCTTGGATTACATGGAACAGTAACAACGTGCTATGGATACCTCCAGACTATCGAGTTTCCTCGTACTATTCCGATGGAACTCAATTGATCGAGTCACCAACAGTCACTATGATTGCAAATGGAACTGATGCGGGAAGGGTGGTAGTGATCGAGGTTCCCAAATCCGGACCATTTGATTGAATGTGAGACGCGGAATTTTACTTCACTTTTCTTGTCTTATTTCACTCTTCATATTCCTATATTTTTCGCCTGCTCTCTACCTTCTAATAATAATAGACCTCAGACCTCTTTCGTTCCCTTTACACCCAACTATAGTAGCGGTGTGATTTCATGAGACCTCTGTTTTTGAGGCAAACCCCCGTCAGTGAATAGACTACCATAACACATCATAGTATGAAAGCCCTGTAAATTTCATGGCCCACTTGTTAGCTTCCCAAATCGCTAGATCATTCAAGAACTTGAATGCCTTCGAAATTCCAAGGTTCTTCCTAAATTATGTACAGCGCTGACCGTTATCACCTTTTCCATCAGACGACATGACATATACAGATAAAAACAACTTTATTTAGAAACTGTAATATCATATTCAAAGTTTTGAAATACTACTAGTAGTAGACTTTCTCTATCTTCATGGGTGGCTTATTCGTTTTTTGTAAAACGCTTTCAAGGCCGCACAAGGTAATCTGAACTTCAAATTCTAGAATGTTCCGCACAAAGGTCTCCCATTCGCTCCAGGGCTGACTTATCATAATCACTAGCCGTGAAAAGTATTGACATATCACTCTCATAAAAGCATATTGAATGTGTTGAATATTTCAACTGGATCTAAACATTCTTTCCTCCGTCCTGCACTCTATTTGACAGTCGAGATTTCTCTCCGCGCGGTTGCCGGTTGTACCTTTCCTCACGCCATTTCCAGAACCAAATCTCTCCTCCAAAATGCTCATCAAGATCGACGACATTCAATCCACTCCAGCAGTCCTTGCTTTAATTTCCTTGCATGTGGCCGAAATAAATCGCATGGTTAATTCCTGTGATGTTCTTGACATTTCAAGCCTGCAAGCATCGAATGTCACTTTTTACTCGGCTTGGGAAGGCAATGAGTTAATGGGGATCGGTGCACTTAAAGAATTGTCACCAACACATGGTGAAGTTAAATCGATGAGGACTGCCGCGCCACATTTTCGAAAAGGAGTTGGACGGGCTATCGTCGAGCACCTCGTCAACGTGGCGAAGGAAAGAGGATATTCCAGATTGAGTTTAGAGACCGGGAAAGACGCTTCGTTTGAAAGCGCAAGAGACTTTTATATGAACATGGGCTTTGAGTTTTGTGATCCATATGGAGAGTTACCCCCATGCCCAGATAGTTCTTTCATGACTTTGGAACTAGATAACTGAGATTGAAGTACCTACAGGTTTCAATGAGCGTTAGCAGCGAACTACGCAATCACTATAGATACATAGATGGAAGACATCATGAGCCATACTTTGGTTTTATAATATACTAGATCAGATGAAAGACTATCCCGATGCCCCAGAAGTACAAGTCACCCCCAACCCACTCGGTGTATTTGCGCAAAGCACCTCGCTCTTCCCATCCGGCGAAGTAACAGCATAAGAACTAATCTTCACGCCACAAGTCCCATCAGATCCGCAATTTAGATTGCTCGTAACATCATCATCATACTTCCCACTCGTGGTCCCGCTAAAGTCGCTGAAGACGATATCCGTCAACTTCGCATTACCGGGATACGTAGCGCAATACGCCGCGTCCTCGCCATAACAGCTCTGGATCTGAATTGCATAATCGCATCCTTGCACCGTCACATCTGTCCAGGTCACATTTGACACGGTCGACTGTCCATGGCTGCCACCAGACGGGTATGTCTTAATGCCAACAGCCTTGGTGGAATTGATCATATTCGCACCTTTGACGTAGATGTTCTTCACCTCGTCATTCGAACTCTTGCCCAAAGATCCGACGGAGAGTCCGTGGCTGCCGGTGCAGGTGATGTCGGTCACTGTGACTCCGTTGGCACCGGGCTTGAAAGCAACGCAGTCGTCATCATTGGAAACGTTGACATTCGAGATGATGACGTTGGTACTTGCTCCGATATCAAATCCATCGGTGTTCTTAGCTGCGTTGCTACTCTTGGAGGTAGCGTCCATTTTCAAATTCGAGAAAACGACGTTGTCGCTATCTCCTTTTACAGAGTTGAAGACGTTTGGGGGATTTTTCTGTCGGAGGCCTGATACTGTGATGTCTGATCCACCCGTGATGTAGAGGAGTGTTGGGCGAGCGTAGCTGCTGTCTGCAGCGAAAACGTCGTAGCTGAGCGAGGAGCAATTAAATGTCAATATTAAGACCACGACCAAGACCATATTCATGCATTTGATTCTGGTCAAACTTACGCATTTTGCCCATTACCATCAATAACACCGGACCCGGTCACCGAGCGAATCTTGATGCCGTTAATACCCTTGACATTGATCATAGCCGTGCGTCCTTCCCAGTAATCCGTGTCCGAGCTGAACTTGAGAAGTCCCTCGACTTGAAAGTCGCAGCTTGCACACCCGGCGAAGTCGAGCACGCTGTTCAGGTAGTATGTGGTACCGGAAGGAATCACAATGGTCCCACCGCTACCGCACGATGCGATCGCAGATGTGATTGCCGGTACATCATCCGTAGAGGAAGATCCTCCGGCTTTGGGGGTACATGTTGAAGCGCGAGCATTTAGGATGCGAGTCGCGTCTGGTAGCGCAAAGCTCGATGCAGTGACTGCGAGCAGGACGAGTAACTTTGACATCGACATGCTGAATGACTTGGCTGTGTTTGACTGCGTTTGCGGTTATGGTATGGGCGCAGTAGTACTCTACACCTTCCAAAACTCCTCGAACTTGCGATTTATAAAAAGTTTTCTTTTCTTCTTCGCTTGCACGTATCTACCGAGATAAACCGAAATTGGTTTCAATGGTCTGGCGGTCCAGTCCGTCATTGCACGGCCTAGCTCCATGAACTGAAACTGAAACATGGAAAATCTTGGCCCGCGATTCGAGGAAAATAGTTCCTCTGACCCTAGCACATTTCTTCCATCAAAGCTAAGCATGCAGGTCCAACGAACAGCCCCACTTTCGCAATCCAATCAGCGAAGCGAAATCCATTAACACGTTCACATGCCCTAAGTGCCGGGTCCAAGCCGTCCGTGGATTTTCCGGGGAAGCCGTGACGAATTGCGCCATGTCTGGGGGAGACATGATATGCCGTGGCGTTTTATTCATCCCTAGTTATATATGCAACTTACAACCAAGCAAACCTTTTAGGCTAATATCTTGCTGCCGGAAATATCCACAAACTGCAGTGCACCCGGGACTAATTCTCCTAGTGGACCGGAGGCACGTTTCAGGTTCGACGAAAGCTATTCACGGGAAATTGCGAGTGGAAGTGAGATCATCCGCGATGCCGGAATCGAAGGGTCAAAGGGGGGACTGAATGAAACGAAGTTGTTTAATTCGATGCAAGCAACTCCGGTGAATAACCGGTGGGACACGCGCAGGTCACACATAAGCCTAGCTGGCTAATAAAACCACCTCCGTATCTCGTCACGGTTCATATTTTTGTCGATCAACCGCAGAAGCTTGGCTGGTACAGAACAACTCCGATGCGTCTTCTCACTATTTTCTCAGCCCTATGCCTGGGCACTGGGGTCCTTGGCTCCCCGGCCAATTTGTCTCGTCGTACGAGCAGGACTAGTGCGCCGTCCGGCTGCTTGACGGTCGGGACTGGAGGGACATACAGTACTATCGGTGCTGCCCTCACTGCCCTTGGATCTGCTACTACTTCCGCCTGTATCTATATTGCCAGTGGTACCTACACAGAGCAGCTTAAAATTAACTATGCTGGTGCACTCACCATCTATGGCCAAACATCCGACACCGGGACGTACAAGAGCAACACAGTCACGATTACGCACACGATCACGTCTTCTGCAGCTGGCACGCTTGATCTGAGCGCCACGGTTAATGTAGTCTCTGATGGGTTCAAGATGTACAACATCAATGTGGTAAATGGATACGGGAAAGGTTCCCAGGCCGTGGCGTGAGTAATAACCTCAACCCCCGGGGCCATTGAATCAACCCTTGAAAGAAAGAACCCGCAATAACACAGGAGAGAGAAACAGATTGGTTGGCAACGCCGATAAACTTGGTTTCTACGGCTGCCAATTCTCCGGATACCAGGACACTCTGTACGCCAAAGCCGGAACGCAGTATTACTCGAACTGCATGATTGAAGGAGCTGTCGACTATATCTTCGGCGATGCATCAGCCTGGTTTGGCGAGTGTGATATCGTTTCCAATGGAGCGGGTTATATCACTGCGAACTCGCGCGAAACATCGGATGACACTGCTTGGTACGCTATCGATAATTGCAACATCCAAGCTGCATCTGGTACCGACCTCGATGGTGATGTCTATCTCGGCAGGCCGTGGCGGGTACTAGCGCGGGTGATTTATCAGAATTCGGAGCTTGGCTCGCTCATCAATTCGAAGGGGTGGACTACGATGGCAGATGGTGCAACGCCGTTCTATTATGAGTTTAACAACTCGGGCGATGGGTCTGATACCTCGGCGAGGCTGTATGAGACTAGTATTTCCGCAGCAGTGACGAAGGCTACTGTTCTAGGAAGTGGATGGAAGGATTGGATTGATACTAGCTATTAGGCTTCGTTTATGTCGAAAGTAGTCGAGTTAGTCAATTGAGAGATCAGTCTTATTTCCAATATGCGTCACTAGTCCAGATCGGAGCTGTCTTGGCGTAGCCCTATAGCCCTATAAGAGTTTGAGAATTTGGAGTTAACCCCTTGAATTACCCAGCAACTCAGCACAAATCGGGCCCAGCGAGAATCTAGTAAATATTTGCTTATTCCGAGAGAGCTCTCAGTTGTTCTTTGTGGTAATGTTGGCCAATCATGTAACGGCTGAATATAGCGTGGCCAGGTACGTACTGCCGTTGCACACTAGTTGCATTCAAGAAGATGCTGATCACAGCTAGATAAAAAACTTAAAAGCTTAAACTGAATATTTCCGAGCATTTCTGCATCACTCAGTGTCCTCTACCTGTCTACTCTATCCATTCTGCTCTTCTTTCCCTATTCTGCTCCGATACTAATGCTCCATTCCTCCGATGCTCCGATATAGGGCACTGAGTCAGCAATGTTAGTCAGCAAAAAAGTGGGAGGTGGGGAAGCGTGCGGGACAATTTGAATTTCTTCTTTTTTTTCTTTTCCGTTCCTGGGGGTTTTCGAGCATTGCCTCTCTACTGCGTCCTTGGTGAGTATCTCAAGTTCCAGTGTCCCTTTGTTTTATCTGTCTTCCCCCATTCAATGATGATCTGGAAAAAAAATTAGATGTTAGACTTCTGAATCTTTTTGCGGAGAAACTTCCTAGTCTGAGAATACCACCCCGCCATCAATTCAATCCCTTGCATGCCTTGGTGAAGACTTTGCGCTGACATTCCCGGGAATATAGGACCGCGAATTCACAGTCAAGATGTGTGGTATCATCGCTCTGATCCTGGCCAACCCCTCCGGCACTGCCGCCGTGGACCTCCACGAGGCCCTGTACCTCCTGCAACGTGAGTGGCCGTGTCATTCGAGGCCGTGAATATACCCTGCTATACTCGGATCGTCGTACTAAGACTGCGTGCAGATCGTGGTCAGGATGCTGCTGGTATTGCAACCTGTGCGCATGGAGGTCGTATCTACCAACTCAAGGCCAACGGCATGGCCGCCAAGGTCTTCCACGATGGTGCAAAGATCACCAACCTGCCTGGTTCCATGGGTATTGCGCACCTCCGCTACCCTACTGCCGGTAGCAGTGCTGGCGCTGAGGCCCAGCCCTTCTACGTCAACAGCCCTTACGGTATCTGTTTCGCACACAATGGAAACCTGATCAATGCCCCTGAGCTGAAGAAGTACCTCGACCTGGAGGCACACCGTCACATCAACACCGACAGTGACAGTGAGCTGATGCTCAACATCTTTGCTGATGAGCTGAGCGAGACCAAGAAGGCTCGTGTCAACCAAGAAGATCTCTTCGCCTCCTTGAGCCGCATGTACACTCGCTGTCAAGGTGGATGGGCCTGCACTGCCATGCTTGCCGGTAAATATCCCCGTCTCCCATTCTTTCATAAAATAACTAACTAACATGCTTAGGCTTCGGTCTCCTTGGTTTCCGTGATTCCTACGGTATCCGACCCCTGGTCCTGGGTTCCCGTCCTTCCCTGGACGGCCCGGGTACCGACTACATGATGGCCTCCGAGTCTGTCGCACTTGACCAACTCGGTTTCTCCAACCACCGTGACATCCAACCCGGTGAGGCAGTCATCATCGAAAAGGGCGGTGAGCCGGTCTTCCGCCAAGTGGCGCCGAAGAAAGACTACGCGCCCGATATCTTCGAGTTCGTGTACTTCGCGCGGCCCGACTCTGTCATCGACGGAATCAGCGTATACCGCAGCCGTCAACGCATGGGCGACCGTCTCGGCGCCCGCGTCCTCGACGTCCTGGGCCCCGAAATCGTCAAGGACATCGACGTAGTCATTCCCATCCCCGAGACCTCTACCACATCCGCGACCCACGTCGCACAGTACCTCAACAAGCCTTACTGCCACGGCTTCGTGAAGAACCGCTACGTTTTCCGCACATTTATCATGCCCGAGCAAAAGACGCGCCAGAAGGGCGTCCGCCGCAAGCTGAACGCCATGAAGGCCGAGTTCAAGGACCGCAACGTCCTCCTCGTCGACGACAGTATCGTGCGCGGAACCACCAGCCGCGAGATCGTCAGCATGGCCCGCGAAGCCGGCGCAAAGAAGGTCTATCTTGCCAGCTGTGCGCCCGAAATCACCCACGCTCACATTTACGGTATCGATCTTGCCTCACCGCAGGAGCTAGTCGCGCATAACCGTGACGCAGACAGTATCGCCAAGCACATTGGTGCGGAGCGCGTCGTTTTCCAAACCCTGGACGACCTGAAGGACTCATGTGCCGAAGTCGCGCGCGACAACGGACAGACCGAGCCGCAAAACTTCGAAGTCGGCGTCTTCTGCGGTAAATATGTTACACCCGTGGACCAGGGCTACTTCGATCACCTGGAGCAGATGCGCGGCGAGGGTCGCAAGCTCAAGGCCCTGGATAAGGCCAAGGAGGCTGTTGCGCATGGTTTCGCCAGCGTGCAGGATTTCCAGATCGCTGCCCACGGTGTCACCATGGATACCAATGGCCAGGTCATCCCGGCGGATAGTGAGCCTGAGCCCCGGTCTGCGGAACCGGAGCACCCTAAGGTTGATGATCAGATGGATATTAGCATTCACAATATCGCCGATCACCCTTAGTCTGAGTATGGTATAACCACCTACTCACACTAGCACCAACAAGATGGTAGCTAGCTACAATATCCCACCTTGCCATCCTCCTTCTCCCTTATTCTATCCTACCTCACGCTTTTCTTTCAACCTTGCTTTCTTCCCAATTTCCCCCACCGCTTTGCATTTGGAGTATATGGAGTTACTTTCCGGATGGCATAAAATACAATTAGACAGGTGGGCCTGGGCAATGGATGACGACCGATGCACGATGCAATGTGATATCTCGACGAAGTGTATCCCCTTTGAACAAAATACCACTGTGACTATTTGTGAATAAGAGATTTGATTTAATCTACTACACAATGAACTCGTACACAAGATCATGATACTATTAAGACATTTCTATACTATACAAATCACCACCGTGATACTTCCAAAGCTCCAAGTTCTACTACTAGTAGTAAACCTGACCTCCCTTATCAACGCCATCATCGCATCACATCTCTACATATTCCCCAACAACCGAACCAACCCCCTCCCCCAACCAACAACAGTAATCTGATACCCCGTCTCAACAACCCCCTTGCACATCTCCCACGCCTTCCCCCCATCCCGGGCCCCAGCACCACCACCAACCTTCTGAATAGGATAATCCAGCCGCGGCGGAATAGCCGTTCCAACCAACCCCGGGAACCGATCCACACAAACAGCCTTCAAATTACAAAGACCCCTCAACCCCTCCTCACCCGCAAACCGACCATACCCAGATCCCCTCACTCCACCAAAGGGCAACTGCACAGCATAATACGCGCCAAAATCATTCACAGAGACCATCCCCGCCTCGACACCACGCACAACGGCCCGAATTTCCTCGGCCCGGTATCCAAACACACTCGCGCCAAGGGCGTAGATGGTCGAATTCGCCAGCGCAATCGCGTCACTGACAGACTCGGCGCGCATGACGAGGAATACAGGGGCGAAGAGCTCTTCCTGTGCGATTCGCATGTCACGCGTGACATCTACCAGCAGTGTAGGCGCGAAGTAATGCCCGCGTCCATGAACGGGGTGCTCGTATCGTTTTCCGCCGGCGAGGAGGCGGGCTCCCTGCGCCACGGCTTCGGCGATGAGAGATTCCAGTGTGTCGAAGGAGGCGGGGGAAATCATGGCGCCGAGGTCCGGGCATGGGGTCGGGTCGCTGTCCAGTGTTATTGAGCCGAGGCGGAGATTCTTGATGCGCGGTTCGACGAGTGCGATCAGGGATTCGTAGGAGGAGGGCAGGGCGATGATGCGCTCTGCGCCTACGCAGTTTTGGCCGGCGGATTGGAATACGCCGCGCATTAGGATTGAGGATATGGCTGGTAGGTTGCGGAGGGTTTTTGGGTCGTCGAGGACGATTGCGGGGTCTTTGCCACCTAGTTCGACGCAGACAGGGGTTAAGGATTTGGAGGCTGAGGCGCAGACTTTGTGGGCGACGGGGCGGGAGCCGATGAAGGTTAGGTGGGCGATTTGGGGGTGGGATGTTAGGTGGTCTGCGACTTTTGGGAGGCAGATTGTTGTTTGGACGAGGGAGGGTGAGTGGCCGCAGGCTAGGAGGGCGCCGCGGGCGATGTCTAGGAAGTATGATGAGGACCAGGCAGTTTGTTCGGAGGGTTTGACGATGATGGCGTTGCCGGTGAAGAGGGCGCTGATGACGGGGCCGATGAAGTTGTGGAAGGGGTAGTTCCAGGAGACGGCTGCAGCAACGACGCCGAGGGGTTCGTAGATGACGCAGTTCTTTTTGTACATCATGAGGAAGTTTGTTGGGCGGCGCGAGGGGAGGAGGGCTTTTTCGCCGTGGTCGAGGGTCCATTTGAGCTTCTCGGCTGTGACGAGGATCTCGCCAAAGCAGGCGTCGACTTTGGTCTTGCCTGAGTCTGAGACAGCAGGCTGTGACGATGTCGTCTTGGTGGTCGAGGACGTATTTCAGTAGAGTGCGGAGGACCTTTCGGCGTTCGCCAAAGGTGGTTTGGGACCATTCTTTTTGGGCGGTTTGGGCTGCGCGTACGGCGGCGTCGACGTCGGCGATTGTTGCGGGCTTGATGCCATTGCCGAGGACTCGGCCGTCAGCTGGGCAGTAGCTCATGATCAAGTTCTCATCCCATTTCTAGACAGCAATGGTTAGTCTTAAGCTTCAGATCAAGCTCGAGCTTCTGGACTCGGACAACTCACTCCTCGGACCTGGTCCTCCAATATCTGCTTCTCCCGACCCTTAACATCCTCCCACTTGATTCCTGAGGATGATTCGCGCACTTCCTTTGGCAGAGGCACGTTAAAGGGCACAGCAGCTTCGCGTTGGCTTCGAATGTAGAGCAACCCCACGTAGACGGCGAGTAGGGAGGTCAAGGCGACTGCAGCGATTGGGGCATATTCGGCATAGGAGGAATCGCAGGAGTCCACGAGGGATTGCAGGGATGGCGGGAGATGCGACCGGAGGCAATCCATACTGCGCGGTGGATTGGGAGGATTGGCGACAGAGAAGGGTTCAGGGGAGAACCTTTAGGAAGCAATGGAAATAAAGTAGAGCTGGGCGATAACGATAAGCGGAGTCCGCCTGCCCGCGGGTGGTACCACTTTAGGATACCGTACACCTTCATCAAGTACAAAATAACTACAAATGAGAAAAAAGTTGAGTTGGGAGTGAATGTAATGTTCAATTACTCTCTATCCATTCAACACCTTGTCCAAAAAGACAACATAAATGAGATCTAGTGTAGAGGGAGATACACCGAAAAGTGCAAAAAGAAAGGTCGTGCCCGGAATCGAACCGGGATCGGCGGAATCAGAATCCGCAGTGATAACCAATTACACTACACAACCATTGGATATTATGACAGCGAGATATTTGCATTCATAAATCCTTTCAAGGGTGCCAGGCAACAGATACTCCACTGCCTCGACCCAATCCAACCAGGGATTTTATAACCATCAACTGATAGTATGGTGAACGTATACACTGACCAACTAGTATTATAAAGACTGCATGCTCTTACCACTTCTTCTAATTTCAATATTCCCAACCCCTACTAGTACTACTAGTAGTAGAATACTAGTATTTCTAAGCTCTTTAAGGTGGTCTAGATTATATATTTCCTGTTTTCCGGCGGGTCCTAGTAGTATATAGTGGACTCCAGCTTGTAGTATCAACGGCATTTCCTACCTAGGTATCAAACCCACTCTTCCGAGTCCTTCAAGCCCTAGGTACCCACCTAAGTACTAGATATAAAACTTCCTCACTTCACCAATCATCCTCTTCTCTCCATCTTATCGACGCTTCCGATCAAACGGCCAGATATCGAACAGATTCCCAACTCGGCCATTGACGTCATTTCAATTGATATCCCTGCCTTGGATTGGACATGGACTGACTTCAAAGGTTTCATATAGTCCATTCTCTTCCAAGGTTTCTCCTTCTCACGATCATCTACAACTTGAAGCCCTGGTGATCATAGCGGCACCGATTCACCCTCACAATGGCACCTACTAAACCCGTTCGCCAAAGTACATCCGATCCCAAGACAAGAAAACAGGACGGAAAGAAGGCCAACAAGGCGCGAGCGAGTACCACTCGCAATAACGCAAAGAGCAAGCCAAACACCCGCATTTCAAAGGCTACCGGTACTCAGAAAAAGGGGCCGATAAAAGAAAAGGCCAAAATAAATGTGAAGAAGGAAAAAGACTCGGAATCTCCCCAACCAAATTCATCCGCATTGCTGCCTCCCGCAACAGACGAACTACCTCACAATCTGGCACCTCTTACTTCAACCCCAACCTTGAATCTACTTCAACCGCACACCCCGAGTCCGAATGACACAAAGTCTACACTCGTGACCGAGGAACTTCAAGTTGACCTTCCCCCAACCACTGCCACAAATCAACCCCAATCTCCAATTCCAGAAATCAAGCCCAAAACCACAGGAAAGACCCGCCCCAAGCCCAAACTTCAAATCACCCTCGGCAAAACACCCTTCCCCTCCTGGAACCACCCAACCCCATCCCAATGCGAAGAAATAAACCAACTCCTCTCCTACGCCCACGGCGAACCAATCGCACCAAAAACCATCCCCCGCCCCTCCATCGAATTCGCCGGCTGCGGCGAAGTCCCCTGCGTCCCTAGACGCGCTGATAAGAACTCTCCTCAGCGGCGCAACGTCAGGCAACAATGCCGCACTGGCCTATAAAGCGCTCGCGTCGAGATTCGGGGTCATGGAGGAAGGAATTGGGAAAGGCGGCGTTAACTGGGAGGCTGTTCGCCAGGCACCGCTGCGCGAGGTCTTTTCAACGATTCAGCGGGGTGGATTGGCGGATATTAAGAGTAGGAATTTGAAGGCGATTCTTGATATGGTCTATGAAGAGAATAGAGCTCGGTATGGCATGGAAGGCGAGCAGCAAGGGAAAAAGAACGAGTTAATCTCGAACGATACCGCGACCCTCACTGAAGAGCTATCGCCCGAAACCGAAATCAAAGCAGAAACAGAAGCAGAAGCAGAAACGCAAAAGTCCACCCCAGACAAAGAAAAAGAACACGAACTCGCCTCTCAAAACCTCCTCTCCCTAAACCACCTCCACAACCTCCCCACAGAAGAAGTCATGACCGAACTAACAAAATACCCCGGCATCGGCGTAAAAACCGCCGCCTGCGTGCTCCTTTTCTGTCTACAACGACCGTGCTTCGCAGTCGACACGCACATTTTCCGCATCACGAAGTGGCTGGGTTGGGTTCCTGCGGATCTAGCGACGGAGGTTACCGCATTCCGGCATTTGGATGCGCGGATCCCGGATCATTTGAAGTACTCATTGCATCAGTTACTGATTAAGCATGGGAAGTTGTGTCCGCGGTGTCGGGCGATTACGTCAGAGAGTTCGGAGGGGTGGGGGTTGGGGTGTCCGATTGATGAGTTTTTGACGAGGACGGGGGCTAGGAAGGGTGGGCCGGTTATTGTGGCGAGGAGGGCGAAGAGGACGAGTAGGAAGACTACTGCGAAGAAAGCCACTGAGAGAAAGGTTGCTACCCAGAAGAAGACTACAGGCGTTTAGAAGTGAGTATGGTGGGATTATGGAGTTTGGGGGAGTTGCGTTGGACAGGAGGGGTGTTTTCTATCTTATTTACTTCGAGCTTAAGCATTGATACCCACGCCGCGAATTTGATTTTGGGATATGGGCATGGTTATCTATGAGAAAAAAAAGAAGGGTAGAAGGAATCGGGGAGTTTTTTTACTTTGAGTTTACTTTGAGGCAGTTCATCAGTCTACAATCTCGTTTTTATATCAAATTAAGCCTTCCTAAGGGTTCTTCGAAGACTCATGTTATCCATTTGTGTTCCTAATTGGGAGTAGCTTGAATGCCTTGTATATCGGGTGTCAATCATCATACTATTGTATTTGCCTGGATTGTATCTACAATTTAACTCTGCTACTGTGCAGTAACTCTATTTTCAAAACATTTAGATTATATTGTATTTTTGCGATGAAAATTAGTCGCCAGGTTATAGTAGTCGACCTGTTTCATAGCTTGTCGAGGTACTAGCTGCAAATGCAGGTTAACCACTGGCAGTACCCCGTGACTGAGCAGAGATCTAAAATCAAGGATTAAGTTGAAGATCTAATCCGGCAGTGTTGAATTTTAATTTCTAGCCTCGACTGAACCCAAATTTAGTCCATTTACTGCCTACTTCGTCCATGTTAGAATATGCGGGCGATCCCATGTGAACCGGCGGGACCGAGGAGGCCGGGATCGGGCCGAGGGTCATGGATGGAACACGGTGGCATGCAAGTGTCACCGCAAAGCATCCATATGGGTCACCGGTGGAGTATTGTATAGATTGTAGACTATATTATGGGGGAATGGAAATAGAGTACTCCATAGTCTTACTCCGTCCGGAACTCGATGTTGTTGGGAGTCGGCCACTTCCGATAACCGGCAGCCCTAAGACACTAGTTACTGGTTACTTCAGTCCCTCAGTGATTACCTTGCCAGGGCTGGTCCGATTTTCGGCAGGAATCAAACTCAATTGAGGAGATGCTGTGCATGATTCAGGAAAAAAAGTCGCCGGTCGGCGGGGATGGTGATACTGCATGTGTATGAGCTGTAACTGACTATAGTAGTGTACGGGAACAAGGAAAGATCCCAGAGTATCATAGTATAGGTAGAGAATAGATCTGAATAAAAGAAGGAATTGAATTGAGTAGACTGAACGCAATTGAATAAAATAGAATAGAGGTACCCTGACTGTCAAATACTATGCTAACCGACGGTAACCGACGGCCTCGGCAATGAAGTCAGGTTGAACTCAGCATTAGCACTGACCATTGTCAACCCCAACCTATCCCTCTCCGCCTCCGCTTGACCAGCTCCCTTCCCCATACCCCTTCTCTCTTCCTTTGGTTCTTTATCTTGTCCTCTCCCCTCTCCTCCTCTCCTTGTCTCTGGAGTACCTTCTACCACCTCAACACAGTTCAATTACACCATGTCCCTCCCCGCCGTGCGAAGGTTGACCCACTCATCTCCCCGCACTTGGGCCCGCCTCCCCGTCTCCAGACTTTCCACTTTCACCTCTCCATCTCCCGCTTCCAAACTCGCTACCCCTCGTCTCCTTCGATCCTCTCAGTTTTCCACCATGGCTGCCCTTCAATCTGGTGCCCCGGCTGCCCCGGCCGACAGGGCTTATGATCCCGAGATCAAGGATATGGCCAGCTACATTCACCAATACAAAGTGGATTCTGACCTGGCTGTAAGTAACTAGTTCCACAGGGTCCAATTCTACCCCTCTACCAAAGGAAAAAAAAATCTCAAATACTAACACCATCTAGTTTGACACCGCCCGTCTCGTCTTCCTGGACACCCTGGGCTGTGGTCTCGAGGCTCTTAAGTTCAAGGAGTGCGCCAAGCTTCTCGGCCCCGTTGTTGAGGGCACCGTCGTCCCTAACGGACCCCGCGTCCCCGGTACCCCCTACCAGCTGGACCCCGTCAATGGCGCCTTCAACATCGGTGCCATGATCCGTTGGCTCGATTACAATGACTGCTGGCTCGCTGCTGAGTGGGGTCACCCCTCCGACAACCTGGGTGGTATCCTCGCCGTCGCCGACTGGATCTCCCGCACCAACCGTGCCGGCGGTAACCTGGGCAATGGCAAGATCCTCAAGATCCGCGATGTCCTCGAGGCCATGATCAAGGCCCACGAGATCCAGGGTGTTCTGGCTCTCGAGAACTCCTACAACAAGGTCGGTCTCGACCACGTCGTCCTGGTCAAGGTCGCCACCGCCGCCGTCGTCTCCAAGATGCTCGGCCTTACTGAGAAGCAGACCGCCGATGCCATCACCCAGGCCTGGGTTGATGGCCAGAGTCTGCGTACCTACCGTCACTCTCCCAACACCATGTCCCGCAAGTCCTGGGCCGCTGGTGATGCCTGCCAGCGCGCTGTCAACCTCGTCCTGAAGGTGCAGAAGGGTGAGGGTGGTGTCCCCACCGTTCTGTCCGCACCCACCTGGGGCTTCTACGACGTCCTGTTCAAGGGCAACAAGTTCAAGTTCCAGCGTGACTATGGCAGCTACGTCATGGAGAACGTTCTGTTCAAGGTCTCCTACCCTGGTAAGCTCTCTCCTAGAAACACAATAACCCCCACATACCATCTACATACATACTGACCTGCTCCATAGCCGAATTCCACTCCCAAACCGCCATCGAGGCCGCCGAGATCATCAACAAGAAGCTCGCCGACCTGGGCAAGACCGCCGCCGACATCAAGGAAATCACCAACCGCACCCACGAAGCCTGCATCCGCATCATCGACAAGCAATTCAAGGCCATGGACAACTTCGCCGACCGCGACCACTGCGTCCAATACATGGTCGCAACCATGCTCTCCTTCAACCGCCTCACAGCCACCGACTACGCCGACGGTTCCGAGGCCGCCACTTCGCCACTGGTCGAGTCCCTGCGCAAGAAGATCAAGTGTGTCGAGGACCCCCAGTACACCGTCGACTACCACGACCCGACCAAGCGTACCATCCCCAACGCTCTGACCGTCACCCTGAACGACGGCACCGTTCTCGACGAAGTTGCCGTCGAGGCGCCGCTCGGCCACCGTCTCCGTCGCGAGGAGGCCAAGCCCGAGATTCTGGCCAAGTACAAGCGTCACTTGCAGGCGCACTTTGACCAGGCCCGCATTGATGAGCTCCTGCAGGTTGGATGGGATCGTCCGGCGCTGGAGAACTATGATGTTGATCAGTATGTTGATTTGTATGTTAAGGACAAGGTTGTGGAGTCCTCTTAGATTTGGATTGGATGGATGTACACCCTGGATGAAGATGAGGTGGACGATTTCGTTGATTCTTAGCAAAATTGTATAGATTGTTCTTTTAGATATCTTTTCCTTCTTGTAGGCAGTAGATTGGTATGTGTGTGTACTCCTTTCTCTGTGCAATGTTTAGACTGATCGCGTGTGGTCTGTTACTGGTTCACCTATAAAGCAACAAACATCAAAAGGGAAAGAAAACAATAACGGAGCATTCTGTATAAACTATCTCAAGCTTGTGATTTACCATCAGTACGGATATCAGATAAACCCTTGAAACCCTTTAATTCAACCCCAACGTTCAGTATACGGGATCCTCTATATAATGTTTCAAACCAAAGAGCTAGATATCTTATAGTAGATATTGACTATTGGTCTCTCATACTAGTACCACTAGTAGTAAGAAATGACGGAGAAACACTGGGCATGTAACAACCGGTGAAGGAGCTACCCTGGGCTCTCAGTCACCCGCCGCTATACTGACAGTGCCTCGTAGATACCTACCGAGGTACGTATAGGGAAACGACTGGCAGCTTTCTCTTCCTCACTACACCTATCTTCCCATTGCACGAGTTCCATAACACTTTGAAATCACTATAATCATCCAGTGAGTGTACTGACCCCTGCATAGAATACAATAGAGGCGTTTATCTAATATCAAGATCAAAACAAGCTAAGAATCATGAACGGACGAATGGGACCGGCGGAAATTTTGGTCCATCATCCCGAGAGAGAAATGGACAAACTGCTGCAGCGGTTAGAAACTGTTGAGGACCGGGTGTCCGCCATTGAACGAACCATCACGCAGTTACGTGGAGATGTGGTCGTGGTTACTGAAGGTAAGTCCACTCTTGATACCATCCTAAATCATGAAAACCCCAGAAGATGAATTTCAGACTTCCATGTAGGATAATAGTAATGGAAATTGCTGCCAGATGGCGTATTTTGATGTATCTGACAATTATTGCTCTACAGCAGGCATCCTACAGGAACCTGTTGAGGCTTAGGATTACGCCGCCTCGGGCATCGACGACCCTACACGGGAGAGCCCAGGCGGATAGTCGGAGAATGTAACAGGAACAATTCCCTCTCGGACAAGTGTACAAATTTCAAAGAAAAAGAAACAATGCGGCTTGACCTAAGTGGAGCATCATCACCCCATCAAAAAAATCAATAAACAAAAAGAAACTCTCCCTCGGGGAATCGAACCCCGGTCTCCCGCGCTTATCGGTGTTAATGACAAGCGGAAATCATGACCACTAGACCAAGGAAGATGAGATAGTCGAGTTACTGCTCGACCACTTGGGGGTGGTTGATATCTGTTGGGCGAAGTTTGGCATCATGATCACCCCCCCTCGCAGAACTGAAACGAACATTTCCCGACTTTGATATTTTTATTTTCAAGACACCCACCCTTCATGAATAGGATTTTAGGGATTCAATCTGTTTCGGAGCATGCTCCGAGCACATTTAATGGATTTTGAGGACGTCGGTGCACGCTGTCATTTTTTTTCTAATTCCATCCTCTTGATTATATATCTCTCGGTGCGTAAACCTTGCAAGGAATCCCTTGACAACTTGGGTCGTTTTCCGAGAATGTGTTTTGAAATAATCGGAGATTAAAGATTTATTACTAGTACCACACATGACCTAGAGTTTTTCTTCCCCGAAATGCTTTTCTATATAGAAATACACCCACTGGTAGTATGCTAAATACTGTTTACTAACTGGGCACTGGGACCTGGGCATCCGAGTTGGTTCACGGGTTCTGCCCCGCTCCTGAGCCTTTAGAAGTGGGTCTACCTGGACATTCTACTGACCCTCCAGGCGCTTGCTCCGAGTCCGTCTAGGCAAGGCATTCCTCCTAAACCCCAAAGATTAATAATTGGAACGTACATATGCCCCCTGATGGGACAGTGGGACGAAGTCGCATGAATTCACCCAAGCGAAATGGGTATCGATTCTTCCACCAACCGGGTCCGCTTTAATAGCAGAGGCTCTACTCATTACTGGTGGTGGCGGGGCTAAGGTGATTAATTGTCCTAGTGATCGGATTCACTTCTACAAGACCTTTTTATTATTGTCTCCATCAGGTTCGAAGTATTTTATTATCAGATAATATGCAATCAGACTGGCTGGAGAAAGTCTTGCGCATGTATGCTATTCCAACGCCGAACTCCAGATCAAGTCCTGCCAAAAATTCCGTGAAACAAAAGCTCAAAGTGCCTCATATGCTCATGAAAGAGATGACCGATAGAAGAAGAAAAACAACAACAATAGCAACAGCAAGAAAAGAAATTATAACTCCAAACAAGAACTTAAAAAGAACGCCGACTGTTGTCTACAAAATCAAGTATCTTTGAGGCAATCTCGAGCGGTGATGCCCCTGTAGAATCGAGAGTGAGACCGGGACAATCGTCGAAGCGAAAAAGCTCGCATTTTTCCCGAAGCTCCCGGACGAGTTCGACATTTGTCAATTTCTTCGTCCCACTATCAATACGCTCGATAGTGTTGACACGTTTCAGATTCGTATTGACGTCGCAGATCAAGTAGACAGGCAGAAATGGCCTGCCTGACTCTAGAGCAGCTATCCTATACTCGGTCGCCACATCTCGACCCAGATCATTATTTGATTGAAAGTCTGATCCCCAAAAAGTTAGTCCGGTCTCGTAGCAAACTTATGTATACACCGCTAGCATAGTAGCAGGCGCGAAAACTTGAACTCACCCGTGAAAACAACTAGCTTCGAGAGAGCTGTCTCGTCATATACATACTGTTTGAATATGGCTTGCCGATAAATATGTCGCTCTTTTTGATAATCGGGATGTAGTCGCGGAAACTTGACCTCGACGGGGTCGATGAGTTTATGAGAATCTAGGATTATGGCTCCGTCTGGCACAAGCTGTCTTATCACTTCGCAGACGGTGAATTTGCCCGAGCCTGGATAGCCATTAACCCATATCAGTGGGGCCGCAGGCATTTGAAGAGCTGTCGCGTAAGGCAGCGGAGTTGAGCGAGCTTGAGGTCCCTGGTGGAGCATCCAGTGCGTCATGAATCGAAACAGGGTGGTTACCAAGGGGTTGATGACTCAGGCGGAATGGGGTCATGAAAGTTAAAAGTTGCCCCCCCCCATTTACCTCATTGCGGAGTACTGAGAACCGCACGAACGAAGTAAGCCTTAATGCGCGAACCCCCCGCAGATCGCACGGACCCTGCATGGAAATTCCGATCAATCAGATTAAGGGTCCAAAATTTCAGATTCAAACTAAGAGGATATCCGTGTCGAGACCGATTTCCCTCCAATCTATTGCTACAAGACCCTTGTCCATATTCCGCTCCAAATGCATTCGATCCCTTTTTCTCCATACATATTCGACAATATGTTTTATTTTCCGTCTGTTTCCAAGCCCGAAATGGCTGGATTGTTCAAGCCACTCCTTTGCCGAGCCGATGTCGGATTCCGTATAAGCCTCCACTGCAGCGATGAATGCCGGCCATAGAGAGAAATTCCCTCTGTCCTCAGAATAAAATGCCTGTGTATTGGAAAATACTAGTTCCACATACTTCGCAACTCGACGTGGGGGCACATGTAAAAGTGATCGATAAAGATAGATGTATGTGGCATATAGGAATGCGCTCAGTTGGTATCGCGCCAGGTTCCGAGCCAGGGACTCGGAATTCTGTCCTTCAGTTCCCGCCAAATTATTTCCCTCTAGCTGCGTGCGTATATCTTCCAGACAGCTTAACACACGAGCGATCGTAATATCAACTTTGAAAGAGTCTTCGGAAGTTATGCCCAACTGCATTTTGTGGCTGGCCTCTGTTATGGATGATATGCACTCGAGCAAAGACTTATGTGCCCCAATGGTGAATCCGAATTCAGAGGTTGACAAGATTGAAGAGATTAATGAGAGATCTCTGGAGTTGCGGCCGTGCGAAGAGTCAAAATTTGGCTCCGACGATGTATGCTGCAAAGAAAGGTCATGCGAATGACTCTCTCCACCTCCCAGAGCGGTGCCACTGATGATCCTCACAATAAGTAAACTTTGAATCGAGAAACGTGTAAATGGAGATTCATCCCAGGAGTCGAAACTGTGCGGGTCAAGGAGGAGTGCCCATGCCCCCTGAAGATGATGCTTCCATTTCTTAGATTGGCCGCTGTAAACCTGTTAGATAAATGTCAGCGAATATCCAGCATTCATCGCCATTCATGGTTCAAAAAAATAACTTCAAATTCAGGAAAATACTTACCTCGGCCATCATCAGAGTCATAATTGCAGCAAGTGTGCTTGCCGAGTCTCTATTGACAGACCCGATGCTTTCGTTCACGTATTGGATAGAAATATTGTAGTGTTTTGTAGCTGATCGCAATCGCATCGATGAAGCGTTATCTGGACCTAAATTGGCCAGGTTGAAAGCCGAATGCGCAATAATGGCATGGTACAAAGCCTTTTCTCCGGGTAGTAAATACCGAAGCGAGACGCAAGGATAAAAGACTTTCCACGGATTTGAGGGTCCGTGGGGATTTTCAAAAGGCACCATGATGGACGCAACATAGTCCACATAATGATGAAAGAGAAATTGGTCTTCCTTCGTAGCATGATTCATAATCTCACCTCCATTGAACAAGAGGTTCTCGACTCTGATGGGGAATACAGAGAAAGGATTATGGCTGGAATCCATGAGATATCGTTCCCCGATGTCCTCAGTAGAATCACACTGAGATATCAGAAGATCGACCGAATCAGATGCAAGAGGGGGTCGATTTTCCCAAGTACGCTCTGTTACTGGTCAGTGAATTCGAGATCGCCCACAAGTAAAGATCTGAATAACCAACCGCAGTGCATAAATCGGCGCCCATTGGACCGGTACGATTTATTTCCATTCAACCACACGAGACGAGAGCTCGAGCCATCACAAGCCAAGCCAAGCCTTTCACAAGCCGAGCAGGGGAGACTTGTGTCGAGGGATTTCGCGCATTTTACCTTACGCGATCGGCATTGCCAACATCCGGTGAACTCCCTGCACCGTTTCTTGCGTGATAATTGAGTGCTATCGTTCATGCTGCTCCGCCGATCGCGCTGTCCAAAAGTGGTGAGGGGGGGCATGTCATGGCGAGAAGTTGGGAATAATCCCTGCCCCGCCTAGTCCTATTTCGGTGCCCGCACGGCGACCATCCCCGCGGGATGGGGGCCTATAGCCCTGGAGGCTGTGCTTGTTGGGTTTGCCCACTGCCTTAGCGAGGTTGTTGTTGTTACGCACCAGTGAATTGTTATTACCATTCACTGGTGCCAGAGGAGAACCCAAACATTACCCCACACCACAACCGGAAGGATCAATCCTATCACCACCTCACCATTCTTCTAATGAGCCTTCGATTTTAAATCCACTTATATCTGACCTTGTGGACATTCCGACCACGGCCGGCTCTGCTGCAAAGTAGAAGCGGGCTAATATTTGGTTAATAATTGAGATTTACCGCTGACTGCTAGGTTAAGCAAGGGCCATTTTCAATGTCTTAATGCTATTTTACTACGAGAGTAAAATCTCTCGTCATTATCAGTCGCGGGCCCTGCTCACATCCCCGGAAGCCTGTCACTTAAGGTACATCAAAGAAGGATGTATATTACAATTATTGCAACTATAGTGCCTAATCTTACATACAAAGGGATTTTTATGACAGTAAAAATGGCAGCGAGTCATCTTGAATCAAACAGACAAGCTACCAACCAATCAAAGACTTATCTCGGTATGAGTTGCTTTACTTTCTCGGCATGTGGAGTCGTAGTGGAGCCAGCTACCTTAGGTCCTCCGGGCCCGACCTTAGAGCAGCTGTCGACAGTAGATATGGGTCATGGATAAGGGGAGAAGAAAAATCAGAAATCATATAAATACATCGTGGTGAACATTAGGGAGCGAACCACTGCATGATTTCTTCAAATTTCTTTTTCTACTCGAGGAAATGACTCAAACAAACGAGGATAATCGGGGCGCAGCATTTCTAGCTAGCCCGCGCATTGAAGATCCAGAACCAGGGAGCGAGAATGTCTTGCAAGAAAGTGCATTGGATCCCACGACATGGAGCGAGGTAGGCAAGCAAGTAGCCAAAATTGAAACATTTCACTAAAATCCCAACAGAGAAAGAAAATGTTCGTGGTCTTCGTGGGCCTTCTTACCCTGTTCAACAGCGTTTTCGATTCAACTATACCAAGTGGTGGCATTCGTGTCATATGTGCTTTCTTCAACGTTGAAAGCGAAACACAGCAGGTTCTCCCGACGTCGGTATACCTGATTGGGTACGTTACGGGACCTCTAGTCTTCGGACCCATGAGCGAAGTCTACGGCCGACGATTGGTGATGATGGGAACTTTCATCGTATTTACATTATTCACACTGGCAACCGCGCTGTCGCCAAACTGGGTTTCATTTTTAATTTTTAGGACCATCGTCGGAATTTGTGCATCTTGTCCCATCGCAGTGACTGGGGGCTTGTTTTCTGATGTCTACCGCAGCCCTCTCGCGAGGGGAAGAATGATGGCACTTTCAATGGCAGTGACGACTGCAGGTCCTCAATTTGCCCCGATGATCTCGGGATTCCTGGCACAGGCTGGCTGGAGGTGGGTTTTCTGGGTCTCGCTGATTCTTGCGGCCGTTACACTCGGACCGGTTCTTTATCTGCCAGAAACATTCGCGCCAGTTCTCAAACAAGCCGATCGTCCGAAAAGTCGAGACGAGGGGATTTTGGTCAAGGCTTTTACTCGGCCTGTTTATATGATCTTTTGCGAACCGATCATATCTTTGACGTGCCTGTATCTTTCATATGCAAGTGCGATCTTCTGTGAGTGAGCTCTTCCAAGGATCTTAAAAATCTCTGAGCGAGCAACCAAGACCTTTTCTAACTCAGGAAAGTCATGTATTTTGAGGCATATCCCCTTATATTCCAGGGAATTTACGGGATGAGCAACGGAATAGCTGGTCTTGCATTTCTCCCTATTGCCGTTGGGGCTGCGATCGGAATGGGAATCTTCCTATGGTACGATGCATTCCTTCATCGCGCAAAATCTCAAAAGTTAGATTGGGCTTTCATGGAAGAATATCAACGGCTACCACTTGCATGTCTGGGAGGACCCTTGTATGTATTGGCTTTATTCTGGCTTGGCTGGACTGCCTCTGCCGAGATCCATTGGATAATACCAATGCTGGCCGGGATACCTTTTGGCATGGGCTTCTTCCTGATATTCGTGGCGTTGATTAATTATTTGATCGACGCTTATCATCAATACGCCGCGAGCGCTATGGCAGCTGCTAGCACGTGTCGCTCTATATTTGGCGCTGTCTTGCCCCTAGCAGCCAGTCCCATGTTCCATAGCCTTGGAATTAACTGGGGGACGAGTTTACTGGGATTTTTGAGTCTGCTTATGACGTTCATCCCGTTTGTGTTTATTCGGTACGGCGAAAGGATTCGGAGAAGAAGCAATTTTCGGCAGGAGCTTGAGAAGGAATGAGTGTTATGTGAGGCATGAGCTGGAACCTTCAGGTTGTCGATAGCATCATGGGGTATAGTGATTAGATTACTCGATAATAGTAGACTTGATTTTACACCGATTAACGCAGGTAGATCCAATGAAAGAGACAGACAGTGTGGTATTCATTCAGTAGATATGCTTCATAAATAGGCAAAATTTCTGCCAAGCGCCGTCTATACTTGAATGAGTGGGCGAGGTAAGCATTCGCGAAGCCGGTGCCACAGACCAAGCGCTAGACCAGCTTACCTCGACATTCACCCGTGTGTCTCCACGACATAAACCTTCTAGACGCCGCAACTCAGGTCGACAATGACCGGTGGGTCGTTCAAACTCAACTCTGTCCGATCAGGTGGTCATCCCCGGGTAATGTCCAGGGAGCGGCGACTCGGACAATTATTTGGTCGCGTCCTCCAAATCTGCAGCATAGAGCGCAGCTCCAACTGTGTTCGTAAATGAAAAAGCAATAGAGGCGAAGGGAATCATCTCCAAGGCAAAAGCTGAAATTCCAAGTCTGCGCGTCATTAGTCAGTAATAGCCAACTGAACAAGTTCAAGGGAAATATCCATACCCAGTATAAGCTCCGCGATTGCGCTTAACCCATTCATCGGACTGAGATCTATTCCACCCCTTCAGCTGGAAGTATCGTGCATGTAGTGATGGGCCGACCCTTTTCCCTTGAAGGGCAATGTACAAGACTGTTCCAACAACGGGAATAAGATTCAAGGGCAGAAGAATCAACGATCGCACTATGGCCTGGGGCTTCAGCTTCGAAAATGGCTTCGTGAAAACCTTGCCCAATCTGGCAATGGCATCTCCACTTGAACGAGACTTGACTTGACGTCCTTGAGCGACGAGAGGCTCCTGGCCGCGGGCGATGAGAGTTCCGTCAAAGGTATCCATGAGGGCATCTTCGACAAGGAATGACCGCGAGAGTAGATTCGTGATGGTAGAACTTTCGCTCAGAACCAGAAGGGCGGCGGAAATTGCGGCCAAGGGACCACTGGTGAAGGCCATGATCGTCATTTGGGGCAAGTAGGTGAAGACGAACATGAATGTCGTTATTCCCATCCCTGAGACTGATGGTTCTACCCGCGCGGGACATGAAAGGACCCCAGAGATCCCTGTGGGTGATGAAGTAGAAGACGCCCTATATTTCCATGCATGCGAATTAGCCGACTCTGCATTGATTGTGTATTGCTGGGGTACAGAATGGAATACCTTAAATGGGTAGAGATAGGCGCCGGCTTTCGCTACCTCCTCAGAGGCTTTCCGGGCATTGCCGGCCTCGGCGAGCACGGCATCCTTGAGTTTTTCTGACATGGGTGATTATGCGACTCAATAATCTTAGTGATTTTCGCGACAGGCGAATGGGTCAGATGGCGTGGGAACTGTGAACTGTGAACTGGAGGAGGAGAAAAGTTGGCCGTGCTTTTGGCAGATGATGTCATGCATGCACGCATGGACCGTGCGCAGCTCGATTTGCGGCCTGAGTCGATTTTTTGGATCCGGCGAACATTATTGACACTGTAGACTTGGTGGATTGTCGGATTATTTGATGAAGTTGTTTCTCCGATACATAGAAAGGGCGAGGAAGAGTGTAAGAGGAGCGTGGGCCAAACATGAATGAACGTTGTTGATATCCTTCCTGATTGGGTTTAGAGCGGTGGGCAAATCCGGAAATGGAGTGTCCGTAACAAAATGCATACACTTTAACCTTATATTAAGCACAAGTTCCAGGGTTCGACGAGATAAGGTTGGTCATGAATATGGAACATGATTACGATACAGGGAAAAATGAAAGCGAAGAGACTAGTAGTATTCAGATTGAACCAGCCAGACATTGATATACAAGAATGTGAAAAACATGAAGAAGATTTGGCTACTCTCATAGTGCTTATAGAGATCCCACCATCAGGCGTGCCCAGCAATCCAGTGAGGTGTCTCCTTTCGTGTGATGGATCGTCTGGTCACTTGCGAACCGCGCGGGGAGTGCAACCCAAGGGGAACGCGGAACCTCGGATCATCCCAACGGATTAATCATAGAGTAGAAGATGAATTCCGATCTCTCTGAAGCCCTCGTCGATGCCCACAACCACAGTCAGATGTCCTTTCGGCCAACCCCCATTGTCCGTTGCTTACATGCAGACCGAGGCTTGAGAAGACCTGCACTCAATGTGTCGCGAAGTTGGTCCTCCGGGAGATCGTCGTCCTGTGGCCCTCCCTAAGACGCGAGTCTGCGGAGTGGTGAAAAAAACGTGGATGACAAGAAAGGGTGAAGGAGAAGGGGGGGAGGGGAAGGGTAAAAGAAGGGGGGAGCGAGGAAAAGGAAAAAAGCTCTCCAAGGCCACCGGTAATGTTCTCTTCGCTGCCCGTGAGTTCAAGACATGGAAGGTCATCGATCTCACTTTCAAGAAAGAGGTTTGATCTTGTCCCTGTTCATTCGTCATCCCTCCGACTTCCCGGGTCAAGATGTCGGGGCTGTGGGGTTGTAACGAATGATAGGACTGTCATGAACTCGATGATCAAAATAAAACCATCGACTCCAAGTCCAGCTGGAGTTGTCAATATTCAAAATGAAACCGGTTAGCAGGTTGTTTCTTTCAAAACTGAGACGGGTGAGGGGACGGATGGAATGATTCAAGCAAAAAGACAGAGGACAGGGGTACTTACTAGTCCTCCCAGTTCTACCACTATACCATGCTCCACCACGCTGGTCGTCCCCAAGTCGAAGCTGAATGGAAAGGACGAGTCAGTTGATGGAAAGGGAAGGTTGGATGATGGAGGATGCTTACTGCCACCCAAATCCTTCAAGCCAGCGTCTACCAGTTGGGGACGACTTGAATCCACCACGCTGGCCGACCCCCCCAAGAGCGAATAAGAAGGATGAGATAGAATAAAAGAAAGAGAAGGGGCAAGGGGAGTGTATCGTGGTATTCACGACATAAGAAGGGGGAGGGGACCAGCGGTCCAGAAGGTCGAAGTGAGAGAAGTGAAGAGTGAAGAGGGGAAGTTGGAAGGGGGAGAAGTGAGAGCAAGCAGGTGCCATTTATACATGGTCAGAAATGTAGATGCCTGAGTGAATGGGCTTTCAAATAAACGAGAGAGAACCAGGGACGAAAAATGGCAGCTGCTGTTTGAAAAGCTCCGGATGATCCCACCGTACCTTGAGGTACCCTTTGGGAAATGACTCCACCTGAATGCCTTCGAGTTCTTGTTGTTGGTTGTCTTATCCAGTAAGGATGGTGTTCTTCCTCTTTGTCCGTTCAAACACTTATTTTATCCGGATTCTAAATGATGAGGCCGAGAGAAAGAATCAAACTCGCCTACCGTGTACCCCAAACCTGCCTTGAATTTCGTACTGTCTTTGAACATCGGACTCCAGACACAATGCCTCCCCGAGAAGCCAAAGGAGAGAGATAATGCATCGCGATCAATATTCTTGGATTAAGAACCGATATAACCTGGCTCTATACTCAAGAACCCAACAACGAGAATTGCTTTCTGTCTCCAGTGACCAGAATCGATGACTGGTCGCCCAGAAATCCTCCTGCACCGTCCATAAAACACGACCATTTCCGTTCAAAATACAAAAAAAACTCTCTTTCCTGCATGCGATATTCAGATCCGAAGATTGCTTTCCCCCAGAATGCCCTCAATTTCACCCACTGAAGGAAAATTGCCTCCGTTGCTTAGACGAACATTGACCAAAGGCTTCACTTTCTCGAGCCACGGACTTGGAGATTTCCCTCTCTCCCTCTCTGAATTTCAAACCCCACAGAAATAGCGGGAAACCCGAGGCATATAAAGCTTGTCGGCTTTTCGGACAATTGAGAAGGGCTTGAAAACGTCCGGGAGGCGCTCAATCCAGCATAAAGGCTCCATAGAGTCTTCGGCTGTTTAATGAGAGCCCCTTTGCTCACCGTTGTTTGCGCTGCTTAGCGATTACTCCTGCAATACATGGTCTGGCGGATTTCTTCTTTCTTGCCTTGGATTTTGGGAGTTACCAGAGTCAGAAGTGTTGCCGGGATTAAGTTCGGAGGGCTGGAAATTCTCGGGAAGTGGCATCTATCATTCCCCTCGTCGATTTCGTTCAATTGCTCGACATTCTGACTGTATCTAGTCAATGAATTGACCGCCGTATCTTCCTGCGATACAAGGCAAACGCTTCTGTGGGCCCTGGTCGTTAACCCGCTGCGATAGATTAGGATACCGGAGAAATCTAGGAAACGAGACTCAACGGCCACGACCAGCGGCGTCGAAACTACCTCGGAACAAAGAACGCTTTCGGTGGATGCTGTGTTTCGAGAGCCCTGGATAAAAGCTACAGCGTTTCTGGATATTTTCAACGCAAGTGACACACACCCGAAGGCTGAGCAGTTACGAGGTAGAGATCTTCACGTATTAAATGAGCGAGCTAATGTCAGATAAAATTATTCTTTTATAAGGGCATTTTGAGAGGCATTGCTGTACTAGTAATCGCTGTAGTAGTGTGGCGGCGTGGATGTGGTTTTTAGACTCGGAAATTATATTGAATGATATTTTAACTTGGACTCAAAACAAAAGTTCATATCTGCGTGGCTCCACGAATCTCATGCAGCCTTTGCAATTTAGTAGCCACCATATGACCATCGCTAAGATCTACAAGGCCCCAAGGAGCCCGCCGGGCTATCTTCAGCAGAACCCAAAGCGCAAAAAATGCCAGAACCTGTAGTTACAATAAAGGTTAGTCGATCAAGTACGATGTATGAATTCTAAAAAGCTGAACCTGGGGAAGACTCAGGATAGAGAAGAACTTAGAACTTACGGGTAAATATGAAGCCAAAAACGGGAGAAGATTCCAGCTTTTCCATAATGCGGCTCCACCGGCTACTATGAGAAGGAAAAAACAACCCGAGAAGGCGAAATAAGCCAACAGCGGTTGACCATGACTTCGATAGGGGTATTCGCTATAGTCATCTCGCTGAAATTGGGGGACTCCTCGTGCTTTGAAGATCTTTTGGTTTTCATGAACCGAGATACTATTTTCGTCAGTCACTATTCAGGTATCTAATGCGATGGTGGGTGAGTCGCGACCTACCATTTATGATAACGCAAGAAGGCAAGACAATTCATACCCCAAACAATGAGGACTCCAATCGAGGCCATTTGGCTCAGGATCTCGATAAACTGAAATTTTTTGTAAGTTTCAATTTTTTTTTTTAAAAAATGTGTTTATTGTCAAGATTTTTTAAGGCGGGCAGAAATCTAGACATACCTCATTTATGGAGCTGCGTGTGTCCGGTTTCCCAATTAACTGTAAAAAAGGAACCCAAGAGAAGGAAACGGCCGAAAAAATAACAGCACGAATAGGAACCTGGTGTCGATTTGTTTTTCCAAACCAGGCAAGTATGCGTAAATACCAGCGCTGTCCCTTGCCTCCCTCTAGTCCACTTGTCAGACCAAATAGAGTCCGCGAAGCGACATAAAGATTCGTGCTGGTGCATGTGAGACAAGTAAAAATTAAGAACACGTTGAATAAATCTGCCAGATGAGGAATGCCGGATTCCAAGGCAATGGCGACGAATGCAGCCTTGCTACCAGGTGCAGTGCAGTTGCTTTTGATATCTTCGGAGAGCCAACTCACCCGTGGAAGCGCACAGTCTCCCCGGTATATGTCAAGAGTGACCAAAAATGCTGCTACCACGTAAACCACTGTCGCAAGGACGGAGATGAATATCGCGGAGAATTTGATTTGGTTCCCGATCAATGTGTCATTCGGACGGGGAGTGATATCCAGTGATGATGATACCTTCGACTTATGATCCTGGCGTGGCCATTTTGCTTCCAGTGCGGACGCAGCGACTATTTCGATTCCAACGAATGAGAAAGTTGCAATAGACATGCCAATTCTAAAGATTGAATAGTCAGATAGATAGACTTCCAAGGTTGAAGGATTGAGAATGGTGCAAATTGCTTACAAAAGCGCAGCGAACCAGTTTCCGGCAGCGTCTGAGTCGAATTCAGTCGCTGATTTCCAATCTAAATTTCTATTGTTGAGCAAAATCTAAGGATTATAGTATGAGGGGAGTCTGAAACTCACATTTAAAACCAATTGGAGTGTCACTATGAAGACCCACTTTTTGAATCGTATGTTAAACGCGCTGCACTTAAGGTATTTGAAGGCTTGATGCTGCAGTGGCCGGAGTCACAACTCACCACCTCTGTTAATTGCAATCAGAACACATATAATTACAGCAAGTAATAATAGCTTGATGGTGCCGGTAATAACTTCTATGATACCATAAATCTTAATCTCAATCAGTATCAGCTTGGGTAGAGAGGCTATCAGGAAAAAAATAATCAACGTACCTCGATTTCGAGAGAATTTGCACAAACTATGGCAACAGGGATGAGAAGGTAAAGAATGCCGGCATGTATGCCGGTGCTTTCTTGAATAGAGGGCCAGAAGTTGAACTCGGCAGCGGATGTTGCAATGAGGGTGGAAAAGGATATGGAGTAAGTGAACCTGCAGAATCATTATTAATAACTCTCACTGGCTAGACAAAATCGGTGGTCAATACCAATAAGCCACACCCGTGGCAATGCCTAGCTCCACATCTACAAACTCGCTGACATACGCTGACAGTGCACCGGGGATGGGCCAGATACATAACATCTCTGACACACATTGCATGACAGACCAAGATAGAAATCCCACTAAGAGAAAGGATAGAACAACGGCCAAAGGGCCCCCAAGCTCAAGTACCTGGCCTCCTCGCCAATATAGACCGGTTCCAATCGTAGCATTTATCGTGATCATCTAGTTGAGTCGTATTAGCTTGACTGGAGGCATGGTATAGGTAAGCTTGGAAATTGACCCCTATCCACTTCGGTCTCCGAAATTGCCCAGAATTCCATGAATGAATACATTTCGCGTATGAAAGGAGAATACATACAAATATATGAATTCCTTCAAGGCTTCGCCTAACCGTTCTATCGAGACTTGGCTTAATGACGATGACCTTAGAGGGCGTCTTCACGAGACCAGTGGTTCCTTCCGATAGTGAAGATATCGTTTGACTTGAGACACTTCGAAGGTCAGGGCTATGTCTGGCGGTAAGGGCCGGCCGTGGTACAAGTAGTCCTGTCTGAGTGGAGATATCCTGTCTCTCTATATGAACGGCGCTAGACTGGGAGATTTCTAGAGTAGATTGAGCATAACCATGTTCATCATCATCGTTGCAGCGCTGTAGATCCGTGGAGGATGCCGAGACCCCATTCGAAAGACTACTCAAGGAGTACCAGCCCGGGACCCAATTTGGGACCCAACTTGGATCTAGGTCTCGCCTTGAACCCTCCTGAAAGAGCGGCATTATTCGGTTGACTGCGGAAAGGAAGCGAAGAGATTCTTTCGCTGCTCCAAAAAGGTGATTTTAAGCATAGGGGAACCGACTTCATCATTTGAATATTAAATCGCAAGATAAGAAACCCGGGTGTTTGGTGTGTGGCTCGTTAGAGGCTCGGGCGCGTGGTTCCCCGGGCCATCACCTCGTAATTGGAATACGGATTCAGAGATGCGGGCGCATGCAAAGCCCCCCTGAAGGTCACAATCTCGCGTGACGTGGCAGCCAACCGGGGTTTTGCACCCGACTCAGCCGCGATACGGGGCGGGGAAATTCGCTGGTCCCTTTATCTGACAAGTTAGACACTGCGGCTGGAGAGTTCCTGTGAACTTGAATACATGCTCAGCTTGATCGTTGCGCGATGGCCGACACAGAAGGTCAAACCCCCCCAAAATACGACAAAGCACTATCTATCCAAAGACAACCTCCAAGATCTACTTGAAACCCTCTTTCCTGGGCAAACAGAGTTTAATATTAGAGTTAGAGTCACTCGAATTCCCCAGGTACTGAATGCAAGGCTTAAACTTGGCACAGATGAGAGAAGACCAGTGGTACTTCACTGCACCGAGAATCGTGCACAGCGTGAGTGAATACATGCTTTTCCAGCCACCGTGACACAATATTAACTAACAGAAATTCGCCTTGAAGTTCGAGATCGAGTAAGAACGATGCAAGTGGGGGAGAGGGGAGCAATCCCTTGCCACAGTAGGATGCTGACAATCGAGATTTAGAGCAGCCCGAGACTAGTAGCCAATCGATCGAAGGCGCTTTGACCTACTGGGTGTGCAAAGCACGAGGCGGTTGGGGGCTGAGTTGGGCGGCACGAGGCGCAGGGGCAATCCCATTTTTCTGATCGAACTTGCGATGTGCCTTGCGATGGTTGAATTTCTCGAATATAACAGATTGGCAATGCGAAATCCATGATTTTTCTCTCCAGCACCTGAAGATGTCTTCTTTAGATTGTTGTTTTTCTCCGAAAGATCAATTGATCGAGCCTGTTGAGATCTTGGAACTTGACTTGAATGAAACAGCCTCTTCCTCCGAGCAGTTCTGTAAGCAATCGAAGATTTTGAACGGTGAAGAACTCTCAAGACAGAGTCCCCAAAGCCCCGGAACTTGTCGCGTCATGTCCGTGACCACCAAAGTATCTTAAATCAACCACACCAGTGGCTGACATATCCAGATCAATATGCCAAAGGAACTCGTGGCGCCCCTTGCAGGTTACCAGGTCCATGCTAGAAACTATTGTTGAAGTACATGGAATTGACCCTTCATTTTGGGAGCTCCCGTCGTGCTTTTATCAACGTGACGATGACTTCGAAGATGTATTTTGTGTTCCTTACACCATGCTCCGCAAAGGATCAATCATAGGTAGCGTGCTTGTATCCTTCAAATGTATGAAGCGAAAATGCTAATCATTTACTTGGTCCCCAAAATAGAAATTTCTTACACCCTCAGATACCCAGAGTACAAAGCCAGTGGGGAGTGGACCACCAGACAGACCGGCATTTACCACCAGCTGGACGTTTCAAATTCTCGGAATTTATTCATCATATTCAACCCAACGCCTCGATCAAAAGTACACTGTGAAGTGGAGAGGGTACTGCGAGATCAGTCCATGTTGATAAAAAGCGAACCGTTCTGGTTACATCAAACACTTTTCTCGCTCTACTCCCCTTCTTGGAGGGACTATATCAGATCATTGGAGCGACGCTTTTTACCCATCGCCAACACAGCATTTGCAACATTCATCGACGAGCCGTTACGACTAAATTACGACAATCTTAGCGCGTTGAGTAACTTAGAGATTCGCTTCCTCCAGATTTCAACGATCGTTGAATCCACAACAGAAACTATCGATGGACTCTGTCAACTCTTCGATGAACTGTCACGTCCCAATTCTGAAGCTCAAAACTTGCGGAATATTTGTCGCAAATGTCTGGTTTCCTCTCGAACAGCAACAAATCTTAAGAATAGAGTACAAATAATGGCTCGACTACTTTCCGATACGCTGTTACTCCGCGATCAAATGGTTGCCAATCAGCAGAACACGAATATGTTTCAGCTGAACAAGTCAGCCGTATTCATCACCACTTTGACGTTGCTTTATCTACCCGCATCATTCATGGCCGTAAGTGCGTCAAATCTTGAATATTAACATCTAATATGCGGCGCTGACCATCTCTGATAAATTTTCCAATGCAGACTTTCTTTGGAATGAACTTCTTTGATCTAGACCAGGAGAAAAATCGTATTGTTGGCTCTCCAACGATATGGATTTTTATTGTCGCTTCTACTGTGCTAACTGCGATTACATTCTTATTCTACTATTGGTTATTACACCGTGACGGGACTGTGTTCCGCAAGCTTATGCCAAAAGTGCCAGATTTGAAAATACAGACATTGAGAAGACAGTGGACAAATCTTACGCAGGGAGATGTGGAACTTCAGAGGCTGTCATGCTAGAGGAGCGTGAATGGTTTCTTTTATGAAGTCCAGGATATGAATCAATCGCCTCACGCGAACAGGGATCCGGCCTTTCATTTTCAACTTTGAAATGATTATTTTCGCATGGCTTTAAAGAATAGAAATACATGGTAGACCATGGCACGGTCAGTCCATTGGTACCTTGTAGATAGCACGCTGATTGGCACTCATTAGTGCCGCCAGGAGAAGGTATTTACTCCTTTGAATGCGGCCCAATGTCGCGACAAACTGATCACCGTAGGCTAGACCCGGAAGTCTAGCCAACTCTTGTATGGAAACATCACCAATCTGTGGCCGGTTTAAATTTACCTCCAACAGAATTAAGGTATGACCCGACAAATGTCTCCCAATCGCGAACATTTTATTTTGATCCCACCCAGTCATCAACTTCAATATCCGGTAATTCTTGATTTGAGCCTGAATAGCGAGCGAGCTATCCATTTCGTCTAGGCTTTGTATATACAGCCGATTCTGCTTAGTTATTATGGCACATGTATCGAACAGTTCATAGATGGGGGCGAAGGTAGTGAAAATGCCGACGTAGCCTCCACTATGATCAAGGCCCTTAAAATCTCAATTGTTAGGATTCGTAGGCAGCTTTCTATGTATCCAAAAGGAAAAGGAAAAAAAAAAAGGAAAAACTCACCGCTGATTCAATTCTGACAGTTTCTAGTCGTTTAGATGCGTGGCATACATGAGCGAGGATTGCCTTATCTTCATGGCTGCGAATGCTGACTTTTGGACGGACAACGAAGTAAATATCATTTGCGGTTGGAAAGGATAAGTCGGAAATCTCAGTCGCCGGCCAATCGAGCTCCTCGACCCATGTACATTCGTTTGCAGACGCAACGGGTGCAACATATAGCGATGCGGGCTTTTGGGCCCCTTCCTTTCCTGGCAGAATACACGCCATATTTTTGCTATCAGATGAAATTGCAATATCGGATATCTCCGGCTGCTGTGATTCAAAGCCCCGGCGGTAATCAAAGCTGGCATCTACCGACTGCCCCTTTTTCAAAGAAAATACGTCACACTTCGACCGTATCAAGTTAGAAAGATGATCCATGAAATACGAAAAATAAAGTGGAGAGTCACATACTCTGAAGGTACCCCCAGATGTGGTAGCCAGCAAATAGCGATTTGTCAGTCTGACACTGTTTAGAATGCAATTAGGTCGCATTAAGGACTCCAAGGACCATTCCGCCTGGGGTATTGCATCAGATGTACTGCTTGACAGCGAAAGTGATGTGAAGAGTGTCAGTTTCCTATCACTCCAGAACACCACAAGAGAACCGTCATTCGATATCTCGCAATTTTTGAAAGGCTCATTTGTTCTCAGTGACCACTTTACAATGCGTCTGTCGTTGTCCGAAGGTAATTTTCGCCCTCTCAATCGGCTTAATGCTTTTTCCATCAGGGTCAGACTCTTTTCAGTTGGTTTTGATAAAACATCCGTAGAAAAACTAGAATAGCTCTGGAATGTCCGGAGAAGCATGTCTCCAACCTCCACAGCACTGCACCGTTTCATCTGATCCTGGAAGACCGAATTTTCAAGAAAGCTCAACAAAGATTCTAGGGCCGCACATTCTTTAGCATCACGCTTGGCTGCGCGAACCAACTTTCCATGCCATTTCTTGACGATAGGATGGGGTTTAAAAGGCCCAAATCCCTTGTCGCGAAGAAAGAAACGATCGATTCCATCCGCCTTGGGATGGTCTGATCGTTCCTTTCGGTATTGGACCACCCCATCTGCACCATCCTCCAGATAGACAAATAGCACACTGACAACACATCCAAGAGACCAAACATCACTGCTTGCTTTCATGCTTCGAATCGCAGCAAGCGATTCGGGGGCGAGATATGTTCCTTCTCCATGTGGATTGAAAGTTGGACTAGGCGTAGGCTCTGGAGGCTTCTGCCGCTGAACAAACCAACTGTTGAAATCCCTTTCCTTATCCCTGGATCCACCGCTATTTCTCACTTTAACGCGAGCCATACCAAAATCACTGATCTTCCAAATTTGTTCACCGCCGTTATTTTGGAATATCAGAATGTTACTTGGCTTCAGGTCCATATGATAGCAGACCAGGTCTTCCCCTTGAGGTGTTTTCATCTCATGGTGCAGGAAGTGCAGCCCTCGAGCTAGCCCACGGGCGGAGAGAATTATCGCGGCCTTCTCGCGTGTGGTGCTGGGCTTGGCCCGGTGGTATTCCATCATATATGTACTCAGATCACATATAGCGAGAGGCATGAAGATGCTGTACATTGTTGAGCCGATTGCGAGGCTGCCGAAGTTTTCGACAATGTTCTCGCATGATCGATCGGATGCAAGAATCTTCTCCAGCACCTCGTGATCTTTATTGCCTGCAGGAAATTGGCTGCTGATAACATAGTCCTTTCGTGCAATCTCCAAAGGGAGTGTGTTTGATGTTGTCCCAATGCGATGTCTCTGAAAGTGTCCCTTTGCAATTTTGACCTTGTAGACCTTCCCAAAGGACCCCTGCGATAGTAATTTTTCCTCTAAGTAGGGGAGACGTCGCCTTTTTGGACTTTCCACAGCCTGTTCTCTGCCCTGATGAATAATAATTGGACAAAAGCAGGCTTGCTGTGCGACAAATTTATCAGGCGTGACCTCCTCTCCGAATAAAGAACACAAAGTGTCGCGTTCAGCGGGAAGAGAGTATAGATCGCTGTCAAATGTCTCTTTAAATAAAAGTTCGGTTGTAAATGTTCGAGCAGCCTCGATATTGCAAGTGGTAAAAATCAAAATAGCGAGGAAGTTGTAGAGGTCCCTCTCCTTCAACCTTTTGATGAGATCGCCTTCGGTCATGCAGTGTTCTGATGCATCCGACCAGTCTAGACTTCTGAAGAAGCGATGCAAAACATCAGACTGCAGAACCTCTTCCGCCGTTCCATTTGGAGCAAATCTGTTTTCCTCCTCCTTGGATCGTTCAAACTTCCCGAGAAATTCCAGATACAACTCATCGCATATCTCATCAAATGGTCTTCTTCGATAGGATATCGCCATTGTTATGGTCACGGTCGCATCAAGGTCAGCTAGGGGGAAACGATATCAAGGGTTCCCAGCCACTGGTATTAAGGATGGGGCCCCGCTTCCTGCTACTGCATAGCATGACTAAAGTTTCCAATGACCTTTTGTTCGCTTCAGCTGTGCTCCGTTCTCCGTTGCGCCCCGGCGCGACTTCGCCTCTTTTTTGACCCGGGCCATGTTGGGGGCCGAGCACCAGTTGGCGCTGAGGACCTCGCTTGCTTTTTCCTTTTTGTGAGCATGGATAATATCACGATTCAAATAATAAAATCAAAGGTCATGAAATGTGTAAATGAATCATTCCAAAAAGGCACTTTAGTCAAAATAATCGCTGGTAAGTTGTGGGAACACGGGGCTAATTAAGGCCAGGACAGTTTGGATTCCATAAATAAGATTAGGTTTTATGCTCTCTCTCCTTTGCAACGGCAATTGCCGAAAATCCTAAGCTTATCGCAAAACAACAACAACAAAGATAACAGCGGTCGGCTATCCGTTCAGATATATGAACAGCTTTGCTGCGGTCTTGCTTGGCCCAAGCCGGTGGGGCGTCGCGTCGCGCTATCCGGCACGTCTCGTGGTCTCGTGGCCTCGTAATAAGCAGCAACTAGTAGGTATCAGAGAGAAGACCTGTCCGAGAAGTCATACCGGAGCATGTTTGCAAAGCTGACGCTCCTGTATAAGATATCAGAGAAAGGACTGAAGATGTCGGAAAGGGCAAACTGGCAGAACATGCTGGCATCTAAGAGAACCCTTTTTAAGTACTCTCGATAATTGTGTTCTTTGTTAGCAGAGGCCAATCTGCGAAGGCTATGCCCAGGTGGATTCTAACAATTTTGCTATTACCCGGAGATCTTAATTTCTCGATAGTCCGTCATTAAACATAAGACCCAATTACTAGTTAGCTCTTAAATGTTCTCAAATAACCCTTGGAAAGAAATTTGCAAATGGGCCTCAAGCCTCATAATTCAGGCCACAAATATCTGCATTGTCAGAGAATAGTTAACTATCTCGTAGCGTTCTCCTGAAATATCTCCAAAAAATATCTATTTGGGAAAAAAAAATGTGATTGAGTTCAAAGAGAATTTTTTCATGAGAATTTATTCTTGCCTACGTTTATGAAAACTCCATAAAAACACATTTCTTTCAGAAGATTAAGAAATAGTGGGGGGGGAGTACATTGCTCGCAATACTCATGCAAGGATCGAGTTCCCTTCCGACATTTCGAATCTCTCATATGCACTGAAATCGATATTTCTTGAATTAGTTGCTCTGAATGAGATCATGATGCTTGCCGAGGCTGCGCGACGGGGGCCTGTGCAAGGTTTAATGATTAGCTATTGGTCTTCTCTACGATGATCCCATCCCTCCAACCCTGCAATATTGCGGCAAAAAATCAAAGCCACGCTATGCGGGGTCAATTTCTTGTTGCTGTGTTGGTAACCAATGGACTGGCTACAATTTGAATCTCATTGCAATTTCGCTTTGATGGCACGGGCGGGGGAAATCTTGGAATCCAGTTTGACCCAGGTCGAGTCGGCAGCTTGCACCAATGAAGTTATTACAAATATTCAAGTTGTTGGGTAGGAGTTGTTGGGTAGGAATTATAGCGGCTTTGGTCTGGGGGGGGATTATCGAGATTAGATCGGATATCTTGGAGTTGTGGTAGGTGAAGCCATCGCGACATGGATGCGGGCATTACCATGTGATCAAAACTACACTTGCTCGGAGAAGCCTATCTTTCTCGGGACCTGAGCCGATCAAGAGGCTTACAGCCCTGCATGGAACTAGAAAATTGTCTACCGGATATTTCCATCCCTGAAAGATCGATGAGTTCAAATGGGGTCGGGTCACTCGCAAGGGGCCTGAGCGGAGTTTTACTCGGCTCGATAGAGATATAACGTTGACCTCCCCCCCCCGTGGGTGTTTCCCATTAAATTTCAAGGCACTCAAGAATCAGATGAACACAATAAACACATCGCTCCCAATGCAAATCGAATTACGACTCTGCCATCCCGCCAATTTTTTTTTTCATGGCTCCGTACTAAACTCATGATGAGCGACAAAGCAGAAGATAATAAGGTCCCTGTCGACGAGAATCTTCAACATGGAGAAACAATCAATGTCGGTCTCCATCGTAACCTAAAAAACCGTCATATACAGCTCATTGCTATCGGGGGCTCCATCGGAACAGCCCTCTTCGTCAGCATTGGAAATGGTCTAGGAGCTGGAGGACCAGCTAGTCTACTCATTGCCTATACGCTTTACTGCATGGTATTAGCAACAGTCAACAACTGTCTTGCAGAAATGACTGTACTACATCCCCTAAGCGGTGGCTTCATTCGCCTCGCTGGTAAATGGGTAGATGATGCGGTTGGGTTCATGGTTGGGTGGAATTTCTTGTTCGTTGATCCATTCATCTCACCCCGTCTCATCACATACACTTCTATCCCATCAAAGTTCCATGAGAATCAACACTTAAACTAACCGTCGCTTGTAGTATATATGAGGCTCTTATGATTCCCTTTGAGATTACAGCTATCAATCTCATCTTGAGTTACTGGAGAGATGACATCCCAGTTGCAGCTGTCTGTGCTGCCTGTATCGTACTTTATGCGTATGGATTCCTTGGTGATAACTCCGAGTTGGCTTTGAAGCCCCCTCCTGGACCAAAACCTACTTCCTCAACCTTCATGACAGAACTAAGAATCGTATAGTCTTCTGAATATCCTTGCTGTTACCGCCTATGGAGAAGCCGAATTTTGGCTCTCATCTGGCAAGGTCATTCTAATATTCATGCTTTTTTGCTTCACCTTCATCACAATGGTGGGTGGCAACCCGCAACACGATACGTACGGCTTCAGGAACTGGCAGAATCCTAGTGCTTTTGCTGAGTATCGCACGGCCGGAAATCTCGGTCGCTTCCAAGGGTTTCTAGCAGCTATATGGTCTGCTGCATTTTGTATTGTTGGCCCTGAGTATATCTCAATGACGGCAGGTGAAGCGGCTTATCCAAGAACTTTCATCAAGACGGCCTACAAAACGATATACTATCGTTTCGGTCTCTTCTTCATTCTCGGCAGTCTATGTGTAGGCATAGTTGTTTCTTTCAACGACCCTACTATTCAAGCCATCCTGGCCGGTGAAAGCTCCAAAAAGGGTGGTGGAAGTTCCCCCTACGTCATCGCGATGAAAAATCTCGAGATCGCAGTGCTTCCGGATATCGTCAATGCTTTGCTGATAACATCCGTTTTTTCCGCCGGAAATACCGTGACATATTGCGCAACTAGATCCTTATATGGACTTGCGCTTGAAGGCCGTGCTCCTAAAATTCTTTCGAAAACGACATCAAAGGGTGTACCAGTTTACGCCTTTATGGTCGTTCTCGCATTTCCCTTTCTTTCCTTTCTCCAGCTCTCTAACAATTCATCCAAGGTTCTTAACTGGCTTGTCAGTTTAGTAACAGCAGGGGCGTTGATTGACTACCTTGTTATCTGCATAACATTTATTCAGTTCTACCGCGCATGCAAAGCCCAAGGTATTGACAGGCGGAGCTTTCCATATTTTGGATATTTCCAGCCATATTGTGCCTACATCGGTGTGGCAGCAATGACTTTAATCCTCCTGTTCTATGGATACACGGCATTTGATCCTTGGAGTGTTGAAAAATTCTTTCAAAACTACACAATGCAGCTTGTCGCCCCTATACTTTACCTAGGCTGGAAGTTACTACATAAGACCAAGCTGGTTAGTCCAAGCGACCTTGACCTGGTCTGGGAGAGACCACTTATTGATGCTTATGAGGCGTCATTGCCTAATAACCCTCCTACGTTTTGGCAAGAAATGCATGAGATGATCGGAATCAAAAGGAAAGAAACTAAGAATCCGGACGCTTAGAGGCTAGATACCGACTCCTTGGTTCGACTCAATCTTCCATTTGACTTTGTGTCTCTCATTTGAACATGTAAATAGTGTTTCATGTAAATGTGTCTGTTGAGCAAAGAGTATGTATTATTTCAAATATTAGGCGGGAGATACTTTTTAATATCAATGACTGCCCAGGTGGTGCTAGCACGGGAAAGTCTGATTCAAACCTCGAAAGAATGTCCTCTGATTCACTATCTTCGTTCGAAAGATTTCCTTCTAAAATGTGATGAATGAATTATGCTATATTAGATACATTTTTTGCGTAGATGACCGATATACAGACTCAAAACCCCATATTACGTAATTCCCATTATTTCCTTCGACACGATGAGAGGCGACTGGTTACAGTTGCTCACATGCCCTCACATTCGCAAACGACATAAGCGGCGCAGAGATCGACAACGCCTCCACCGATGGATGCCCAAGTCTTCTCGGCGTCAAGTGTGACATGAATGCGAGGTTCTTGGGTAATAGTGCAAACGGTGGTCTGCTGGAAAGCAACGAGCTGGGCACTCGATGCGAAGACGAGGCCATGCTTAGCCACAGCAGTGTGGCCCCAAAGCTCTTGCACGGGGCGCTTGACGCCATCAACTGGGACAGCGACATTGGCATTTGCGCCCGACTGATCGTTGGCGAGTTGAATTGTGGCAGTGGTTCTCCACGCGCCCTCGGCGGGGGCGGCGAGGGAAATGGAGGAGAAGAGGGCACAGGCGAGTGCGGCGGCGTTGGTGAACTGCATTTTGAGATTGGTTGTTGGTGATAACCGATTGATGGATTGCTTCAAAGTCTTGAAGAGACTTGAATTTGAAACTTCGAGAGAGAAGATATGATATGACGTTATGAGAGATATTTGTGATAACAATATGAAAAACAAGATGAGATTCAGGTGGTAGTTATAAAGATTTCGATACAATCTGTTCGCATGTTGAAATGAGACCCCGGAATAGGTTATTTGGTTGTTGCAAACAGTTGCTGCCGTCTTCGTCTTAGCTCCAGGGGTCAAATGCTTCCAAGGTTCAGGGGATGAACACAAAACACCGCATCCGGAAACCCATCTAAATTTTCGATAGAGTCCATCAAGCATACGAAAAGAATCAATCAAATATCAACCTTCTAAGCTTGATAACTTGTATCATCCTCATTTCATTTTTACGCAATCTAATGTGATAAGCTTACATGATATTAATCAACTGCGCCCGTGGATATACCAGTATTGTAAATTATGACACCTGTCTGATTATACTATTAAGCCTAAAAAAGTCCCGGAAGCCAAAATATCTCCGTGCATGGCAGATGAGGAGCCAGAGCACGGACACTTGCCGATCGATGCTGTCAAAAATGTATGGGTGTATGGGTTCGGAAATGGAATCTTCAATTTTAAGTCAAGGGTAAGGAGCGTGGCAAGTAGCCCACAGAATAAGCGGGCCCGCCACCGAGTTACGACCTCCATACATCTCACGAACATGCCTAAAGGTGGCTTCCGAGGAATGCTAGGAGCCCGGAATAGGAAGCGGCATGTTTGAGGGGGGGTATCTTGGCACTATGGCCTACATGCCGATCAGCCGAGGCTTGCATTCCTCGGGGTAAGTCCAGAACACGACATATTACTTTTTCTCAGGGCAATAAGCGGTGAAGCAAACTTGTTTATGCACAGAATAATACTCCGGGGATGTTAGCTTGTAGCTAATTTTACTTTGTTGTCAATGTGGCGTCTTACGAGATGAACCAGCTGAGAACTAGCTGAAAATAATAAGCCTGAGCCGATCGCATGCCAATGAAACCTGAAGCATTCATCTTCACCCTCTTAGAAGAATTCCATCATCTGAGGAATTGACGCATCATTTTCTATCCACAGTAGAATATAATCTGCAATTAAACCGGGGATTCGCTTTCTAATTCATGGGATAATTGTGATACTCGCCAAGATTTCCAGATATGCCCACATAGCCTTCAACTCGTTTGACACGCTAACGTGTTCCACAACCGAACGGGCCGGACAACCGAACGGGCCACCCCACCTAAAAAACGCGTCGCGTGTTGCAGCTCTCTTTTTCAAACCACCACCATGCCACCAATTCGTACTGCAAAAACTCAAAAACGAATTGAGCAAGAAGGCAGGATTGAACTTGCTATACAGGCGCTAAGAAATGAAAAAGTAGCTTCTCTGAATGAAGCTGCGCGCGTTTTTGAGGTACCTCGTGCAACATTGCAAGCGCGTTTCAAGGGAAGACATTATCGCCAAACCCTTCGCGCAAATTGCACAAAATTGGATGCAATTGAAGAGGATTCGTTAGAGAATTGGATATTGGATCTAGATGCACGTGGCAAGGCCCCTACCTTTGCTCTTGCAGGAGAAATGGCCAATTTACTACTCGCTCAACGTTCAACTACCCCCTCTCTTACAATCGGTATAAACTGGGTACAGAACTTTGTCAAACGTCGCGATAAGCTTAAAACACGTTTTTCACGTCGCTACGCTGCACAGCGTGCATTATGTGAGGATCCGAAGCTTATTCGTGAATGGTTTAATCAATATTGCAATACTATTGCTCAATATGGTATTCTTAACGAAGATATCTACAATTTCGATGAGACTGGATTTGCAATGGGGATTACTAGCACCTCAAAGGTTATTACCAGTCGAGAGTGGCAGGGGAAGCGCAAACTCCTACAACCGGGTAACCGAGAGTGGGTTACTGCAATTGAGTGTGTCCATCTGGATGGTGTTCTCCCTCCGACTATTATCTTTAAAGCGAAGGTATTGATGGCAGCGTGGTGTAGTACTGTCCCGAATGACTGGCGCTTTGAGATCAGTGCTAATGGATGGACAACTGATGAAATTGGCATTTCGTGGCTCGAAAATTCCTTCATTCCATACGTCAAAAAGCGTCAACATGGTGCCTGGTCTGCCTTGGTTATGGATGGCCATGGGAGTCATGTCACCCCTCAATTTGACACTATCTGCATGAAGAACAATATTGTGCCAATTTGTATGCCATCTCATTCATCGCATCTATTACAACCACTAGATGTAGGTTGTTTTAGTGTATTGAAGCACTTCTATGGTCAGGCAGTACAAGATCTTGCACGTGTGGGCTCTACACATATTGATAAGCCTGACTTTCTTAGTCTATACCCTAAAGCACGCGCAGCAACATACAAAACCTCTATAATTGCTAGCAGTTTTATGGCAGCGGGCATTATTCCATATTCGCCAGAGACAGTACTATCAAAACTTGATATTCATCCCCCATCGCCTACACCACCACCATCACATGGTAGTGATAGCAGTCGTGAATTCATACCTCATACACCATCCAAAGCTATCAATTTTCAACGGCAGGCATCCTCAATCAAGCGATTACTAGTCTATAGGGATATAACCCCTGATAATGACATATATCGACAATTGGAGCAGACTACCAGAGGTGCACAATTACTTGCACATGAGATGGTTATGTTAAAGACAACATATGAGCGTGTAATGGCCGAAAATGGACGTAAGCAAAGAAAAAAAGCTTTACCAAATAGGCAATTACCCTACGAAGGTGGAATTACAGCAGAGGACCTGCAATTGCGTGTACAAATTGAATATGAGCACCAATTGGCAATACCCCCGGCGCCACGCCGCGCAACCAGGACGACGATTGAGAGACCTATACAGCGCTGTGGCAATTGCAGGGAGCCAGGGCACAAGCGGAATAGGTGCCCAGTTGTGAATAACGCCTAGTTTTTGCAATATATTATATGGTGGTTGAGTTATATTCAATATATATCGTCGTAATGGGGTGGGGTGGCCCGTTCGGTTGTCCGGCCCGTTCGGTTGTGGAACACGTTAATGATCCACTACTGCGGCCGTACACTGCGGGCCAAGGGACGGAAGTTGGGATGATCTATCGATTCAGCTTCATACGCCCCATGCTTTTGTAGATGAATGACAGGAGTCTGATTCAATTACCCGTAAACTAGGGGAAAATGGTGAGTTTATTGCATCAAGCTGTTGGAACGCTTGTTCTGAGACAATCGGCCTCAGATTGTAAATTTCCCTGCCCCCCTCAACATAATACTAGACGAAGAGCGCTAAGCGACTTAGCGTGTGACAACTTGAATTGGTCTATTAACTAACTACCCAGGTAACTAACTAGTGCTGATGGATAGGGTCTCATCGGTCCGTCCCGCCCCACCTTGAATTGTTGTTTCCCCAGTGTCAGTGCAACCTTTTGGAACTACAGAGTACTAATTAAACTAAAAATATATCCGTGCATGCATGGAAAACTAGTAATGATCGAATCCCACAAGGAAACTGAACCAGAAACATGCGTAGTGCTTCATACTAGTATCCGGTGACACTAGAAAATCAAGCCATACCAAGCTAATGCTACTAGAATATGCTGTCATCTCTACATCTTGGCGGCGGAAACAGCGGGAAAAATGGCATCAAGTTATCAAGGGAAAGTTATGCCGACGGTAATGTGATATTGATCCTATTAGCGCTGTAAATTTTCGACTAAGAACCAACTAGATCTGATGAACCCGTGCAGAAACCCCACTTTAAGCGATTGTCCGTTTCACTCTATACCGAAAACTGAAGTTGGCTCATCCATCAAGAGAAATCTAGATACCATTAACTCAATCTGGAATCACACGTCAGAAATTGAAATGAAGATTTATCAAAATAGGCGTCCGAAGGACAGACTTAAAAGCATCGTTTTCGCATCTCGAATGCCAATAAGTATCAATCATCTAAAAGCTTCCAATTCTTATACAATACACAAAGCCTTCGGGCAATCATCAAGATGCAATTGAAACTTACTTTGGCTGCGGCCCTATTTGCTCTGAGTACTCAGGCTACCCAGACTTTCAGTAACACCGGAACCCTTACGGGGTGGGATTCTAAGAATCAAGAGCATTCGGGTACCGTCCTGGAAGTGACCAATGTCTATTATGAAGGTCCAACCGCCTTGAAGATGACCCAGGTCTACGACTCCAGCTACACCGGAAGATATCACTCCGAGGTTGTCAAGAACAATGTTTACAAGCGCGGCGACACTGGTTTCTACGGTTTTACCTTCCGTCTGCAGGAGAGCTGGCAGTTCTCTCCAGCCCAGTCTTATAACATCGCTCAATTTATCGCCGACTTCAGCGACACAGGCTGCGATGACTACATGCCTTCCAGTATGGTGTGGCTCGTCGGAGATCAGCTGTATACCAGAGTCAAGTACGGGACGATCTGTGCACAGAAGATCACCACTTTCCCCAGTCTTGCGACCGTGACAGCCGGCGTGTGGCACAAGATTGAGATCCAATCCAGCTGGAAGACCGATGGTACCGGCTATTATAAGCTGTGGTTTGATGGCACGAAGGTTCTGGAACAATACGATATCAACACCACTATCGAAGATGACCGTGCATTCCAGTTCCGTGTGGGACTATATGCCAACGGCTGGCATGATGATGGTGGCATGAAGGGTACACAAGGCACTCGACAAGTTTGGTACGATGAGATCGCAACAGGCACAACTTTTGCCGATGCCGACCCCGCCCAGTGGTGATATCTCCCCAAAAGCCCAGATGAATATCTGTGACGTTTCACCGCAACGGTTTATGGACACTCGTTTCGTGGTGGTGGAGGAGCAGGAAGAAGATGCTCATTTCAGCGATTGAGAGATTATTGGTGCCTATGGGTTCAGGTGTCATTCACATTCAGACAAGCCTCAGTTAGATCTATAGTCCAATATGTCTTTCCACTACCATCTGATACATTTGAAAATTTCCCGTCCCCTCTAAGAATCGCAGGAATACATACAAGCTCTCACGAACCAATTTACTAAATTTGAGAGTAGATCATAAGCGGTCTCATTACCTACTAGTACGCCGAAGAGAAATAGAAGTGAATGATCCCGAGATCCATGGATCTACCACTGGTTAAAATATTTGATTATCTGGTAGTTCTTCCGGCCAGTCTTCCTTTCGCAACGTACCTGGTCCATTAAGGTCTTTAAGTTGGAACGTGAATTCCGAGAACTTACATTTGGATTCTGGAATTACGTATCTGACAGATGAGCAACCACGAATTGACTGGCTCTGCTCCACTCAAGTTAGACTAGTTAAGTAAAACTCGGCGATCGGGAAATATTGCCCGAGTCGAGTGTGGGGAAAGGGGGGGTTTATTTCCCCTCACGGCTGAGAAGCGCCCCGCATCTATAGTAATACAAAGATCTCTGGAAGGCCAAACAGCGCGTTATGACATTTGCCGTTGCGACATAACTCCGAGCAGATCGTACAAATAAATTCAAATACCCCGCGCGACTCACCCGTCACCTGGACACAACTCTCCCCAAAAATTCGACCTTTTCCATTCAGCCCAAGATGACGTCTGCTACAACCATGCAGGCATTGAACTACCTCGGGCCTTACAAGGTTCGTGTTGAAGAGGTAGAAAAGCCAAAGTTGGAGCATCCCGATGATGTTATTGTCAAGGTCACCACTGTAAGCTATATCCATGGATCTTGACTTGGACCCTGCCCGTGAAAAGCGAAGAACTTCAAGTTGACCAAATATCTAGGCTGCGATCTGTGGGTCAGACTTGCAGTAGGTTAAATGAAGGGGGTTGAAGCGATGAGATTGCGACGCGCAAAACTTACCCATCTTTAGCATGTATGAAGGACGAACGGCCGCAGAGCCAGGAATCACTTTCGGTAAGATGTTCGAGCTGACAAACACTGTCAACGATGGCTAAGACAAGAAAAAGGACACGAGAATATGGGAATCGTTGAAGAGCTTGGAGAGGGAGTCACATTATTGAAAAAGGGCGACCGCGTTGTGATGCCTTTCAATGTTGCCGATGGACGCTGCCGCAACTGCGAGGAAGGAAAGACGGCTTTCTGCACTGGTGTCAATCCCGGATTCGCAGGTGGCGCATACGGTCAGAGATAATCATGGCACAAGTGATTTTGGTGGTGGTTTTCTGACAACTTGCAGGCTATGTTGCCATGGGTCCTTATCGCGGAGGCCAGGCGCAGTATATTCGTATCCCATATGCCGACTTCAATGCTCTGAAACTCCCTCCCGGCAAGGAGCACGAGTCTGATTTCATTCTTCTTGCAGGTATGTTCAGCAACTTGAATGACATCTGCGTTTATTGGTGACTTTTGTTAATTCTCGTGACAGATATTTTCCCCACCGGTACGATGTACATTTCCGCGCTACAGTTCCCTCATTACTTACAAGGTTCTCACAGGCTGGCATGGTGTCGAGATTTCTGGGTTCAAGTCGGGTGAAAGCGTCGCTGTCTTCGGCGCCGGCCCTGTTGGTTTGATGGCGGCGTACTCGGCTGCATTGCGAGGAGGAGCGAACATCTACGTGGTTGATCGTGTCGCCGAGCGTTTGGAAGCTGCGAAGAAGATTGGGTGCATTCCGATTGATTTCACAAAGGGTGATGCAGTTGATCAGATTATTGCGCATAACGGAGGTGAGGTTGACAGGTCCATCGACGCTGTCGGTTACCAAGCAGTTGGCTCCGATGGATCTTCCGAGAAGGCCAACATTGTCCTTGAGAATATGATCCGGGTGACTCGTGCTTGTGGTGGACTGGGAATTCCAGGTCTCTATGTCCCCAGGTACGTTCTTCGTTTTGCTATCTACTATTTGGTTGCTTCGTGTTTTTGACATTTACTCATAGTGACCCTGGTGCTGCCGACCCTGCCACTGCGAATGGAATGATCAGTCTGAGCTTTGGAAAGCTTTTCGAGAAGGTAAGTCCTTTGAAGATCTGGTAAAACTGCTAGTTCCATTAAAACCAAACTCTGACTTTCTTTTTCTAGGGCCTTTCGATCGGTACTGGACAATGCAACGTGAAATCATACAACAGATACCTGAGAGACCTTATAATCGCCGGGAAAGCGAAGCCCAGCTTCGTAGTATCACACGAGCTAGGATTAGCCGATGCGGAGATGGCATACGATAAGTTTGACAAAAGATCTGATGGGTTCACCAAGGTTTTACTGCACCCCAACGGAGGTTTCTGAGGCGCAGGAGAGGTGAATGAATGATCTACATGATCGACAGCAGATTTTCAGCAACATAGGTGTGTCTCCGTCCATCAAATGGAATGTTAGCCTCCCGCGTACCAAATAGATCTAGCAATGAAATACTGTTTCTACTATTTTTTCAGTATTTTGTCTTGTTACCAGATTAGCAGTCCTCCAACGTCGAATATTAGATAAAACTACGCGGTAATCATTTCAGTCAACTTGACTGGACCAGGACACTAGTCGTCAAAATACACCCAATAAAATAAAATAAAAATTGCATTGTCATGGTTCCAACCACAACATTTTGTGAATCGTCGGGAGGCTATGTATGGGTATAAACGACTACATCTTAGACTGGCATTGAGAGTGAGACTCCCCGCATTGCAGATAACCAAACATAATTAATTAATCACGCAATCCATCGCGGGGTAATTCAAACAGCGCAAGAAAGGAAAGTGGGATGTGAATAGCTGCTGGTCTCTTCTCCGATTTTCTTGACATCAGATCGCGGAGCTTGGAGCCACCCATCAATTCTACAAGGTAAAGTTCGCCGACGAAAGACCCACCATACCCCAAAGTGTTAAAAAACGCCGCACCCGCCTCCACTTTGACCATTCATAGCTCGTTAGTCAATAGCCGTGCCCCGCTATTCCCTACGGGAATTATTCCCATCTTGGGACAGATCGGCGTTGCCCCGATCTGCCCAGGTGGGCGAGCCTTAGATCCCAGCGCAATGAAAGTGATAAATAAATTTGGTCGCATCTTGGTTCAGCAATTGCAGAACTTTTGGAGATCTTGAGAAAACCACACTATACAATGGGAATCACACGCCATAGAACAACTTGGGGAGTGGACAAGGGAGGTCCTGGCCTCGAAAGTTGGAAGGCTTGGTTTCCGGAGCTCAAGAAGCATGGTTACAGTATGTAGGCATCCTCTTGGCAGACAAAAGGCCGGCGCTTTCAAAGAGCTCGAATCAACTGACTCTGCGTACTTCTTCAGATGGTGTTGAGATTGATATCCATCAGCTGGACCCCGTTGCCGAGTTCCCACGCCTGAGAGAACTTCTAGACCAAGTCGGGTTGGAGATAAGCGTTCTGTAGGTTCCCCTCGTCGCAAAGATTACCACAGGTCTAATCTGCCCGGGCAGAGCCCATAGTTCATGGGTTGGATACGTCGGTCCTAGACCCGTTGGTCTAGATGCCCAGCACCATCTCCAAAACTACCGCGATGTTCTCCAATCAACAGTGGTGCTACGACCAGTAGCCATCAACTTCCAATCTGGACAGTAAGGAATCAAAGCCCCCGTTTCAGTGCCCAATCTGAATGCTAATCAAGAATATAGAGACACATGGAGCGTCGAAGAGTCGGTCAAATTCTACAAGGGCACCCTGCAAGTCGATAAGGAGCTTGGTCTGACCGGTCATGTTTTCCACGAGACCCATCGCAATCGATCCCTCTCCACACCATACCACTCTCTCCAAATTCTCCGAGCTGTCCCCGAGTAAGGATCCAAGAAGATAACCTGAGGGATAAATTGCGAAACTGACAAATTGCAGGTTGAAAATCACTGCCGACCTCTCTCACTGGATGGTTTGCTGCGAGCGTATTCTGGACATTAGTGACGAGGACCGCGCACTGCTGGATGAGGTTCTCCCTCGCGTAAGTGAAACAAAGGAAGATCTTTGCATGTCCAAGTTATTGACAGCTGTTCAGGTGGGACACCTCCACGCGAGAATCGGAACAACACAAGCATCTCAATGCCCGAGCCTCTCAACCCCATCTTCGAACAAGAGAGATTGTGCATGGAAAGACTGTGGGCCAAGATCATCGAAAGCTACATTGACAGGAACGGCCCCGATGCGAACCTCATCTTCGTACCGGAATACGGGTGAGTGGCTCCTCCGCGTTGGCATATTTAACATTATCTTCGAAAATGGGAGTGCTAACCTTGGATATATTTATTAGTCCCTTCCCTTACCACCCATACGGGAGTGCCAAGACATATGGAACCGTGGCGGACGAAGAGGGGGCACGTCTTGAAGCTCTTTTCAAAGAGATCATTGCGAAGAAGACCGGTGCTTGAAAGTGATGAAGATAGTAACCCATCGAGGTTAGGAGCAAATACGTAGATTAGACAACACGATCGTGATGGTTTGATGAGTATCCAATGATTTAGATTTAAAAAGAAGAAACGATACTTCGAGTTATTGCGATCGCCTTAAAGCTTTGCTAGTAAGAAATGAACATCATCCTCGAATGTTGGCACCAGCTGGCAGAGAGGCTGGCTGGCAAGCTGCCAGGGACAGTGCGACAGTCCTGCAGTATTGCAATGTTGTGTCACCTCGTCCGTGCTCACGAGCCAGTGAGAGACGAGGATATTAGAAATATCAAATGTCGATCAAGGGGAAGTTGCTTCCCCGGCGGAGATCGACCAACGATGACTCAGCGTCTCCGCGCTTACCTCATCCGTCTCCGAGAGCTTCCAGGCCCGCCAACCTTCAACCTTCCGATCTCCAACCTCTCCAATCCGCTAGAAGACCATTACTACTTGGTGATCGTACCATTCCTTCTACCTCGCTTTATTTGCCCTTGAACCTGCATATTGTCTGTCGTCCACCTACGATACTTATCCTGTGTGCACCGGGCCACACTCGACGCAAGCAGCCACGCCTGCGATCGATTTGTCGACCGCAGGCTGCAGTTCCTCTCGCTTTAGCCTAGGCGGATTCCAAACCGCGGCCGCCGGGCTTACCATCCATCGCTTTTCACGATCATGCCGGCCACAGATAGCACTGCTATCAAACGCCGCTCCTCTACACAGCACTACCAGACCTTTGATACCCCGCCACCGAAGTCGCGTGGGCGACCCAATTCCGGCCAGTCGGAGTCTTCCGGTGAAGGTTCCCACGATGCACACAATGAATCGCCTGACCACATTGGTCAACACTCACCATTGCCCAAACGTCAAATGGCGGTGCTGGCAATTATCGCCCTGGCAGAACAGACCGCACTGAATTCCATCAGTCCCTACCTGCCGGACATGGCATCCACATTCCCTGAGGTGAAGTCGTCCGAGGTCGGCGTATACGTTGGAACGATCGCTTCGGCCTTTGCATTGGCGCAACTCGCAACCAACTACTTTTGGGGTTCACTGTCTGATCGCATTGGTCGCAAGCCGGTCATTTTACTTGGAACCTTTTTGACGGCGTTATGCTTCATAGCTTTTGGCTTTTGCAAAACCCTTTGGCAAGCGATCTTGGTCCAGGCCTTGATGGGAATTGTGAATGGCAATCAAGGCTTGGTATCGACCTGTCTTGGCGAGATTACCGACCGAAGCAACCAATCGCAGGCATTCACCTATCTACCAGTTCTATACGGCGTTGGAGGTATCACGGGCCCACTCTTGGGGGGATTACTGGTCTTCGAGCGCAACCCGTTCACCGGAAAGAAAAGCACATATCCCTACCTTGCACCGAATCTGGTATCCGCGGTCATCCTTTTGTTGGACCTGGCAATCACCGCCATATACTTAGAAGAAAGCCTGGAGGACGCAGATACCCTCCCAAAGATCGGAAAAAAAGTTCGCAGCCTTTTCACCTGGCTTTGGCAGTTCACAGGATTTGCCCCTAGGCCAACTTATGTCCGCGTGCCCCAAGCCGTTCCCTACCCTCACTTCCGCCACACTAGTACCGACAATGACGAACACGACAGCGATTTGGACTCGGCGTCCGAGGTGTCAAGTCAGGCTGGTCATCACGAGGAGCTGACCTGGGACGAGATATTTACACGGGACACGGTCTTGTTGCTGTTGACATATCTCGTTTTCGCTTTTTGCAATGTCTCCTTCAACTCCCTGTTCCCCATTTTCGCACAAGCCAAGCCACCCGCTGGACGTCACTTGACACCTTCCGAGATCGGTCTCTCCCAAGGCTTTGCTGGGGCTGTCACGATCATCTTCCAGATATGCATCTTCAACCGCTTGCGCGATAAGATGGGCAACCGCTGGTCATACCGTGCTGGTCTTTTCGGATTCGTCCTCTCGTTTCTCCTCATGCCTTTTGTTGGATATAAGAGCAAGGAGGGCAAGGGTTTGACAGGAAAGTCTGCGCTGATGGCTGTCGAGCTTTGTTTGGTGCTACTGGTCAAGACCGTCGCCTCCGTCGGTGGTCTAACCAGTGCGCTTTTGCTGGTAAGTCGTACGATCCCGGATAACTTTCCGTTTCCCCTACTCACCGCCAATAGATCACAAATTCCGCTCCAAACCATGCAGTTCTTGGTGCCCTCAACGGCCTGGCACAAACTCTTTCCGCGGCTGGACGTGCCGTAGGCCCCTTCCTCTCCGGAGGTCTTTTTTCATTGACATCCAAGATTCAGCCCAAGGGCGAAGCCTTGGCCTTCGGTGTCTTCGGCATAGTTTCTTTTATCGGATTTCTGATGAGCTTTGGTATCCGCGGTCGATCACTGGAGGCCGATGGATGGGGAGAAGACAGCGATGAAGATGATGAGAATTACAAGTCAGATGACGACGAGCCCAACGGTGCCTAAACCTTACCCGATCGCTGCGCTGCGCTTCACATATCCACCGACATGACTTGACGAACTCAACGCCTCCTCATCAGCCTTCTCCTTGCATTCCGATTACATTAATTTGCTCATTCACGATGAATCGGCGAAGCATTTCCCTTATTTCAGCGTGCTTTTCTGCTGGCGTTTTCCTTTTCCCCACTCCCCATTGAACATAGACGCATTTTGGGATGGCTGTTTCACTATCGAGCTCGTACAACTCTGCTATTCTCCCTATTACTATATTAGATTTTGAGCAATCGAAGTATTACCCGCGGGGCTATCCTTATCGTAATCCCAGACCTTAGTTGTTCCATCTACTTATATCGAATCATCTTTATCAGAAGGAGTGATCGGACATCTCATATTTCACAGTCTTGAGAATCGGATTGTAGGTCGCGCTTGGCATGGCCTGTCTGTTCCACGTGGGCTTGGCGGGTAACTAGTTAACAATTAGTTACTAGTAGTGATACTAATTTCAAGCAAAGGTCTTGTGGCCTCGGGTACTGTCTCAGAAACATCTCATTAGAATATCTAGTAGGTTTTCAAATCTTCTCTAGGATTGAGCAGCCTGGGCAGATACCTTCCTGAGTACACTTGCTAGTGGATTCTGAGGATTTTAATGTCAATTCTGCTTTACAATAATATCTTGGGTATTATTGGCCCTATCATCTTTTTAACGCTTCTTTACGGGAGTGTGAGTCGTAATTAAATGAAAGTTCAATACCTAGGTACTCTGCTAGGTCTAGTATCCGCAGGCAGTGGTAAAAGCTTGTAGCCCCGTTATTTTTGTATTTGAAAATCGCGTGAAGGCTGCTGGAGCGAAGGCTGCTGGAGCCCAGCCCCTTGAAGCAGCTTGAACGCGTATCCCGGATTACTGTTGAATACTAATTCTTATTTATTTTTGCATAGTTAAGCTTGGAAATGGAAATCAAATTAATTTCAGGATAATCACTCTTTGAACAGGCAAGAAGGAATCAAAAAAAAAACTTCATGATTGGTGAAAGACTTTTGCACTTTAACGGACAAAGCCAGTTCGATGAGAGAACATGAGCATGCACACCAATACATGCCTGGGTGAAGGCCACCCATAATTAGTGTCTTTGTGGGGGGGTAGTTCCATTGATAAATGCTTTTAAATTATATGTTAGTGTTCAAATACGGTACAAGGGATGACCCAAGAAGTCTTTGTTACATTTGTGGAGAGAATCTTTGATATACCTTTCACGCTATCCCAGGTCTGCGAATTGCCGGACATCAAGAAAGATCATAGCGACAGCACCAGTATCTTAAAAAATTCCAGAAAAATACCCGAAAAAGCCTCTTTGACTAAAAGATGGGATTGAATCGTCAGTTTTCGAAAGAGAAAATATTCCATTACCAAATCCCCTTCCCGGATCACCACCTCTTGCCCGGGATCCGGATAACCTCAGACATGATCGAAAGACACGCAACCCAGATCTGAGCCTTGAAAAAACTTCAAATAGTCCTCCCACTCACTTTTTTATTCCAATTTCTACTCCCACACTCAACTGATTTTCTCCAGCTTTACTGTCCATTTGCCTTTTCACTTCTCTCCTTCGCCAAACCATCTCACCAACCCTTCGACCTCATAATATACACAGGTGCCCTTGTTCTTAACTCATCCTGCACGGCAAAGAAAAAAAGAACCTTGGGAGACCGCAATACTCTGCCAAACTTTTGGTTCTTCCGTCTTGGCCTATTTTCTTCAACCGGTATCGGCTATCTAACAATCTGAGACTCCGTCACAGTCATGGAGCGTGCATTCGTGGACCTCACCCTGGAGGAGTTTTGCCACGATGAGCAGCCTATTCCCGTTACCTTAAGTAAGTCATCGCATCAAAGAAATTGTGGACCGCACTTCTGATTCCACCCTAGCTGCGAGGTCTGCGCATGCTCATGGATTGGACTTTACGGCAAGACAAGAAGCAGCATTTGCACCCCCCGATCTCACACCACCTCTCTCGAACCCACGAAAGCGTCCTAGAATTCCGAACTCGGAGGATCCTGAGATAGACAGACCGCAAAAGAGGCGTCACATACCTGCCTCGGCTCTGGGATCAGTGAAGCGCGTGCTATTTCCATCCGACGATCCCCCTTCTCGCACTCAAACGACCATTCGCAGAGAGACAAAGACTAGGGACCAGCCCCCCGAGCGAGATATGAAGCCAAGATACGTGCAACGGGTGATACCGAATCGCAGAAAGCCCTCCAGACGGGCTATTGATCTTACCAAGGGGCCCGAGCCGGAACAACCTGAGGACACAGTGATAAGGTCGAGCAACCCACCTCGGTTAATCGAGAGCATTCTGATAAAGGGCCTGAACTTCCAACCGGAGGGTGTGACATTCGAAGTTGGTTTGGATCTACAGCTGGATGATGAATCATTTTTCCGAATAGAAAAGATCACACGGCATGGTCACCGGTATCTCTTCAAAGGCCGTCGTCTTTTTCGTCCAAAGGCATTCAACAACAACAAACTTCCGAATATCATCCCACATGCCAGACATGAGCTTGTCTGGGTGCCTCAAAGAACGAGTCAAGTGCTGCCTAACAGGGTGGTTGGCATCACTAAAATAGTCTTCACTAACGAGCGTAGCTCATGGGGAAAGGCTCGAGTGAAAACTTGTCGTATCAAGGTAGTATACTCATATCGCGAGTCAACGCATGATCACCCAGTGAAGGCTGCGAACTGGGTGGTTCGCGATTTGACGTTTGAGGAGTCAGACCCCGGAAAAGGACTGACCAACAGACAGCTACGGGAGAAATGGAGAGGGTCTACTACTCCGTTCGGTGAAGGAAAGGTCGGTGCTATAGTTCAAAGCGTGCAGCGTCGACGTGAGGACTCACCCGAGATCATTGACCTTGACAACATTCTCCCAACGCCACCATCGTCCCCGCCAACCTCATCCACTTTGATTGACCTCACATTAGAAAGTCAGAATGCATATACCTTTGGTGACGGGTTCTGTGGAGCTGGAGGAGCATCTTGCGGAGCCAGACAGGCAGGGTTGAAAGTGAAGTGGTCTTTTGACATGAACGAGAACGCGATGAAATCTTACGGTCTCAACTTCCCGCGCAATGAGACCAAGTCTCGCAGAGTGGAGGCGCATCAGTTTTTCCAGAAGCCGATGCCATTTCTCCGAGTCGATATCATGCACTGTTCACCGCCGTGCCAGACCTTCTCCCCTGCCCATACAGTCAACAACGAGGTAAATGACGACCGGAACTCCGCATGTCTGGTAGGTATGCGGCAGGCAGTTGAAAGAGTCCGGCCTCGGGTTCTGACTATGGAAGAAACTTTCGGTCTGGAGCATGAGGCTCATAGACCCAACTTGAACCGGGTCATCATGGATTTGATTGAACTGGGATATTCGGTGCGGTGGGAAGTCATCAAGTTGGGCGGGTACGGAGTTCCGCAGTTACGCAAGCGGCTCATACTTATTGCTACAGGGTAAGCTCCCACTACTATTCTCTTTTCTGCGGTCATATCCACTGAATTCATTATTATAACTAACAGATATACAGACCCGGAGAAAATCTCTTCAATTTCCCTCGCCCGACCTACGGCGGCCCAGGCCAACCCAGGCTCAGAACGATCCGTGACGCTATCTTCGACTTGCCCATTGACTCGCCAAATCACGATGTGGCAACTCGCCTGCGACGGTGGTCGAGAGAGTACCGGAAGACACTGGATTGGGACGAGCAAGCGAAGACAATAACCACGGCTGGCGGGCAAGAGAACTATCATCCTGATGGTAGACGGACATTCACCGACCGAGAAATTGCGTGCCTTCAGACATTCCCTCGAGATTATCAGTTCTACAAGACAGGGGCCAGAAAGCAGATCGGCAATGCGTTTCCTCCAATGGCTGCTAGGGCAATCTATGAGGCAGCTAGGGAGTCGTTGCGGAAGACTGATCTGCTTGAAAGCGTGGGCAGACAAATGGGAATGTGAATGAATGGATGAAGTTCGTGGCCAGAGATGAATATGATGCCATGACCTGGACATCATATTAAAGCATTGAAAGTGTAATCAGTGCATTGACTATCAAGAAAACATATTTGCGAAGGGGGTACATCTGAGTTACGGGAGTTCCAATCATCACATCAAGAAAATGCATATTTGCTAGATAGATACCTAGATAGCTATTAGAGTACTAGTCACTGGACTTCATAGCCACTTAGGATCGTGAGAATCATCAAAGTCCCGAGGTCTTCTTCTGAATCTGGTCCGATGCCTGATCTATTCTCTTGTCAATTTCTTCACACATTCAACGATCACATCCATCATTTTTTGCATGAGCTCCAGAGTGAGGTCCTCGCGCACGACAATTCTCATTACTTGGGCATCCGAGCCACCATTTCCCCATCCTTTAATGGTGTAATCTGTAGAATAGCTTTTTAGTCTGTTTCGTAAGAATATCTGGCTTCGTAAATTCAGAGAACTTACGTGGAATCGAAAACTTCATCTCATGTACCGCGTCGCTAAGAGCTGACATGTCGAGCGTAGGATAATCTTTCTTGGCACCTTCAGAAAGTGTAAACACAACAAGCGGAATGCCGGGATTCATGTTGTGATTTCCCTCGCGGCAGATGGAACGTCCAGTAGAACCACTCAAACAGACGAAGTATCCGGTGTTCTCCAACTCCAGACTCAATAGTTTCGCAATGTCAAGGTAGCGATTGATCAGCCTGCGGTACCCGGCCAAACCCTTCTGATAAAATTGATAGTACTGTGAGACTATCGGGGCACTTGACTTCGAAAAGCTGAGGGTGTAGGCAGTTTGCGTTCCGCGAAGGTACGAAGACTCGAGTAGGAGCCCCTCTGGAATCCATTTTTTTCTCACGCCAGACTATCCAGCCGACGGCCAAGAGTGCTTGTCCGTATTTGTGACCAGATGCATTGATTGACTTGACGCGTGGCAGACGGAAGTCCCTATGAGAATTATAAGCATTTTTCAACTGTAAATCAAAGGATGTGGTTGGCTTACCAAACGAAACTTTCATTGCTCGAGGTAAACGGTGCAACAAATCCACCACTTGCAGCATCAATGTGAATGGGAACATCAATTCCAGTATCGCGCTCATACTCGTCGAGCATGTTGGAAACTTGCTCGATCGGGTCATAGTGGCCAGTGTAGGTCGTCCCAAGTGTTAGAAACACACCGACTGAGACAATTAGTTCATTCCACGGAATTGATACTGATCAGAAAACTCACTGGTACCACCATCAATACGTCTCCTCACAGCCTCTGGGCTCATCGAGTAGTTTGTTCTTTCAGATACTGGAATGAATCGAGCTTCCACATCAAAGTAATCGGCAAACTTCTTGACACAGAGGTGCGCGTTCTCACCGATAATCACGTTTGGTCGTTGTTCTGGATTTTCCCGGTTATCGCGCTGCCACTTGCTCTTCATTGCAAGACCACCCAGCATAACAGCCTCGGAAGAGCCCGTTGTTGCAGTACCGAATGGATCAGAGGTTGGGGAGTTCCAGAGATCCGCAATGATTGACACGCAGCGCTCCTGGAACCTGGTTGAATATCGCGAATCAGGATTCCATTTGTCTGTGGTGTCTTGCATCTATTTTCATGGAAGCTTACTTTCTGACCGAGGGATACTCTTCAACGCATGCAATATTTTTGAGCGCTGCATCGGGCATGATTCTCATCATGGCATCGTCAACCGTGGTTGTTGAAAATCTAAAATCGTAAGTCATTGATAATACTTCCCAACTTGAATCTCATGTCTCTTACCTTCCAAGATCCTGACTTGGTGGAGTGTCTTTGTCCATATCCTTGCGCATCATGGTCTCGACAAGTGAAGTAGGAGCTCCCTTAGAAGGCATTGTTGCCTTAAGAGCATCAACTACATCGCTTCTCAGTTCAGTCACCCTGATAGTCATGATTGTTTGATTATGTTAAAAATGTGTTGATTCTCTGTTTCGAACTTGCGGAATGATGTTCAAGTTGTCCAGGCTGTTTTGCAGGATGCTGGTCTATTAATTTATAGCCATGCGATGTCGATAGACCTCCTTGCCACTGAGAGTCTTCAAAATTGCACCATCTTACAATTCCCATTTTGATTGGATTATTAGCAGTCCACTGATCACATTTTACAGATTTCTGCGAATCAATGCAAGCACGTCATGAGACTTTGAGTAGTGTCTTGCGAATCTTTCAGACCAAAATGTGTTGAGCTGCAAAGAATTCGATATGGAAACACAACCGATCGAGAATCAGGCAGACAGGAGTGTTATGCATACCTAGATATTCGTGGATGGCTCTGTGTGACACATAACTCTCTAATTCGGTAAGATGTGCGGCATGCTGTGAGATTTGTCATGGGACCATCTGATGATATCATTGCAACTATAGCTTCAGCGCACGATTAGTTAAAAGTCAGTTTCTATCCGATTGTGTGGCATTGGATGACCATGTGCCCGATCATTGGATTTATCGCGCTGTTAGATCTATCCTGCGAAAAGTTAAAACTTGATCGTAGACCTTTTAGTTCCAAAGTGGCGTTGATTAGCCGATCTCACGGTCGATCGAGGTTCAAGTTGGGGCTCATGTACATATTTCGGCAAACGAAGCCCCTGCCAATGGGAGAATGTCGGGATTTCTTGCATATAGTGCCAGGTGGGGACTGCAGCTGTCTTCAAGTTGGTTGGAAGGATGTAGGGTAACATGCACGGCTTTGGCCAGCACCCAATACCGCCGCCAAATTCCACCGCTCGTTCTGTCGTGTAACCACATCAGCCGATTTGGAGCCAGATTTCTGGGACTAAGTTTTTCCCTGCAAGGTGATCTCGATGCTAGGAGATCTTTATCAGGTAGATGATCAGGTCTTGGTATTCTCTCTGAATAGTTTCAACACACTCTATTTGTTCAGTCGCATGCCAAGACATTCACCTCATCCCATGAAGAAGCTTGTTACACAATTTAGTGGCAATTACGACGACAACAACGTCATTTACGTTATCCAACTGGGAAATTACGAGACCTATGTAATCATTCTCTTACCAACGAAAACCTTAGAAGTGGTAGTCAAGGGGCCGCCACTATGGTCCACGGGTTTGACTGATATAGACATAAATAGGAAGGCAGAGGACATGATTGAGTAATGTACAAGCATTCCAAGCCCTGGAGGTCGGTATTCATTCAGAATTTATTCGTTATATGTGAGCTGCACTACAGACACTTTTTGCGTTTGAATATCTCTAAGAGAAAACCGAAACAATGACTGTGGACCATGAAAACTTCCATGCGCAAAGCGATTCGAAATGCAGTTCACAATTTCTGTGCCTTCCTGCTTCAGGGTTGAATACCCAAGAGTCTATATGTATCGCAAGCTGGGCGTTGTTGATCCGAGACTACTTTGCTCAGGAAAGCCCATCTTTTCTCTGCTTAAAACCCGATGGGCAGCAAACTGCCAGCTGGGACCCCGTCTCCGAGGATCTAAGGGCTTGTCAGCTTACCCTACAACTGGATGGGCAGGATAAAGCAATCGATATAACAAGCAAAATCCAAAATCAAATCCTCGAGTACAGCAAAGAATCTTCGCAAAAACATCAAAATGATACTGCGATTTTCATGTTGGAGACTTCCGAAAACGAAAACAAAATGTTTCACGATGATGCGATGCGATTAATGGAGTTGATCAAGGTGCGTATTTTGTGGAATAGAATCAGGTACTTTGCTGATAAAAGACAAGGTCGATATCATAGGGGTCATGCAGATCGCGCCTGAAGGCGTTTATCTGAGTGTTTGGACTCATCCTTCTAAGCAGCAGCCATTCAAAGACTTCATCGTGTCCAAGAGTTTGTCCCAAGTCTACCAAAGAATATCCATGGAACCTCATACAAAGCTCCATGAGATAAGTTCCATATCTGCCTTTGATATTGAGAGAATCCGGCAATTCACACGCCCAAACCCCGTGAAAACTATCGGAAAACCACACTGTCTGCATGCTTTGATCGGCAAAAATTATTCCAATTGCCCAGATTCTACTGCTATTTCTTCCACAAAAGAGCAAATCACCTATACCGAGCTTGGCCAAAAATCCGCCATAGTAGCCGAGCTCCTCAAAGACAGAGGCGTTGCACCTGGCGAGGTCGTGGGATTATGCATGCAAAAATCTCCATCGGCTCTGGTGGTCGTTCTTGGAATCCTTCGATCAGGCGCAGGATATGCTCCAATAGACTCATTCTCTCCTTCTGGTCGCATTACGCAAATTGTTGAAAAAGCCGACATTCGATATGTTGTGACAGAAGATCATCTCCGCGACAAATTTGAAGATCTCGGCGTGGATTTGATTACATCGGATAACCTGGAACATTTTGAGACTCCGAAGGATTGGCACAAAGAATTCCACACCGACCCATCGACACCAACCTATGTTATGTTCACGTCAGGAAGTACCGGCGTCCCAAAAGGCGTTGCTCACCACCATGAAGCCGTTTCCCAAAGCCTCCTCGAGTGCATCGAATCGCTTGGAATCAACCAAAGCACCCGCTTTTTACAGTTCGCTTCTCTTGCATTCGATGCCAGTATCTTTGAAGTCTTTGCTCCTCTAGTCGCGGGAGGTTGTCTTTGCATCCCTTCTCACAATGAGCGCAGCGGGGATTTAGAATCAGCAATGAACCAGATGGGCGTTACCGATGCTTGGTTGACACCCAGTATGGTTCCTCACATTCAGCCCGAGAACCTGCCCTCTCTGCGCAACCTTGCCGTAGGAGGAGAACCTCCATCCGTCGAGATTTTGTCAACCTGGGGCAAAAAGGTCAACTTTACCAATCTATACGGCTTAACAGAAGCTGGGGTTTGGGACACCATGAAGCCAGCGATGAAGCCCAATGACAGCCCCCGGAATATCGGTCGCGGCATTGGTCGCGTTACATGCTGGATCGCGGATCCGGCTAATATTCATAACCTAAGACCCGTGGGTGCTGAAGGAGAGCTTCTTGTTCAAAGCCCCTACCTTGCGCACAGTTATCTGAAGGACGAAAAAAGACAGAAGGAGACGCTTATTGATCCTTCATTGCTGAAGTGGGCCTCTTTGATCCACGATGCAAAGTCCACCCGTGTCTACCGCACGGGTGACCTTGCTAAATTCACTCCAGAGGGCGATGTGGTTTTTGTCGGTCGGAAAACTGGATTTGTCAAGATCCGGGGCTTGCGCGTTGATCTGATGGAGATTGAAAAGGCGATCAACGAAACACTTAAAGACGGACGTTCTGCGGTTGTCCTATCTGGAACTGACAACAGCCAGGTTGAGATTGCCGCTTTTTGTGAGCTCGTGTCTCCAGAATCGGTATCTCTCGCTGATGAAATATCTCATCAGTTATGCGAAATACTCCCGGAGTACATGATCCCGACCATTTTCATCCCGACCGAGAAGCTGCCTTTGACTCTGTCCAAAAAAATTGATCGCCAGCGCCTTTTTATGGAGATATCAAAGATGGATCAAACCACTGTTCAGAAATATCGCAAAGGTGGATCCCAAGATGCGAACTTGATCGAGATACCGACTGAGAAGTCTATTGCATTTGAGATCAGCAATATAATTGCCGATATGCTTGAAGAAAAAGATCAAGTCTACGCAAAGTCGCTGCGTGGTAAGGACTTTTCTCTCGGCAGGGTTGGACTCACCTCCATGCAATTGGTGTCCCTGGCCAACTCGATAAAAAGAAAATACGGAAAAATCATGGACCTCCAGAGTTTGCGACAAGCGAAATTGACAGTCTGTGGCATCGAGGATATTCTCACAAACCGAACGGAAACACATGGAAATGCAATTGAATCCCGAGATTTGTTAGATGACCTTGCGAAACTGAAGCCGAAATTGAAACTACGCAAGAAGACGGTATTTTTGACTTCAATAACCGGCTTTTTGGGGAGCCAAATTCTGCGGTATCTTTTGAACAACCCAGAAGTTGGTCAGATCATTGGCTTGGTTCGCTCCAGTGACGAGGTTCAGGCTAGGAAAAAGGTGCAACAGCAGGCTGAAATGGGAAAATGGTGGCGGCCCTCATTTGATGAAAAAATTGAGATATGGCTCGGTGATCTCAGCAAGCCCAGGCTTGGTCTCCAAGAAGACCGATGGGATCGGCTTTTTGGCAATGACAGTGTCAACAGAGTTGACGGGATAATTCACAACGGAGCCCGAGTCAACTGGCTGGATGAATATGAGGATCTCGAGGGGGTGAATGTGCATTCCACAGCTGACATTCTCTCAGGGCTGTCCAATATGCGCACCCCTTGCCAGCTCATATACGTCTCTGGGGGGTTATCTTTCCCCGAACCAAGAAACCCATGCAGGTATTGCGAAACGGCTTGCCTCGGCGTCCGGGTATGATCAGACAAAGTTCATGTCAGAGCTTCTCCTCAACGAGTACAATCAACATTTAGATCGACAAGGATCACCCGCGCCGAGAGCTCGAACAGTCATCCCTGGTTTTATTGTTGGGACTCGAGAAGAAGGCATCGCACAAACGGAGGATTTCTTTTGGAGATTTGTGTACAGCATTGTTCGAATTCGAGCTATAAGTGAGGAACTTGGTCATCTCACGGTCGCTGGGGTTGACCAGGTCTCCGCGCTGGTTTCAAATGTTCTCTTCTACCCGAATGACTACAAATCCGATCCTTTGACTTGTCTCGACGGCGTAAGTACTTCGGCGCTTTGTGACATTGTGAGCAAAAAATTAGATGTTCCAATACGACGTATTCGTCACGACCAATGGATGCAAATGCTGCAGCGTGATATCGAAGAAGCTGAATTTGACCACCCATTCTCACCGGTGATGCAATGGTTTGACGAGAACGTATGGCAATTTTGTGGTGACCAAGAGGAAGCAACCGAGAACTCTCTTTTCGCGACAAATGATATCAGAGCAGCCATTGAAAAGAGTTTGGAGTACATGACCCTGGTAGGATACATGTCGACACGGAAAGGGGATCCAAAGGTGGACCAGACTGCCATATTTACTCGCTCTTAGGTAGCTCTTAGAAACTATCCGAATGTATCACTACCAGTGAAAATTTCCACTGAATTCGTTGATACACCTGATTAAATATAGTTTTGACCACGAGTATGTAGTTTAGTCCAAACGTCGAAAATGACCCCCTTGTTTACTTCTCCGATATACATGACGTCATGACGCCAAGCCAGCAAATTCCACTGGCCCGCGCCAACGTCAACTTCAACAACGTCGACGATTCAATAACTCCAGATAGAAGAAAGCGGGATTATCTTGCTGCATTATGTCACGCAATGGTTGAGCCAAGGTCACAGGCCAGACGTGGCCGTCAGAGGCGCCCTCGTGTCCCGGATTCGCAGCGGCAAAGGGCCGCGCAGGCGTGAGTTTCTGCCGTTGTTATTTGCCAATAAACCGAGTTCACTGACACGTAATTTCTAGTTGCCTACCTTGTCGCCAACATAAGGAGAAATGTAAAAGTCTTCCCAAGACCTGCCGCATTAACATGGGCCCCATCAGCTAATTCACACATCGGAGGTTGGTAGGCGGTGGTGGCAATCCCTGTGATCGTTGCCAACGATATCAAAGGACATGTCGATTCGATAATGTTCGAATTCTTGGAAGAAGATCAGTCTTGATTGGTGATGAAGGGTGGGTTATGCTATCTTGATTCGTGTCAATCATCCTCTCGGTCTTTGACTAACGCCACGGTGGCAGAAATCCAAACCCAGAGCTTACAGCAAGAGAAATTCAGATGAAGCGGATCATCACCCATTTCATGGGAAATATCTCCTTTGAGCCTACTCACCTCCAATCAGTGGCAGACAGCTTGGATGAGAGACACGGCGACGAGGATGGCAATCCATCTACAATCTCTCAGGACCTTGCCCTGGCCAAGGATTACTCCTTAGATCCCCTCTCTACGAATACTATGCGTGGGCCTACCTTTCTTTATTCCATGAAGGAAATATCTGACATATCTTGCCAGACTACTCCGGAGAGCTTTCCCATTGGAACTTCTCGAAAATGCTGGAGCGCCGACTTCAAAGTCTGGGCAACGGCACCAAGCCAGGAAGGGTCGAGGTAAGCCATGCAAAAAAAAGTGTTTTATCTTGTGTGAGTAAATTTCTTATATAAAAATCATATAGAATCCTGGGCCGACTGGCAACGGCTTCTTCCGCGCAACGGATTTGCAGTCTTCTGGCTCATGCATGTCATTAGCCAAGCAGTACTTTCCACCAAGACCAATCGCTGATTTCTTGGTCAAAACATTCCTTGAGTATGCCTTGACTAATTACTTCTACTTCGATCAAGATATTTTTCATCGCAAACTAGAATACTATTATGATTTGGAAGGTTCGCTGACCATCAACGACGCTGGCTGGGTATGCACACTCCTCATGACATTTGCCATTGGTACACAATTCGCATATATGCAGACAAGGCCGAACTTGACGAACGAGTTTGCCAAAGTTGACATCGAAGACGACCACATTGGAATTCAGCTCTATCGGTTCTGCTGCCGACTAATTCCGGATCTTATTACAACTGCTAGCGTCGAGAGTGTCCAGGCATTCTTGCTCATGGGATCATATACGCTGCCAATTGACACATCGGGCCTGGCATACACATACTATGGTCTGGCAATAAAGATGGCAATACAAAACGGAATGCACAGACAGTTCCCTGGGGAAAACTTCGATGGTCGATTAGTCGAAGCGAGGAATCGTCTTTGGTGGTCAGCCTATGCGCTGGAAAGGTATGATCGAGGATTACCAAAACTTTCTTTTGTCATCTAACATTCAATAGTCGCATCAGTATTTTACATGGTCGCCCAGCCTCCATATCGCCAGCTGAGACCGACACGCCCATGCCAAGGGAGCTAGTAGGCTTCCAATCAACCGATTATCGGTCAAATCTGCCCAATTTTTCTGCCGTGGTAATCCTTACCAAGCACCTGGCGAATGCCTCAGAATCTATCAAATCCCTACGAAGCTGCGGTAGATCAAAGCAACAGAGATACCTCAGACAGCTGGCCGCTATGCGCGATCAACTTGGAAATTGGTGGTCTGGTCTCCCAACCCAGGTTCATTGCAGAGATCTCAGCCAGAATGGGCCTCTCTTTCGATCGAATATTCATCTGGAGATTTACTATATCACTACAGTAATATACATTGGCCGACCCTTCATTATCTCCTCAGTCCAAGTCTCAGGAAATACCCCAGCACAGACCAATACAACTAGTACCCAAGAAGTCCCCGATGTCATCAAAAAATTACGTGATGATTCACTCGATGCAGCTATCCGGGGAGTAGAACTGTGTCAAATATTACAAGATACTGTTGGCCTTGCTCGTGTTTCATATACTGAGTTCAGTGCCTGCCGCATCGCCTTACTTGCTTTGATTGCACACAGTCTCAACGAGCCAACGGCCAAAATTTCTATCGCTCTTACCCAGGGAATGTCAATAATTCGAAAAATGTGCGTTGGACTCGAGTCTGCAAAATCCGAAGTCGCGGTAATTGAAGCGCTTGACAGAGCCCGGCAACGGTTATATGCCCCTGCCGACCTAGAGGAAAATCACTCAGTACAGTCCACATCGGGTTATAATCAGTTTCAAGAGTGGGCCAAGCTTTGGCGAGCAGATCCCATGATGCAAAACGCTGCTGTCAGCCTTGGGGAGAATGTTCTCCCGGTCGAAGAACAAACAAATCCCTCCGTACCGTCATTTGATGGGTTCTTTTCCTCGTTTCCCGACGAGCTTTGTGAGTTTACTGCCATTCCGGGGCTCAATGATGACATGTCACTGGGCCAGGAGTGGTTGGATGGTCAGCCCGATGATATAATATGGAACACAGCAGGTGCCTTCGATGTGTCTGGCCATACACATTGACATGGATAGTGCCAAAAGCTGATGATTTTGTCACCACGTTGATCAAAGGTCACTGGGCTGTCTACTATCCGCGCTGATCAGAATTTTAATACTTTCTTTGTATACCCTACTGCTAGATAGGCATGAAAAATAAAACCCTTACCCAAAATCTGCTTTCATTTCAGCCATTGCGGGTAAAAATATCCCCACATCCCTCGAGGCCCCCATCATCCTTTTTGACAACAACGTGACAGAATTTCTGAAAGCCGGCTTAGCATCAGAGGTAGCGAGCACTTTCATCGGTAGGAAGTACCAGTGCGTCGGCTTAGTTTGTCGGTCGCCTCCGCCTTCGGACAAGATGCGAAGAATTCGGCCCCTGATCTGCGGTCGCCCCACATGAGCAGGGCGTTCTTCAAGAAATCAGGAAATAAACAGGCCCTACGGAGTACGGAGTACGCGAAAAAGTAGTGCTAAACGTTTTCAACTATGGAGAAAATTGAGCGCATGATGCTAGTGTACTTCCATTGACTTATTGCCTATTGCCGAAGAATTCAGAGGTTGCCGTGAACAAGCAATTTACGCATGTTTTATAGCGTAGGAATACAAACAAATGACTACACCGCGGAGAGGTAGACTACTATGAGAGCTAGTTAAATACTGATTTAATTATCTAACGAGAGGGTTCTTCTGAGAATGTATAGCCAGCGAACCGAGAAGATATCTTCTTGCGTAAACACCGAAGATGGGAATATTAAAAATTGGCAATATTTCTTTCGCGCTGCGATGTTTCGATCACCAGCCGATCTGTATGGGGGCTGAATCGGATAACCCCATTTTTAGTGATGAAGAAATGCACAATGACGCAGCAGGACCCTGGGGGCCATCTCCGATATTATGATTTCGGCCTGGTCATGTTATTCCCGAATATCGTGAAGTTATAAAAGCGATAGAATAGATCAAAACATGTACTCAATAGCATTCATCTCAGCCTCCTATTTGAAAACCCACGGTCGGCTTACAAAAACAAGCCATTATTTTCTTCTTCGAGTATATTTTGAATAAAAAGGCTCATATCAAAAAGTCACCATGAAGGTCGCTGCCATTTTCTCATCTCTTCTCGGCCTTGCCTTGGCGACTGCCATCCCAACTACCAATGATCTCGAACGTCGCGACCCGAGCGATAAATCCGGAAACTCTCAGTTCGTCCTGCAATGCGAGGGAGTCACCATTCCAGACCAAGGAGGAGCTGAGGGTGCAGGCGAGGGCGGTACTGGCTACTTCTACAGCAACGTGGCTTTCAACGCCCAGGGAACCAAGATCGAGCCCGTCGCCTGCACGGACCAGGACGGTACTTGCAGCAATTGCTTGTTTTCCGGTGGCGGTCTTAGCTCAGACACCAATGTTACGGCATGCTGGAACCCACCTGCCGGAAAGGCTGGATGTGGTATCTCATTCTCGTACAATGGCTACGATTATGATAGCCAAAACAAGGAGCCCTACTGTGGTCACGAGAATGGATTTGCAGCCTTCTCGTTCGATCTGAGCGCTGTCTGTTACTTTGATGTTTAAACAATTTCCCAGGTGGAAAGTTGGGGGACCTACCCGTTTGTTGATATCGGACGTGCATACTTGGGAGGACAATGAGACGAGGTTAGAGTTTTGTTATTGCCATTTATTTTCCATAGCTCAGCTCAATCAATGAGTAAATTATAAGCTACTCTGAATTATACTTATATACCGCGCAGCTCAGAGTAGGTCCATGAGACTTGAAATATTCAAAAACGAAACATTTGCGTCGCAAAAGTACTGGTCCGCGTGACTTTATAGAAAATGTAAACGGGTGGCACACAAAATCGGGAATAGTCGGATTATGAAGGTCAACTTTGATCAGATTGTAGTAAAGATAGCTATAGGAGATCTTTTAAATTTGATAGCTTCTCGAGTTGCGACTATGAGTAGGTAGTTGGTTAATGACATCTAGCTCTGCTGAGGCCGCCCGGGTACTCGCACCCGAGTGTAGCCGGGTACATGTACCCGATCATGGAGCAAAACTTCTGTCCTAATTTTTTCATCACGCGGACAAAGTGTGAAAAACTCTAGAAGCCAACAAATTTCCGATTCTCTTGCACAGAATTGGATGTACAATTTCTCTTCCATCTCGACCTCCAAGCAAAGAAAACTCGATTGTCGCACTAAAATGGCGCTGGCAGCAAGGAACTCGGCCTTGCGATATTTTGATGTAGGCTGATGATAACCGACCCTACGGCTTGCACCCCCTATGCTCTTACACTAAATACTGATTGACTCTCTAGGTCGCAGTCACTTTTACTGCAGATCAGTTTCGCGGTATCTACCGTGGCAAACAGTACCATGAGCCCGACTTTGCCGAGGTTCTGAAAAGAGCTAGGGATCATGGCTGCGAAAGAGTGATGCTTACCACTATGTCACTCGACGGGGCAAAGCAGAACTTAGAGCTTGTCCGGAAATTTCCAGACATGTGTAAGATGACGCTTGGGGTACATCCGTACCATGCAGGCGAAATCTACGAGGCACAAGGGTCTCGGGGGCACCCCAATGCATACCTGGAGACTATTCGAAAAATCGGCGAGGGATTAATTGCTGAAATTCCATCCCCTCTCGCAGCTTTCGGCGAGATTGGCCTAGATTACGTCTATCTGGACCGTGCAGACAAAGAGACACAGCAACGTGCGTTTAAAGATCAGTTGGAGATGGCTACGGAATTTCAGCTTCCTTTATTTCTGCACGTGCGCGAATCGACCGATGATTTTATCTCAATAATCAAGCCATATCTGCCAAAGCTGCCTCGTGGTGGTTTGGTGCATTCATTTGCCGGCTCAAAGGCGGAAATGCTTCAGCTTGTGGAACTGGGGTTGGATATCAGTGTTAACGGTGTTTCTTTCCGGAGCGATGAGCAGATTGAAATGACCAAACATATCCCATTGAGTAAATTGCAACTCGAAACCGACGCTCCGTGGTGTGAGGTCATGGAAAAAGACCCGAAGATCGAACCCTTCCTTGCTACTGCAAGGCCCCTACCACCCAACAGAAAGCACAATAAATTTATACTGGGCCAAATGGTAAAAACAAGAAATGAGAGCTGCACTATTGAGCGAGTTGGACTTGTCGTGGCCGGATTAAAAGGCGTGACAAGGGAGGAAGTTGCCGAGGCTGCTTGGAACAATAGTTCGCGGATGTTTTGGTAGGCAGATTTTAGACCTTTCGAGTATCAAAAGGCCAAACCTTGTGTGTACATGCAACTGCCCGTGTACCATTTTTTTTTTGTTTATAATGAAATGGACGATCTCACCATCTCAGTCAGAACCGTGTAATCCATTATTAAAGATCCCTGAGCCCCTTGGATGTTTATTCACTTTTTCAGCCCCCAATTGGCGTGATTGATAAGCTTCGGTCTCACTGAACCCCTAGTCCGATGTATCATGGAGGGGTAATATTTTAAATATCACGCAGACAATTCCCCAATGCCCAAATGAAAATTCACTAATTGGACTTTCTGTCTTCTGCTTCAATCCCATACATTCTTCCTTATCTAGTTACACCGATAACACGACATGTCTAAAGTCCTGGCCATTTTCGGTGCCACTGGTCAGCAGGGAGGCTCAGTCCTCAACCATGTCCTGAGTGACCCAGAGCTCTTTCGGGAGTACAAGCTCCGCGCCATCACCCGCGATGTCAACTCTGAGGAGGCCCGGAAGTTGAAGACAAGGAATGTCGAGGTTGTGGAGGGCGATATCTTGAGCCCTACCTCTCTGGCTACTTCCTTGATAGGTGTGCACACTGTCTTCGCCATGACCACTCCATCCCTTGGCCCCGACGCCTTCGAAGTCGAGCTCGCCAACGCGAAACGGATCGCCGACGTGGCTGTGGACCAAGGCGCCGAATATATCATATGGAGTACTCTTCCCTCTGTTCGGAATATCTCCAAAGGCAAATACACCGCTGTTGTTCCCTTTGATACTAAGGCTGCCGCAGAGGAGTATATTCGCACTCTTCCTATCAAGAGCGCATTTCTATCCTTCGGGTCATTCATGGAAAACTACCAGTCGCAACCCTTTCTATTCCCCACCAAGGCCGATGATGGCACCTATGTTGTTTCCCGCCATATATCGCCCCAGGCGAAGTTTCCTCTACTTGACGCAGTTGATGACGCTGGCAAGTTCGCAGGGGCTATTCTCGCTGATCCAACCAAGTTTGAGGGAAAACGACTCCATTGTGCTACAAAGCTTTATACTATAACGGAGATCGTCACCCTCCTATCTAAGAGCTCCGGCAAGACCATCGTCTACAAGCAGGTCTCTGTCGAAGAATTTAAGGCAAGCTTGCCCTTCTTCCAGGATGTTTTTGCGGAGGGATTTAGCCTTTATGATGAGTATGGATACTTTGGTCCTGGTACGGAGGAGTTAGTTGCTGAGGGTGCGGCGGTCGCCCGGGGCAGGCTCACCACATTCGAGGAATACCTGGAGAGAAACCCCTTCCAGCTCCCATAGAGAACATTCAGCTTGCATAGAACATGCCACAGTGAAGTAATAGTAGCACAAATACAATAATGTTTAACATACTTAGGTATACCAGTGACTCGGAAGCTTCAAGTTCAAGTTCACCGTGCCCACTAGGCTTGATGAACGCATACCTAGATACATTTAATGAGCTACAACCGCAAACGGATCACCGTTTCGCAGTTCGGAGATGATAAAAGGAAAGTTACATCCTCAGTACTATTACTAGTACCTACTATATGTTAATTCTGCTTCGAGGTCCAACTGCAGTAGTCATAACCATGTTTCAATAGGTAACGAGTCGCCGGTTCAAAAAAACCATAGTTAAGACATAAATCATCTCCTCAGTTTAGTGCCGCAGCACTCTTTATTGACATAATAAGATTTTTCTCCGGGGCGATTTAATTGATTTAGTGAAAGCTAGAGGTATACTCTCAAGATGCCCATATGCTCTGAGGCCTACCGTTTCCGCCTGACTCGGCTCCGCCTTGGCCCGGCTTTACCCCGAGATCTCTCCGCTCCCCGGACCGAGCCTCTCCACCCTTGCTTCAGAGCTGACCACAAGCGCAATGCCTGATACTGACATAGTCAAGCAGGCCTGCGATGCATGTCGTCGGCGAAAGGTCCGTTGTAACAATGACAGGCCGTGCAACCAATGCGAATCCACCGGCTTACGATGCCACACATCGCTCAAGCATCGAAAAAAAGGGCGACAAGGAAAAACTGCAAACATTCTGAACGAGTTGAGAGCAAAGGGGTCGCAAAGCGATGATTCAATATCACGTTCAGCTCAAAATGCCCAATATGATATATCCATGGCCGGCTCGAATCTCTCATTATCGGGGGAGAAGGGAATGTGTCAATTTTCCAGGTCAGCAGGCCTTGTCAGCACCGAGCTTATTACATCGTGCTCAGATTACTTCTTCTCTCGAATGCGTGGAACTGTACCGATATTGCATCCTGATGCCTTTCGAAGACAAATTGACAAGGCGGGAAATTCCCTACATGCATATTGCTTGGTAACCGCATTTTGCGCATTTGTGGTGACACAAACTGGATATTGTATAGGTCCTCAGTTTCTCAACTGTGGCGACAGTGTCAACCAGGAGGAATATCGAGAAAGACTAGTGGAGGAGGCAACAGAGGCTCGGAAGCACTTGGATCCTTTCAAAGAGCCTATGAACCTCACCATTATTACTGCTTTTCTGCTGTATGGTTGCCACATTGGACTCGGAAATCAGCGACACGCATATTATTTTCTACGAGAAGCCACCACTATCTTTACCGCCAGCGCTCTGGACGGTGAAATATCTACGCAAGACGATGATGAAGAATCATCGCAAGCAGGGAATTTGTTCTGGTTGTTACTGGTGTCGGAAAGGTAGTGTCTTCATCCTCCCATAACCTCAAGACCTTCCTAACTGAAGTTTAGGGCCCATGCCATCCGGCGGCATAGACCTATCACCCTAAGAATTTCTGCTGAAACTCCGAAGCTAGAGGAGCCGCAATCAAATGAGGCGATCGGATTCAGGTGCCTTGTTGATTTGTATCGGCCCTTCGATGAAAAATTTCTCAGCCAATGGAACGGTGACCATGCGACTTGCTCAATAGAGTCATTGGTCCAACTTGAAGAGAGGATCCAAAATGCGGTCCCAGCGAATATAGACCTACCGGATGTATTGATGGCAGACCTGCGCGTTTCGCAGCAATGGCTACGGATTATGATTTGGCAGCTTTCCACCACTGCCGGATTTTTGTCAACTAGTCCCACACATGAGTGTATGGACTTTCGATACCCAGTACTGATAGCGAGAGACTTGTGTCTTGCAACATGGAAATTATCGAGATCAAGTATGCAGACACATGGAATTGGCCTGGTAAGTAGTATATTGCCGAACACGCACTATCAATTTGATACTGAGTTCTTTTCACTGCAGATTGAGAAAATATTCGAAGTTGCATGTACACTGATCGATGTTATGGCCTGTCTTTCAGCCGCTGGTCTCCGTTCATCGGGATTCAAGCTTGGCCCACAGGACTACTTAAAGCACTTTTTTACACTCATACATGACTTACCCGGTGGTCGAGCGCGATTTCTTCCGCTACTTCTGACTAAAGTTGGGCAAACTTTACCATCAATGATGGAAACAATCACCATACATCTCAATTTGAGTGCTGAGATACCCGAACAGGGCGCTGACCGGCTTGGACTATGTTTGGGCCAAGGCTCCCAGGATCCTTCATCGCCGCGGGCGGATTCGTCTAATGTAAATTCGGAATCCTTTTCGGAAGACTGGGCCTATAGCCATTTCAATTACGCAGAGATGAGTCGGATCGGTGATAAAACACCTGAGATAGACGAGGCATTCCTTCAATACTCCAGTTATTTTCAATGACACATGATCGAATCCAAGTTGATTATCGATTGACGAAATCCGCAAATTCGTTATTCTAAGGGTAGATACCCGATTTTGAGAACCTTGGCGAGATAAAACAGGCGACAAGATTCCTACCAATAAAAAACTGCATCGATCACTTCATAGACTCGGTAGGGGTTCCATAGGCTACCACAAATAGTCTGACTCTCGAAACCGTATCTTATTGGTTCATCCCGAAATGGATACGAATTTTAGAAATGAATGACAAAGCATAGCTCACTGAAAGACATGATTGGTTCCTTGGTCTTTGAGGCTCGTATTTGACGACAACGATGCTGCCTTGACTCCATCGTTGATTTTAGTGCTGAATCCTCTTGTTCCAATCTGATAAACTCGTTTAACGCTATCCGTTCTAGCCCCTCCCTGAGCGACTACTAAATTCAACGCCAGAGTCTATATTGAACAAGATGGAATGGATACTGCACCCGGGGCAGCTCACCGATATCCTCGGAATCCCGACCGGGGAAGTTGGCGGCCTAACCATGCTCGATGACACTTCTAACTCGCAATCATCTGAAAACCATCTTCGTCGTTTAAAACGTCCACATACGAAATCTCGCCGAGGGTGCCTCAACTGCAAGAGACGAAAAGTGAAGGTCAGTCGATCAGAGACGACTACGCTTTAATATTAATCGAGCCTAACTTTTTCAAAGTGTCAAGAGACAAAGCCAGCATGTACAAACTGCCTTTCAAGAGATATGAAATGTGTATATTCCCCACCGGCTACAGATGACGAAAGCACTGAGGTGTCAATGGCAATTACCAAAGGTTTCGTTAATACTGAAACACTTTTATCAGGGCCATTTACGGGGGAAGATTTGCGATTTTTTCAGCATTTTCTTACCGTTTCGCGGCCCCATCTACCTTTTGGCAGCGAGAACTCATGGACCACGGATGTTCCAGCCTATGCACATGAGGTAAGCTAATATACGCAATTATTCTTGATACGAGGAAATCACTAAGCCGTTTCAGTGCCCCCATCTGATGCATGCGATCCTCTCACTCGGGGCAACCCACTACGACCTTACAATACCCAGCAACTCTCGCTACAAAGCCATGGCCATTTCCCACCGAGGGAAGGCCCTGAAGCATCTATCACTTGCTCTCGAAGATATTGATAACTGCTCGGCGACTTCCCTGGACGGTGTCTTAGCCACATGCTATGCTTTAGTTTTCCAGGCCTATTACATGAATGACGGAGTAATGGATTTCGCAGTCATGGTACGTGGCTGCAGCTTGATGACCACCCAAATACAGCGAAGGTTCAATGGTAGCAAAATGTTTCTTTTGCAGACCTCAGAGCAAGTGATGCAAATGGTAGAGCCATGGCTCCCAAAGACCGCGCATCCGAATCAAGATGACGTGAATCTTTGCATCAGGGATATCGAACAGCTTCGTCCGTTCATACAAGACGAAAGCGCTTTGAGCTTCTTCCAATCCCTCATTAATACCTACTTTGCTCTCCAACATTCAGTCCACGCTGCCTTCATCTGCCTCAGTGGTGTTTACGGAATCTGGAATTCGATGGAAAATCAAAATTTCATGAATCTCATCTCGAGCACGAATATTGTTTGCCGGGCACTTTTCTTGCATTACTTCGCAATAGACACGCTGATGCGACCATTCCTACTTCATGTTCGAGGCCGAAAACACCCGAGCATCTCCTTTGGTGGCATTGTTATGGGACAGTGGGCAGATGCAGCGTATTGTGGGCTACCCGCCAGCATCCAAAATCTGGTGAAGCACGAGGTTGAACTAGTGCGCCGTGAGAAGGCAAAAATATCTCTCATATAAAGTGACAACCTCTAAAAAGGAAAGCCCGGCAATCTTTGAAAAAAAAAACTTGCACTACTAGTGCTACTCGTGGTATCTACACTGTGTCTTGTATGAGGGAAAGTATCAATGGTCTGGTCATCATATTGCTTTATCCTTGCTACAATAATAGAAAGCAATCTAATCTTTTATTCCGCAGAACAAAACAATTAGAAAGCTGATAATAAAGAGTATTTAACACACCGAGGAGAAACGGCAACAACAAGACCCGGTAGGGCAAAATGTACCCATAAAGAAATGTATCTTCATATCCAACAGGCGCCATAAGATATATCATGCTACATCTTTGAAAGAGGAGTTAGCAATTTGCCGATTGAGAGAGTCTCCGAATATCGGATTTTCCTGGCCGACACAGAAATCGCCCGGGATGGTACCACCCAAGCACACTAATGGAAATGAGCATCGGAACTGCTTCAAGAACATATAAGGGCCATTCGTGAGTGAACAAGTATGCGTCAATCCCCAGAGCGAACTCAATCACGCGGTATATACATCGGATCTTGAATTGAGATGAATGTTAGATGAGTCCAGATTGACTTCAGGGGTGTCACTCACAAGGATGAAGAAACCAGCTATGTAGATTCCCTTCAAAAGTACACCCACGCCCTGATCTATGGATTTTCCCGCATGCTTTGATTTGAGTTGGAATGATCCCACGATGATCAAAAAAGCAGTAAATGTCACGACCTGTAGCACCAACCCCCCCTATCAAGACACCAGTACCGGTATCCTTTTGCGACCCTTCCCAGTCCCCAGAAGAGGCAATGCCACTCCCTGAAGCTTGGGTAAGGCAGCTGATGACATCCAACGAAACGAAGATTCTGGGCAGCCATCGACGTCGGATTTTGATGAAAAGGGATTTCGTCGATCTTTCGCTGGTCTTTCCATGATCTCCAGTCCAAATCAATCTGTCCATCAACAGGTAAAGACTTGCACACACGAATACTGGAGCGATCACAATAAGAGTGGCAGATACTGCGTATAAAGGAATATTATCGGGTTGCTTAAGGCTAGCACAGCGTATGCCATATCCGAAAACTTCCAGAAAGGCCCCAATGAGTAACGGGGTGAAATGACCGCTGCGCTGGAATTTACCCTGCAGCGGGGCCAAGATCAAGGCGTAGAGATGGTAGATAGAAGGGCCGAAATATAAAACAGTGAAAAGAATAGAGGCAGCAAGCGAAGGCTTATAAGAATAAATGCTATCATTGTCGGTGGCCATAACGGATGCAAAATAGGGTTTGTTCACAATGCGAAGATTTGGAAAACTTTAAGTTGGAAGGTGGTATATACAATTCTGCTGCAATGGGTACGTCCCAAGATCAGAATAGAAGGATTTGAGCCGATTTTATAAGATATACTGCTCCAGTGACTCTATAGTTTGAAACTATGGCATTGCTCCATTGGGTAAATATCGTATCTTGCAGATGCGGAAGGACATCGTATTCGCATTTCGCACAGCTGAAAGCGGACCCGGCCAAGCCACCACAGCCCGACAATATCGGCCATGATTGGCCACCGATGGCTCAAAATAAGGTTAACGCGTTGAATGCGAAAAGTGCGATGAGAACGCCGACACTAGATTAGTCAACCTTGAAAAATCATGATAGTTGTCCTATTATTAAGGAGCTTCTTCAAGTGGCTGCCTAATCCTTTACTGTCCAGTTGCGAATCTTGCAGATCTGAGATCACCACACCTTCACAAAATAATTGCTTCTATATTTTATTTTGTTTCTTAACTTGGAGGCAATAGGGAACTCGTACTCTTTTGCTTGGGTAGATATTTTAAGGAATTTCGCAAGCTTGAAAGCAGCCAATAAATTTAGTTCCGGTAGTGTGAAGCACATAATGCTCTGACGATGTTAATCGTGGAATATTTGCTCGATTCAAACACAAAAGATTTAAACCGCTGTTCAATCCTTGTTGGCAAAGTCTTCCCGTATTTCAACAGCTTCGCCTTCGTAAGGATCAACCGAGGTCTGCGCAAATTTTCTAGCTGACACCCGTCTCTCAAAGAGCAAGTCCAGTTCCTCGTATGTGCGCCCCTTTGGTTCTGGAAGCCTGAAATATGCCCAAACAAGGCTAAGCAAGCAGGTGCCCGCCCAGAAATATGCGCTCCTTGCTCCCCAGCCCCACGCCGTAGAGCTTAGTTGGTAATTGGTCAAAACATTCACTACAATATTGCTGATGTTGTATAATGAGCGGGCGAGGACGATGGTCTTAGCCTTGAGACGCGTTGAAGAGAGCTCTGAGACAAGAGAGTACGTCACTGGGCCGACAGTGATGTCGTAACAGAATGTAAAGATAATCAACATCACTCCGATAGCCCATTTCGCCCCATCACTATCGGCGAATGATAAGCTTCCAGTGATGACGAGAAGTAAAAACAGGCAAGAAAGACCACAGATGTGCATGGTTCTGCGACCGGCAACGGTCATCAGGAACCATGAGCCTAGAGTACCAATCACGCCAAGTGCATATTGTCCTAATGATAAATTGAAGGATTGAATGGGAGGCAGACCAGCCTGGACCATGAAATAGGCAAAATAGCCCATCAGATTCTGTCCACAGAGCGTTTGGACTAGCCACACGACACATACAACTTCTGTTCGGCGCAGGTTGGTGCCCTTGAAACAATCCCAGTACGAGGTTCCACTCGAGAGAGACGCCTCCAGCTCATTTGTATGCTGAATCATGGCTATCGTTTCATCGATGTTGAAACTGGGATCGCTATCAGATGTAAGTCTTTGTAGAGCTCTTCGAGCACCTTGGACGTTTCCTTGGCGAACATGCCACCAAGGCGATTCGGGGGCAAATAAACAGCCAAGCATAATGGGAAGCGGCCAGATCCACTGCACCCCGAAGGGAATTCGATAGGCCCACTGGTCATCGCGGGATATAGATCCTCGGTTCACGCCGACAGCGACAAATTGCCCGAAGACCCAGCACATGTTGATGAAGGTGGTCAGATATGGGCGAAGTACGACCGGGCAAACTTCTGACGCATAAGCCGCGGGTAGTGTTTGGAAGATACCCCACGGTATGCCGGCCAATATTTCCGCAGCAAGGAGCATCTCCACGTTGACAGCGAAGAAGAAGATAAAGATCACCGCGGTGATTGTAGCCAGGGCACATATCATAGTCCGTCTGTATCCCAGACGCTCAGAAATAAGACCGTTGATCAGGAGACCAATAACCTCTCCGCATCGCGCTCCGTTCGATAAGCCGGATTGCCAGGAGGCTGGTACAGCCCATTTGCCGTTTGGGCCCTGAACACCGAATTTCTGGTTGAATGCTGGGGAGGCATACATGGAGCTGAGCAAGGCGAGATCATATCCCTCCATGATGAGCGTAGATGAAAGGAGCACAGACCAGCCAACAGCTTTGGGATAGAGCTTCACTGCTTCCCAGAGTGTCATGGACTGTTCCTTCTTTGCAGCCTGCTGGCCCTGCAACAAAGGAGGCTGTTTGGCATCCAGCCCATCTTCCCCAACCATGTGTTGCATCGAAAGACTCATACTGAAAGCAGCCCTTTCAAGAATCTTCAAGGAAACTGGGTTCTGAGATTTTCAGAATATAATCAGGCGAGGAGATATAGTCTTAGACGTCTGATTGCATGATCTCCAGGGCTCGTTTGTAGTTTTCGACAAGATTCTTGCGATCGAGGGAAAAACCCATAAGATTTATACTACACGCAGCATGGCACGGACATGGCGCGACATGCAGGTCGTTGATCCGGGGAAGAAAAGTGTAGCCGAAGCAGCAATTGGAGAAAAACCGGGGAAGGAGAAGAGCGGAGATAACTTTCTGGCCAATCGGAATGGGCATTTAACATTTCCGGCAGCTAGTCGGCCGTTAGTCGGCGATATGCAGAAGCATTTCGGACCCTTGGCGGAAATATGGAGCGGGGCTATGAGCAACATCCGAGCAGACGCCGGGAATGAGATGATATAAAGACTTTTACTGTTCGGATGGACTAAGCCTTGCCTGGTACAAACACGAATCATGTCACCTCATGCAGAAATAATTTCAAAGGAGGTTCCGACAGGGGCGAATAACTGGTGGAAGGAGGCAACGGTCTACCAGGTATTTTTGGCAAATCAAGAGCTTCGAATTGCCTCACTAATTGTTTTTCCCCCCAGGTATATCCGGCTTCCTTCTATGACTCGAACGGTGATGGCTGGGGTGATATCCCCGGCCTTATCGCCAAAATCCCCTACCTCCACTCGCTAGGAATCGACGTCGTCTGGCTGTCTCCAATGTACGACTCACCGATGCACGACATGGGCTACGACGTCTCAGACTATGAGAATGTTCTCCCGGCATACGGAACCGTGCAAGATGTCGAGAACCTGATTCAGGCATGCCATGAGCGGGGCATGAAGCTCATTCTTGACCTCGTTGTCAATCATACCAGCGATCAACACGAATGGTTTAAGGAAAGTCGCAGCAGCAAAGACAATCCTAAGCGAGATTGGTACTTCTGGCGCCCTCCGCGATATGATGAGCAAGGAAACCGTCTGCCCCCGAGTAACTACCGAGGCTATTTTGCAGGAAGTACATGTGAGTTGCGACGGATTTCATTTCATCTCCAAGTCTGTCGATTTGAATAGCACGACGATGCTGATACAAAGTTTCCGTGATTTTTAGGGACGTGGGATGAGCATACCCAAGAATACTACCTCCACCTCTACGCCCCAAGTCAACCGGACCTAAACTGGGACAACGAATCCACGCGACAAGAGATCTACAAAAGCGCTGTCCACTTCTGGCTGGAAAAGGGGATTGACGGCTTCCGCGTCGATACGGTCAACAAATACAGCAAACACACGTCCTTCCCCGATGCACCAGTTGTCGATCCCAAAAGTTACATTCAGCCCGCGATCCCAATGTGGTGCAACGGGCCGCGTATTCATGAGTTCCTACGCGAGATGTACGACACCGCTCTCGCACCGTACGGAGATGTCGTTACTGTCGGCGAGCTAGCGAACACACCCGATCCCAAACAAGTATTGGAATATGTCGGCGCATCAGCGAAAGAGTTGAGCATGGTATTCCATCTTGATATTGGACACATCGGAATGGGCGCACTGGAGGATAAATACATTTTTCATCCATGGGAACTGACAAAGTTGAAGGACGTTGTGTACAAATGGCAAAGCTTTGTCGAGGGAAGCGATGGGTGGACGACAGCATTCTGCGAGAACCATGATAACGGGCGCTCTGTATCACGATTTGGCGACGATTCCTCTGCTTTTCGTGAAATAAGCGCCAAAATGCTTGCGATTATGATGGTTTCCATGACGGGCACCTTGTTTCTTTACCAGGGGCAGGAAATCGGTATGATCAATGCGCCGCGTGAGTGGCCTATTGATGAGTATCGCGACATCGAGGGACTGGGCTATTACCGTGAAGCCGAGTCTCTGGAAAAGAGTGGCGTTGATACGTCGCGTAAAGAGAAGATAATGGACGGACTGAGAATTCTCGCGCGTGATCATTCTCGATTGCCTATGCAATGGGATGATTCTCCTCATGCGGGATTTACGACTGGCAAGCCTTGGATGAGAGCTCATGACTTGTACCCTGAGATTAATGTGAAGCAGCAGGAAGCTGAGAAGGGAAGTGTGCTATCATTTTGGAAGGAGTTGCTCAGGATGAGGAAGACGTATCGGGATTTGTTCATCCATGGTGCGTTTGAGGTCTTGGATCGTGAGGATCCCGCAACATTTTGCTTTTTAAAGAGCAGAGATGATAGGGAGGCTTTGACTATATTGAACTTTACGGCTCAAAGCCAGCCTTTCAACCTTGCCGAAAAGACTTCTGGGATGAAGTTGCTGGTCGGAAATTACGGGGCTTCTGAATTCGAGACTCTTAAACCATTCGAAGGTCGAATTTACATCAAATAAAGAAATGGAGATTCTATTTAACGAAACAATAAAGCAACTTCGATTTTGATTCATATCGTATTTCTCTCCGGTGGAGAGTTCGCCGGTTCAACTGCCGTGGATAGTAATGATGATCGCAACACCATGCAAGCAAAAAGGTTGAGCAGCGATCCCCTTGGAAATGTTCAATTTCGATTCAAGAAAAAGCAAGCTGAGAAAATTACATGTCAAAAACGTACATTCCAACTGTCCACATGCCAAAGAGACTCAACAAAAGAACACTTGTAGGACAGTGGATGAAAAAAGAGGGTATATAGCATGGATCACATGAGCCACAGCAAAGGAAGGAAAACGATCAAAGCACCTGGGCACCTATCAATATAAAAACAGAAGTGATCATCGCTTTCAACGCAGACAGAAGCCAAATATAATATTCACAGTCCGAATGTCTAGGCAAAGCGCCAACCCGAGTCCGTTGAGCGCTGACGCTTCATGACAGAGCGGAAAAGACTTTCCTTGCGAGCAAAAGGCTTTTTCTTTTTCTGCTTCTGCTGGTTGAGTAGAGATTCAGCAGCTTGGACGTCAATTCCCTCTCCGGTATCGGTAATTTTCAGAGCCCACTTCACGTCATCTGGGTCAAAGCCAAGGTCTTGGACCATGTGTTCAATTGCACGGTCAACTGGGTCTTGAACCTGTGGTGGGATAGAAGGGCGGGAGAACAAAGGTTGGGGTAGAACTGGCATAGGGTGTCGGTGCGGAGGTGGGAAGAGGGTCGGGGGGTGTTGCATGGGTGGGCTGCGTGATTGAGGGTGGAACGGGACATCTAGGTCAAAGGCTGGAAGTGGCGGCGATGGAAACTGAGTTGGTGTGTGAGGAGGTCCAGCTGTGCCAGTGGTTGATGTTGAAGCGCGGTCAAGCATCAAGGAAGGGAGAGCCGGGACTGGAGGCGCATCTGGACCTGCACCATCTAGATTATGGACGATCTCGCTGAATTCGGACATGGGCCGCTCTTCCGAGAATCCAGTTCCCTGTTCAAGGCCACGAGCTCGTCTGGCACGGAGCTCCTGCTTGTAGTCTGCGCGACGCTGTTCACGTTCTTGTTGAGTTTGGATTCCAGCTGACGAATCTATCGGGCTTCCATCTCCATCCCTGAGAGAACGTTCGTGATCCTCGTACACACGAGAGACGGCTTCCTTCAGAAATGAAGAACGACTTGTTTGTGTCTCAGTCGGCGCCCATTTGGTCAATCCGGAGGATTGGGCCATGTTGAAAAAAGCTGTTGTGGCCGCTGCTGGGGCGAGAGAGCTAAGACCCAGAACGGCAGAAAGCCCGATTGTCATGACAAAAGACGTCCATTCTTCTATTTCTTTGTTAGATTCATTTTCCTTGCCTTTTCCCCTTATGTTCAGTAGCTGACTTACCAAGGACCTGCTCTTCCAGAGCGTGATCATCGATCGGAACATCCATGCCTTCATATATGCCAACTCTCCTAGCTTCAATACACTTCCCATGAAGAGGCTGTAATAAAACGCCCATACACGTCCAGATCTCCGTCATATCATACAGTTGTCTCGGGGATAGACCAAGCCCATTACCTCTGCCGAAACCTTCGGGTGGCTCGAAGAGAGCATTTCCTAGACCAAAGGGCTCTGTCATACATCCCGACGCGCCAAAATAACCTCTAGCTTTGGCGCCCCCTCGTAGCCAGTCAACCTGGCCCTCAAGATCATTTTCGCGGCCTTTGTTGCTTCCAAAGAGACGACAGAATGTCCAAATGCGCCAGAATGCGGCATCAACCTCCTCGGCACGATCGATATCCAGCCCTGAAAGACCGCGAATAGTATCGCGGCGTAGAAATGGAGAACATCTTACAAGAATCATGGCCTTGAGCTTTGCAAGGGTGTAAATGTCCTGCGCATATCGATCTAGGTAAAGCGAAGGCGTATACTCAGGCACCCGAGAGTCTGGCTCTAACAATTGTGTCTCGGTCGCCCAGGGAGGAGACATCTCCCGGAGCTCCCAAGCTGGCGGAGACATCTTGAACAGTGCATTCTTTATCAAGTGCAATTCGTGCTTTTTGAAAATAGAGTAGAACCTCCTGTTAACCAGAACAAGATTAAACAGGTCCTCTAGCGAATCGACCTTTTCCATTATAGCCATGGTTAGGCGCAATGGAAAGTCTGGCGGGAAATTAACATTGGCCTCAACGAGCTGTCTAGCACCAAATACTGGCAAGGTCGAAGTGGGCGATGGAGGTGTCGCAGCGAGTTCATACACTTGATCTGAGGGAAGTTGCACACTACTGGCCTGTGCCGTTGAGACAAGGGCGTATGTATATCGTGACATTTCGGGTACTTTCATGCCTGGTTCAACCACGATCTTTTCTTCGGGAGGCGTAAACCATTCCCGCTCTTGACTCTTCACTTCCCCTGGGAGGAAGCGGAGTTGGTGGGGCTTTTTTGGGGGCCATTTTGGAGATTTTGTCGGGGGCTGGCGTCGGGGCTGCCCCTGGTAGACTGGGCGACCCCTTGGCCGGCCACTTCCATGCGGTCGCGAATACTGTTTAACTCAAGGTCGTTGGTCTGGAGACGAGGTAATTGCAGAAGTAGATCGGACCGTTTGGTCGGACCTTGGTCTTCGTCAGCCAGGGTAGGATCGGAGGGCGATGACTGGAGGCACGAAGGCTCGTCTGGTGGGTCAAGGGAGGAGTCCGAGGGCGACGATAGGCTAGTGCTAAGTAAGGGGGCACCCGCCAATCGCACTGGTTTGTTGCGCTTGAATGATTTCATCGAGAAGGTGAAGGATTTCTTCAACGGCTTTCCTCTCTTGGCTTCTGCATCTTTCGGGGCAGTGTTACTTTCTGGCCCCACACTGCTGTCAACCAGAGGATTGATAGGCTGGCAATCGAGGCTTTTGCTCTTATTGTGGCCTTTGTTTTGGTTCTGGTCGTCATTCTTGAGCTCACCCTCAGGGATAGCAGCAAGATTCAAAGGCCGGCTGTCTCTTTTAACTTTGGTGGACCGCTTCGGCCTCTCGGGCTGCTCGAGCTTCTCGGGCCTCTCGAGCTTCTCGGGCCTCTCGAGCTTCTCGGGCCTTCTGGACTTGCTTGACTTGCTCGACCTACCTGACTTGCTTGATCGCAAGGAGTCCAACAACGGCGTGGAATGGGTCATCGAGTGAGGCTTCGTCGAGGGTGGTAGAGGCGCTGGGCGCGTGGCTATAAGATCTCCATTATGGCGACTGACTTGCAGAGGTCCATCAAGTATGAGAAGTGTTCTTTGCTTCGATCCATACTTCTGCAAATCAGCTAAAACATCTTCAAGCTCCTCCGCGGCTCTTTCCAAAGAAGGTAGCTGGCGAATGTGAGGTTCGCCTTTCTCCAGACGATCAGCCCATTGTGAACGATTAGTCCTACGCGGTCTCGCAGAATGTCCACCACAGGAATGACAAGCGTGGGATGGCGAGCCTGAGTTCACACCGGTATTCGAATTATGAAGGGTGATGTGGGAATGACTCGGGGGTGAATGCGGGTATGGCGAGTGTGGGTAGATAGTAGGGCTGGTTCGCTGTTGTGGATTCGGACGGCTGTGATGGCCCACTGCTAATGGACTGGGCGCAATTTCAGAATCGGAAATAGGCTCGAGGGGTAAGGGCTTGTTCTTCAGGTCGTTCATTGTGCTTGTTGTATTAATCGAAACAGCCGAGTTGCACTGTGATGAATATAGGCCCCGCGTTGAGGAAGTGCCTTCTCGTCTTATAGGGGTTGGCACTTGTAGTCTCGATGTGATAGACGCCGCTCGCGATAGACAGACTGATGCAGAATCATCAAAGACACCGGCTGCGGCGGGTGAATAGATGGAATATGCATCGGCAGGCATCGGGAATTCTTCCATATCGTCCAAATGTTCTTCGCTCACGCTGGACAATGAACTTCGTCGACTGTAGCAAGAAGACGCGCAATCAAATATGCCATCTGACCCCGAAGACGAGCTGGTTTTCCGCTTCCCAATACTGTCCTCCTCTTCACCCCGAGGGCTTTTGCATAGACTTTGTACCCGCTGCTCCAGTTCGCTCTCCAAGATGGACAAGCGTGCCCCCTGCTTCATCTTTTTATCAGCTCTGACCGGGGAAATTAGGTCGACATTGGTCGAGAGTTCGGGGAAGAATCGGTGGAGGCCACTGCCACGATGTACAGGGGCTGGATCGTCAGATATAGGAGAAATGTCTGAGTCGCTGGAGGCATCGTTCAGATGAGTGCTTATGCGAAGTGAAGCCTGTGGCGAGACTCCTTGTGCATCCGTGTCGTTCATCTTCAAGTTGTTGCTTTTCTCAACCGGCTTATTCAGGGCTGTAGGTATTAACAACGGTTCTCCATTGCCTGATAGCCCCGATTCAGACACTGCCATCTTCCTCAATGGCAGATCTTCTTCCTTTTCTTCCTTTTCGTCCTTTTCTTCCTTTTCTTCCTTTTCTTCCTTTTCTTCTTTTCCCTCTTTGTGATCAATCAAACCACAATCACTGCCGCGTACGGCTTTGATGGTCGGCTCGAAGATGCAACCTTTTTTATGCTTTGCTCTCTGCTCTCCTGATTTGAGCAACGCCGTCTGCAGCTTCAACGGAGGTGGCCGATGTGGCCCCTTCTTCTTGTTGCTGGGGGACCGGCGCGGTCGAATATAAGGGAAAGACATTGCGGTCACCATGGTTAAATATCGTCAAGGGTAGAGCGCCGGCAAGATTAGTCCCGTGGCATTGTCCTCGAGTAATTTCTGTAGAACCAATTAGGACGGTGCTCAGATATGCAGAATTGGCCGGATTTGGCAATGTTCAAAGAACTGACTGGGTGGTGGCTGTCGGGGAGGTCTGGGATAGTTTGTATAACTATACTATCCAACCGTGGTTGGTACACAAAGACAATCGGCTTCTTCGAACTCGTGGACGGTATAAGAATGAAGGAGAAAAGGAAGAAAACGAGCCAGTGGATGTCCAAAAGCCCTGGAGATCCAGTCGAACGCCCTCTTTTGACCAACTGGTCTTCTTACTACTACCTTCTCCAAGGCCCCCAAGATAAGCAGTAGTTGGTGGGTTGGGGCCAAATACAGCGCCCCCAAATCCTAGATCGGGCGATGCAGTGTGATAGTAACGGAAGCCTTTGTTGTTTTTTATTAATTTGGCTAGATTTTGCGCGAAGAATTACTTCTTAAAGAATCCCTATTTCTTCCATTTCTACTCTACCATCCCGTTCTATTTTCATTCCAAAATACGATGGTTCCTCGTGTCGGACACTATTCTTAAACCCGATCGACAGTGCAGACGCGGAAGCGATCGCCAGCACGACAAATCGTAAAAATCACTCGCAGAAAATAAAATAAAATACGCTAGGCACAATTTGTATGGGGCCTGCGACTCCTCCCCAATAAAATTTCTTTCTTGGTCCCCGTTCATTTTGTTTCTGGTAACTTCAAGTTGTATGCAAACAGGCTTAGCTACATTCTTCTTGATCTGTATCTTCAACGCGACCGACACAATATTCGCCGTCATCCTGAATTCGAAATTCGCTTTGGTATCATATCCCTAACACACATCGCATGATTGTATGTTTGGCCCCACATTCCTCGCCCGATGCCCAGAACGCCTTCGCCACTCTGCCGAGTGCAATCTGTAGTCCCCAAGCCCCGCGAACCTTAGCACCGACAGTATCTCGCAGTCTGGTTGCCCCGAGTGCTACCTCGTAATCCATAACAGTATCGGTCTGAGTCAGCGAGTTGATCCCATTGGCCGCGCTTCTACTAGTACGGGGTATCATATCTCCATATTGATTCATCACGATCTGCTTACGGAGTACGGAGTAAATGAACACCAAATGACGAAAAAGAACATCCCCTCCTTAGTCCATTCCTATTCCTGTCGTTTCCTATCAAATTAAGGGCAGGTATGTATGTACATCTATTTTCTGTTCACAATTTCAACGATAGGTCTTTCTCCTCCGTCGCCCCTCAGGGGCCAGCTTATGATCAAAATCTTTACTGGGCGTCTCGCCATGCTAACCATTTCTGCATCATCTGTGGCGTACAGTGGATCCCGTCCCAGGCCTGAAGACATGCAACAGAGAAACCAATGCGGGTCCTGAGAACTAGCTCCACCGATCTTCCTTAATGCAGCTAGTTATTGTTCATGACAGCCTTGTCTAAACTGTGCCATCCAAACCCCCCTCGCACTGCCTGCCCTCTGCAGTATAAACTACTTACACTGCGAAAGTAAGTGCAGTTTACGCAAGTAGTGATAATTTGAACCCCTATGCCTAGCTCCGTCTCCAACTCTAGCCCCCTTTATCTTACCCGATGGCCCCTTCAGGGGCCATCGGGCTTACTGTAGTTGTATGTGGGGGCCGTGTACTCTGTACGTTTGGAGTTATCCACTACATAACACATACTCTTTTCATCGTTAGTCTATGTGCAATTTGTTCACTCTTTCCGGTTTCCCGGATCTATTTCCCTGCCATTTAGCCGGGCTTGATTTTCGATTCAATTTTTTGTTACGGCCGTGCCGCACGGCCGTATGACGGCTGCCCCAGAACAGACTGTGTACATCCATTTATCACCATCAATGCTGACCACATGGACCATGATCCTTCAATCCTGTGAACCCTTCCGACCGTATTGATCAAATCAATACAGTACTCCCTCACAGTGCTCGAAAGCCATAACTCTCAAGAAACGTGTTTGAACTACCTGCTTTGTATGGACTCCACTCAGATGCAAACTATCCCCTACCCGCGATGGGGGCCATTTGACAGTGCGCAATGACGTTTCCTGTCTAGCTCGAAACCAAACTCAAGTAAATTGCCCATACAACCCCAAATAAGCTTCCCACAAGCAGGCGTTGATCAGCAGGGACGATGGTGAAATTCAGTACTGAAACAAAAGGCCATAGTTTCAACCCTGCGACCATGATGGGCACGAAATCCTAAGCACATAGGCGAACGTTAGCGATTGAACTTAACACGTCCACAATTTTTTGCTTTGCATCGTGGTTAATTTGCCACCTGCAGATGCTGGATCATCTTGGATGTTTGAGCGTAGGATCGCCCTCCCTTCGTTGATGAATACAGTCTTCCGTGGCAAATATCGGGAATAATGAGAGCGACCCCGCCCCTCTACTCCGAAACCAATCTCACGAATACTGTCTTTCTTGACTGGTGATCTCATGTCTTGGCCCCGGGATCTAATAATCTGACATCACTCACCGAATATATTTGCGATTGGATTGTCGCGGCGTCGAGGCCGCGGAGAATCCCCATTGTAGCTAGGAAAAGTACGGTATTCCATGTGCCCCCAACAACTTGATCAATAGCAATCTTGGCTATTGTGTTCCTGATATTGAGGCGGGGTTTGGGTCTAGATTTGCCATCTGCCGAGGTGATCTTCTCTTTGTCTTTCAAGTCGTCTTCGGTGACTTGCTTTGTGCCCGGGAACCATGCTTCTAGATTCTCTAGCCAAAGGTAACCAAGAGGCGAGACTATGAGCGCGCAGGTAGTAAATTGCATCAAAGCCGTGTTGTCCACCTTGAATGGCACCTTCATTCCCAGTTAGCATCCTGTCAGGACTTGTATAACTGGCGGTGAAGCTTGGACTTCTTTGCCCATCTCGCCTTCTGATCTCAGAGGTGCAAATGTTCTTAATCCTCTCAAAGACGTAGATTTCAAAGAGAAGCTACCTACCTGATCACGATAAGCCTTGATTCCTTGCGCAAGCACATTTGACCCGGCATTGATAACCGCCGCTTGCAACGTGGCCTTGGCGATGGGTGGGATAGACATCACGCCCTGCTAGACACTTTATTCCAGGCGGTAACTAGTTGCCTGGATGTGTAATAGAATGCTATACGCAATGTGATTGGAGCTCTTTCTGCAAACTTTGAGACGGATTAGATTGAAAAGGGTGGATGTAATCTTCACGGGAGTGGGGGATGCATTCTGGGGTCAAAGGGGAAAGAAAAAGCCAAGGAGGAGAGTGCGTGGCAATACTTGCGATATGCATAAATTCGTCTGTTTCAGAGCACGTACTTAAAGTGGGGTAGCTCCCTAGGTAGGCAGAAAGGCATACGGTTAAGCTGTAGAAAATTAACGGCCGTACGGACTAACGATATTCAAGATAATAATTTCGTGGCATTGAAGATGTAACTTTACTAAGACAAGATTCAAATTAGGATGGTAGTATACCACGAGTTTCCTAATTAAGGACAAGATTATCAGTAGTATGATCAAAGGTGAAATTATAGCATACTTAGGTAGAAAGATGTTTTCTAAACAAGATCCTCGCTCAAGATAAATAGAACAAGATACTCCCGGCACAGTCCCCGGGGCCCATTCCAGCCCACAGTGACTGCCTGGCCTTTTCAAACGTTTGTGAGATTGAATGCCGAGGTCTTTTCTTATAGATCTCACCCAAGTTTCAATATGCTTCCTACCATTGCCCTAACATCCCTGGCCCTTCTACCCACTGTGCAAGGAACCCCTTCATCCTCGCATGGCGTTTACAAACGCTGCGGTGCTGTTGGCCAATACTACGACCAGCATCAGGCGGACTGGGACACACACAACACGCAGGGCTGGCTGGACAGCTGGTGGACCAAGAATACCGCGCTGATGCACAACAACTCTTTAGGATTTGCCGGCGCCTTCGGGCAGTGGGCCATGGGCGACCCGGACTGGTCATGTCTGGAAGATGGCTCTAGTTCAGGCTGTGAACTGAACACGTGTGATAACCCTGTGCTTAACAACCGTGGAAAAGACGTCCGCCCGGCATACTATGTGCTTGAGTCTGTTAGTCGTCTGAACAAGTACTTTGGTGGTGTCAGTTCTGCCTTTAGTACCGCCGGTCTGGATGCGGCCCTCTCCAAGGACTCGTGGGCGACTACCTTCTATGAGGCAAAGGACCAACAGAGTGTGGTCCTCCTTAAGGAGGTGCTTAACGGCCTCGGTATGCTTATTGGAATTGGTGCTTCCCTTGCAGGAGTCGGCCTGCCTTGGTAGGCGTGACTGCGTCCACTGCGGCTGCGGCTGGTGCATGGGCTGGTGCTGGCGGGGCGGCCTATAGCGGTGCTGTCACCGCGGCTGGACTTCAAATAGATCCCCAGTATGTTATATCCTCTTTAATTTGCACAATCATGCTAACTGCTCTATCCCAAACAGCGCGGACGACCCATTTCAGAGATCTGCCGACCTAGGTGGCATACTGGGCAAGATTGTTATTGACTCCATCGAGTCATTCACCACCGCCAACAACCAGCTCATGGGCGGCCACGAATACAACAATGAGGACATCCGCAGCTACCTATCACATGGTGCCTTCATCGAGTTCCCAGGAGTCGACACGAACGCTGTGACCGATTCCATGACCGCCATGCTCGTCGGGACCTCCATTAACCAACTGTACCGTGCCCAAAAAGTCTTCATTATGGGGGGTGCTGCATGCGGCGACAATCAGGGTATTGGGTCCGGTCCTCAAGACACTTCAAGTTACATCTGCCGTGATGGGAAGGCCTGGTATCTGTACTACTGGCAGGAGAACAACGTCATCTCAACAACCTCGCACCAGTGGGGATGGGTCGCCTCGCCTCCTGGATTGTCCCAGCTGCAACAGAATGAGTTCAGCAATATCCATCTTAACGTTTCGCATATTATAAACTCCTCCCTCGATGCATTCAACGTCGCCGGTTACAACTACACTACTGCCACCGCCCAAGCACGCACCGAGGACGCCATTACCAAAGGCTGGGCCGTCCCAGGCGCTTATGGCGCCGCTTGGGAGGGTATCTTCACTATCCCTGTTTGCGATGTCAGCGCTGCCATCGGCTCAAACATCAACCTCAAGCAGTTTATCCTGCAGCCATACGGCCATGACAGCCGTCCCGTCTGGTGTGGACCTATCTGCAGTGGTGATGCGGAGAAGACTAAGGCCTTTATCGATGCTGCTAACATGGGGGGGCTTCGAGAGTCCTAAGCGATTGTGTGGACAAGACCCCGGGTACTAAACCTGACACTCTTAGGTCTCCTGTTTACCACCTGGGTAGTTTGGTAAGATAAGGAGATAGGTAGGGGATTTTGGATGGTGTCATTCTCTTCTAATTCATTCTTTTATAATTACTTCTATTAGTCATTTTTTATGGTGATATAAATAGTTAGACATTTGCAATTTTGACCTCCAACTTGAAGACTGTGCAATGATAAATTAAGAAGTCCCACCTAGGCACAAAGGCATTCCAACATAAGCATAACTGAAGAAATTATCATTATGCAGAAAGGAAACTGATGAAAAAGTAAGTGTATAATAGTTTTCCCAATCAAATTGAGGTGCTCTTCGGCAACTTGCACCTGAACTATACCAAACTTGAAATGTTGAACAACTATCTAGTTCAATTTTACAAACGGGACTGTGGCGCCTAATAAAAGCCGCAAATTTTTCCACTGATAGCAAGTATCCTCTTTTGCGAATTATCAGAGGTTATTGCAATGTAGAAAACATACAACCTGGTAATGCCAAGGCTTGGTGCATTGTATGTACATTGCCGATCGCGCGCTACAGTCTCTGTGGAAGTTGTGGGGCATTGTGTCTTGCAGATACGAGGTTGGCTCCCAAGTGGGCTCGTATATGACGTCAATCTTGGTCTACAAATAGAAGCAAAGCGAGGGGTCCTGACCCCAGAAGCCTTGGAACCTTCTCACTTTCTGTATCCAATGAAGAGCAATGCAACTACTAGTAGCACAGAGTAGTAACGTTACATCTGTATTCGTAAATATTCGGATCTTCCCATAACGCTAGGGGGCTTAGGTCAAAACAATTAATTTGAATGAGATAAATAAATGAGATAAATAATATGAAATTACCACTACTATTTTCTTGCACACCAACTAGTTACATAGTATCCCTGTTCTAGACACACTAATTAGAGAGAATCTGGGGAAATGCTAGTATCTACCAGTCTAGCTCTCCAGATGCAGTGCCATTCCCATTACCATGCGATCCAGGTCCAGAACAATCCAACTCTTTGCATACTATAAATTATCAGTATCGTTTTACCCCAGATTTGGTCGGGGATTACATACGCTGTTCAGCTTGTTGGAAAAGGGAGCTCCCTTTCGGCTGATGCATCGCGGGCAAAATATGACCACCCCGAGCTCTCTCTGATTTCGCATGCTCTTGCACACAAGCCAATATTTCGCGCATAGCTGGAGAGATGTCTGTTGGTTCTCCTGCGACAGATTTATATTCAGCCTCAAGGACCTTGACGAAATCTTGCATCGTTGCCTCGATTGTCCGAGCAAGAGCACCTTCATCGGTGGTCATCTCCGGGGCGCAGTCAAATAAGTCATATCGTATGTGCGTGCTTGTCTCGGAAGCTGGAAGGAAAGACACCGAAAGCCACAGACCAGCATCTTTGAAAGAGTACAAGAAGGTGCTCGGAAAAAGTGAGAGGCTGGCTTCTTTGTTTGTGCGTTTTGCGATTCTGACAAGCTTGGTTATTAGTGATGATGTGACTGCCTTTGACGCTTGCTCTTCAAGCTGTTCAGCGAGACCTGTATAATGACGGTCGCTTGCTATGAAACTGTCAGCAAATCAAAAGCACTCTTTTCAAGGTCACGCGAACATACGTCCAATTTTCCAATTAAAGTTCGCTGTTAATGTCTGCCCTGTGACCCATTCGGATGACCCCATACCAGCAGTGCTTGAAAACGAGCCCAACGCCGAAAGAGTGGAATCTTCGAAGACCCTTGCTTCTCCTGCATTCAAATTCACGAAAACGTGTCCGCTATCGGTGGTTCGAGTGTGGATTTCAAAGAGACTATTTTGTGACTTTTCGAACCCAGGAACATCCTCAAATTGGGGAGCCTTGACCAACTTTCCCGTAGTGTCATAGCTCCATCCATGATATCGACAACCGAGAACAGTTGATGCGCCAGTCTCCTTTCGGGTAATTGTATAAGCACGATGACGGCAGACGTTGTGGAACGCGCGGATTTGGTTGTCTTTTCCTCGGATCAAAAAGACGGGGAATCCAGCGAGATCGAATGACTGATATGCACCTGGCTTTGTGAGTTGGGTGCGATGGGCAAGATATACCCAAGACTGTAAGTCTTTTGTTAGTGGATGCTCGACTCAATTGACACGGGGCCATTGATACTTGGCTAAACAATGCGCGCCTTTCCAGTTCGAAGACATCGCGACCGGTCAACCAACCCTCTGGAACCTCAGGCTCTTTGATAACACTCAAGCCGGATCCAAAGCTGCTCTTGGCGAGGGGCTCATTCGAGAGCTTATAGGTTTTCTTTTGTCGCGACAGACGCGGCCAAGCATCGTTGAAAAGGAAAGCAGCGGCTAACAGAGCCACAACGACCGATGCAGGTGAAGACAAAAAATTTGCATTGAAGAAATCCATGGTAAACTTTATCTTGAGCTCCGATTTGAAATCTTCAACTCACAATTGCTTGAGGCAATCTGCCTTTTATCACAAAGCCCTTGCCTGATATACTACTTCCTGCGACCGGGGGTCCAAGTGTCGCCAATCTCCACAATATACACTTCATCAATGGCATTCCTGCAGTGCCCCCTCCATGTCAGCATATTTCCCGATTAAGTTTGAATTTCCCGTCTGCTAGCCTCGTGGCCACGTTTCATTGCCAATATCTTCCCTACATCGGTTAGCTATCGGGCCGTGGTAATGGAGAAAGCGAAATCCCCCAGAGCTCATTCGTTCATTTTCGTGATATCTTTCACTCTTCGCATAGTACTACTTATGGTGATGAGTGGCAGTTTCAATGTGTGTTTCACAAAGTACAGGACACTGACACTAATCGGCTGAACCCGATTTACATTTCCAAGTCTAGAATCCCGAAAGGGAGAAATGCAGACACTTTTTAGAACATGGCTCAATATTCAACTATCTAAAACTAAATGTTTCTGTACTATGCTGCCATCTGCACCATGGATGGCGCAGCCCGTTCCTCCAGTGTTGTCTGGTCATTGATTGCCTCTTTGCGATCCGCTCGATGCTGCTCACACACCATTTGGAACACACGTTGCTGGTAGTCTGCGAAAATTAGTATCCGAAATAGAAAATCAAATAGGACGCGTGAAAGCTCACAAGAAACGCCATTTTCCTTCTCGGGATTCAGGATACCTTCATGGTAAACTCCCTTAGCCAAATTATCCTGGGCCTTCTCGCAGAGCTCGAAGTCCTCCATTGCAACCTGTCGAACGAATTTGAAGTACTCTTCAAACTCATCACCCTCAGCTAGGTGGTAGTAGTCGAATTCCATGCGTGTGACGTGTGGATCGGAAGTAGGACACACGCGGAAAGAGGACATGCCGCCACCATAGACATTCAGCGTGCAATTGGGGAAGAAGTACAAGAAGAGACCATCATCAGGCTTTTTGGGGTCTGCAATGTGCTGGGAGAAATTGTGCTTGTTGCGAACTGTGTAGAATGTAGGCGGGTAATAGATCGAGAATGACGGGTGGGTGTATTGGCAATGCAAACACTCTTGGTAGCCATCCACCCTGAAACAAATTAGCAAGAAGTATCATTGAATCAGAAAAGTCTGAGATCTTGACTTACATGGTCTTCCAATTGAATCGACCCTCGTACTTAATGCTGCGGCGGTAGGGAAGCCGAGTGAAATCGACTTTACCCAGAAGCTCCTCGAGCTCGGGAAAGAACTCGTGGAAGCTTGGCGCATCGTCTGCAATAGTTGAGAAAAGAAGACCAGTAGGTGTCACGTATTTCTGTACCTCCTTGCCCTGTGTGAAGATATGTTTTTGTTAGTCAGAAATTCACCCGGACAAGTTTCTCCAGCTCAAATTACCGTCTTAGTGGAGAAGACCTTCAGCTCCTCTGGTGTGGGGTTGAGGGTATCTCCAGAGGTTCGAACAGCATAGATTGGGTTTTGTGCAATCTCGTAATCTACATGTTCATCCACAACTTGAAAACGTGTCACCGGTCCTAGCAAGTACCAAGACTGGACGGCTTGTCAATTTGTGCACATTGATAATTCTGTAAGATCGCGCGTACCTTGACGAAGACTGCACGCCGCTCCATGTTGTAAAGCGACTCATTGCAGTACCACGAGGCCGGAAGGGTACGTGTGAGTTCGGTCATGTTGATCGTTAAGACAAATGTCGTTCAGTGTCACGATATTGAAGATTAGTTATATCCTGAATAGCGGTGAGGACTTGCGTGGCAGCGAAAGAGGCACACTCTTATATTTGAGAATATACCTTTTCACGCCACGAGAGATGATCCTAGTCTTAATCACTGGAAGCTTCCTTGTTGCTTGAAACTTTGGGAAGCTGGTTGGTGGCGGTTTATCGTTTCCCAATGTGGTTATCAAATCCCCCAATGGGCGCAACGTGTTGATGTCAAGCTCCATGATCCAAAGTGGGTCTATAAACCAGCTAGAACATTGCGGATGAATATTCAGCAGAATATTTCTGAAGATGGAAAGTCCAACGATGCATGTTCATCGCCCAAGGGGTGACCAGCCGTGCGGAAGCATCATGTTGCCCGATATCCGATCACCCGCCGCCGGGTAAAGAGCTTATGATCCCAACGCGCGATTTGGATTCCATGATGTGGTTTGTACGATCACACCGATGGGGTAGTGCAGAATTTGAGTGCCTAGCCCCTTGAAAGGGTTGGTGCGACTGTGTTCTATGCCAGCAAGGAATGCATAAAGATCAAACCAATCGGGTAAGCGAAATGGCTGATCTCGTGGTTCACAAATCGGATGGTCAGTCTGGCGAACTTCTACTACTAGTATGTACAGTAGATCCATGGATCAACAAACTTCGAAACTTGTGCGCGTAATAAGGTCGCGGCCTTGATAGATAGAGCCGCAGAACGCTTAAGAGGATGGATAGAAACCAAAATTGTGCACCAGGTGTCTAGTGAATTCGTCCACCTTTCAAGGTTGATGCGTAGAGTCACGTTAGAGTCGATTGTGGAGTTTAAACTTGAAGTACATAGTACTACTAGTAGGTAGGGGGGTGAAAAACACCATATGGGACTGTCTGAGCTCAGAGCACCATTCACTCATTTCAAGTTGATATGCCACAATTCTCTATGGATACCTACTAGAGACATGATTTATATACGATTGATCCAATCATTTCAACGCATAATTTAGTCCCTTCGGCAGTGCCAGCCATATAAAGCTATACAGCGATGGATATAACTGGAATAAGGGCAGAAAATTTGTGATTTATGAGTTGCATGATCTTGTAGAGTTTGTTGTTGCCTAGATGCTAGTATAGTATTGTGGCAATATATGGGATACTGCCACAGCCACAACCAGACTCGAGAACGAACGAGAATGAACTATCGAAAGAGTCAGAATGCAAGAATAATTGCTTATAGAACATTCTGACTGACTGGAATACTTGAATATCCCAATATCCTGCATTACTACTGATACTTACCCTTACCCTTGATTAGTTGTACTCCGTGGCAATACGAGGAAGTGTCACATGCGCTTATCTTATCAGCAGAGGCATTACGTCGTCCACGCCCGCACTTCAACTTCTCAACTCAGTTCGACCTCACCATGGCGGCCAAATACACTCCTCCTGCGTCGCCTCCGTCGCCATCGGCTTCATTTTACGATGTTAGCGATGAAGATGAGGACGAGTACAACACAATAGCCCACCAGCAGTCCCGCAAGGGTGTAAAGCTACTGTACTCAAAGAGCAAAGTACATCACCATTCCCATCCCCTCCACCCTTTCCCCCACGTCCAATATCATCTCAACTAACCGGCAACTCAGGTTTACGTTCATCCTACTGCATCCTCCAAAGACAATATTGCCGGTTTTATCGCTCTTGTTCAACAAAAGCCCCCTCCCGCACCCAACCACTCTGCCGGTGTCTCTCCCAGCAACAATCAGGCTGCCTCATTCCTGCTTGCCTGGGTCCCCGAAACATCCCTCGGCGATGCATACGATACATACGTTAAGGTCGATCTGTGCGATGATGCATCAGCACCCCGTCAAAGATATCTTGTCCCGCCGCTTCCGGCCACCACCACCTATCGTGACCCAATCGGCCTCTACTCCTTCGCTGTTCCAGTTTCGGAAATCTACTCCCTCCTCGTGCGGCCTCCCAGCTTTGGATGGTGGTTTGGAAGCCTGGTCATCAATACCCGGTCGGGAGACAGTTTCCCCGCCTTGTTCTTTCACGATAGCGAGTGCGAATCGACAATATTACAGAAGAAGAAGCGCGTTAAGGAAAGCTTCGATCCTTTTGATAACGAGGGGAGCCTTTTCTGGGGTGGAGATGAAGTTCTTCGTTGGCTGAGGAGATATGTCGAGGTTGAACGGTCATCGGTCGATCGCAACGTCTACTTGGTTAACCCATCCCATGAAGACCAGCTGTCATTCGGGCGCACAGCCATTACCGGAGATAACTCAACGATCTCCAAAGCGCAACCGGAGGCTACTGCGGCAGGACCAAGTGGAGCTGCTGCGCCCGGGGATGCCAGCATGGACCCCTTCATGAAGACACTCAAGGAGACTCGGTGGAAGGTGCTGGAACAACTGAGTAAAATCACGACTTTTACCCGACGAACCGCCAATGACATCGCTGAGAATCCACGTATTCCCCCACAGATGCGCCGCTTGATGAAAAACCCCGAGATTCAAACCCTGCAAGATGAATTCGACAGTGCCAGGATTTATCTCGCTCGATGGGCGATGAGTATTGCCGAACAGAGTGAGAAAGAGCGGAAGCAGCGTATTTGGACCGCCCAGGATGTTTTAGAGTCCGAGAATAGTGCAGTCGGAGAGTTTGAGATTCTCGAACTAGAAACTGGAAATCTTGCCCTGCGAGAGCGCCGGAAAACCCTTTGCCTGGAGGAATGGGAGGGATTCTTCGACCCAACGTCTGGTAGGTTACAGATTACGGAAGAAGAAGTCAAGGAGAGGATATTCCATGGGGGTATCGACCCGAACGACGGCACTCGGAAAGAGGCATGGCTTTTCCTCCTTGGTGTCTACCCATGGGACAGCAGCCGTGAGGAGCGACAAGCATTGATGAACTCCAAGCGAGACGAATACATTCGGCTCAAGGGAGGCTGGTGGGAGCGCCTTGTTGAAGGCAATTCCACGACTGAAGAATTCGAACATTGGAAAGAACAACGGAACAGAATAGGTATATGGTCCTGGCGAGAAAATATTTATCGGCTCATAAGTCTAACACGTTTACAGAAAAAGATGTCCATCGCACTGACCGGACGATACCTCTTTTCGCAGGAGAAGACATCCCGCACCCTGACCCCGACTCCCCATTTGCCGAGACCGGTACCAACGTGCATCTCGAGCAGATGAAGGACATGCTCCTAACCTACAACGAGCACAATCCCGATCTAGGTTATGTCCAGGGAATGAGCGATCTGCTGGCTCCGCTCTACGCTGTGATGCAGGATGATGCAGTTGCTTTCTGGGCGTTTGTAGGCTACATGGACCGCATGGTAAGACGTTTCCCGCAGCGAGGAACCCTAGGCAACAAGCTAATATCTCACAGGAGCGAAACTACCTCAGAGATCAATCAGGAATGCGTTCTCAGCTCCTTGCCCTCGACCAGCTTGTTCAGTTGATGGATCCTCAACTCTATCTCCATCTTCAATCAGCCGACAGCACAAACTTCTTCTTCTTTTTCCGCATGTTGCTCGTTTGGTACAAGCGCGAATTCGAATGGAGCGATACACTTCGCCTATGGGAGACCCTTTGGACGGACTATTTCTCCAGCAGCTTCCATCTTTTCATTGCACTCGCTATTCTCGAGAAACACCGCGACGTCATAATGGATCACCTGAAACATTTCGACGAGGTGCTAAAATACATCAACGAGCTTTCCAATACCATGGATCTGGTCCCTCTTCTCACACGGGCTGAATCGCTATTCCACCGCTTCGAGCGTGCCGTACAAGCCATTGATAAGAGAGAAAATTTCCCCAGTGCCCCCAGTGCCCAACAGCGACGCCCTACCTCTGACGCAGATTCCGCCTCTAATTCTGGAAAGGGAAAACAAGCTCAACAAAACACCGTTGGATCCAGCAGTTCCGTCAATGCCCCAACTGCCCTTCAACAATCCATGGACAAGGACAAGCCTAAGGTCATATCTCCGGAGCTGCGCGAACTTTTGAGAAAGGATATCCCCTGGAGGCGACAACAGGTGTCATGATGACCTTTTGAATAGACAACGTTTTAACTTGCTCGGAGCATCGCTCTGTTTATCTCAGTCACGATCTCATGAAATGAATGTATAGCTAGCAATCCTTTTTTTCTGTCAAGAACCAACGAAGGATTTGGTCCTTTGGAGTTGAAATGGCGAACAATCGCCTTGGTGCTCTTGTGATATTTCTCTTCTTCTATGTCTTAGCATCTACTTCTTACTTGAATACACACGATGAATTTGCGTCTCGTTGCATCAACTGTAGTATTTCAATATTTGGTACGTCTCGATGTTACTAGTCGTAGTAGTACACGTCTTTCAAGGTTGGAATCTTCCAAGGGATATAGACCACTAGCACTTCAAGGCCACTAAATACTTTGTCTTCCGCGCGACTCGAAGGGGAAAAGAATGGCCAGAACACCAGCCATTCCCAGTAATGCAGCGCAAACGTAAATTGGAACCGACGTAGAAGTTGAAGTGAAGGCACCGATCAACGCAGAGACCATCCCCATCAATCGATTGAGAGCCACAGCAATACCATTGCCCGTACCACGATGAGCCGAAGGCAGAATCTCAACGGTGTAAGCGTAAAGAGTCGCGTAGTAGATGTTTATTGAGACTGAGATCGCGCAAGAAAATCCGAGGTTTTGGGGGGGCTGTTTTTACAGCAGTATATCCGAAAAAGAAGGCCACTGGGTAAAATGAGTTAGTAAAGATCTTCATGCTATGCTGGACATTAAACCCACTCGTCATGAAGGCACCAACTGCCATTGTCCCCTTTCGTCCAAATATTCGCATTTCGCACATGTAACTGGCAATGATGGGCCCTGGAACTGCACACAGGTTGGTGATGGCATAGTTTCGCCAGGTAATATCAGGCGATGTTTCACCCGCAGATGCACCCCGAGACGCTAGATACTCGGGCAGATATACATAATAAAGGGCATATCCAAGGCCAATGAGTGCCCAAGAAGCCCAGACCAAAATGGTCGAAAAGGTGAGAGTCCGTGTCGCAAACAGGCCTCGAACATGCACCCCAACTTCGGCAAAGGTTGCTTTATTGTTGGCATGTGTGCTGTGAATCTGCCCGCAGGCCTGGAGCTGGTCTAGTGTGAGGTCGCATTCTCGATTATGCTTTTGGGCCAGGTCGTGGAGTGTTTTGATAACTTCTTCGTCCATGCCTTGGCAGAGTAGGAATTTGGGCGTTTCGTGAAATCGAATGACCAAGACTCGAGCCATGCTCAGAACAAAGACCAGGGCTCCGCATGTATAAAATAGGTATCGCCAACCCATATTATTCTCGTTCGTGCACGGTACGGATCCATCGGTGGGACAGCTGTAGCCAGCTATGATAATGTCAGTATGCGAGCGCAAATATCAACTTCCAGGTCAATGAATACCCATGAACGGCCAAGCGACAAGACCAGCGACAGTCTGGCCAACACCCCACCAGCCAGCCAAAAGGGTCAAAAGCCATTGTTTATTGGACGGGAGATATTCCAAAAACACAGTTGTATCCAGCACCAAGTTACCGCCGGAACCGAATGCAGAGATGGCAACCAGTGTAGCCCAGGCGGCATAATTCGGAGCCGCACCAGCCGTAATGGCGAATATAGCACTGGTGAGCAACGAGAAGTTGAATGCCCATTTTCGACCGATGATGTCTGCCGTGCCACCCCAGAATAAGGCTCCAACAAGCAATGCGAGGTAGAAACCCAATTGCGCGCCTCGGTTGAATTTCGGTGGGTATTGCGTTACGACTTGGTCGGCGGAAATGCTCATGAGGAAAAGGAGTAAGGAGTCGACGCCGTATCTGTAACAGGTTTGTTAGAAGGCCTGGTATTGCAACTATTGATGGCCTAAGTGCTTTACCCGAATCCATTGAGGAAGAATAATTTGGTATGGTATGCTGTGAATCCGATTTGATCAATGGCCTAAACACGTCAGGAAGGACATTGGGCAAGGAATTGGCGTCGGGTAACACACATCATTCACCAAGGTCATTTTTGCAGCAAGGGCCTGATCAACGTTCCCAAGTGATATCAGGTCGGGGCCAGATGGAGTTGCAATTATGTCGCTTTCCCCTTCCTGGGGCTGGGATTTGCCCATCTCGTCGTTGTGTTTTGTTGCCATTGTTCAGAATAAAGGGGCAATTAATAGATATTGATTAATATGCAGACAACATGAGAGCGACTCGGTTTTGAACGGTGGTAGCTAGTAACAATTACAGCCTCTGATTTATGATCGGGAATATGTCCCAGAAATTGAGGTGAAGATCACCGTTTTATAAGGTCACTTCAAGTCTGGGTCTACCCCAGTTTCCAACTCTTACAGTGGACCTCCCTACCTCCATGATCTATCCTAATTCTGCTTTACACGCACTATTCTCTAGGTAGAAACAGTCCAGTCAGATACCATGCTCCAGAACGCGTCTGCATGGCTTCCGGACCAAACTAGCCTACCCCATAGCATCCAAATGCGGAGCTATAGGAATGCGGGCACGAATCAATTCACTCTGATTGTGGGTATTTCAATTGCGGGAATTTTAACCCGTCGGCCTGAAGCCAAGGAGAGATTCATTATTACATATCTTGAAGCCTCTCGTGGATTCCCCGCTCAGGTGACCGGGGAAATCGCGTTTATGCCGATCGGCCAGGGGTAATCGAACAATTAATAACTAGCCCAAAGTGGTTATCGGGCACGCTGAAGCCATCTGTGCTTTCTTGGGTTTGCCTGAGATCTCCAAACTCAACTTGGAGGCTATCTCTCCAGTTCAGCCATGACTTCATCGATATCGCTCGGTCTCCGAGAAATTGATACCATGCCGACCTGGTCAATGTTTGTTTGAGGTGGCCCTGAGCCAGGTATATGAAAAGATAGGCAGAGTCGGAGAGTCTCCGGGCTGAACCTCGGGGGTTAACCCTCTAGCCCGCCTTTGACGCCAGAAAAGAGACCCCGGTAAATTTACTTGGTTTTCTCAATCTACTCCGTACTTGGTCCTCGTTCTAAGTATGTTGTGTTCATATCAAGCTACGATATCAGAAAAATTGGCCCCGTTAAAATAGACTCGCTGATGCATAATCAAAATTCTAAGCTATTTCGCCGAAAAGAAAAGAAAAGAAAACCAGTGATATTACAAATTTCCAATCTCCCAAATCCCCAAGTACGGCTGCTGATGATCCTGAAACTGAAAGAATGGATCATGTGTAATATCCATGAAAGACATATCTCCTTGAACGCCCGGCCCATTAAAAAACGGCTCTCGTGGTAGCGGGATCTGAGTTGCGTTGCTATCGATGGTGTCCACATTCCAAGGACCGTGCATGGGACTTTGCGAACTATCCCGATCGCGCTCGCCCACTGTACTTGAATATGGCGGTAATGCCTGACCTCCATCGGAAGTATCCACCGCTCTTGTTGAGCGATGGAATATCTCTGTCTCAACGGTGAGTTTGTCATGATGCTTCTCGCTTGGGGTTTGCGCTTGTAAGAACGACAAGTCGAAAAGCCCGTCCCCTGTAGATGAATATGATGATGATCGAGATGAGTTGTGCAGAAGAATATCCCACATTAGAGCGGTATCTATCGATAGCGTCCGCCGTGAGGATCGCTTATTGTTTGAATCTGGACTCCCAGTGAAAGCCGAATGGACGAGAGTTTGTAGTTTTTGGTACTGTTACTTGTTAGCTTTACCTCGCTGTAGTTTGAGTTGTTGAAGAACTGACCATTGTCTGGCAGCGCGGCCATTTTTTTGCTAGCTCGCCCAGGAACTTTGTACAAATTTCAACAGCGCGTTGGGCAGATTCTCGGATAGCTGGATCTGCAGCCCGGCAATAGTAAATATGAATTGTCGCCGCGATCGAGACAGTATGAGCCAGAAACGGATCTGAAAGCGAGTATTCTTTTTCGGTGATCATTTCAATCAGTCGGACTGTCCAGGTTGAGTGAATCAGGGCGAGCTCTGAGGATGTTTTCCAGAAGGTGTTTGGAACAGAAAGCTGAGAAGACTGCTGCGGGCGCCACGAGTAGATAAATGGGTGATTAAGGACGCTGTGGATTGCGTGGTAGGTAAATTGAAGATATAGCCACGAACTCCAGTACCAACGCTCTGCTTGAAGGTCTTCTTTAGGTTGCTCCCAAAATCTCACCGAGTCCCATCGGTGGCGAGTTGGGAACTTGGTTTCGATATCCATCAAATGAGCCCCCAGGATCGAGTAGCCGGATTTCACCGACCAAGGTGGTGTTGCGTCACCGACCGAGCAATGGGATACATACTGTTGTACCTCGCTCCAGAAGCAGCCCAACTGTACCATGTAAACCCAGATATCACCTCTTGCTGAAAAGGACCCTGTCTCCTGGGGAAGCTGGGGTGGTTTAGTACCCATTTCCCGGGGAGATCCCATTCCCATGGCCATGTAAACAGGTCGTTGAATATCCTGGAACATATCCAACTGCATATTTCGAAGGCCATACTGCTGGTCCAAGAAGTGTATACTCCAGAATAGTCTTCGCTTTGCTTCCGAAGCAGGAAAAATGGCACCTTCGTTTTGTTCAACGTCAAGCCCCCCCGCATTTCGCGAGATTCGTGACAAGACCAATATGTAGCCAGGCAAGATCGGTATCATTTGCTAATCAATCGTTAGTACATAGCAAGGACTTTGACAAATACTAGCCATTCGGACTGACAGATGTATTCCGCGAGTGCAATCAGGCAAAGGCTCTGCATCGTAGACAGGTCCACACTCCCTTGAGCAATGCGAAACATAACGAGACCACGCGCGGACTCCGCATACTGGCGACACATTTGATCCTTTCTTCCTTCCAAGAGAGGATTATCCGAATAGCGCAGAGCAAGAGTGAGGACTCCGAAGATAACCTCATTTCGACAGTTCTCTGGCGAAGCTAAGTCCTCAGGATCGAGAAGCCAGAGAGGCTGCTTGTGGCAGTATCTGAAATAGAGACCGATTGATTCTGACACAATTTCTTTGGATGGTAATGTAAACGGCATGACCTCGGGAAGCTGCAGACTCATAATATCATTGGAGCCATCTTGTCTCGCGGGTGATTCCTGCATGTTGCTCGATTCAGCTGTAGCCTCGCGGCTTTCAAGTCCCCGCGAATACGATTTTGGCGTCTCTGGGTCAATTTCGTTGGTCGACCTGTCCCAATCAGTGCCTTCTTTCAATATGACATCGCTTAGGTCAGTACATACATTGAACCCTCGAGCATGAGATCCATTTTCTGTTCCAGCATTTTCAATCGACTCTCCTAGTCATCTTAGCCGTAATTCTCATTTCGCGGGCCAGCAAACCATACCATGGCTGAAGAGTCCTCCCATGCATCCCACCCTCTGCTATACTGACATGACTGCTGAAGACGCGTACATGTAGAGCACGCTGGTCGCTCCCCAGGACATCTTGTCTTTTTTCGCCTGGTGGCAGTCTATTAGCACGATATCACCCCCGGCGATAACAAGGCCCAGGGAGTGAGAACAACATACCGACAGTTTTCGCAGGCTTGGTGAGATCTCTTGCTGACCCGTGAATTCATTAAGGGTACCTGCGATCAACAGAGAGACAGAGAATATATACCTGATACAGAGTTGCGGTACAGAGTACGTAGCTTTATGAAAGGGCAAGCGCGGGGTTGTCGGATTGTAAGCCGTGCGGAGACGATCCTATGACCCACCGGTTGGTTGACCCGCGCCCAAAGGACCAACTAAACTTCTAGTGGATATAGCGATAAACGGGAAATGATGACACAACAGTTTCCAGGCAGTCTGATTAGTTGTAATTGAAAGTACAGTACATGAAAAAGGACCGTCTAGGCCTTCGTTATCGAAATTCGCTACCCAATTAAATCATTCCATCCAATATCAAAAATCAAGCACCACACTACTACCAGTCCAGTTCACTCTTCCCCTCTGCTGAACATGCAAGCCCAGAGCAAAATTCCATATCTTCCGTTGTTGTTGAACCTGCTGGATTTTGACGGGCGGGCCATATTTCTCTGCTTTCTTTTTGCTCCTCCTTTCGGTGGGATGTGACGAGGGAGCGAACGGTATTTTGGAAGAAAAGAGGTGCGCTCTCCAATTCAGGGTGGAGCTGCCCGTTCACAAATATGCCAGCATTGAGATTCTTCTGAGCCGCATTGCACAAATATTTGTCTTCGGCAAGTACCCTTTTGAAAAAGCTATCGATATACTCAAAGTCCGCGTCGGAAGCGTCATTCTGGCGATATACTTCATACTCCATAGAGCATGTTCCGACGGAGGTAGGAACACAGCGCATCATGTAGAAGAAATGGGGCCTGGCGCTTCGGTCAATACGAAAGGATTGGCTGGTTATTATAAAGATGCGGAACTCACGAGACTGTCATGCAAGCATTCGGGAAATAATAAGTGCTAGCATTCTGAATATCCTCTTCGATTTTATCCTCCTTCGGTCGAGAGAAATGTTGAATGTGCCCGGCTTTCGAGATCGTATAATAATATGACAAGTCGGCCAAATTGGCCACATCAGGGTGGGCAACAGTGCAGTGGTAGCACTCATTATAATTATCGGCAAGGGTCTTCCAATTATAATCACCGTCCATCTGCCAAGTATGGTCAAATTTGTAGTTGCTGAAATCGAATTTCTGGAATCGTTCCTGCGTATCGACTCCCTTGAAATCTTCCTCCCATGGGACTGGGGTGGGAGATGAATCGAGGTTCACCCAGACGAATCCAAGTTTGTCAATATGAACGTGCACGGGTAGGAGACCCTGGTTCTCCTTCTCGAATCCTTCAACGTCGTCGAATCGCGGGGCCTTGGCTAATTTTCCGTTCAAGCCGTATGACCAGCCGTGATACTTGCAGGACAGAATTTTGACATTGCCTTCATCCTCCTGAACAAGAGGGAACGCGCGATGACGGCAGATATTGTGGAATCCATTTACGGTGCCCTGGCGATCCTGACAAAGAAAGAATGAAAATCCAGCTTCATGAAATCGAAGGAAGTCTCCGGGCTTTGTGAAGCGCAATATGTGGGTGATTAAGATCCATTTCTTAGAGAAGATAGCACGGCGTTCTAGCTCGTACATCTCCTCGGAGCGATACCATGACGCAGGGAGAGCTTTGGGTGGCTCTACAATGGGAGAAACCTTGTGATCGAGGGTAGGCTTGTCCTTGTAACCGAATAGAGACGCGACAGCTGCGGCCATGATGATTTGATATTGTAGTATTATCAATCAATACTGAAGAATTTATATTTTCAAAAGCTTGGTTGGATTTGGAAACAACACATGCTGCCATTTATGCCGTCGCTGTCTTATCTTGAGTATTGTTCTATTCGCTGGCTCCGCTCACGCGACCAGCTAACGAAAGCGGGATGACATTTGCATGAGTCTGTTGTTCAGAACGGACCTAGACCGACGGTAAATCCACCGGGCTCGCACAAGGTTAGGTCCTTACACTAGCTGATAGATCTCCAGTCAAAGCGCACTCTTTCGGCCTGCCAATTCCTGCGTTGCAACGAGGGACCTCTGCACCCCGGTTGCTCGGAGGATCCCCGATCACCTGAGCGGAGGTCACCGTGCGGACCCCCACGAGCGACTGTAATGGTCAAGAAGGGAATATGCTATGGTCAATGCATGCTAATGTTTGCTGAAGAATACCATGTCATGAGCGGCTATCAATCCGACTGGGATTTTCATACACGTGTGACATCAGCCCGGTTAACCCCGAGCTGCGACACGCAACATTACATTATTTATTTCTTTAATTCTCTAAATGTATAACAATGGAAACATGTGTATGTCAAGACGGTTATTCATAATATTTGGGGTACACCCCCACTATTATTCGTCGCTATTCTATTGTACCACAAGAACTATAGGGTAGTCTCCAAATATTTCCCCAGAACGGTCTCCGCCGGTCATGTGGACACCCATCTAAATTAATAACATCGGATATTCTCATTCGTGGATATAAGTTTATTGTACTCTGGTTCCGAGGGGCAAGCGTCAGTGACAGTTCTTTCAAGTGGAAATCGTTCACCCCCAAGCCAGCCATCAACACCACGTAACAAAAATCATATGTGAACACCGATTGCGCGGTCCATCTCCGAAATTCAGTGCTTACAGCTCTACCATTTAAATTGACACTAAGCTCCAAATTGCAACATACTGAACACACTATTCCTGAAGGATAAATCCACCCAATCTTCCAGCTTCCCCGCTTCCAATCTGTCAAAAATAGCTACAATCTTCGACATATCAACCTACAACACAATGGGATCAAACGGCACCACCCAAAACGGATCAAACTTCGTTTTGACCGGCGATGCTCTCCACAAAGCTCTCCCCGACATGGGGATGGCAACCAGAGCCGTCCACGCCGACGACTTCGTCACTCCACACCGCGCAATCGCACCAGGAATGCACGTCGCCGTGAACTTTCGCTATGCGAGAGACCCCGACCACCTCGTCCCCGAAGAAAATAACGATGTAAGAAACCCCCCCATCTCTGAAAGCTCCTACACCTAAGAACTTCGTACTCACAAGACATCTCCTCCACCAGCCCAACGCCCCAGACGACTCCCATGTCTATTCCCGCTACACAGCCCCGAATTCCAAACGCCTCGAAGTCCTCCTCCGCAGCCTCTTCGGTGGTGAAGTAATAACCTACTCAACAGGCCTCTCCTCCTTCATGGCAATGGTCGTCCTCATAAACCCTAAGCGCATCTTCATCGGCGACGGCTACCACGGCTGCCACGGCGTAATAGACATCATCCACCGCCTATCCGGCATACAAAAACTAGAACTATCCGACATCGACCAAGCCCAAGCCGGCGACATAATCCACGTCGAAACACCGCTCAATCCAACCGGCGAAGCGCGCAATCTAGCCTACTACCGCGCCAAAGCAACCGAGAAGGGCGCATACTTGACAGTCGACGCGACGTTTGCGCCGCCGCCGCTGCAGAATCCGCTCGAGCTGGGCGCGGACGTCGTCATGCATTCGGGCACTAAGTATGTGGGCGGTCACTCGGATATGCTGTGCGGGTTGCTTGTGCTGCATGAGGATCGGGTTCGGGAGGGCTGGTTGAAGACATTGCATCGGGATCGGCAGTATATGGGGGGTGTTATGGGGAGTTTTGAGGGGTGGTTGGGGATTCGGTCGGCGAGGACGATGCATTTGCGTGTTATGCGGCAGGCGCAGACTGCTGAGAGGCTTGTTGCGTGGATTCAGGAGCAAATTGTTGACAAGACTGCCAATCCGGTGAATCGGGTGCTTGAGCGGGTGCAGCATGCTTCTATCCAGTATGAGGATTTGAAGGATGGATGGCTGAGGAAGCAGATGCCTGGTGGTTTTGGGCCTGTGTTTTCTATTTGGGCGAAGAGTGCTGAGCATGCGAGGCGGTTGCCGAGTAAGATGTTTGTTTTTCAGCATGCGACTAGTTTGGGGGGTGTGGAGAGTTTGATGGAATGGCGGGCGATGAGTGACGCTGGCTGTGATCCGCATTTGTTGCGCGTTAGTTGTGGCATTGAGGAGTTTGAGGATTTGAAGAATGATATTCTGCAGGGGTTCAAGTCTTTGTTGGACGAAAGTTGAGGATTTTCGCCTTTGAGCTTGAATGAAGTTGTGTATTGTGAGTTGATAGAATGAATAAATAAATTACATTATACCTGAGAGTTGTGGAATTTGCCATGGTGAATCTACGAATAGGTACTAGCATCACTACATCGTGAAACATCCCGAAGTGAGAAGAACATTTGGATTATCAGATGAAAACTATCGCTAGCAAATTGCTTCTACAAAGGACACGGAACTAACTTTCAAGAGAGATCACTCTATAATGTGTATTGTATGCAATATCAAAAAGGTGGCTCGAAAGGGTATCGAGCAGAAAAAAGCTATTTACAAGCCACGAAGAAAAGCAAACAAAGACGTGTATCAGGATATCGAGCAAGAAAGCCAAAAGAGAACCCAGAAAATGCAGAAGATAAAACCAGAACCAAAAGATGACAACAATATATGATCAATTTCCACAATTTCGCCGCGCTGATGCAAACCAAAACGATGCGATGGCCCATAGGAAAAAAAAAAACAGGAGAGGGCAGGAAGAAATATGATGCTAATACTGAGATATGCAGAACCCATACACAATGGGTGTTTGAAAGCACTCTTTGGGAGAAGAAGATAAAGAAGAAAAAATCCAAAGCTCACGATGAGAGTGAGCTGCTGAATGAAAGGGATTTTGGGGGGAGGCACCGCTTTTACCTGCGATTACCCAGGCCCTTGAGCACGACGCGTCTGCTAGTGCCGACAGAGCCAATGTCACTAACACTGCGGACCTTGGGCAAAGAGCGAATGGAAGCGGTATCACTGATATCGTGGTGCTCGGTGACCTCATGGTTGAGAGCAACACCCAGTGGGAAAGGAGGAGGGTTGGTGGAGCTGGAGAGGCGAGTTTTGTTGAGGACGTCTTCGACCCAGGCTTCGCCCTCTGGGCTCATTGACACATGACGCGCACGAGGTTTGGGTCCAGCAAGACCGAGAGGGGTGGCATGGGAATCCGGAGCCAGGGAGTTTGTGTTTCCGGGAGAGTGAGAATGGATATCGCCAAATGAGTAGTTTGAAGATACCGAGAGGCGACGCCGGCCTGTGGAGGCAGATGGAGGTGAAGTGAATGATGCCAGAGCGCTCGTGGTCACAGATCTCGTGCCAACGATGTCCGATGCATTGGATCCCCGTCGCATCTTGCGAACATTGAGTGAAGAGGCGGGTCGGGCGCTCATGACGGACGGGGGGCGAGATGGAGTCGCTCGGCCTGAGGTCATATGAGCCGGTGCGGCCGGGGTGAGCAGAGAGCCAGGGGTGGAGTAACCAGGTGAAGAACGGGCTGTTAAGCCTTGCACTTCGACACGGGGCGTTTCGGAAACCTTTCGGCGACCGTGATGGATGACATATTCGCGAAGATATTCGCCCAGATCGGCCCAACCACCACCAACACGAACCATGACACGTTGATTCTCCTCGCCAACAGTACGGACGAACAGTTTTGTAGGAGCTGTTTGTCCGGCGTGTTGGAGGTGATAGAGTCTGACACAACTATCTTCCGATTTGAACACCTGTGAGCGTCTTCTGGTGGCAGGCATGAGCGAAAAAGAAGGTGCGGGGGTAGCACTCCGAGGTGGTGCCCCAGGTGGTGATTCCGAAAGAAATCTGTCTCGCATCTTTCGGTCCAATGAAGATGATGACGAAGATGTATCGGCCTCATTATTAGGATCGACGAGGTTGATCCGTCCAGGAAGCGTGTTCAAAATCGAGTTGACCTTCTCGTCGAGGCGATCTCTAGGTTTTCTCCGTGGCCTATTCGGCGTAGATGCTCGAGAGCCAACATCTGCCAGTTCCGATACATCCTCCTCCACGTAATCAAGTTCTTGCCGTCTCATACCCAAGCTTTCCAGGCTGGGATGAGCTGTCAAGCGCTGACGCAAGCGGAGAGACTTTGGTTGGTCCTGATTGAAAATCGCGCGCAGGGAAGAGACCTTTGTAGCAGGTCGTACACTGCGCTGCGCTTCCTTCTCGGCCTCCTTCTGGACTTGGCCGCTGGACTTAAGATCGGAGGCAGATTTCCCGCGTGTCAGGGCAGGGCGTCGACTAGATGATCTAGCAGGCACCTGTGGAATAGGCAGGGTTGAAGGATCCGGCAGCTCTCGGGGAATCGATGTTTTCTTCAACGGCAGTCGACCGGCAGGGGCCGAGACCGGGTCGCGGTCCATTTGAATGTCCATTTTCTCATTGATGAATCTCTCTAGCGGCAGACTCAGGGAGCGGTTGTCTTGGAAAGTAGTCCGAGGAGACACCTTGCGGCTCTCGAGGTGACGAAGACGATCAGCTCGCAATGCATGGTCGCTCCGAGGTAGAAAAGAGGGAGGCTGGGGGAAGTCGGAGAGAGGAGGTGTCAGAAGAGGACCATCCTTGGACGAGTCGGTATGGGGTTCAAGGGCGTCCGGGCTAGAGATCAGAGAGGAGTTGTTTGAAGGGAGAGAACCGATAGATCCTGTAGATGGTCTTCGATAACGTGGCTTTACAGCGGCTTTGTCGAGATCGAGCTTAGCAGGCCGGGTTTTGGAAAGCTTGATAGGGCTCTGCAATGGCTTCTTGGACGGCGCTTGTTTCTGGGGTGTGTGCTGGGAGGGCTTCGCGGCGGCGTTGAGCGGCTCTTGGATGGAATTTATTGGGACCCGGGTTCGAGGTTGCTGTGGGAGAGGCTTGTGCAGCATAGTCGAGACTGGAATTCGGGTCGGTGTTGTCTTTGGAGAGCTGTGAACCGGCGTGTGGTGAAGGCTGGGCTTATCCATCGCAAAGGCGAGGGACGGTTCCTCCTTCGACCGCCTATCCGGAGTACCTGTAGCAACGATTTGCTCAGGCTGCTCAGGCTGCTCGATCCGGGCAACCACGGCCGGTTGAACAGACGGGAGGTCGGGAATATCAGATGTTTCGGTTGCCTGGGCTTCCTTCTCATCTCTATTCGTGTCGGCGTTCTTTTTCTGGCCCGTCACAATTGGTTTCGGAGTATCCTGGTAGATATTTTCTGTGGGAACATCGACAGGGACAAGGAGATCTGATGTGGCCGCGGAGTCACTCGTTCTGGACGAGGCAGGCCTCGTTGTGAAAGGGTCATCGTCCGTCTCGCGCTCCGAGAGCGCAGCAGGCTTGACGGATGATTCCCGAGATGGCGGCGCAGGTCGTTGTATAAAGCCATGGGGTGGGATGTTTTCTTTATTTTCGACGCTAGGTATCACTGGGAGTGGCACTTGATTGGGAGAAACATCCCCTTCTGGTTCAATGGATGAAAGTGGTGGAAACACGGATTGAGTCGGGGTTGGTGTATTCGCATCCTCATTGGCGCAATCGGACGACGACACAACTTGAGGCACATGCTCGGGTTCGTCGTGAGTATGAAGAGTAGGCGGCGTGTCCGGCTCAGAGAGGGGTGGGAGAGTCGAATCGCTCTCTGCAGCAGACAATCCTGAATCTTGTGACAGCTGGGATGTTTCCTGTTCGTCGGCATTACTCTCTGATGAGAGATCGGGTTCAAGCTTGGGCTCCTCTTCAATGGTCTCCATCTGAGGAAGCTCCGGTGTTGACTCTGGCTCGAAGGATTCGACCAAAGCTTCATCCGATTGTGTTTCAGTCGGTGTCTCATCGGCCTTCTCTTCAACGGGAGGCGCGACGGTTTCGGCCTCTCTGATCTCCCTCTCGTGTTGTTCCTTGGCACGTAGCCACTCCGTGCGAAGCTTATATTTGTCGACCTCGACTACCCAGGCAGCGAAGTCCGCCTCAATTCCCTCGAGATCATCGATCCAGCTCTCGGGTAGAGAGTCCTGGCGACCTTCCAACGCATCCAGGACCCTATCCATCCGTCTGCCCACGGACACGACCGCAGATTCGAGCTGAGCATGGTCGGCGCGTAGATGAGAGCTGGAGAGGAAAGATTTGCTGTTCTCGGAGGGATCGGAGGTTCGTAACGCGTGAAAGGAGGTATTCAGGGCGGATCGAGAGGATTTGAGTTCGCGAAGCAGGCCGGGAATCTGGCGGAGGACAAGGAGTCGGACGTCCCAGGTGGTCAAGAGGTGATTGAGGCGAGATAGAAAGGGCAATGCGCGTAGGATTGTAGCAGTCACGACAGCCGTGAAGTCACTAAGTTGCACATAGCTGAGTGGTGGAGGCACGGACACGGTGCTTGTGGAGGAGGAAGGGCGAGACCGGGATGGAATGTGGGCACTCAAAACGTGCTCTTTGAGTTCCTCCACGTTTAAATTGTCCATTCCGTCGCGTATTCCCTCTATCCTTTGTTCATATTGCTCCACTATCGTCGACGGCAGACAGCCATAGTAGGGGATATCGCTGGTGCCAGGGGGCATCAGCAAGGCCGAAGCAGCCCGCTCTAAACCATTATCCCCCGACTGTGCCTCAACCGGTGGCACAAATCCTTTCCCTTCTTTGGCATCAGCATGTTTCGGCCATGTCCAGGTCTGGACCTCTTTATACCAGATATTGAGGTTCTGGGCGGCTACCGCGGCGCGTATCCCTAGGGCGCGTTCAGCTGGCGACACCTGAGAGATACTCTGGGAGAGGACATCGCGGGAGAATTTCTCGTTTGAAGGTACAGCTTCTGTCGAGGTGAGGGCATTGAGGGTCGATTCGGGGGAGAGGTTCGCTAGCAAGGGATCGATTTTTTGATATATGGACTCCGGGTGAGCGGGCGAGGTGGAACGCGAATTTTCTCGAGAGTGGGCGGGCGAGAGGCGGATGGAGGGACGAAGGGGGCTAATTCGACTGGCTGGCATTCCGAAGGGGTGAAAAGGCTATATAGCCCTGTGGTCCAATTCACGAGGAGATGGGGGAAGGTTCAGCCAGGTCGGAGTGGCATGAGATTGATGGGGGTCGATATAAAGCGGGCGGACGATGGGACTGTCGAGCCCGCATGCTGAGATGCGTTTTATCGGAAGAAAGAGGAGGAAAGAGACACGAGGATTGGCAATTTCCAGGTGTTGCAGGAGAAATTCGGGAGAGTGAAGAAGTGTGAAGAGGTGGGAAGACACGAGGCCTGGCGGTAAAGGAGGCCTTCGGTACCAGCAGTACAGTATAGTATACAGTACCACTGTATACTACTATCCTTATAGTAATAGTAATACTATAACAAAGCGGAGAAAGGAATTCCGCAGGATCACGACAAAGGGGAATTAGAAAATGGGAGGATTAGATATATCATGAAAAAGAAAAAGGGTACAGACAAGAAAACAAAAATAAAATGGTCCTTTTTTGGAGGGTGGAGCCCAAAAGGGGGCACGGATGAGGAGGTCCACCAACAATCCCGCCGATCCGCGGCGCTATATTCGCGTTGTCCGGGGCGAACTGATGATGTGCAGCGGAAAAAAAATATGATACGATTAGATATGATGCCATACTATCTAAGATAGAAGATATAATGTATATAAAGTGGTATATATTGGTATTTTCGGGTAAATAATTGGAAATTACCTCCTTGCTTTGGACCATTGAGTGCTGGTCCTAGCTTGCCTGTCAAGCCACTCCTGATAGGCTAAAAGTAGATCATGGAATTAATTATAAGTCAAGGGATACCTCGTTCCTTGAATATTAGAAATAGAGTAAATAATAGACTACATTGTAGCTTACAATTTACTATACTATAGTATCAGTAACTCTCTAGTAGTCACCTAGTATTTAGTTACCTAGGGCTATCCAAGGTATCCAAGGTATGCGGGAGTTGCAAGGTAGACGCGGCCATCCGGGCGGCCCGCACTCCGCATATCCGCGCCAAACTCTGAGCTTCCCAGAGCCAAACCTCAAACTCACGCTCACCTTCTCGAAACTTTATCAATGCCACCAGACAGAGCTTCAAAAGCATGCCTTCAATGTCGAAAGAAAAAACGCAAGTGCAATGGCCAACATCCCTGTCGGAATTGCTTCAACGCCAACCGGGAGTGCACATACAACAAACCAGCTCCAAAGCGGTTACCCTCGAATGAGGACCACTTGATAGAGAAGGCTGAGATGGAGACTAATCCCACCGCTGCAAAAGCTACAGAAAGTGGCGCATCACTCAATTCGGGGGATCTGTTAGCTAAACGACTAGGCCTATCAACAGATTGTTCTTCGGGGAAGTCGAGGCTGTGTTCTTGGAACTTTCGTTTACATAATAGCCCCTCCTATATCAGTATAACAAGACCATTTACCGAGATCTTGACCACTCAGAACATGCACCGACTCGCGGATATCTACTTTACGGAAATACAGCCGGTCTATACATTTCTGGACCCTAAAATGGTCCATAGAGCCATTTCCGGTTCACCCGACCAACCACCACAGCACCCTTCAAACTGTGTTCTCCTGGGAATCGCAGCTCTAGCTTGTCTTTTCAGTACAGAAGAAGCATCCGATCTCCAGTCGGAAATCATCCATAATGCTCGTGCTTCGCTAGAATACTCAACAACACTGGCCGCGCCAACGGTAGACCATGTCGTGGGATGGCTACTACGGGTCTTATATCTGCGCTTCACCAGCTCGCCAAATGCGACATGGCTCGCAAGCTGCACACTAATTCACATGATTGAGACGGTCAAATTACACTATGAACCATCCCAGAACAACAAATCAAATGCCACCACCGCCTCGCAAGACCCTGACCCATACAGCCCCCAATTAAAAAGACAAATGTACTACACAGCGCAAATCTTCAACACATGGATCTCTTACGACTACGGACAAGCAAGAATAGCACCACGAGGCGCCTCTTGTACCTTCCCCTCAGAAGGATGGACAGAGGAATCACGCACATTCTGGAAACTATCCGACACCCTCGATCCAAATCTCCCGCTCAACGCAGCAGAACTAGAAACCATGCTCGAGCAAGCCGTCCAACTGAACCCATCTCATCCAGCCATGAAGCTCAAACGGTGTAATATAGCACTTTGCATATACCGCCGCCTCCGTGTAACCGGCTGCACAGTCTCGCCTAGCGCCGTGGATAAAATCCTGCAACTTGGAGACGATGGTATTCAGATAGCTACAATCATGGCGAAAGCGCGTTCACCTTGGTGGCATGTTTTGAATGTTCCATTCCAGTTTCTCTGCGTCTTACTGGCGATCGATACCCGGGCCTCGCTTGGCCGTGTTGGGCAGGCATTTCAGACGCTGAAATTGCTGGCTGATGAATATGGGGCCGAGGCTATTCAGGAAACGTGGGCGAGTGCTTGTACATTGTTACGACTTCAGATTCGGAGAAAGCGAGATGACTTTGAGCTTTTGAATTGCGTTGAGAATGATATCCTCGCTTGGAATTCTGGCGGGGCGCATTCGACTTCATTGGATCTGAGCCTCCCAGAGCAGCAGCACCTACTACCCGATGGTGGAGATTACGGCCCAGGAGAATTCTGGGAGTTGGATGAAATTTTCTCTAGTAATTTATTTACACTGTGAAATCGAGACTTATGACCTATGCCCTGTTCCATGTGCTATAGGCGCCGTCCACTAATTCCCAGCGTGACTGGCTGAATCAAGTACTTTGCCGCTGATGTTGAAGTCTTGTGGGTGTTGAAGACGATTGTACGCCGACACTTCGACAAGCGAAAGTTTCGCATCATTGTAGGAAATTCCGACATGCCCCTCCCTTGGGGAGCGACGCAAATTTGAACATCTTTGTGAATCTCCTGTCCAATTGGTAGCACGGCATCGGTCCAATGTTCTGTGCTTTTGTTAGATTATATCACCTGCTTACTTTGTTTCTACCCCAATTAGGAAAGAGCAATTTTCTATATTGGACTGCTGACAAATAGCTTAGTATCGGCCCCCAATCTACTCAACTCTCATTTTGACGGTTTCTGGAGTTTTTTGTCTTTGATCTTCATAAAGCATGCATTCTTGGTTTACTTCCCCGCTTCAAGCATAATGTCTCAAGAAATTCACTTCATCAATTTGTCCCACCCTGCAGAGCCGGTCTCGGCCGAGTCCCGAAGGGGAGCCCATGCCCACGCCGCACGAACAGCACATGCTAGACGTGATCGCTTTCGTATCATGAAATATCCTGTCGAGGCCAAAGACCAAAAAGTGAAAAATAGGAAGGGGTCTACGAAGAAAATTCATAAGCCGACTAAGGGCACATCGGTGGGCTCAAACCTAGCCCAAGATGCGTCGTCTCTGCCGATCTTGAAAACGCTTCTATCATCAAGTCGACGAGATCCGTTTGACAGCATGGCTAAATCCTTCACTGAGTTTCAATACTTCCTATTCGATCATTGTTAGTTTCACCAATAGACTTTCTTTCACACTCTTTTTCTCTGTTTCGTTTCTCAGCTAACGCTTCTGTTAGATACCCAAATAGTTATCCCCGATCAAAGTGTCAAATGCAACCGTCTTTTAAGCCCCAAAAAGTATTGCCATTTAATGAAAAAGGAATTGACGCGGCTTCTTGTTATTAGGAATGATTCATTGGATAGCCTTTTCCTAATAGCCTGTCGCCACTTGACTGGCAAAAATTCACAGCGTCCTGGAGAAAAGGCTCATTATATGCAACTGGCACTAGAGTACAAAGTTTCTTGCTTGAAATCTCTGAATGATGCTATTTCTAGAGAGGCAGGGAAAGCGTCAATAATCAGTGACTCTACTTTTGTGACGGCAATGATGCTTACATCAGACGAGGTGAGCAGATCACAGTCACAGCTAGGGATGGATCAAAGGCATTAATTAACTCACCTGAAATTAAAGCTCCATCTTGGCGACTTCAATATGGCTCGAGGCCATATTTTGGGTGTTCTTCGCATGGCCCAGCACAATGGTGGACCTCAAAATCTAGGCTGCAATGGATTTATGAGGCACCTACTATACGTGCTATGGCGGGATGTCCACACTTTTTCGGAGATTCAAATGTCAAAACAACAGGCCCCTGTCAATGCTTCTTGCATCTAGATAACCATGTATTAATTTAGAATATATACAGTAAGCTTCAAGTTAACTCCACTATCTGAAAGGTCTGGTTCTACCAATGATTAATTACAGGTTGCCTATTAGAGTACTTTGCTCTTTCCTTTCTGGACTAGCGTAGATCACAAGGCCTATCTACCCTCGGCAGTATGAAACGATCAGCCGAAGTCCTTCGATCATCTTTTTCTAGTATCTTGCACTTACCTTTCAAGGACTAGATTAGGGGCTGCTGATTGAACTCCGAGGATATCCTGATTTCAAAGCAATTCTAGATTGCCTAGAGTGCTATGGAGATAATTAGAGCTAGAGTCGGTCGGAATGATCTTAGGGATATATAGAGGACTGCTCACTCGCGCGATAATATTGGACAACACTTCCGAGTCGATAGCAAAACCTTGAACTCTCACTTTGATCACCTAGTCGTACAGCAAATCTACGGTTTCCCTTCCACTTTCCAGAAATGTCTGAATTAAACGTCACTATCCCCAAGGGCTCCTTGGTACTGGTCACCGGTGCGAATAGCTACCTAGCATCGCATATCATCCAACAATTTCTTGAACGAGGATACAAAGTCCGAGGTACCGTCCGAAACATCGAGAGAACATCCTGGCTAGTCCAAGATCTCTTCAAGACAGCGACGGAAAACGGCAATTTCGAGCTCGTCCTAGTACCAAACTTCATCGCCCCGAATGCCTTCGACGAATGTGTCAAGGGCGTCTCCGCCATTATTCACGTCGCCACACTGGGCTTCGATCCAAATCCGAACAATGTCTTACCACAAATTGTCGCTGTCACTAACTCCATCCTGGAGTCTGCCTTGAAGGAGCCTTCAGTGAAAGAATTCGTTTACACCAGCTCACTAGCTGCTATGGTCATCCCTAATATGGACCCAACTCATCTAACCTCGGATTCTTGGAATGACGCTGCAGTCAAGCTTGCTTGGGCGCCTCCTCCGTACGAGCCGGCTCGGGCTTTTATCGTGTACGCTGCAAGCAAGACAGTTGCGGAGAAAGCTTTGTGGGAATTTGTTGAGAAGAGAGATCCCAATTTCACTGTCAACTCTATCATTCCGGCAAGCATTATGGGTGAATTTCTCGCCAGACCCCACGCTGAGTTACCTCAGATGTTTGTCACGGCTCTGTATCGTGGAGATTTGGTCGCATTGCAACAGCTCCTCCCGACCCCAGGAAGTTTGTGTTCCCGAGATCAATGATTTGAACCAGCATCTGATAATTCTTTCTAGCTATTCATACCGATGTGAAAGACACTGCACTTCTCCACGTTGCAGCGGCTCTTGACCCTGAAATCAAGAACCAGCGGCTTTTTTCCTGGGGGGAGTCTTGCACGTGGAATGAAATTCTCGCTTTGATGCGCACTATTGCTCCTAGGCGGGATTTTGTTGACGATCTACCTGGCGAGAGACTCAAGTTGACCGCAGATGATGCTAAATCTCTGGATTTGCTGAAGAAATGGACTGGTCAAGAGGGGTGGACATCTTTGAAAGAGACGATCACCGACAACATGACCAACGTCATGATGTGGTTTCCTTGAGGGAGATTGGAACATTCGTGTTGCCAAAATATTATTTCAACCAGGTTGTGTGGCCGAAATTATAGCAGTCCATATGATTATCTATATAGAGAAATCCAGCCCCATTAATTTGCATACGAGAACCCATCTGGCCGGTCAAGACCGAGTCGATTTGAACACACCCCAACCGGCTGGTTTGGAAGCCAGCGCTGTTCCAGACATTCATTCGCTCCTTGAATCAATTCCCAAGATCCCACTTACCCTTTGAGATGGTGGAATCTGTGCGCAAACTGATTATATCGGTGATCTCGCTTTGATCATATGCGAAAATCTGCAACAATACTTTCCGAGAAGCACGGCTTTGCTTTTGATACCCTAGTGGAGACTGATAGAGGCCTAATGCTTTCTATATTCGCTGATCACCTCCCTGAAGCTATGCTCTAGCTTTCATGACACGTATTTTAGATACAAAAAGACTGAATGAAGAAGGATGCAGCATATGCTGAGCCGATAGTAGACTATTCATAGCACTCATACTCCTATGTCAAGAGAATAAATCATGATATTATAAAGAAAAATTTTAGGATACCCAGTAAGCAAAGCATGCAACTTGAACTATGCGTAGTCTTTTCTATTTATCTCAGACATTTCTGTCGGTCTTGCGATTACTGGCAGCAATAAAGCAGTCTATGATTATACCACAATCTTCCAAGGTTTCCAACCTTGTAGAAATTGGAACAAACAAAGAAATCGAACTAGCCTTTCCAAGGTCCCGAGTCGGAGCCCATAGCTTCCAGTTATCTCTGGTGGGGCTTGAAAGAGGAATAATGCCGGTCACTTTGTATATATTCGTTAAAGCCAATCTCGGTTCAAGCTTGAAATCAACTACCACCTCAACGGTTTGATCATGTACCCGAGTACGTACCGACTTCCCAGAGCATTACCAACTAGCCTGAAAACTAACAGATACCAACTAGTTAGCTACTGTGACCACATACCTAGGCTCTAGCTATAGTACCATGCCACTTCTTAAACACAGCACCTTCCATGTATCCGCTCCCTTCACTACTTGAACAACGCTGCCTCAGTATCATACGTATACTTCAAATCAAGATGCCAATAATCAGCCGACGTAGCTTTAACACACACCCAAGCCTCGTCAAGGACATTCACCACCTCCTGCGGCAAAGCACCCTTCTGCGTAGCATCAATATTCGAATGAAGCTGTTGGATGCTACTAACGCCAATCAGAATACCGTCCTTACCCAACCGCAGCTGCGAGTGGTGATTCAGCCAACGGAAAGCAATTTCCGGCAATGTCAGGTTATATTTTGCGGCGACTTGACTGATCAGATTGACGGCGTCGAGAACCGGTTGGTTCATATAGCGCTTTCTGTACAAGGCGCCTGTGGTGTTCTTGTCGCTGAATCGGCCTTCAGTCGGTGCCTGTGACACGGCGTCTGCGTTGTATCTTCCTGAGAGAACACCACCGGCGAGAGGGTTGTAGACAACGATTTCGAGTCCGTAACGCCGGCAACAGGGGATGAGCTCTGTCTCGATGTTTCGCGCTGATAGATCGGATTAGCTACCTAGGTATACTCGGAGTTTCTGATCGAGCGGGAAAAGGCCTACTGATAGCGTTGTACATGGCTTGATAAATCGTCGGACGAACCCAACCTCTCTCCGTGCATAGGATGACAATCTCTGCAACCTCGAATGAGGTATAATTGCTAAGACCCAACTGCTTGAATTTACCCTCCTGATAGAGCTTATTCACTTCCTCCAGGGTCTCGGCGAAGGGTACAGATCGATCAGCAGCATGCAAGTAGAAAATGTCCACCTGGTCTGTCTTCAGCGCGACAAGAGATTCGTTGAATTTCTCGCGCAGCTGAGCAGGCTTGTGGATGCCTGGTTTGGTTGGGTAGACTTTCGTTGCGAGGCTTAGGCCACGTTCTTTCCAACCAACTGCGGCGGTGAATTCTTCCTGCTTCTCACCGAGATACATGCGTGCTGTGTCGACTTCGGAGTAACCGGATGACTTCAGGTAGTCTAGGCATTCGCCGAATTCGTCAAGGGAGGTGATGCGGGCACCTAGGCTGGGGTCTGGCCCGAATGTCATCAAGCCGAGGATGACGCGGGGTTTGCAAGATGGTATTTCTGACATGATGAATTGCTGGTCTTGAATTAGGAGTTGATTGAAAGTGGAATCTTCTATAAGGTTCAATTGTGGTAGAGTAATGAGCTTTTTTATAGTCTTTTGAAATTTACTTCCATGCGGCATGCGGGCCGATGATGCGGGCCGCGTGGGAAGCCGCATACTTAAGAACCGCAAACCTTATATTTGCGACTAACCAAGTCCGACCGACCCAACTAAACGCAATATATTTGAGTATATGTCTTCTTGCAAGTTTTTAAAATAGGTTCCAATGTTACCAGGCTAGTTGAGGTGCAAAACCGCTAATTATTTTACGCTCAAAGGTTTAGAATACGGAGTAGTTAGCTCATGCCCACTGGCACTGCGACCACAGAACAGCCTGCACCTCTTAGGGCTGCGGTTCAGAACCGCAGGACCAAAATAGCGAGAGAACTTGAGAGAATTTCAATGCAGAAATCCTTCCATTCGATAGAATCGCAGATATTTGCTTCTTCTGTGCCTCCAGAAGTATGGTCATTATGTTGTCATCGTTGCGTTGTCAGGATCTACTGGGCCACCCCCAAAGGATCTCGGGATATTTTCAACGTTCACCTTCTGTCAATAGATAATGCCGAAATCGAAAAATTAAGATATATCCACTGAAAGCATGGCTGAAAGGATCATGTCGAGCTTTCGCTATCGCCCCGAAATTCTCGAGGGCGTCCCGGAGCGTCTCACCCAGAATCTCAAGCAATTCGAGGACTGGTTTGTTCTAGACGCAGCCGAACTCAAGAAGATCACAGATCATTTCGTTGCAGAGCTTGAAAAGGGATTGACCAAGGAAGGCGGGAATATCGTGGGTAGCCCGATCACAATGCCATAGAGAATGTCTGGATATTTCACTGACGCAGGGTTTCCTCTTTAACGCGATACAGCCAATGAACGTCACATGGGTTAAGAGTTCTCCCAGCGGTCGTGAGTTGGGACGATTTCTAACACTGGACATGGGCGGGACAAACCTGCGTGTTTGCGACGTCACGCTCTCGGAACAAAAGGGGGATTTCGAGCAGACACAGCGAAAGTTCAAGCTGCCGCAGGAGGTCAAATCCGGGACAGGCGAAGAGCTTTGGGATTTTGTTGCGGATCGCTTGAAAGATTTTCTGGAAGAGAATCCGACTGGCGCTCAAGATAATACCTCTGTGCCTCTGGCTTTGACGTTCTCCTTCCCGGTCGACCAAAAGAATATTCGAAGCGGAATTTTGCAGCGCTGGACGAAGAAATTCGAAGTCTCGGGCGTGGAGGGCGAGGACATTGTTCCTCAGTTGGAAGCTGCCTTGGCGAGAAAAGTGAGTTGAGCTCGTGTTTTCCCGATCTGCGGATCAAATGTTTCAGCCAATTGATCTTCGATTAGAATATTCCCGTTGATGTTGTGGCGTTGATCAACGATACAACCGGAACCATGATTGCCTCGCACTACCGTGATCCTCAAATCAAGATTGGCAGCATCTTCAGTACGGGCACGAATGCTGCATACATGGAAGAATGCAGATTAGTGCCAAAATTGGAAGGGTACGGACTTCCGGAAGACGCAAAAGTCATTATCAACACCGAATACGGCGCCTTCGACAACGACCGCCAGATCCTCCCCTTCACCCCATTCGACCACCAGATCGACTCGGAATCGCTGCGTCCTGGAACCCAGCTTTATGAGAAAATGGTTTCTGGCCTATACATCGGCGAAATGCTGCGCCTGGTTATGGTCAAGCTACACGAGGAAGGGAGGTTGTTCCAAGACAAAGATATCACGCGTCTTCGGGAGAGCAATGTTGTCGATGCGACCTTTCTCTCCATCGCTGAAATAGATACTTCCGAGGGACTCGATGATATGAGAAAAGAGTTTGAAGGTTTGTTTAACTTTTCTCCTGCCGTGGATGAGATGAAGGTATGCCGGTATTTGACTGGGTTAATTGCAACCCGTGCGGCGCGATTATACGCCTGCGGGATTGCGGCGATTTGCAAGAGGAACAACATCAGAGAGTGCCACGTTGGTGTTGATGGGTCGGTTTTCAACAAGAATAGCGGGTTTAAGGACCGTGCGAGTCAGGGTCTCCGTGACATTCTTGACTGGCCGGTGGGGGAGATTGACTTGATTGCGTTGAACGCGTCCGAAGATGGATCTGGTGTCGGAGCGGCATTGGCTGCATCCTTAGCTTTGAAAGAGGCTGATCAGATTAAGACCACCATTTTGTAGAGTGGGTCATAGATGAGAATAGAATAGAATGAGTTAAGTTGAAGGTGACATCCCAAAGCCTCTCTACCTAAGGTAAAGTAGAAGGTGCACGCAGGGGAGACCGCGTAAAGTGGCAGCGATAAGATAAGCCCGTCGCGTCCCCCGCGAATTTCAACCGCACGTCGCTTCATCAACATCAACATCAGCTTCTCCCTCGCCAAAATGCGCTTCCGAACCCAATTAAAGGACACAAAGACCTTCTCAAGTTTGTAAAAGTCCCCAATACATGCTATATAAAAGACTAACCCCTATGTACAGAGCTAACAGCCTCACTATCCTCCCTCGGCAAAGTATGCTGGATGCGACTCGAGTACGATGTGGTACGCTTTACCATCATCCCGGAGCAAGGCACCCAAGTATGGGCTCAAATTCCCGTTGTAAGTGTACTCCAGCGCTATGCAACCTCACAATCAACCCCAATACCAACCCAACCCAACCCAACCCCAACAGGACACAATCTTCGAAGAAAACACCTACGAAATGGAATCCAACTCCGAAGCAATAAACATCGAAATCAATATCGCAAACCTGAACCGCGCCCTCCGCTCAACATTCGGCTCCTCACAATCCCAACTCCGCCTCACAAAAAAGGACAAAATGCCCCTGCTAGCCCTAACAGTCCTATCAACCGACTGGACAGAAGGAAACATGGCGCTCGCCACCGAAGAAGGCACCACAGACCACCACGACGACCAGCCCGGCGAAGTAACCGGTGATCGCCGAGCCCGCGAGCGCGAAACGCGCATCACGCAGGAAATCCCCATCAAGATCTTGCACGAGTCGGCTGTTGATGGTCTTCACGAACCGCATTGTCCGGACCCGGATGTTCATATTATTTTACCCGGATTGTCGCAATTGAAAAGTATTTCGGATCGATTTAACAAATTAGCGTCTACGGATTCGAAAAGTAGACAACAGCAAACGGGGCTGGGACTGGGTGCAGTGGACAATTCGAATTCAAATGCAAATTCAAATGCGCAACCAGGATCAGGACTGTCGTCTTCTTCGGGGCCAAAGTTGGAATTATCGGCTAACATGCATGGTAAACTCAAGCTTGCTATTGCGACGGATGAGTTGCGTATTGCGAGTGTTTGGTCTGCGTTGGTGAATCCACCGCTTGACCCAGCTCATATTTCGGAGCAGCAGTTGTCGCAGTTACCCAGTGAGCGGATGCGGGGAGTCGGCGAGGATGATGAGTCTGGTTGGGCGAAGGTGCGGATTGATGGGAAGGATTGGAGTCGGGTTTTAAGCGTGGGCAGGCTTAGTCCGAAGGTTGTTGCTTGTGAGTTCATTTTCTCTCTCTCCTCTGGGCCCCTATTGATGAGTGCTGGCTAAATTTTTATCGGCTGGATAGGTTTTATCAATGAGACGGCTCTTGTGCTGTATGTTTATCTACCTGGCAGTTGGAATGGCGAAGAGTCGTGTTTGACGGTATGCTCACCCTTTTTATCTATCAAACTCCAACGAAAAATGCATGGCAGCCCTAACTCTTCGATTTAGTATTACATCAACTCATTTGCAGCGTGATGAAAAAGCGCATAATTCATAACACCCTGGGGTTCACTATACCCTTCAAACATCACCATAACCTTACATGTACGAACGTCACGATATTACTATTTATAGAATCAAAAGCAGATCTCCTTCAGCGTTACCAGAAATCGTTATTAAGACATAGACATGGGATAAGCCCATGCGGAAAGAAAACAAACCACCAAAAAACACTAGCACAATGAATCACGGTATAGCCGCAAGGGAGAAAAGTGATATGTATACATGATGCAAGGAGACATTCGTCTCCCTCACTTCGCGAGCGATGAGAATTGCAACAAAGAGCAGCAAAAAGCAAGATATGTGCAAAGCCTTGCGATGGGAAGCTGGCTCAAAGTGCGAACGCCATGAGAAATGTGTTTGTCAAGTGACAAAACACAACACATGCAAGATGATGGGGCAGGGGGTGATGATTCTATTATAGAGGGTACTGGGGGAAATGGGGGATTCATGGGGAAATAAAACGCGAAAAACGGGACATGAGGGCGTAATGAAACAAAGGGAAAACACAAGGAAAAAATTAGACATCTGACAGCCAAAATTAGTCAAGATGTTTTGTCCAGAACCAATATGCAGCAATTGCGCATTATTGGGCCATCACGTCGACGTAGCGGCCCTTCTTCTTGCCCTTTACAGTGTTACCCTTGCGTGCTTGCGGTGCACCCAGGAGGTCGTCAATAGAGCTGGCATGCGTCAAAGAGGATGACGGACGAGGAGGCGGTCCGGAGGAACTGCCAGGTGGGGTTGGATGGGCACCACCTGTAGAGACGGACCGCGGCAGGCTGCCATAGGGACCCATTGGTGGGGGGACACCAAGGCTAGAGAAAGCCGGGCTAGATGAAAGTGAAGGCGGCATATCACTAGATGAAGATGTTGGACGGCTTCCCGATGCAAAAGGCATCGGAGGCATTGGGGGCGGTGGCATGCTGCCGGAGCTGGCATTGCGACTGGGAGGAGCAGAGCCACGGGGAGGAGGCGGCGTGGCACGAACGGGTTCCGCGCTGCCGGGGTCCTTCTTGTTCACCCACTTCTTCAAGTCCTTGTCGTAGTAAAATGAACTATCCTCGCCGAGCTTGGCCCTGATAGGGCCGCCGCCGCCGCCGCTGCCTGACTGTTCGGCTTCCTTCTTGGCACCTCCGAACCATCCACCAAACCACCCCTTCTTGGGGCCTTGTTGATCTTTCTTGGCTGTGGCATGGGTTAGCATTAGGATTAAAGAAATTACAATTTTGGAACATACCATCTTCTTCGGCAGCCTTTCTGAAAGCTTCGTCCGCCTTCCGGTCGTTCTCGGCCTTCTTGAGAGCAGCGGCTTGAGCAGCCAAGTCCCCGTCATCTTCATCATCCATAAAGGACTTTTTGGGTTTAGGGGCCTCTGCTTCGGCAGAGTCCTGGGTCTCTTCCGGCGCAGAGCTCATGACAGGAGCATAGGAAGGTGGCTCGTAAGCATTAGAGCTGGTCGCGGGGGGCATGTACCCATTGCTTTCCGACTGCGGCATTCCAGGAGGGCCTTGGTAGTAGGGGGACTGGTTTGCTGGTTCCTGCCCTTGGGGCTGGTAGAAGAGCCCGTTGAGGGCCGATTGAGGAGGTGGTGCCGGGTCTGCGGGAGATTGGGTGGCCGATGTTTCCTCAACCGGGGCAAGTGGCATGTAAGACGATTGGGGAGGAGTAGGCTGGTAACCAGTAACAGCACCGGGAGATCCGTAAATCGCCCCAGCAAAAGTTTGAGCATCGGCTGAAGGAGATGAGATCTCCTGTGAACTCCGACGTTGACCGTAGGAGATTCCTCCATACGAAGCCGAGCGCTGGGAATCCATGGAAGATCTTCCACGGGGCTGCTCAGGGGATCCATTGGGCGCGTACGGGTTTGATGAAGGCATGTACCGCGAGGGTCCACCAGCGGGGATTGGCTGGGCTCCTGTGCCGGGGTATGATCCATAGATATCCGACACGGAGGGAGACCGGCTGACAGTTGGCGTTCCAGCGATGTTAGCAAAGGGGCCAACGTCTGGGACTTCCCCAGCCTTGCCAGAACCGGCTGCTGCCGCATCATTCTCCTCGCCAGCAACGAAACTATTGAAGCGAGCCCACACGGACCCGGAAACCTTCTCCATACTTGGCTTGGAGATCCAGGACGAGCTGCCGTCGGTGGTTGTTTGACGGAGACGTGCAGAAAGCTCGTCCACCTCAATAAACAAATATTGGTGGTGGTATGGCGAAGGTCGAGTCGTGGCTTTTAGAGATGCCGCGACCCCATCACAGTAATTCTGTGCCTCCGATTTGCGACCTCGGTCGGCAAGTTGCTTAGCATGCAGCAGCTTGAATGACAGGAGGTGCGGCATATTTGCTATCGGGGAGCTTGCAAGAACAGATGTAGCGTACTCGTAGATCTCAGTCAGGAGGAATGAATCTTCATCAAGCAGAGTGCAAGGATGACGCTGGTGATCCGCGCCTAGGAGCACAACGTTGGCCTGGGGATCATCGGCACCGCCGAACACAGCACATCGAGAGAACAGGAAGCAAATGTGCGCAGCTTCAATGCGACCATAGGATGCGAGCAAACGCCCAAGTGCGAGCAATGCCTGGTGATCCTCGGGGCTGCGGTTGCTGAGAACGAGTCCAAGGGTGTCTCTCCAGCTGTCCAGACCATCAAGCGCGTTCTTGGAAGCTCCTTGTCCATCAGCCTTACTGATCAAAAGGTGGCCAGCCCGCGCAGACGGGGGAACCAGTTCATCGATGCTCTCTTCCACGTTTCCAGCAAAAATCTCGTAGAGAGCTGACAGCGACTCCGAATTCGATGTCGTTGACTTGATTTCACGTCGAACGAACTCTTGCACGACCTGTTTCCACACCGACTTATCCATGGTTGATGCGACAATCATGGCGTGTCCCCATAAACGACGATCAACGGCGCCCCAGACGGCCTTCTCACGCTCACCCAAGAACAAATCATTGCGCAAATCTTCCATCCAGCGAGGATCGACAGCATCTGATTGTGGGGGGTTGTTGAGGGTTCTTAGGCTACCTGAATTTGCAAAGGTACCTCCATACGAGTTATCCGAAGTCTGGTTCTGCAGGTTGGGGAAGACAGCCTGCCGAAGGGACTGTTCAATTGCAGGCGATCCTTCTAGGACTCCATCGTTCTCCACCAAAATTTTGGCGACCTTCCATAGCAAAATCTTCTCATCGCGGCGCTTCCGTGCATCGGGATCGGAGTGGTCAAAGTCAGGGGAGACCTCATTCTCGAAAGCCGCGACTTTGCTTGAGATCCAAGCCAGCAAATCCTTCTTCTTGGCCTTGGTCTTGAGAGGACCAGGATGTTGAACAATAGTCTCTGTAGGAGGCAACCAGTAATTCAGTTGAGAAAACTTGGGTTCACCCGGGCTAGGCTTAATCATCGGTGCGGTTTGGCCAGCAGAATAGCGTGGGATGTGTTTCGGGAAACATGAAACAACTGCTCCACCGAATCCAAACTTGAAAATCGGAGCTCCCTTCCACCGCTGAAGGGTATCTTGCTCCTGTCCATCTACAGGTGTGATGAACGCAAGGTGCTGCGACATCGCACGAGCCCGGCTCGCCATAGATGGCTGTGCGGGTGCGTAGGGGTTTGTCGTCTTAGTCGGCGATGAGGACCCATGAACCGAGGCAGGGCGTGGAAGAGGAGGCTCTATGGGTGGCAGGTATGAGCGGGGGCTGGTCAACTGCTGACCAGGCGACTGTGTTTGAGACCTCAGGGGAGCAGCAAATTGCGAATCAACCGCTTGGGGTGATGTCGATCCGGCTGCTGCAGGGGCCGAAACAGCCGGTGCATAAGTAGGGCTCGGAAGCGGAGGAGCCTGGGATTGGGTAGGGCTAGGCGCAACACGATTGGCAAACTCATTAAGATACTCCGCTGGCGCATAGCGGTTCGTTGGAGGAGCCTGCTGCGAAGCCACTGGCGGGCTAGCAGTCTCCGGGGCAAAGGCATTCGTCTGCTCGTTGAATGACTGTGGAGCATAGGGTGAACCTTGATCGATACTTGCGCGCTGACGAGGGGGGACAGGTCGACCGATGGCTGAAGCGATGGAGCTGGCATATGAGGTTGTTGCGCCACCTCAGGTTGATACGACACCTTTTCGTGATAAGCCAAGGGACTTGATGTACGAGGCTGGAATGGTAGAGATGTCTGCTGTCCAGGAACAGATAATGGTTGAGATGCGTAGCGGCCGCGCCCAGCAGACGCTGAAGGCGGAGGCGCTGGTGAGTATCTTGGAAGCGAAGGCGGCTTCGCGGAAGGGTGAAGACCTGGAGGCTTCGGCGAATATCTGGAGGCGGCACTAGGACCAGCTGGCGCACTTGAGGCCAAAGTAGATGAGTACGGGTCCATCGGTTCCGGAAGCTGCAGGGAGGACTGTGCAGCAGGTATATTGGCCGCAGAGACAGGAGGTGGAGCCATCAAATTTGCATTTTGGGGGGGGGTGGCATGGGGGGGTTGAACAGTCGGTCCAGGACCAGCTGCCATGGGACCGGGAGTATACCGGCCAGAGCTAGCAGGGCGAGATCTGGGGGTAGGTAATGGAAGCTCTTCGTAGAAATTCTTTGGTGCTGGCGGGGGAGCAGCCGGTGCAGTAGGAGGAGGAGCCATGACTGACGGTGCATGCGGCATCGAGGGAGGCGCTACATGTTGTTGCACACCCATGCTCGAGGGCGGCGGCATATTCTCCACCTTCGGAGGAACAGGCTTATGAGTAGCGACTGGCCGTCGAGGACGGGACAAGTCATCAGGGAGATCATAGGGAGACTTGTAGCCTTGCTTCGATTGCTCGGCATAACTTTCTCCTCGTGTTGCAACGGGGTTCGCAGGCTGCTGGGAAAAGTAAGGGTTTGTCTGAGGAGGGGCTCCTGGGAGAGGCAGTCCGGACAGCAGGTCGCCCGTGGTCGGCTGGTGTGGGGTGTATACACCGGGGATTGGCCGGGGTTGAGCTTGACTCTGTGGCGTCTGGAAGGGACTGTTCAAGGCAGTCGGTCCAGCGTTGGTTAGGGAAGCAACCGCAGCCTGTGGAGCAGTTTGCTGTCTGGTAGATGGTTGTGCATCATCTCCTAGTAACATATCTTCATCATCATCACTGAGGGCGGCTTCCCAACGTGCCGCTATGTCATCCTCTCCCATATCACTAAGTTCAGCTTCCCAACGTGCGGCAAGATCCTCCTCAGATGGCTCTCCACCTGCCGTTTGGAAATTCAGCGCAGGAGAATCAGACGATGCAGCATTGAGAACACTATCAAGCTGTGCGGCGGCTGAAATGTCACTGGTCGGAGAGTCGATGTGGAATCCGATGGACGAATCCATCACTTGCGAAGTGCTTTTGCGTGTGATGTGGAGCGAACGCGGAGCACTGGGCTCTGGCTTCTGCGCGGAACTGAAGAATCCTTCCGCGTCTTCATCTTCTCTATCAAACAAGTTGTCGATGGAAGTTTGCTGCGGCGCGTCCTGTGTCTTCTCCTGCACCGGAGAGATTGGAGAATAGGGTTCATCAAGTAAGGGAACACCCTCCTCGTATCTTGACTCCGTCTCCGGAGGTCCAAATATAGGCTTTGTTTGAGTCTTCAGCTGGTTAAAGAAGTCATCCCCGTCAGAATCCACGTCGATAGGAGCATTATGCCCCCAAGCGTCGTCATCTGTGGGCTCTTCTTCCAACGTTGCTTCCACTGCCAATGGAGCACTCTCAACCTCTTGAGCGATTGTCTCAACAACTGGCTGCGCACCTGTATCCTTATCGTCCAGGGTGTCCCACGGTCCGGGGGTTTGATCTGCTTGGTTTTGGACGCCTTCGATATCGTCAAAAAACGAGGCCGCGGGGTCTTCTTGGGAGTCGGTGTTGAAGACCGATTCCACGGTCGTCGATTCGGTCTGGACAAGCTGTTCAACGGGCTCTTCGTTGGCAGTGGGGAGCTCGAGCTCGGCGGGGATTTCTGTGACCGTGGCTATTGGCTCCACAGGATCAGAGGCCAGCGCGACGGGAACGCTCGGCTCATCAACTTGCGGCTGCACGGGGCTAGGATCGATTGACGAAGGCTCGGGCTCGGTAGGGGGTTCGGCATTTGCGGTTGGCTCAACAGCATCTCTCGATTCGCTAACCTGGGAAAGAAAGACGGAAGGCTCATCGGGCAGTGATTGGGACTGCTCGGGTTCAGTATTATTGGGGGTCGAGGCTGGAATAGCCTCGTTGGGATCGATGGTGAGAGCAGCTTCAACCAAAGGAGCTGCTGGTTGATCCGGCTGAGGTTGAGAAGACTCAGCACCTTGCGCAAAAGGGTCCTGGGGCTCATCTGATCTTGACGCCTCAACGGGGACCGCGTCGGTGGTGCCATTCACTTCCGGGTTATTATCCACACCAGTTGTATCCAAAGTTGCCGGCGCATTCTGTGGCGTGGATTTGACGGCGGTATCGATCGACGGCATTTGGTTGATATCGATGGGCATGTCCCATGCGGAAAAACTGTCGTCGCTGAGAGGGGACTTGAGATCGGAAGCGGGAGGTTGTTTGGCGTTATCTGCGGCCAGGAGATCCGACAAGGCATCGGTAGATGCGACCGGCTCGGAGTTATGAGTACTCGAATCCGGACGGAGCGCTGGATTCCAGCTCTCCGCGCCTTGGTCGGCTGGCGATATTGTTTGCGCCATTATATGGGTATAGTGAGGAGTTGAACACCCTCGGCGAGTTCAGGAGGAGTACCTGACACGTCTCCGGTGACGTTGGAGTCAACAAACCCCAACACAGATTGAACTCGAGAGCTCCTTCAAATTAGAAATCCATTAAACAGCGTAGAATTTGAAACAAAGAAATGACGCGAATGGAGGTCGAAGAAACAATGAAAAGGCTGAAATAAAAGGGAAGGGAAGGAAACCACTTCGCCTCGATATGCTCTCTCGGCTTTGCTGGGTTCGCCGTTGCGCTTCCCCCGATTGGATCATCCCCGGAGGATTATTCCTCCGGGCCCGAAAAGACACCTTAACCATAAATTCCAAGAGGGAAGGCGGTCTACCCGCGCATACGCATTGCACGGGGCGGCGCAGGCAGTCACGGAGTAGTCACGGGCGATCATCCACGCTACCACTTCACCTTTTTTTTCTTCTCCTAGTCTTCTCCTCACTCTGACAAGCTTAGGCTACAACATTGGGAGGTACAGTGACCTCCATTGCATTCTTCTTCCTTTAATAAATATTGGCCTAGTCGCCTACTCCACCTGTTTCCACACTCGTTCTCTCAAACACTATGCCGGCGCGGCACTTTGAAACAACAACTCCACCCACTATCTGAGATGATCCTACATCCACTGACCACCACACTGTTGTCTTTCTGTTCATGATCTAGGGTGGTTAATTTTCCGGGTACCATCAATCATGAACTCCTCACACGAATACATACACCCTCTACAACAGTCCGATCATCCCGGCGACTATTCAGGTTCCGATGACGACGACTTGGACCTCGAAGAGCTAGATCCCAGCGCCACACCACAACAATCGTCGCGAGTATCGCGAGATTATACAAGTCGCTCAAGAAACTATGGCCCAGGGATTGCTCTGCGAAATCTACGCGTCGGCGTTGGAAGTCGCTGGAAGCGGAGTCCCTCTGGTCACAGGGAACCAGAGGAGGATACGGATGCGCTGTTGCAGGAAGATCGGACGGAGGATGGAATCCGCCAGTCACATGGTAGCTCGAGGAATATGACCGACGATGATGCTCCGCTACTGGACCGCCGTGGTTCAACCCGCCTTTTGAACGATGATGAGCCCGTTCGGAAGGGTAGCCGTTTTCGCCTACCGAGTCTCCGTGGCCCAGGTTTCCTTCAAACCGTATCGAACCGCTTCCGCAAATCTGGCAATGACGATACAATCAAACCGCCTCGCGATGTTCTTGTCGGGCAATACCAATCAACCAAATACCCGCCCAATGTCATCTCGAATGCCAAATATACCCCCTGGAGCTTCCTTCCTCGAACACTCTACAACGAATTCTCGTTCTTTTTCAACATCTACTTCCTCCTCGTCGCATTGTCACAGATCATTCCAGTGTTGCGTATTGGGTACATGTCTTCATACATCGCTCCTTTGGCCTTTGTGGTGTCTATATCTCTGGGGAAAGAAGCTCTCGATGACATAGGCCGACGCCGGCGGGATGCGGAGGCCAATTCGGAAGAGTTTACTGTTCTGTCTTTGGATAGAGCCAATGTGTTGGAAGTGACCAAGAAATCTCGCGACCTAAAAGTCGGAGATGTTCTCAAAGTGCGAAAGAACCAACGTCTTCCCGCCGATGTTGTGATCCTGCAAAGCCTCTCTAATGATTCGAATACACAACGTCTAAGCTCATTTGATGAAGACGCCCCGGAAGTATCAACTGATCTACTTGAATCGGGTCAGGGACCATCCGAGTCCGTCGCCGATGCTCCGGCCAATGCCGCAAATGATTCTTCCACTAGCGATACCTTCATTCGAACCGACCAACTAGACGGCGAAACTGATTGGAAACTCCGTATACCCTCCGTCCTATCCCAATCGATTCCTTTCAGCGAATTCACCCGGCTCAAGATTACCGCAAGTCCTCCAGATCAGCGTGTCAACGAGTTTGTTGGTACCATCGAACTGGGCCCTCCCACGGGCTTTTACGATGCTCATTATAACAAGGCTTCTGCTTCGCAGCCTCAGGGTGGACAAGCTGCGAATGGCGACAACGAAAACTCCAACTCTGCACCTCTGAATATCGATAATACCGCCTGGGCCAATACCGTCCTCGCCTCCAACACCATTACATACGCCGCAATCATCTACACCGGCTCCCAAACCCGAGCCGCTCTTTCCACTTCGCCATCTCGTTCAAAAGTGGGCTTGTTGGAATATGAAATCAACAACCTCACCAAAATCTTATGTGCGCTGACGCTCACCCTATCCGTAGTGCTGGTCGCTCTGGAAGGGTTTGAACCAACGAACGATAAGGTGTGGTACGTGGCAATCATGATCTATCTGATTCTCTTTTCAACGATTATCCCAATGAGTCTGCGAGTCAACTTGGATATGGCCAAGTCCGTGTATGGCCGATTCATCGAGCGAGACAAGGATATCCCAGGTACCGTCGTGCGGACCAGCACAATTCCTGAGGATCTTGGAAGAATCGAATACCTGCTTTCAGACAAGACTGGGACTTTGACTCAAAATGGTAAGCTTCTCAGACAAGTTTATCTCATGGACTAAATCTAACGTTGCTATAGAAATGGAACTGAAGAAGATCCATGTTGGCACCGTCTCGTATGCGAACGAAGCAATGGACGAAGTAGGATCGTTCATTCGTCAAGGTTTTGCGGGCAACACCTTGACCACACCATCAACTGTTTTTGGTACTCAAGCTGGCCAAGGCGCGGCACCCCGCACGAGGAGAGAGATCGGCTCCCGAGTTCGCGACATCATTTTAGCCCTAGCCGTCTGCCATAACGTGACGCCAACGAGCGAGGTTGAGGATGGGCGAAAAGTGACAACATATCAGGCATCATCCCCGGATGAGATCGCCATTGTCCGCTACACAGAAGAGGTTGGGCTGAAAGTGGCTTATCGGGATCGTCAAAGTATTGTCCTTGAATCCACGGACTCGAAGCAGGTCGTTGTTCGTGTCCGCATTCATGATATCTTCCCTTTCACATCAGACAGCAAGCGAATGGGCATCATTGTTGAGTTCCAGCAAGATGAGAATGACCTCGAAACATCCGGCAAGAATGAACCCGAAATCTGGTTTTATCAAAAGGGCGCGGATACTGTGATGACCTCCATTGTTGCAGCGAATGATTGGCTAGACGAGGAAACTGCTAACATGGCCCGCGAGGGTCTACGAACACTCGTCGTTGGACGCAAGCGACTTTCTCTATCGCAATACCGAGAATTCACCGCCAAGTATAAACAGGCTGCCATGTCTTTCCAGGGCCGTGATATCGGCATGGCTAAGGTCGTGACCGAGTATCTTGAGCGAGACCTCGAGCTCCTCGGTGTAACGGGTGTCGAAGATCGTCTTCAGCGAGATGTCAAGTCTTCCCTGGAATTAATGCGCAACGCCGGAGTAAAAATCTGGATGTTGACAGGAGACAAGGTTGAGACAGCACGTTGTGTCGCGATCTCTGCAAAGCTGGTTGCACGGGGTCAATACATTCATACAGTTCAAAAAGTTACAGATAAATCTGTTGCCCAAGAAGCCCTAGACTTCCTTCGCAATAAGACTGACTGTTGCTTGTTGATTGATGGCGAGTCACTCAATCTCATGCTCGGCCACTTCCGCACCGCGTTCATTTCCGTTGCTGTCCTCCTGCCGGCCGTGGTGGCTTGCCGTTGCTCGCCCACGCAGAAAGCCGAAATCGCCACCTTGATCCGTGAACACACTAAGAAACGCGTGTGCTGTATCGGCGATGGTGGTAACGATGTTTCTATGATCCAGGCCGCTGACGTTGGAATCGGTATTGTGGGTAAAGAGGGCCGACAAGCCTCTCTAGCCGCTGATTTCAGTATCACCCAATTTCACCACTTGACCAAGCTCCTAGTCTGGCACGGCCGCAACTCATACAAGCGATCCGCCAAACTGGCGCAGTTCATCATGCACCGCGGTCTCATCATCAGTGTCTGCCAAACCATGTACAGCATTGCTGGACACTTCGATCCCAAGGGCCTCTTCATCAACTGGCTCATGATCGGCTACGCAACCGTCTACACCAATGCACCCGTCTTCTCACTTGTCTTCGACCGCGACGTGGACGAGCGTCTCGCCAACCTCTATCCAGAACTGTACAAGGAACTGAAAACAGGAAAGAGTCTGAGCTACCGCTCATTCTTCAGCTGGGTCTTGATCTCCATCTACCAAGGCGCCGTCATCCAAGGTCTTTCGCAAATCCTGCTCCAAACCGTCACTGGCCCCCGCTTGATCAGTGTCTCGTTTACCGCTCTGGTTCTCAATGAGCTGGGCATGGTCGCCATCGCAATCACCACCTGGCACCCTGTGATGATCTTCTGCCTAATCGGAACTACGCTTCTATACATCGGCAGCATTCCTTTCCTGGGCGATTACTTCAATCTGCGCTATGTTATCACTGTCGATTGGCTGTGGCGCGTCTTCGCGGTGCTGGCCGTCTCGCTGGTACCCGTGTGGGCCGTCAAATTGATCCGACAATCCTGGAACCCCCCAAGCTACCGCAAAGTACGCGGTTAAGGAAGAGCATTTGACACTTTGGATAGGTTTTTTTGTGTGTATTTTTCTTGCATTATCTTTTGTTTCTTCGTTTAGCTCCCTTGCCCATTGACTCGGTCGAATCAATTCGGCTGGTGTCCTCTGTATATCCACACCCAGCATCACATTTGTTGCAAAGCGCATCAGGCGTTGGAAGCGTGAATCATTTTCTTTGGCCTGTTTTGCGATGATATATTTGAATACATTTCCATTCATACTATAGAATATAGACTCAAAGTTGTGTTCAAGTTCTCACTTTATATCCGTGGATGTTCAAGTTCAAGTTCAAGTTCAAGTTCTCGTGCCAGGTGGGCATGTCTCCCGGGCGTGCATTCCGAGTCGCTCGGATATGACGGCGAGGCGGTGGTAGTAAGGTAGTAGTGAACCGCCAACACGGGCAATTGAATTGACATTGGACAGTAGACCTAGAAATCAGAGGTTTAGGCCACCGGCACCAGTCCTACCGATTCGTTCGGGTCTTTGACCCTCAAATTATCTGCCTTGCTCTCATAGCTAGTACGAGAAAATATCACCAGAATGTTACGCTTTCTGGTATTCGTTCCATGGGTCATTCTCTGCTGATCTCACGAATAAGCTCATACTTTGAGAGGGTCACATTACGCCTTCTTAGGTTGGCCACTTGAATTGGCCACTTCGGATTGATTATTCATGCCTTGGCACTAATACATCACAAAGGGATGACGATTTTTAGAGCGGAGGGCATTGTATATAGTCATAGTAATGGCAATATACGAAAGCTGTGGGTTTCTTTATCACCTGTATAAAGTACTAGTAGTACGCCTGGAGTCTCACTAACCGAAGGAACCTCAAGGCATTCCCAACGAGTACCTACTACTACTAGTAGTAGGTATTAAGGTTTAGGGAAGTGATTCGAAATGCGGGGGGTGACATCATTTCTGGAGCGTGCTATCCTAGGATATCACTCACGACAAGGGCCACCACTGATAGCTTCAAGTGTCTCGTGAACAATCTGAGAGTATCATGGTGTGTATTGGTCACTTGATTCCTCTATCTGGGCATGCTGTACCATACTCCCTGGTTCACCGTAAGGCCCAAGTGGCCTAGAACACTATCGGAGACCTTTCATTTGTTACCGTCCAAATAGATCGTTTACAAACCACTATTCCGGATCTCGTAATCTTAAGACAGATTCGTCCTACAAGACACACTGGCCTACTGGGCATACTATTTGGGAGCTGTCCTAAATTTCTCAATTGGCCATAAGATCCTTGTTTGACAACTCCTGAAAATGTCACAAAGGAGCCGACTATGCTAAAGAACTTTCGATCTCAGACTTACAGAGTAGCTTCGCGTCCAACACTCGACGAAGTCCTGAAAAATACCGCCCCTCCGCCGTACACCCTCAGCGCATTTATAAGCTACCTCACCCAAAACCATTGCCTCGAAACCTTAGAATTTATCCTCGAAGCAGAGCGATATCGCGAAAACTTCAGGTCATTAGTTGACCCAGCAAAGGATTTCATCGTGACAACCAACTGTCCCACAAGTAGCGACCTGGGTCTTCTCTACCAGATCATCCTGAATACGTACATCTCCCCCGGAGCAGACCGCGAGGTCAATCTACCTGTCAATGTCCGTGACGACCTTCTGCAAAACAAACTTGAAAATATCTCGACACCACCTTCGCCCGAGACTCTTGACCTTGCCGTGAAAAGCATCCACGATCTGATGGAGGATTCGATCTTCGTTTCATTCCTCAACAGCACGTCCACATATCTTTACGAAGATAAAACGCCGATGAAATCGACCCAAAGCAGCAGGTCTTACCATTTGTGGAAAACAGATATTCAGCCGATGGAGCCAGAACAAACGAAGCGCCCATCTCTTCTGGCTATTGGAAAGTATTGGTCATGGCCACCTTGGACTCGATAGTCTGTCAGGCGCTCTCTCGAAATTCAAGTTGCTATGATAATCTGCTCTTGGCCATGTACGTGGGGTATGCGAAAAGAGATTGCGTGATGCAATTTGCACCATCTCCAGGTTTCTTCATTAGTCGTTTAAACACAGGGAATGCCAAGATGCAATCCTTATTTCGCAGAATAAACTTCCGATTACCATTTTCGATGAGACTTGACGAAAAAAGGCCTAATCTTAGGAATAGAAGCTGTGATGATAACGATGTTGTTTTCAACCCTATATTAAATCTGAGTGATGTTGAAGCAGCAGTGGGGAGCGGGTATACTCACGTATACCAAATAACTAGGAAACAGAGAGTATCTAAAATATGGTCAGCTGGCTTCAACAAATTATTGGCACACTGCGATACATGGCTGATCCTTTTTCCCCAAGTCCTGAACATAAATCGTCTTCATAATGCTTCCGACGGTAGCCCTGGCTGAGAGTTAGGGAAATTTACGGGCTTTCCAACAAGGATAGTATATGATCCTGCTTACAGTATACTCAAAGACATAGTCATCATGAGCGCAACTTTTCTTGCGAGCTTGATGTGAAGGGGATATATAAGTGCCGCAGCTAAAACTGTTAGCGACAGATCGGTGAAACTATTGATTGCTAGTTATCAATTAGCATATCGAAGTGGCAGAAAGATAGAAGAACATAGAAGGGTACAAACCTCCTTGAAAATACGCATAACCTTTGATTGTCTCTGTTGGCCAACACTTGCCGGGTATAGCCCAGCTCCAGAGCTTTTCAACCGGGCGGCACTGACAAAAGGCGAGTATGATAAGAGTGCAATTAGTGACAATCTGCACAGATATCAAAATCCAAAGAAACTGCCGACGCCGCTGCGATACTAATGCAAGTAGCATGAGCAAAAATGCAGCAAAGGATATGCGCCCTAACATTGACGAGAGCGAAGCGAATGGAAATGCCAGCCAGTGGTATTTAACAACGGCTGTCAAACTCGTTGGGCCAAGGTCAACGTAATGCCGGCCAAGACCCCATCGAATGCTCACTGTATTAAGCGCACAGCATACAGCGTGTAGAATCTATTTCACGATGTCGTCAAAACAAATCATGGAAGGTCCGAGGCCGTCATAAAGCTTGGATTTCATAAACTTACCCAGGCCGCCAGCATCAAATAATCGTCAATTCCAAGTCGCTTCATATAGCGTATTTGGACTAACATGCGAGTCCAGAAGATAAGACTTGCAACGCCAAATGTAACCCAAATTGCGATGAGTGTACCATGACCAATGTTCACGCGTTCGTACGAGGAGAAGGGAGCATGAACCATCGATGCGATCTGTCATGTATAAGCTAGGGACTTTTTGCGAATTGTAAAATTTTGAGCATGCAACAGGTCAAAGAGACCTGCTAAATTTTAACAAGGCTACTTTTCTCATATGAAGTTTTTGTATTATTTGAACTTGATCTCAATGTAATATGTCATGCGGCTCTTCGTATTCAAATATGACGTCAGTACTTTCTCTTCGCTATCTCCCTCTTAACTAACCAGGAAGACGTTTATTGTTATCATTACTATTCAATGGATATTCCAGTCTAAAAATCCGAGTTCATTGACCAATGGGCGATATTTGGTGCGTCAGAAATAGTCTGTAACACCTCGGCAGGCGTTGAGCTTGCTTGGAAAGCTTCCTATTCGTATACATATTTCCTCTGTGATCCCACCTCGCCAATCAGCGGATGCAGATTGCAAGCCCCAGGCCAATTCAATTTAATTCAATTGTCTCCAAACTAATACTACTGCCACTCTACTGATCGGACGTGCAATCGGCAGAGAAACGCTGGTCAAGAATCACGTAGCACTGACATCTCTCTTTGAATAATAGCCATACCCAATAACGCAGGGTTCTACCCTTGATCCAGAATTCTTCATTTTTGCTAGCAACCTACCGAAATCCCCATCCAATCTGCCGCACGATTTCAAGATTGCTTTTCTTCCAATCGTCTATCATTCCCAGTAACTCCACGTCCAAGAGTGTACCTTTAGACCCCACCCGGTCCAATAAGAAACATGCCAACTTGGCTCTCAGACACATCACGAAGGGATCATGCTCCTCGCGCTGAGAATTGCCCAGAGACAAGGCACAATCCTTCAAATTTTCGGAGGGAACCTCTTGCAAAATCGTTTTGAGAGAATCGAATTTAAGCAGCAGGATCGGATCCCGGGAATACCGGCAGATCAAATCGAGAATCGCAGAAGTGAAAATGTCCACCGCCGAGTTGGATTCGGAGGCCTCGGGGTTATAGGTTGGAGAAGGGAGCATTAGAATTTCGTATTCGAAGTTGGAAGGAAGAGTCACAGGATAACCAGCAGTCAAGTTGGTCGACCATCCTTCTTTTCGAACATGTTCACAAACATCAACAGCTCGGGTCATGGCATCTGTCAGATGGTGGTAGATCTTTGCCTTGAACTCAGCATTTTTCACACGAGAGACGCTTCCCACCCGGGTCTTTTTAAGGGCTCTTAATGGATCCAATGCATACTCCGGACACACTGTGTATTGTTTCAAAGCTCCATTATATTTGACCGGGTTTGTCGTAATTACTTCTGCACGGAAAATGAATTCTTCGAGAACAAGCGCAGCGGTCAATCCATCCGAAGATTTTGGGTCCCTGTCGAAGACTGGAAGGAGATGGTCCAGACTGTAGAGAACAGGTCGGCTTCGTTGCGAGTCGAGGAAAGAATTCCAATGGTCTCGAATAGTGATTTCCTTAAGCGATTCCTCAGTTGTCACCGCAAGGGCCTTTTCTATATGACTGAAGGACTCGTATTGAAGGTAGCCTAACGCCCAGGGGCGGTGGTATTCTTGGAGATATGACCCTGGGAGATATTTCATCCATGTCCAGAGGATTCTGTTCACTAAATCTGGAGAGAAAGGTCCGACCGTCTGCTCCGTGATGTTCAGGCTGGAGATGGCGAGCCCCAGTCTAGCACTCATCGCAGCCATCCATCGCATATGCTGACGAGTGGATTCACGGAGTAGGGGCAACAAGATGCTTCGCACATAGTCTGATCGCAGCTTTTCTGGAATTTTGAGGGCGGCAGTATAAACCACCAACCCCAGCATAGGACGCTCTGAAACAGGTGCAACGTAGGGCAGCGGGCCCCGTTGTCTTTCCGCCATGTCCCATTCGGCTTCGGTGATGTTGGCCCGCTCGTTAGGCCCCGCGACTGAGGAGGCTAATGAAACGAAGACTTCGTAAGCCTTGCCATTCTCGCTATTCCCGACTAGCTCTAGGAGTGAGGTGACGATTTCGCTCCGAATGTCGATGTGGCGAGTAGAATTAAACATTCTCTGGAGGATCTCAATTTGATCAGATTGCGGAAGGAAGTCTGCGTCAGCCAAAGCCTGTGCGAGCATCTTTGCCGTAGTCACCTTGATGAATGATTGATTGTCTTTTTTCGTCTCTTGCTGGCTCTGTTGAGCGTGGAGTGCATTGCAGACATATCCAGACAATTCACGCATCATTTCACTTGCGTGCTCCGGAATAAGAACACGGCCAAGCTTCACGAGGCTTATTTTCCGATGAAGCGAAGACTCATTCGGGAAGTCTTTCCACACTCGAATCATGACACCAATTGCGAGCTGAGGCTTATCTGTTCTAAGGAGGACTCCAATCAGATCGAACGTGCTGAACAAGAGTGCTGAATACATTGAGGTATTTGGTTCGGCCTTCAATGTATCCAAAAACGACCAGATGAGATTCCGCAAGATCTGTGAAGGTATCCTGTTCGCGCATCTTTTCAAAGCATCTATTGGCATTTTCAACAGTTCTTGTGGTCTTTTCTTCGAGTTATTCTGGAACGCAATGAATTCATCCGCTAGATATATGGGAGTATAGCGAGGAAATTCAACATTAGGAAACTTTGTTCGCAAGATTCTAGGGGTCTTTGCATAAGTGTCCAGGAACAACAGGGCTGCCAAGACGACTGAGTTTTGTAAACAATTTGAAGAATGTTGGCTGTCACTTAATAAGGCGGGTGACCAAATTGAGAGAGGCTCAGGCAGGGACTGCGGTTTCCTAACACGCACAAAGGGGGCCTCTTGGGGGGCTTTACCCCCCCATGCGGTAGTTGAGAATTGTGCAAAGTATTTCGTGGGGCCTTTCCGTTCTTATGCCTTTATCATCATCCAGAGTCGTTTCTGAAAGAGGATAGTCGCCCTCGTGGGGATCCCATTCAATGACTTCCGATCCTGTGGGCACCGCCGATACCATCGGTTTGACCGACAAAGAAGGCTGTTGAATCATATTGATAGCCTCGGCCATTTCATCTTGATTCGGTAGGATATTGACCAACCATTCCTTGAACAGTCCAAGATAAACCGGATGCGGGCCCAGTATTTGGGAATAATATTCCCAGACACGCCGAACATCGCAAATTCTGGTTGCTTGATGAGGATTTGCGAGGAGAGCCTGAATAACAAACCCAAGATCATCCACGAATCCATGAATGCAATCTCCTTCTTTCGTTACGACATCCATGATGACATCAACGGTACTGAAAAGTAGCTGATTGGCTCTCACCGACAGAAAGGGTGCGTGATCCTGGTACTTCATAGCATGTAGTAGCCAAATTGGACTGTCAACTAGATTTTGGACCGGGAGTCCTCGAGGCCAACCAGCTCTGAGTTCTAGGACGTTCGGATCAGTTCGAGCTCTGTGTGTTTTCCAAAGCTCATCTCGGGCTTTTGCAAGTCGGTCCATGAATGACAGTTCCACAAGATTGGAATCATCTCTAGTAAGAAAGTCGCATATTCTTATACCAGATACACCGCACAGTTTGAGATTCTCCTGGCCCTCTGTCATCCCTTCCCGCTCGTAATTGATGAGTATTGGTATCAAGGAGTCGAGAAGGATTTCAACCACCTCATCTCCAGTTACCGACTCGCCGTAAGGCCACCTTCTCACTAAGTGCAATCTGTGACCGACCATGGTAGAAAGCATTTGGGAAACGCTTCCTGTCATTATTCCCATGCATGATCGAGCCCAAGGCTCACGTAGTAGAAGGATAAATATTTTGAGTAAATCTTCCAGAATCCTGTGCCCTATCTGCGCCTCTTGCAGCAAGCGGGCTTTCGACACGGATGTCATCTTTTGCAAAACAAACTCGCATGAAATAATGATACCGCAGCTCCTGTTCGACATTTCCTTCATTAAGGCAGGGAACACCAGCTAGTTTATATCCTCATTTAGTAAGGCAGTCGGCAAGGGGGGGGGGCATATGAAACTCACAGGGTCCCGTATGAATCTTTTACTCCACTCCAAAATTTCGGCAAAGATATTGACAGAGTTTGTTCTCACTGCAAGTTTGATGGCCAACTCAGCCCAAAGCAGCCTTTCGGTAAACTCGCGTGCCCGCACTGCCTTTTGTTTGATCTCACCAAGAGCTGTTTCGTGTTAAGAATATGGGTCGAAGTTGGAAGGAATATTAGCATTTGCTTACCTTTGCGGGTGATAGGAAAATCATTTTCTTTGGGATCAATGGATTCCCAAGTCGCCCAAAGCAGGCACTGAGCTTCCCATGTTGGGATATTCGAGCTTGGGTCTTTACCACTAGTGCTTGGGAGGAACTCCTCACAGTGATGGTTATGAAGGGACCGGCTGAAAAGGAACCTAGAGTCATCTGGCGGCAACATGTGCAAGACTTCGAGATCCCAGCATGGCATGAGTTCTTGCTCTTTTTTGGACGGTGGCCAGGCTGTGAGGTCAAATCCCAAGCTCGGGGAATGCTGGCAAAGCAGCTGAAGGAATTCCAACCTTCCGTTCTGAGCCACAAGCGAGAGAACTTTGGTTATAGCTTTAAGAAACTCTTGACGGCTTCTTCCAGCATCAAATCTTTGGTCCCTCTTTTTTAATACCTGCTGGATCAAGCACTGTTGCAAAGAGGCTTGGTGAGTCGATAGTGCCTTCTTTTGCCGTTCTTGTCGGTACATCGCTACCAGACCCTCGGGGAAGCCTCCAACCCCTCCAAAGCGTGAAATTGACCAAAACTGAACGATATATTGAGATAGTGATCGCATATGACTATCAAAACTACTTCTAGGTCGAGTCAATGCGCTAGCTTGGAGAACCGCGAAACCTTGGTTCAGGATCAACAGTATCATTTTGAAATCCGTCTTTTCACGAATACCTTGAGTCAGTATTGTGTCGACCCACTGACCAAGCTCATAGTCGCTGTATTGTTCCGGCTCCTTCTCCATGGCCATTAGAAGATCTAAGCCAAATAGTAGTCCGGGAGACATCTCAGACTCATTTTCTTGGTGGTAAACAGGGATGTATGCTTCTTTTGAGCGGAGTAATGAGCTTCGACACCGTCGTAGAATATCAAGCCGCAGATGACCAGGCATATCCAATGCCCCAACTCCCATACGTCGTAGAAGAGGGGTATGGCATCGGGGAAAGTAGCTGAGAATTGCGGAACACCATGTCGACTGGGATCGAAGCAGGTCTTCGACTTTTTCCGCGCTACAGAATGCGAAAAGGAAGGATACCTGAGGTAACAATGATCTCGAAACCCAAGGATCGGTGTTCTCTACCAATTTCAGGAGCTCCTCAACGCACGTTGTCATTAACTTTCTATCAGGAGAGGCGTGGCAGTGGCCGACAATCACCTTGAGCAGAACTCGTGCTTCGGCTAAAGGTAACTTGTCAAGAATGTCCTTGATTCCTTGTGCGCCTCCAAGTACATCCCAGCCACGCTCTTTCCAGTGACTGCCACGGAAAAGACGGCGTCGGGCAAGTTCAATAGCGGCATGACGGACTTTGTAAGCTGGGTCTTGAAGTGCTGTAGCGATGAAATCCCAAGAGTGCTGACATGCCAATGGCAGCCAGACCTCGAACACGGAGGGAGGAATTGCCTCCGTATGGACTTGCTCCAAGATACATGACGTGGTGAATTTGATGTTCTCAGTTGATGGGTCGGCGGCTGCGAGATCACGGAGGTATAGACCGAGAACTCTCGGATGAACAAGAAGCGTCTTAGGCTGTAGAGCCTCAGGAATCATATTGTCCTCGCTGTATATCATTATGGTCACTTCATTCTTTTTCAGGGGTCAAAGTAAGTAAGCAAGTAAGCGAGCTCTCTCACTGGGAAATTTAATGTTCCGCCGGCGGTTACTAACTAATAGAAGACAAGCGTGACTCATCTACCTAGGTAAGTTACCCCGAGTCCTGACCTACACCCATATACCTGTACTAGAATATTATATAGATAAATCTTTCATATTTTTGGCACAGGAGGTCACTTGATTATGGGGGCCTCAAAAATGCCTCTACAGTCATCCACACACCTTTGATGATCATTTGTCCTCCATCCGTCGTAGGCGTCCTCCTCATTCAAGGCCAAAATAATTTCGGTATCTGGATACTGTATTTAGATAAACACTACTATAAACCTAGGTCAGTTTCTTTAAGAGGAGAATTTTATATCGATCTAAAACTTCGCATACTGCTGTGAGGACCGTATTTTAGACCATTACGCGGCCAGCATACGATTTCAAGGCTTTAATAGTAGGTTTATCCTTACTACTAGCCTAGACAAAGTGAAGAGTTCCCTGGGTGTTTGGTGCCTGTCTGAACACTAGAAGCCTTCAAATCTGGGACCCATTTCCACTTTACACATTCACTTAAAGTACACTTGAGCTCTTCAACCTCGACCTCTTCCACTCCGAGTCTATGCCGTCATCTCTCTTCTTTTGTCTCTTCTATTCTCGAAAATACTCATCTGAGCTTTCCAAGATTCGACTCTGCCTTTTTTCAAAGTGGAATTTAATAACCGCAGACCACCTACTCCGCAGCAAACGTATGCGTGGAAGATCTTTCTACTACCGACCACGATTCTCCGGTTACTGAGCTGTTTCTTGAAGAGGTAAGACTTCGAAGCTGAGTCTGATCAATTTAAGCCACTGGCATTCTATGGACAGCATAATGTTACGCGACAGCACCGCCTGATTGCAGACCTTGAAGACGCATACCGTGTGGCGATCCGAGTCCTCAAAAATGTTGATGCAAAAATTGAAACCCTCAAACTGTCTCCGTCTTTCCAGCCATCTTGTGGCCCTTAATCTCCAGCTTGTGAGTGACAGCTACATTCTCTGCTGATACTATCCCCCGTCAGTCCCAGGGTCTGAGACTAACGTTGCGATCCTCTATAGATCGCCCAACAGAAGGAGTGCCGTAGATGGGCCGGCAGATATTTTCAGGACCTTCGAATGAGTATGGGAGGCTCGGCAAACTGGTAGATGATGCTTATCACCGACAACATGCGGCAGCATATTCGGGTTTGCCTTAGCAGTAGTCTACTCGTCGCCTTGGTGGCTCTGCTGAGAACACGCCCTTGGGCGACACTGAAAGGGAAATCGAAAGTGAAGTTGATGGGTTTTGAGGCTATTTATCGTGATAAATGGGGCTGCGTGCTCTTGCTAGTACCATATGTGACGGCCATGGGTGCTTGGGTGTATCAAGGTAGTAAAAGCTTCATTACTAGTAACGGGTCTCGGGCGTTTGATCTATTTCAAGGTTTGAATAGTACATGAGTTTAGGCGTTTGCTTTTACATGTCAGTGGTCGCCCTCCGGAGATCTTTTGAACACCTCGAGCCCATAGAACTAGTAGTGTAATCGCGGTAGACTTCTACTCGGAGTAGGTGCATATAGTAATTGAGGCTCCTGAGGTCAGCAACTTCAAGTTGGCCTTTCTCCTAGTAATACTTGTAGCTTGAGCCTTATCTTCCAAAATTGTCCTATAACTCCGAGGTTGTAGATGAAAGCATCTCCAGATAAACGGATAGTTCCGTGGTTGTTTATTTAATGCCTGTCAAAACAACCTCCAGAGCTGGACCCACTTTAACTTTCACCTTCACTCATACCTTACACTTGACCTCTTCAATATCCGTTCAACTACTAGTACCACCTCTTGCTTCATCACCTTTCTCATTTTGATACGTATCCAACGTTCCATCGGCAGGATTTGACTTTTCATTGTTCGGGTTGGACTGTAATCCACGCGATCTACCTGCTTCGCTCACGGGGTGCAGCTTCGGTATGCCGACGACGGACCACAGCGACAAAGTTCTTGATGAGTTTACCAATGCGGTAAGACCTCGAAACTCAACTCTCCAAGTCGAATCACTGATGTTCTATGGGTAGGACAATGTCGCGTATCAGCGTCAACTCATCGCTGATCTCGAGGCAGCCTACCGCACGACCCTCTCAAAGAGCTCGACGAGGGTATACAGAATGAAAGTCGCTCTCCTTCGTTCGACCCGCTCGAGGCCGGATATACCTGGCGTCTAAGTAACAAACTGTTTAGGTTAAAAATTACCTATTAAACAAAAAGAGTATTACACCGTGAGCATCTAACACAAGTAAGCAAGTAGAGAATACAAAGGCGTTTGAGTGAGCAATCATTAAGGGACTCGGCAAATTGACTCTGTACCATCGGAATAAGGAGGGCCATTATTACTAATTCAATATCATTCATACGACCCCTCTTGAATACTACCCATGATCCGGCTAATATTCTGATTGTCTCTAGCCCACACGACGAGGGATCTTCCGCGACACGGCGGGCAAACATCTCCAGAGCCTCATAAATGAGTATGAAAACTCAGCAAATATGTTGACTATGCGTATGTTCAAAAGTTTGAGAAAGAACGCGCAAACTCTGAGTCCGCCGCTGCTGAGACCACGGCCGTGAACGAAACACCTGTGAACGACACCTTCGTGGAGGAAAAGCCTGTGGAAAACCTGTGAAGGAGGCGCCTGTGGACGAAAATTGAATTGTTGAAAACTATCTGTTATGAAAAATAGGGTTGAGGATCGTATAGTCAACATTGCACGGGTCGTAGATTTATAGCTCTGGTTAACGAGGGTATTTTATGGTCAGAAATAACCAATTTAACGATTTCACGACATGTCTTTTTAGATTACCCATGTAACTTCAAGCTGTGCATAGATCCCATGGCTGAAATTATCTGTAATGTTTGAATCATTGTAGGGCTGCCCGTAATAATAGTCCCATTCTTTCCATTCTTTCAGTGAACTTCAAGGTAGTTTCGAAGCGTTCGACAGAAACACCAAAAGGTTCTAAGTTACATTTGGGCTTCAAGTTGTTAGTGAGAAACAGAAACATTAGCTTGTGCGTGCACTGAAAACAAAGAATTAGTTTCAAGTTGGGTTAGACAGTGCCTTGGCCACCTAATCCCACTTAACACCTGCCTGCCAGTGGGTATGAAGTAATGTCCAATCTCGTTTTTTGGGCGCAGGTATATCAGTAGTCGACTGATCGATAGCTGCCCCAGAGAGTGTTCTGGAATCTGCCAGGTGTCATACTATTATATGGAACTATTCTATGGCCCACGACCGGGCTTGAACTTTATTGTTCCCGGGGGGGCAAGGTTTGAAGTTTATTATCATGTACGCTCGGTACATGAATCGCTACGTTACAAACACAGTATGCCAAACACTGGCAGTCAATACCTAGGTGGGGAGGGATACTGCGATGAAAGTACCACTCCATACTCAAGTCTCACCATATACACGAGTATTTATAGTAACTAAACGAAGCCACAGCCTGGACTCTCGCCTAGACTCTCGCCTGGAGTAGCCATATTCAACCCGCCACTAATGCACCCCGCTAAATGAAACCCGGGCGTGAACTCTGTCTATTCAATTTCACTAGAGCCAAATTCAGTTTCGTGGAACCTAAATGCGGCGGGCGAAATCAAGATCTTCGGGAATAACCTCTTTTTCTGACGTATGAGAAGGATAGACTTCTGGTAAGGTGAATCGAAGGAACTCAGTAGTCCGGACCCAAATAATTGTAAAAGGTAAACAATCGTGAGACCAAACAGGGATCGTACCTTACGACAAACACCAACCTTGGGCGTGGGATGACATGGCATGCAATCTCCAAGCCCTCCCGAGATTTCCCACTCCCATCCACTTCCATCCCAACACCTTCAATGTAAGTGGCGGACCAGCATCGACGCCAACCTTGTTGTTTCTCCTCGAAATCCACATCCGGTCTCGCGCCGACGAATAACAGACTCGGTTCGCGGGGAAAGCCCGCAACGGTCCTCTCATCCGGCGCCGTGGCTGGGGCGAAAAAAAAAGAGATCCACGAAAACAAACCAAAATGAAAAAAAAATGAACCCGAAAAATCATGGTCCAGGGACCCGTCATAGTCAGATACAGGTACATGTACATAATCGGGAATCAGTTTCCATCCCACGCCCCAGAATCGCCTCATGACTGGTGCATATTTCGCCGAGGTGTCGCCGGTGACGACACTGGAGAGTCTCCATGGGGAAGCCGAACCCCAACTCTCGATTTCGCTGCGTAAGCGAATGGAGACAAACCCCCATACTCACTCACAAAACCGGAGACTGTCCGAAAGGAAGTCCATGTGATGCCCGTGTTTTTTTCGGCTTGCGGGCCCCCTTCCTTCGGCTTGGGGACTCGGCCAAGTCTTCATCCGCACCCGCCAAGATCCACTCAGGGCCGAGTCTGACTGAATATCAGCACGGGAAGCCGGGAATTCTCTAGAAGTGGGATGCCGACTGTGTCCGTGGAATGGGGGGGGTGAGCTTAGAAGGAAGTGTACTTAGAGTATAGAGTCTGTGGCTTGAGTCCAAGCACTCTCTTGCCACTGGGGCACAGACTTGATGTGCGTTGCAACCTTGGGAATAGGGCCATCTTAAGCTTTTCCGCCCTGCGATTCGTCCAGTTGCCCGACCAAACCCCTCGAATTCCCCGGCCCGGTAGTTCTCCTCCACATTCTGGTCTGCTCTCTGGCCAGCCTCTCCAGATGGAGAGATTTCCCCTCGTTTTCCCGGGCAGCTAGGGCTTGTTTGGCGACCGGTGAACATTTATCGAAGCCCTGCATGGTGTGTCTCCCCCTTTTTGTCGCCTCCAGTCCCGATCCCCGGCTTCGACCGTTCCCGTGGTTGGCTCGGCTGGCCGACTGGGTCCTTCTCCACACGGAGAACGAGACAAGAGTTTACCTGGACTCCGTCTCCATACGGAGAAGAGGCTGCTGGGGCATCCTGGAGAGACGGGATGGGATGATGCGTGGGGTCGATCTCCAACCTGTTAGACTTTTTTCTTTTTTCTTTTTCTTCCGATACTTCTCCACTTGGTCTCGTACTGGGCCCTGGGTTTGCGCCAGAGTGTAATTCCGGTCGTCATTGTAATGCGTCGCGTAGAGAGTTGGTTGTGTGAAGTGGTGTGAAGTGGATGTGTAGTGTGACTTGACGTCGGCCTCAAATACTTCCTTCCTTCCCCCCTTCCATTTCTTCCCCTTCGTTGATCTTCTCTCCAATTCTCTTTCTCCATTTACATCCCCCTAATACCAAGGGATCAAAGTCTGAAACGACTGGATCGTTTCTCTTTCTCTTCTTTGCATAGTCTTATTCTGCTCTAAGGGCAGTCTATTGACTACATCATGGCCGAAGTCAAGGAAATGCCCTCCGACTCCCACAGGGAGGACAAGGAGGTCGGCGCTTTCGAGGTTGACGATATTCAGGATCTCAAGGAATCCAAAGAGGACCGTGAATTGACCGAGGCTGCTATGGATGCCGAGTTGCAACAACTCGAAGAGCAGCTGCAATCGCTCCCCAAGCCCTTTTTCGAAGTGACCATGAACAACCCCGCCCTTTTCACCTACATCATTGTCGCCTTTGCCTCTATGGGAGGTCTTCTCTCCGGTCTTGATCAGTCTCTCATCTCCGGTGCTATTGATCTGCCCAAGGACCTTCACCTGAATGATTCCATGAACAGTCTGGTCAACTCCGGTATGCCCCTCGGTGCCGTCGCCGGTGCCCTGATCCTTTCGCCTTCGAACGAATATCTCGGCCGTAAAATGTCGATCATTGTTTCTTGCATTCTCTACACCGTCGGTGCCGCCCTGGAGGCTGGTGCGATGAACTTCGGTATGATCTTCGCCGGTCGTTTCATTCTCGGAGCCGGTGTTGGTCTGGAGGGTGGTACTGTGCCTGTCTACGTTGCTGAGTGTGGTAAGTTCTGATATCTGGTGTCCTCATCCGAGTCTGCAAGTTATATATACTAATTTACCCACTCTTGATAGTTCCCAGTCGCATTCGTGGTAACCTTGTGTCCGCCTATCAATTGAACATCGCTCTGGGTGAAGTCCTCGGATATGCCGTCGCTGCTATGTTCTTCTCAGTCACCGGTAATTGGCGCTACATTTTGGGATCCTCGCTGGTCTTCTCTACCATTCTGCTGGTTGGAATGATCTTCCCTCCCGAGAGTCCTCGTTACTTAATGCACAAGGGTCGTGACGTCGCCGCCTACGGTGTCTGGAAGCGCATCCGCGGATTCAGCGACTACGACTCCAAGGACGAATTCCTCGGCATGCGCCAGGCTGTCACCGCCGAGCGTGAAGAGCAGCTTGCCACTGACAAGTATGCCTGGATGGACTTCTTCAAAAAGCCCCGTGCCCGCCGTGCCATCGTCTACGCCAACATCATGATTGTCCTGGGCCAGTTGACCGGTGTGAACGCTGTCATGTACTACATGTCGACCCTGATGAAGAACATCGGTTTCGACGACAAGACCGCCATCTTCATGTCTCTGGTCGGTGGTGGCTCGCTGCTGATTGGCTGTGTCCCTGCCGTGCTCTACATGGAGCGATTTGGCCGTCGCTACTGGGCCAACGCCATGCTGCCGGGTTTCTTTATCGGTCTTGTTCTCGTCGGTGCCGGATACACCATCGACTACAACACTAATCCCAAGCTCGCCGAGGGTCTCTACTTGACCGGTATCATCCTGTACATGGGTTTCTTCGGTTCCTACGCCTGTCTTACCTGGGTTATTCCGTCCGAGGTTTTCCCCACTTACCTCCGTCACTACGGTATGACCACAGCGGACGCAACTCTCTTCCTGTGCTCGTTCATCGTCACCTACAACTTCACCCGCATGATGGAGTCCATGACCCGAATTGGTCTGACTCTCGGCTTCTATGGTGGCATTGCCGTGCTTGGCTGGTTCTACCAGATCATCTTCATGCCCGAGACTAAGAACCTGTCTCTTGAGGAGATTGATGAGCTCTTCTCCAAGCCTACTTCCGTCATTGTGAAGCAGAACCTGAAGCAGACTGCCCAGGTCATTCGTGATCTGTCGCACTTCCGCTTCAAGAAGGTCTTCTCTCCTGAGCCTTACAAGAAGAAGTAGAGCCGTGATGGAACGAAGATATCAAGTTTCATCTCGCCTTTTTCTTTCTATTTAATTTTCACTATTTGAATGAAACGATCTGATCACGATACATACTATTCCGATCCATCTATCCTCCTTTTTGGATTCTTTATGTAGTAACGATGTGCTACGATGCACAGCAAAATACCCCAATGAAATCAAATCAATTAAAAAAAAATCATCAAACCATCCACTTTAAATGCTCATAGGTTATCCCTAACTCCCGCAAGTGATTTAATCGTATATGCACAGTAACAAAAATAGATCATATCGGTCCATCACATACACCCACAAGTCCTTGATCTACCTATCCTGAACCGGACTGTGCATCCCATCCCCATCCCCATCCCCGCGTTTAATCCCGCTGTGACTTTTACCAGAACCATGCTCACCGTCCCCCTGCACAACCCCAAAATCCCCCGGAAGCTCAGCCTGCGGCGTATCCGGACTCTTCTGACTCGGCATCTCAGTCAAAACATTACTCTGCAACGCAGGTAATTCCGCCGGCGGCACCGTACCCCGCGCACTACCATCCAATTCCGGCTTCCCAGCATACACATCATGACCATTCCCATGACCATCCTTCGTCTCCGCGTCCAGATTCCGCCCTGCAACCGTCTCGGCCGACCTTGCCCTCACCCTCCGCCGATGCCACCAAATGAAAACCAGCGCCGCAAGAATAATAATACCCACAGGAATACAGACACCAATAGCGATTTTCGCGCCGGTGGATAGTGCAGTGCTCGAGGAGGCGGATGCGCTGCCAGCTGAGTCCGTTGCTTGCGGAAGCGATGTCGAGGAGCGGGAATCTTGCACGATTATGACCGGGTAGGCTTGGAAAGTTGCTTGGCCTTGTGAGGCTGATGTGCCGATTGATTGGAAGTATTTGAAGCTGGTTGTTTGGATGCATTTTGAGTCTGAGGTTGAGATGAAGGGGTGGGCTGAGGCGAAGGATAGGGTGTGGCTGACGCAGAAGTGGCCGTTGTAGTCGTAGTTTCTGGAGAGTTTAGTATATGCTTTCGTATAGTTTATTTAAAGGAACCAGTATAGCAACAGGGATATAGTACTGTTACTATAGGTACCAGTACTCACATCGGACAACATGCAGTAGCAAGATCATGCTGCGCCAAATCGGTAATATACTCCGACAAAACGAAATGGTTGGACTGCTCGATGTGACTTGCAGAAGCAGCGCCGGTGAATCCACTCGGACACGCGAGGCCCGGCGAGAAACCCTTGTAGCTCAGGGCGCTGGCGTTGGAGCCTGTCCAGCCGGATGGGTAGCACTCGGATGCAAAGCCAATGGTCCCCGAGTCGCATGTTGCGCCCCAGCGTAGGAGGGTGCCGCCTTTAGATGAGTTGTGCGCGATCCATCGCTCGGTGGAACACCATGATGGTGGAGTGAAGATTGTGGTTAGAGGGCCGAAATTGGATGCGGTGGTGGTCATTGGTGCATTTATATTCGCTTTTTGATGCGGAGTTGTGTATACAACGTGAGGGCTACTATGAGTTGTACTGGTAGATCGCACGAGGGTATGAGAATAGAATCGGGAAATGAAGAGAGAGAAAGCAAGGAAAGAAAGAAGGGCTGGTCTGTGGCTGAGTCGATGTCATGGAAATTGGCTTAGCTTATGCTTCTCTCTCTCGATGTCGAGAAAGGGAAAAATCGTCGCAGAACTCATACTACCTATACACCAATTGGTTAGGTTAGGCCGGCCATGGGCCTGTGCTGTTGTGAAGGGTCCAATAAAAGGGCCTTGGGACGGTTCAGCTCTCGAGAATTGGGGCTAAATATGAAAATCAAACTTAGATCGATCAGCAAAGGGTTCAATTTCGATGCGGACTCTTGTTTAGGGGAAATGACGTTGAGACCAACTCTACTCTAAGATATTAAGGTTGATGTTCCAAGGTCGATTATGATATCTTCGAGTTAGGGCAAGCTCAAAACATGTGCTCTGGGCCAATTTGCATGGAAACTTTTTGAACTTGAACAAGGTTCAAGGATAAACTAGAGTACTCCACTCCCCTTCGTATTCTGAATTGCAGATATACTCCGTAAGTCAAACTTATCATTATAAGAACTGCAATCCACGATTATACCTAACTACATTAGAACGGTACCAGGACTGTTCCCATCCAGCAAGCAACATATTCCTGAAATCTAATCATATTCATCACGGATGTAAGTATGTACTGTACGGCAATTCAAATCAAGAAACCAAAACAAATACAAAACACCCAACGCCATGCTACCATGCAATTCAATTCAATCCAACCACAGCCTCACCACCGCGATCCCGATCCACCAACCGGCTTCCGCACCTTAGGATCAACATTCGGACTAGGAGACCGACCACCCTGTAATCTGGCCCGGAGTCTCTCCTGTGCAGACCCCGCACCAGGCCGGTCCTGACTAACCCTCTGCTGACCCGGCTGATGCGATCCAGAGCGCTGGCTCGGCAGCGGCCGCGCACTAGATGGATGCAGTGATCCGGACGGGGTGGGTGAATGGGACTGGGCATGCGCGAGCGGTGGGGAGGGCGTATGGGTTGGACCGGACGGCGCGCTGTGCATGGGGACTAGAGGGGGGTGCGACACCACCGCGTCCGCGCCGAAGACTGGTAGTTTGCGCTCCCGGTGCTTGGGATGCGCCGGAGTCACCCCATAGATCACCCAGGCCGCCACCGCTCCGGCCGTAGGCGCCGGTGGCGGGACCTTGGCCTTGGCCTGGGGACTGGGACTGGGAGGTTGCGATGACGCGGGCGGGTGCGGCTTGGGGTGCTTTTGGGTCTGGAGGGAGCCAGGATGGGAAGGGGCGGCCTTTCTCGGTGTAGTAGGCGCGGAGGGCGTTGGAGATGTGTGAGCAGTCTTCGTTGTCGGGGTCGTCCTTCTCGTCGCCGAGTGTGATTGCTCGTCGGAGACTGTTTAGTCGGGAGCTGAGGGCTGTTGAGAGGGAGGATGAAGAGTAGGAGGAGAAGTAGGAGCTCATGGTGGCTTTTGCGGGGGTTCCCGGGTCGTTTGTTCACGGTGGTTCAAGTTTGTGGTGGTTGGAGAGGACAGCTTGGATGTGGGGTGGGGTGATGCGGAGCTATTCTTCTGAAGGCCGAGGTGGCGGGGGAGGATTATGGAATGCTAGTGGAATTGACCAATAATCTTTTGAGGCCGAATAGAAGAAGATTCAAGGCCGTGCAAGGTCCGAATTAGATTTCTTCTGCCCAAGAGCCGGCTCCTGTGGGTGAGTTGGAGAGAAGAAAGCAAAGCGGCGTGTGGCGGTGGTGAAACAATGGCCGGCACGTGATCACAGTTATACTTGGTTTCAGAAGAATTGCAGGAGATTAATTGGATCACCCTGGAAGAGGGAGGCGATATGGCAATAATATGAGTATAAGAATAATATATATTTATTTTGAAAGCATATAAGTACTCCATATCGACCAGTGCCACCAGAGTGGTGAGCTGGTACCTCCTAGTACCAACTAGTACCAGCTAGTAGTCGGAAGTCACTGGGCTCGGCCTCATCTTCCGGCTACATTACTACTACTACCTCGAGTGCTAGTAGTATCTCAATGTGAAACTGGCACTTATTATGTCCATTGATAACAAATACACACATGAAAGACATTGTTTTAAAATAATTCAGTAACTAAGCATTCAAATGGTATCTAGACCTATATTGACAGGTATGTATAAGTAGATGCAAATCCGGAACGAATCCAGATCATAGAATCACAGAACATAGACACAGACACAACAAACAAACAAATAAAAAAGAAGACCACAACCTTGGAACGCCATGCAACAGATGAACTTTTCCCAAAACCCCAGCCGAACAAGTCGAACAAGCCTTACGCCATGACATGCTCCTTGCCAGCACCCTCGGTCTCGTACTCGATCTCGATACGAGGACCCTTCTTGCGAGGCTGCGGCTTGGCCCTCGGCGCAGGAAGCTTCCGCTTAGAACCAGGCTTCGGCTTCTTGTCATCCTCACTAGAAGCCATATCCTCATCACTATCCTCATCATCGCTCTCCTCCTCCTCAGACTCCTCATCGCTAGAACCGCCCGAGCCCTCACCAAGCCAATCCTCAATATCTTCCAAATCCTCCTCCTCATCCAGATCAGAAACATACTCCACCTCCCCAACACCCTCCTCCTCCTCTTCCTCAATTTCCTCCCCATCATCCAAATCCTCATCCCGCTGCCCATCACCCGCCCGCTCCAACCCACGAAGCACCTTCTTCCAAATCCCCTCATCAACATTAAGCGGCTGGTCCCCGTAAGCCCCACTCCGCAGCCTCTCAATCAACTCCCGCTCAATAGCACGCTCAACCTTAGCCGCCGAAAGCGCCTTGCGCTCGCGCGTCTCTTCACGGCGCCGAATCTTAGGCGCCAGCTTCGGCACAACCCGCTCGCCGAGCCGCTCATCTTCCTTGGCGATGTTGCGCATCCGGATGTTCACCTGTGTGAGGCGGGTGAGACGCTGCTTGCACTTGTGCGTCAGGAACTTGGGCCAGTAGAGCAGGCGCTCGTCTAGTTGTTCGAGGGCCTTGGCGTAGTTTGATGAGAGGCGCACGCGCTCCCACCATTTGCTTGGCATGTGGGCTCGTTCAATCGTCTTCATGTACAGGTACATGACGCCGGTCTCTGGGTCGGCTCGCACGGTTGCGTAGCGGGAGTTGGCTAGTGGGCAGGATTGCCGGTTGCAGAGGCCTGTCACGTTGTATTCATTGCGGCAGAAGTTTTGCTCTTTGGTTGTTCTGTTGGGTGTGTTTGGTTAGTGAGGGTGTTCGTTTTTCGTTTTCTTTTGCTTTTGCCTGTGCTTTTTTTGGAATCTTTTTTCTTTGGGGGATCCTGGTAATTGCTTTCGCTGGAATATCATGCGGTATTTCAGGAATCTTTTTATATGTTGCTGTCACATATCGTTGCGAAAGCAATTTTTCGATGGGTGGATCCCCCATGCCGATTCTTCTTTTTGCTGAAGGCGCTGGCTAGATTGCGGATTTTTTTTTTGGGGGCTGGCACACTCACTTGAGTTTGTAGGAGCAGAATTGCTGGTTAATCACCTGCCAGACGATTTCGTCAGACATGATGGGCGGGGAGGGGGAGGTGTGAGGTAAAAAATGGCCGGTGCTGGAACTGGAACTGGAATCTTTCAAACTGGAGTTCTCCGTTGCCGTGTTGATCGAAGAAAAAAAAAGTCAGGTCACGTGAGTTGCTTATCGATAGGCGGCGTGTCAGTGGTCAGCCGCATTGGGAAGTATACTGTACTAGCGCAAAAATTGAGATTCTATACAGTTGTTAATGCCGAATTATTGACTCATGCAGGGGTATTTTAATTGGCACGATTTCGCTAAAATATGGCTTGTGTTTTCTTCCAAGTTCTTACGCCCAACCCTCCACCTGAAGACCGCCGTCCCATTCAGTCCCGTTCATCGCATGGTTACCACCAACATCTCCCTCTTCAGCCATTTCCTCACCACCCCAATCCATAGACTCGAGTTCACGGACGAAGAAGTCGCGCTCTTCTTCCATCATCGACGCGCCCTCGGGCCCACCCATGACATCCTTGTACCGTCGCAAATGCCACCAATGCGTGAGTCCGCGAAGCGCCTGCTCTAACGGCAGAGCTTCCTCGACCTCGGCATCCACGTCTGACCCCGCGAGCCAGTCATCGCGTAGTTCCGGCTGGCAGTATAGGTAGATAGCCGTGATGACGCGCATATTGCTCTGGCGCCATTTACGACCGCAGTAGGGGACTTGGGATTTGAAGAGCTTCAGGGTGTAAAAGCGGAGATGCGGGTCCGGGATCTTGAGACCCTTGCGCAGAATCGTGCTGGACTTATATTGCACAAGGAGGAGGCAGCGGTGCGCTTTGTCCCGGGTGATCTTTTGCATAATGTGCAGGTAGTTGATGGCGGAGAAGAAGTTGCGGAAGGAGAAGACGGTGATTGGCTCCTTGGGCGGAGGTGCGGTCGGATAGCCTAGTTCATCAACTTCTGGTCGTGTAGGTCCCTCAAATTGCTCTGCCATTGACTCCTCGGGTGATAATCCGTGAGCGGAGCTGGTGCCGTTCACATTGGGGCGTCGGCGGGAGATTGGAGGTGGAGCTGCGTCGTCTTCGCTCTCGGTGTCTCCGCCGTTATCGTCCTGTGAGTTGATGCGATGGTCAGAGTGTTCGGAGCAGAAGTGGAAGAATCTGAAATCAGTTAGTATGAAGCGAGCATGGGATAAAAATGATAGGAAAGACTAACGCTAGTTCTTCGCGGTCATTTTTCTGCGCAACCGCCTGGTCAACGTCCTGATGGGCGAACATCTTCAATATCAAGGGAAGATAGTTCGAATCGAGCAAAAGTTGGGTCATATACTCAAATTTGAGGATATCTAGAACTCGTTAGCATCGGGTTCAGGGGGAAAGGGCTAAACAGTCAACATACGAGACCGCTTGAACCATTTCAGCATGAGAATCAAGGTTCCAGAAACAGCCTTTCCAGTAATCTCCCGTAATCGAATATTATCAAGCTCATCGATATGAAGCTCAGGGCTTCCATTGATACCATGGCCATTGCTAGGAGAGAAGTTGGTTAGAAGAGGCGTTTGATCGAGGCCGGATCCGAGAATACATACACCATGCTCAGTATCATGCTTTGGGAGTTAGAAGCATTATTCGCCTGGTTAACCACAGCGCTGACATTTGTGAGAATAATCTTCAAAAAGACGATGGTAATTGACTGGAGGTGCGCTAAAGTATGGGTCTGAGCACGTCGTTAGCTATTGATGGATTGGACAATTAGGAAATATTTTGGTTTACTCACATAAAAGTCCTCGACGGCATCAAGTCGCCGCTGGATATCTGGATCATCGACCTTCTCTTTAGGGATCTTCGGCTCGGTTTGAGAAGACCGATCGCTGTCATCCAAGTCTAGGTGGCTCATATCCTCTGGCAATTTGTTGGTCCACGAGTAGTCAGGCACACGCGAGGGTTGCTCGTGGTTCCAACCACGGTCGTACTTCATGAAGTTTTCCCGTTCGTCCCAAAGTTGTTGCATTGCTCGTGTCATCTTCACATGCGTGGAAAATAGTCTGCCAGCTTCAATAATCGACGCTGGCACGTCGTTGCCCTCCCATCTCTTCCCTACCAGGATATCCTGGCGTTCAGTGGTACCCTTGCCACCAATCAAATTGCTGGTATCATCTAGAGGAGGATACATGAGCGGGAAGTTCTGGTTGGTCTGATAATTTTGCTTTTTTCCAGCTTTCCCACCGGGACCGATGGGCGATGGGGGTGGTGATGGAGCAGGGGTTGCAATGTGAACGGACTGTTGCAGGATTGAACCGTTACCACTAGCGACAGACGGGCCAACTCCGCAGAATGGCGCCGCGACTTTGTGGGGATGCTGGGGGAGAGGTGGGAGGATCGAGTTATTATCAAGCTCGAGGGGAACGAGAGCTGGCGGCGGGTTGTAAGCAGGATATTTGGATGTGATTTCCTGGCGAAACGTATGGTAGTCCAAGGGTGATGCGGTCAAGAAGGGAGTTCTTCGATTTGTCGAGTCTTCTTCGGTCTTGAATTTTGGTTCCAGAACTTCTTTGGCTCTCTTTAACCGCTCGGTGCCACCGAAGACAAGAAGTAACGTCTTCCATAGAAGCAGTATGATTCTAGTCAGGGGGATATTGGCGGACTCGTCCCATCTTAGCCTCGCAATAATCTCAACAATTGTTACTAATAGGCAGGGCTTGGATTCGACAAGCGAATCACGGATCAGAGTGCACTGGGGGTCTTGGCCCTCTTGCATTCGGCCCACTTCAACAGTAAAGTACAGCGACGTGAGCAATAAATTGGCCTCACGCTCTGGAGCTGCAATATCCCCTGCGCTGAGACGTTCGAATTCAATCCCATCTGGGTCGGGACCAAATGTGGGACGGCTCTTGTCGAATATTTGACTCAATCTTTCCACTAGAACGGAAATTCCATCACATTGTTGGACAAGCGAGACGTTCTGTTCAATCCATTCGAGTTGAAGAGATTTCGACCGAGAGCTCTCTGCTGTCTTTGTATCAGGGCTGGATGGGAGGTCTTCCGCAGCTCGTCCGCCGGTTGAACCCCAGGTGCCCGTTACAGCATAGCAGATATTCTCCAGTGCTTCTAGTCGCACCGAGACATCCGGATGCCGGGTTTTATCGAGAGATTCTCTGACAAAGTTCCGGCGCAAGCTCTCCGAGGCTTCTATCCACGATACTCCAGGGGTTTGCGAGGCATATCTCAAGGAAAAGTCGCTCCATTGGCGGCCGAAAGTAGACTTCATGCCAAGCAACATGACTCGGTCAAACTCATTGTATTGGAACCATTCTTCAATTTCATCTGGGAATGATTGCGCATCGGCGTATTCGAAAGCATAGGCGGGCTGTTCGATTTTGGGCATGTCTTGGACAAGTTTACGCAGCTGAGCGAGACTCAGGGAGTCTGTTGGGCGATCTGCATTCTCCTGAACTGGGGCTGGGGGGGGGTGGTTGGAGCGGAGGAGGAGGCGCAGAGTTATCTCGACGAAGTTCGGGTCGCTTGGGGGTTTGCTCGGGCTGGGGAGGTTCCATTGAAGGCGCGATCTGTTCAGCTTGTTCTTGTTCTTGGCGAATGCCCTCGGCGACTTCCTCCATCAATTGATCGTCTGAAACGGGCGAGATATCTGTACCCGTCTGATCCATTTCGTCGGCCTTGACAATGTGGTGTTCGGGCTCAGGCTCAGACATGGCGACGTCGCCAGCCGGAGGCGGGATATCCATGAGGGGTGCGGTGTGTGAGTAGATGTTAGGAATGAACGTAGTAGTGGTTGGCCAAAAAGGTGTCGTCCGTGAGAGAAAGTAGTAACATCAGGGTGACCTATGGGTGATTGGTGACAGAGAGGACTTGGAGATCAAAAGAGCCTCGATCAATCCATTAAACGGTGTTGCCCATCCCAATGGCAATGGCCAAACACTGGCAGCTGGACACCGCGCCAAGCCCGGAGAAAGATAAGATAAGAGTCATGTGATATCAACAGATGCCTCAAAGTGTCCGCAGGGCAACTTGAAGGTGGTTAGTAGCAGTTACCTGAAAGTATTTGTGGAAATCATTAATGTGGGTTGGAGCTACCCAGATTACTGTTACTGTATACTTTGGAATGCAAGTAGTAGCTAAAAGTGGAGACCGAAATGAAATTAGTAATGAGATATACTAGCATTTCAGTCACGGTCCTATGATCGTATACCGGCGAGTTTGAAGGCATCCAACCAAGGTTGGAATGACTATTGTTCTTAAGCTTCCATATATGTGTAGACACAAAGTAGTGTCCTATTGAATATATTGCGGGTATTGTCCTATATGCATGTTTATACCGGTAATACTATACAAAGCAATTAAAGCAGTGGGAGCTCTTCACTACCATCACTGCGACTTACGCACCGCATTTTGGCGCTGCTCCAACCGCTTGGCCTCCCACCGTTGCCAGCCCGGCTCGGCTAGATCTTCATTGACCAACAAGTCGCGGACTCGCAGCAAACGCGACACGGTCAGGTCCACGGCCCAATCAATCCACCCCAGACGTCGCAGCAAACCGGTGATCACGAACCAACCACAGGCGCACACGAAGCCAGCTCCACAGCCAGCCAGAACCTGACGGGGTGTGTGGTAATTTAGGTAGACACGACTGGCCGACACGGCCACAGCACTAGCGCAGAGGCCTACGGTCAAGGCACCCCGGAGCAGGAAGTCGGAGTAAGGGTAGGAGTTTGCGTATGACGGGGTATGTCGGGAGATGAGGAAGAGGGTCAAGTAGACGGCGAAGAAGGTCATGAATTGAGCGTGTGATGAAGGCATTCCATAGCCCTTGCCAAACATTTCTAAAAGATACAACCACGATCAGTGTCTCAGTTCCACGGTTGGGTGGGAGGGGATTGGAGAATGGACTGGAAGGAATTACCTCGCGGTCGCTCTTCCTTGATAAGGCGTTTCAGCACAAAGTTTAAGGCTTCACAGCCCAGCTGCCCAGCAAACATTAAGATGACCTCCATCTCTCTTGATGCCCAACATAGAGTGGCATAAGACACGCAGAGGGCTTGGGGGAGTAGAGCTAGCCATGCGGAGACGAAGGACAGGGGATCCTTGGGATTCTAAAGGTGTCAGTGGATGGGATGGGATGGGATGGATGGGATATCACTCAGGACTTGACTTACATAGTGGACATGAGTTAGGGAGAGTGATGCTAATGGAGTATCCATGGTGTGCATCTTGGAGGGTAAATGTGGAGGGAGTTAAAGAATCAAGAATTGAGAGTTGCCAAGTATAGCTCTGGGGGTGGTTAAGCTAGCCGCTTTAAGGTGATAAGATAATACCCCTAAGGGACTTAAGGAAGGCACGGATCACTTTTTTTTTTGTTTTGGAGGGGTCGAGGAAGGTGCGAATGGCAATTTTTTGATCAGGCACAAAAAGGGCAGGAACGTTCCTTTTCTTCTTTTGGTTTGCTCGCTTCTTTTTCTTCTCTTCACTCCTCCCTCACCTTTCTCTCTCTTCTCTTTCTCTTTCTCTCTCTAATTCACCAGCCTACCAATTTCCCACTCCGTGGCCTAACCTTTGACTCTCCATTTCAAACCATGACGCAGTCGCTCTTCTACTTCCCGTCCATCTCCTCTGCCGCTCACACTCAACCCGCCTCGTTACATCATTTGATATACCCCTCTTCACCAAACCTACCAAATCAAAACTATCGAGCACGAATAATTCAACCTCAACTTCCTTGATCTTGGGATTTCGACAATAACCCTTCGGGGTTCCTGTTGGTTCCCATTTGTTCTCGCCTCTTTTCCGACTGGCGTGTCTTTCCTGCAGGAATCGTCACTCCCCCTTCCATTTCTGCCCGATCGCCACTCGAGTCTATTACATTTTCTACTTCCAGTACGCAACCCTCTTGCGGACGGGCAAGCCATGACCCTTCGCTCTTGAACAGATCCTATCCTGAGTTGCGGGGGCCAGACCGCGGCAGACGCATCTCAGACACCCTGTTCCTGACAACAGATCTTCCCCAAGGCACCCTCCTATTCATTACTACCAGAATGACCGATCCCGAAGAGGACGACCGCTCAGTTGAGCTGTCATCCATCGTCGCCATCTTCCCAGAGATCCACATCGATCCCGCCTCGCCGTTCAAAGCCTCATTGGATCTACCCGTGACCTTACCATCGCCAACTCGCTTCTGCTTCGAACAACCGCTTGACCACGGTCTGCCCGCCGCGCTGACACCTCCAACCTCCGTCGATGGCACAAAGGCTGAGCTCGGTCCGGTCGCAGTCCGCGATGTTCATATCTTATTACATCTACCTCCTCTCAGTCTTGAGATTCACCTTCCGGAAGGCTACCCCGCCGAAAAGTCCCCCGTTGTCCGGCTCAACACTCACCCGCCATGGCTCCCTGCCCCTACTCTTGAAACATTGGCCAACGATTGCAAAAGGTTATGGGAAGAGTGTGGTCGGGATATGGTGGTCTTCACTTACATCGATCACCTACAGCAATTGGCCGAGTCAGCCTTTGGAATCCAAGACACCCCTGAGGGCGAACTTTGTCTCTCGCAAGACCTGAAGATTGCCTTGCTAGAGTTCAACAATAAAACCGAACGCGAGAAGTTCGAAAAAGAAACTTTTGAATGTGGTGTGTGTCTAGAGCCTAAAAAAGGTGCCAATTGTTACCGACTACAGCGATGCTCTCACGTCTTTTGTGTTGCTTGCCTGCAGGACTTCTACAACACATGTATCACCGAGGGCGATGTGGATAGTGTCAAATGCCTAGCACCCGACTGCGATACGACCCATGGCACGGATCCGGTGGCAGGCGACGATACCCCGCGTCGTAAGAAACGTCGAACTCTCACGCCCAGCGAACTTCTCCAGATCCCACTCGCCACGGAAACGGTGAAACGTTATGTCTTCCTCCGACGCAAGAAGCAGATCGAAGCGGATAAGACTACAGTTTACTGCCCACGACAGTGGTGCCAAGGAGCTGCTCGATCGAAGCGTCACCCCAAACCAGTTGACCCGATGGCCGACGACGAAGCATCCGATGACGACGAGGGTACTACCGCTGGTGCGAATGGAGATGCTACATCCATCCCTCCAGTCGAGGAGCGACTTGCAATCTGCGAAGATTGCAACTATGCATTCTGCAGCATCTGCCGAAAGGGCTGGCATGGCGAGATTGTTCGCTGTGTCCCACCACGTCGCCAAGAAGAGTTGACAGAAGAAGAGAAGGCAACAGAAAAATACCTTTCTCTCTACACAACACCTTGTCCGGAATGCAACGTGCCATGCCAAAAACGTATGGGCTGCAATCACATGCGCTGCTTCCAATGCGAAACGCACTTTTGTTATCTTTGCTCTGCCTGGCTGGATCCCTCGAACCCATACTCGCATTACAACCAGGGCGAAAGCACCTGTTACAACCGTCTCTGGGAACTGGAAGGCGGCGACGGCACCAATCCCGAAGGCGCTGAAGCACTGCATCGCATCCCTGACGAACTCCTTATTTTTGACGACGACCAGGACGACGTTGGCAGTGAGAGTGATGCCGATTTCGATTTCGATATCGATGTCGATGATGATGATGGCGATGATGATGAAGTTGACAACATCGGCTGGGATTTCAGCGATGACGAAAATGACCATATCCACCTCCCTCCCCCTCCAGCTCCTGTTCCACCCCGTCCAAACCGCGGCGCTGCCAGAGCCGCCGGTGCAAACGAAGGTCGAAACGTCGACCGTGCCGCCCGCGCTGCAGCACTAGAACGCCAAGCACAAGCTCACGCCATTGCAGAAATCCGACGACGCGAGGCCGCTGAGCGTCCTGTCCGACCACTTGGACCAGGTCGGGAAGCGGTAGATTTCCGCGCCGGCCTGCAACGTTTTCTAGAGCTCGTGCAAAACGACCGCGAAGATGAGTGGGACAGCGATGAACTGGACGATGATGTTTTCTAAAGCCAAAACTACGCCTCTCACATTCCCTTTCCCCCTTTGCCTTTTTTCGTCCGATTTCTTTTCTTTGCACATGCCATACCACATATCCCCACGAGCGACGAAAGTTTCATGAGCAATGCATGCACTTTTTATGATGAATGTTTTATCTCTCTCCACTTTATTTGCGCTTCATTCCGACCTTATCTGTATCCTTTTTTTCTTTTGCTTTTCTCCGCGCCTTCGCATATTCCCCTTTTCCTTGCTTTTCCATCTATCGTACGGGTCTATCTAGAGGTTTCCGCGCTTGGCTTCTTTCACTGCATCTAGTTCTTAGCGATTCTCTTCACTTGTACATCCTAGATATCAAACCTCGTTCTGTGTGCGATACAGCGTCTCGTTTTGTCTGATTTGCTTTGCTATCTCTAAGGCTTCGAGGTGCTCTCGGAGCTTCCAACCGCTCAGTCCAGCGGCATACCTAGTCATCCTTTGCGTTATGTTTCTTCTCGGGGGACTCGCGTGCAAAAACTCGCCCGGTTGGAAACCTAGGAAACTTGCGTAGAAAGTTCGAATTTCCGAACGTGAAGTTATTCTTTTCTTAATTGAATCCAACGCACCTCTTAACTCTTTCCTTGGCTGCCCATTAGTTCCCGCGGCAGTACTAGTAGTGGAGCAATAGCAGAAACACCGAGTCGATTGCAACCGTGAAGCCTGTAGGCAGTCAAGGCTTCAACTTGAGAAAATATGAATAAAATGAATGAATTGAAAATAGAAGAAGAAAAGGCTAGTAAACAAACCAAATAAAAACCAAATACCCCAATGCTAAAAATGCAGGGAGAATAAAACAAGACAACAAAACAAAAGCTCCAAAATGCAAAATGTCCTTTCTCCCAGCGAGGAGAGAAGGAAAAAGAAGAGAGGCGCATCAGATACCGTATTTCGCATGCGTACTCGTACAAGAAAAGAAAAGTAATCGGGGGTATGTAATCTGAATAAATCGGTGAATAGAGAAGAAAGAAAAAGAAAAATATCCCAACGCTCCCTTCTTTTCTCCTCTTCGTAAACGCATAGTTGTGCTCGAATTTTAGGGTGCTGTCCATGGAAATCTCAGTTCCGGGGGTTTAAGTCTTCCAATCGTGCCAGAATTCGTAGCTCATGACGGTGTGGTCGCAGAATAAGAGGAGGAGTCTGTAGTGGCGGGATGGGTGCCAGCCGTGCCAGGGTTCGTGGGGCCGGTATGCGAGCGAGGCCTGCGCGTGGGACTCGGGGAGGGTAAGTTCCTTGGGCGGTGGATTTTCTGCATCGTTTTCTGCGGGCTGGGCTCCGGTTTTCTTTGGGGTTTTTTGCTTTGGTTTGGGAGAGTGGAGGTCGGACTCTGCGGTGGTGTTTTGGCGTTTGCTGTGTGCGTAGGATTGAGATTCGGAATTGGAGTCTTTGCCAGAGGTTGTGGAGGAGGAGGATGTGGTAGATGGTTGTTGGGGGTCATTTTCGTCTGGGTTGAGGATGCGGTAGTTGAATGTTTGCCAGTCTGTTGGGTCGGTGCCTCGCGGGATACTCGGGACGTCTTGTGGTATTTCGAAGCCGGGCATCGGACTGACGGTGATGCCAAGGAGGGGGATTATGGGGCGTTCTTCCTCGGCTTCTTGCGTTGAGAATGGCACGATCCAGTCCAGGCGGAATGTAGAGCCGATTTCTTCGTGCCAGGTTAGAGATATGATAGCCACGCGGCCTTTTTGAGATGCTGCTATCACGAGACCCAGTTCGGGGATGTATTTGACCATGTTGAAGCGGTCGCAGAGTGAGCTGATCTCTGCGTGGAGGGATACTCGTTGGAAAAGCGGGTTTTTGCAGACGATTTGGTATTCAGAGTCCATTGGGTATGCGGCCAAGCTGATGTGGTGTTCAGAGAAATGGATGACCGGGAAGAAATTTGGCTGGGGGGGCTGTAAAAATAATCAGCTATGCAGTTCCTTCCGTTCGGTTTTCTTTGGTATGCATAGTTTATTGCTGAACTTACGGTGGACTGCCTTATTCCTTAGTAGCGCCAGGGAAGGGTCAGGGTCTCCTTCTGAGCCATCTGGATATAAACATGCTGGTACCCGGTGATGGTCATCATGGTCATCCTCTCCGAGAAGGTTGGGTAAATGACCCTGTACCCGTGACCTTCGAGTCTTTTCAGTATATGAATCCTTGACTCTGTTTTGGCGAGCGCTTCTGGTATCGTAAAAACGAGGCTCGCTGCTTCTGTCAGTCCCAGAATCCACAGCATAGACAGCATCGAATTTCCATGGAAGGAAGTCTTTCTCAAGACCAAAATAGGAGCGAGGCCGGTTTTTATCTTCAATGCAGCAATCAGAAAACAAATCATCCGGTATGTATGCAGGCGCCACGTCTCTGCTTGAGTCTTTGTGCTTGAACCCATACACAAATATCTGGGATGCATCAGGAACTCGCTCTATTCCACGTGATGTGTCTAGAATCGTTCGTTGCGCAATATTCTGTGCGTCCGGCTTGCATCCACAGGCTTCTTCTATGGTACGACACGGCTTGAATGTGCGCGGGTCTAGGGGGATGACCGACCAGCCCCTCTGAGGCGGATTGTTGGATGGATGGCCAGGATAGTACACCCTAGATGGCCATAAATCATCCCATATTCTCCATACAATCAGCCTGTTGCTGATATCGGTGCTGACCATCCACATCCCATTCGGATTCAGATCGAAATTGGCAAAAGAGACGCAGGGAATATTATCGAAATGACCTCTGTAGGTTAGTCGCAGGTTGCGGGATCGATAATTCCGTGGCGTGAGCTGATGTAACTCGTAGAGCTGTTTCCTGCTTTCCACAGGTACCCATGTTTGATCTGCTGAGCTCATACCGGCGCTGGTATTGTCGGGGTTTTCGGTTTCATCATCTCTATCCTCTGCGGCTGGATCCACCAATGCGAAAGCATACACAGTAATGAGACCCGTATTGGCGCTGACCGCAATTAGTCGAGCATATTTATGGGTAGCCAATCCCCACGCGCTCATTCCAACATTTTCCACGAAGAATGGGTTCACTTCGGACCCGTCAAAGGGTCGTTTGTAGCCATTTTTTGCGCATCGATTGACTGCGGAGTAGATGGCCTCTACATGATAACCACAGATGTTTCCCGAGTCTGTTGCCAGCAACAGAGCCTCGTCACGACCTAGATCATCCACAATGATGTTGTTGATTGTGTGGGGGTGAACCCGATCAATATAGCCTTCCATCAACGGTTCCTTCATGACAGGCTTGATGATCATTTCGGGTTGCGACCCCAATAACTGAAGAGGACCCTTTGGAATCCAAACAAATATATCACAGCGATGCGCCACGAAAATCAGATTCCTTCTTTGCGAGGCAGCCGACTTGTGAGACCGATTAGCAAGAGGTTTCCATAGGTTATTTGCATATGAATCTTTTTTTTTTTTAAGATTCTTATCTCTTACCAGGTTGTTTCTCCATGTCGCAATTGGGGGGCCAAACTCGTCATGTTTCCTGCAAGATTCAGATCAAAATCTCTATCTTTGGAAATTACCATTTTTGCCTCGAGAACATACTTGGAGAACTGTCCGAGTCAGCTTTCAATAGCTCACGTGAGGGGATACCGGAGATGCGATATATGATATCAGCCCACTCACTCTTTCTTCTTCCTTTTCGACGTTCAAAGCTTGAATACGAGGTCTCAGCCGTTGATTATCCCGGCCATCGGGACCGACCTTCCGGTCTAGCCTCCCGGGGCTGGGAGAATCCATTTCCCAAGCTATGAATGCGGGTGAGCGAAGTCCGGGTGTCGCGAGGAGGTGGGATAGGGATTCAGGGCGAGCAAGAAAAGAAAATAATAGAGTGGGGTCGGGGTTGTCATTGCCAAGGACCAACAAGAGTGGGTGCAAAAGAGAAGTTCAGAGAAGCAAGAAAAGGGTATTTCTGTACAGGGCGAGATGGTCAACGTTGGATGACCCAAGCGGGGGTGGAGCTTCCCTTGGACTCCCACCGCCTTACAAACATCCTATGAGTGGGTGATGACCTAGTTACTCCCTCACTCCACTCCACTCTATCTCTACCACCCATCCTATTACTCCCCATCATGGATTTGGTGGCCAGTATACGCAAAGAAGGGAGCCGGTGAGTTCTCTGTTCCATCATACGCACTTGTTCAGTAGCTAACCTCATCAGTGGTGGCCGCAACGAGTTCAAATGGACCGACGTCCAGAGCTCCACCCACCGTGAAAACTACCTAGGCCACTCGGTGATGGCCCCAGTCGGACGCTGGCAACAAGGCAAAGATCTAGGATGGTATGCCAAGGGCGAAGATGGCGACCAAGAGGAAGAAGCCCGCAAGCAACAAGAAGAACGACAACGAGTCAAGGATGCCGAAGCAGAAGCCATGGCCCTCGCACTGGGTCTCCCACCACCAGTAAAAGCCCAAGTCCGCGATAACGCCAATCTCGAACCCCTCGGCGGTCAAAATACATCTTTATCCCGAGACGAGTCGGCCAAAAACGACAACAGCGGATCAGGTGCGGGGAAGTCGGACCGAGAAACTCGCGGAGATCGCGATCGCAGACACAGGCATCGCAGTCGAAGCCCGCGGCGAGACCGAGATCGACGAGGAGACCGTAGTGATGATCGTGGCCGTGATCGCGATCGCGATCGTGATCAACGTCATCGCAGACACCACGATGATCGGGACCGGGCTCGTGGTCGGGAACAAGATCGGGATCGAGATAACAAGGATCGTCATCGTGGGCATCGGCATCGCTCTCAGACTAGGGATCACGATCGTCCCCACAGAAGACGGTCTCGTTCGCGCTCGCGAGAAAGACCTCATCGTAAAGATGACGAGCGTCATAAACACCGACGAGCAGACCGCAGCTACTCCCCCGCCGAGCGACGAGTCAACGCTGAGCGACGCCGAGACTAAATGCACAAATGACTATCAAAAAGCTACTACAACAAAAAGCTACTACAGCAAAAAGCTACTACAGCAAAAAGCTACTACAACAAAAAGCTACTACAACAAACCTACCATGTATAACCCAATTAAATTTCTATCGATACCAATTTCATCAAACGGCGCTCCGGGCTCGGCAATTTGCCCAATTTATGTCACGAATACGAAAAAAATCAAATTAAATCAAATCAATCAAATCAAATCATCACTTACGGCGCTCCATGCCTGCAAACGAAGTTCGTCTGTTTCTGTCAGTGCGGTAGCGGCCTAAAAGTAATCGTTTCCTAAAAGGGCTCTTCTATCTAAACAAATTGTTTGATCTCAACGATTCAAAGTACTGAGTATAGAACTAGGTAGGGCCAAGTAATAAAATTGTAACTAGTATACCTACTAGTACGTCTCGAAACTGGCACAACCTGGCACAACCTCTTACTCTCTTCAAGGGATTCTCTAGACCCACCATCACGAGGCACTACTAGTAGTCCATTTATGGAGCTTTTTCCAGAATTGAGCCTAGACCCTTTTTCTAAATTGAAAGTTTTCCCGTATTTTTCCCCAGGATGCGCTTGTTTTGTTTCGTGATAATATAACAGATTACCTTCAGGCGTGTAATTGTCCGTATTATTCAATACATCTCTTCCCTCGGCCATCAAGTACCGCTTAACGTAATCCATGCCAAGTGGACCATCCGAACGAGCGGGACACCTTAAAACACATGATAAAGGCGACGAATACGAGGTCTATCCCGTCTAATTCCTTGGCACCTTTCGCCTTTAGGGGCATTTACCCCCGAAAATGCCCTACGTGAGGTCAAGAATCAAGTGGTGCCTCCTGTGCTTTAAATTACGACCCCGAGTGTTCCTCTGCTTTCACAGCTGAGAGATTAGCTGGATAATTCGATCTGCCTACAACGACCTAGATTTCATGCAGTAGGACCTATAGAAAGCCAGACAATATGTTGCTCTGCCCGCCTATAGTCCTATTTTTTGCATTCTTGTCGATTCCTGCGAGGGTTCTATCCCGCAGAGGCAGCAGCGACTCTAGCAGTGACAGTGGGACCAGCAGCGACAATGACTCCTCATCCAGAGGCGGCACTTATGTCTGCTCTGATGACCACAAACTTACAACCACCGGCCTCCAGCCATCTTATTACAGTAACTACACAATTGTTGCTGGCGACCCTGGAGCCTACACAGACTGGAACGGACTATACTTTCAAGGAGAAGCTTCCTTCGACTACGTGATTCGCGATCTACCGACTAACAACACCTACCTCGGAACCAATTGTCCTAAAGACCATCGCACAATCCGCATGTTGGGCATTGCATGGGTTGGGCCAAGAACGCCTACTCCATCAGACCTTCACAATCCCTTTACATTGGGCTTCCAGGCCTGGCAATCTGATAATTCTGTCGCCAACATCACCTATTCCTACAGTTCCTGCGATACAGATGTGAATCTCGTGCAACTCAAGACAACTGTTGACTGGAGTGAGTATGTCCACGAGACAAATAGGGATATCAAAGGGGCCATAGATGCCGTTGTCCTTAATGTCACTCGGGCCGGTGATAACAACCATGAGGTCCAATTTGAAGGGGTGTACGACGTGTCGAGTCTGAGGTCGGCCCAGACAATCATCGCCAGTGACGGCACGCATAAAGATCAGATCCATATCCCTGCGAAAACTTGCAGTATGATGGGGGATATACTAATCGGATGGCCATCAGGGACTATTATCAACGGGACAATGACAAACAACACGCTCACATTATCCATCTCGGGGACGACGATCGCTGGTTTCGGCGACCTAGACGGATCTCATGATGAGCAGGTGAACGTGACTTTCAACATTGCCTTTACAGGCACTTACGACTCGGCCAACTCATCGCAGGTCGTCCAAGTCGGAGCAAGCAACCAGTCGCTAGTGAGCTTTGAGAAGGCAACGGGCGATGCTATAGCCTGGGCATCTCCGCGATGGCTTCTCATATTGTCATTAGTGATGATAACCAGAACGGTATTTTAATACTTCTCGGCACTAGTGTGTTCGGGACTCAGGCTTCTCATGTAGTCTATATTGGACCTCCACTAATCGACTATTTCTACCTATTTTGGTTAATATTGATTTATTGTCTCAGCATAAAGAAACAGAAAAGGAACCATCCTGATGATTTTAGGAATGTGAAAGTTCAAATGTCCTTGGGGTTGGTTAAAGGGTAGCCTATTGCTAGCGCGATTCCCGGTCTAGGTCGCCAAGAAACCAGAGATAAAGATATAACTATAAGCATGTCTATTCCTAAAGTCTATACACTCAGTATATCCGGAGTCAAACTGGATGTAGTGGGCCCAGGTGGGGAAACATACTCTCGGAACTGTATGAAGTCTCTTAGCGACAGTGTAAGTGAGTCTGCCCGAGGGGTCAGAGTCTCCGTAGTAGGGAATCTCTACCGTGGCTCGACCGGTGTCTCGGACATACACTTCAATTCGTTAATCATTTTTATAGCTAGAAAGAGCGCAAGTCATTTCTTCCAAATAGATACCACTGGGGAGTCTATTAATATGGTAACGTATTACTAGTAGCCTCTACCAATGGTGTTGCCGAGAGTTTAAGTAGAGTAAGCTATGATCCGAGTATTATAATAATGGGTTCGTGAATGGCCGGTAGGTGGGCGGGTCATGCAAGTCACTGATCACAGTATTTAGTGACCAGTAAGCTCTTGGACTGCTACTTAGATATTGAAGTGGCAGAGGAGATTTAAGGGCTCCCCAGATTTGTCAGGCACCGCTCAGCTCTTGTGTTTGATTTTTTTTTTTTTGCTTGTTGGAAAGTTCTGCTTTGAGTTGCCAATACAGTTACGAGACAAAGCACCGTATTTTAATGACAATATATGGTAGTATCGACACTGGTAAAGGGATATTGACATTCCGTTGCTATTCCTAATTTGTCCTTGTATCTCTTGGCGATGGGCCTAGCAAAACAATTGAAGAGTGGATGCGGTTGCACCGGTTTTGCAACGTACTGTATATAGCTTAGATTCATTCGGTCTATTTTCAATTTTTCCCGTAAACTAGCGAGCTGGTAAATATCGGATATGGCAGTAATCTCAGATAACTTAGTCTATCCAGAGCGCAATTTATCTTTTGTTCATCAGCTTCACCATTTGTATGAAGAATCTGTTACCTAGGTAGTAGTAGTAGTAGTAGTAGTAGTAGTAGTAGTAGTAGTGGTGGTGGTGGTGGTGGTGGTGGTGGTACTTTCTGTCTAAATTTGTATAGGAAACCCTGACAGAAACACCGGGTCAATTACAACAATGAGGCGTCGTAATCACTTGTCTAATTCCTTAGGTGTTATGCAACATTGGAAGTCTAGTATACAAAACCAAACTCAAGACATAGATACATCAAGATGCCAACCTAAAGCTCGTCGTGCGACTCAGACGCGTGTCCGCTTGCGCTCTCGCTGAGATCCGGCATCGACATCATGTTCACCACCATACTGGTCCAGCCGGTAAAGTGCTGCGTTCGCTGTCCCTTACCCGTGTCGGGATTATACTGTTCCCAGGCGAAACCAGTCTCCTTCCACTCCTTGAAAATGTTTTGGACCAGGTTCTTGCGCAGCTGGGAGTACATCTCCCGCGCTTGCTCCTGGTGGGGACCCTGCGTGATGGCGGTGTCCTAAATGTATATTTGTTAGTATTTGCAGCAGACAAGGGATATCGATAGTGCTTCAGGGGAATCGGGGGATCGATCAAACTTACGTAGAGATTCTTCAATACCAGATAGTTGATAGGCATCCAGATCGGGCTTCTCCAGTAATTCTCCTCAGTACCGTAGAACTTGTCCTTCTTGCTCAAACTGCGAATACCATAGTCACTCCACAACTCTTCGGGGTCATTGATGAGGTCCAGCACAGCCTTGAGACGGGGACTATCGGGTCCAAGCATGCCAGTGAGGAAAGGGAAGATAGAGATATAACCCTTGTGGCAGACGTGAACGCTCTCCTCGAATTCATCGATAGTAGCGTCGCAGAAGGTCTGCTCCTTCTCGTTCCAGTGCAGGTCGTCGATGTTGCGTGTGATGGCGTTCTCGTAGTAGGCGAATTCCTCCGCGTCCTCTTGCTCGCCCAGGGTCTCGGCAATACGGCGCAGAGTACGGGTCATCATACCCATCCAGCTGATCAGATCCACGTGCAGCTCACCGGGGTGAGGAGGCTGGGCGCGCGGGTAGTCGTCGATACCGGAGGTCAGGATATGCTGCTCAGAGCGGCCGCGCCAGCGGTAGGCTTCCTTGGTCGAGAATGCTTCACGGTCGTACGATTTGATATCGCCGCGCTGGGTGTTGCGGAACCAGTTGTAATGTCTCTTCATCAGGGGGTAGAAGGAGCGGAGGTAGGCTTCAGACAGTTCGGGGTTTCGCAGGGTCGCGGTGCGGAGGTTCTCTGCCACATCTGGAATATCAAGAGATCCCGACTCGTCGCTCTTGTTCTTGTTAGTTCTCGATTTGTCCATGAAAGCTTCCAGGGCCATGAAAAGAGTAGGTGGGTTGGCGTAGTGGGGATATTGGATCGTGAATTCTTGCGGGACCTTGCTGCGAGCTTCCTGGCCCAGGATCTGCTCACGAGCGATCCATCCGTCCTCATCCATCAGATGGAACCAACTCTTGATGATCTCGAGACTGAAATAAGGTAAGAGTATCAGTTTACCGGATTCCATGGTGGTCACGACAAGAGTAACTTACGCAAGATCAGAGTCATACTCCATGACAGGCATCAGGTGGAAACCCTCGTCCCAGAGGAATCCTCGAGGGAAGAATGGCCGGGAAGGAACACAGGTAAAGAGGTCCTTGGGGCCCTCGAGGACAGGCTGTGCGGCAGCCCTCGCCTCGGCAGTCTCCTCCCAGAAGCCCTCGTTTTCCTCGTCATAAGCAGGAGAGGCAGAGCGGTCGACGAGATCGTCGCCGTGGAAGAATCCAACACCACCAATCAAGTTTGAAAGCATAGCCTTGGAAAACTTCGAATACTCTTCCGACTTGAAGGGCGCCTTTGGTTCCAGAACTTCCTTGAATCTCTGCGAAAACGAAAGGGAAGCATTCTCGAGCTCCTTGGTGATGATCTCCGCTGATAATTGAGTTAGACCTAGACCTATGATATTGTGGCCATTCGTTCGGAAAACCAAATAAAAAACTTACAAGTCATGGGCTCAGAGGCCGAACCAGAAGAGAAAAGAACGTCAAACTAGATGAATTAGCGAAACTTCATTCTTGGAAGCTTGTTTCAAATGGTGCATACCTCGAATGCCCCAGTGAAGACCTTCTGGACCATATGAACATTACCCTGTCCAGGGATGTGAGGAATTGTAAACAGCTGTGCCGGAGGAGGGGGGGTTATCCGTTCCATGCTGTTCAATGGTTTTCTCAACCTCGCCCTTCATTTGAGTGAACAGAATGCCTAGCAATCATCAGTATGAGAGATCAAGGAGGTCGTGCACTGTACTAAAACGCACCCTTAGCTTGCCAGAGAGCCTGTGGCGGCATAGTCGCACTTGAAACGATGCCGTGCCCCAATGGCTTCTCGTCATAGGTAGGGTGGTCATGGCTGAAATACTCATTGCTCTCCGGGCCAGAGGTGACATCGATGGAGAAGTCGCCTAGCTCCGAGGAATAACCGTTGAATTTCAAGTCGCCGTCAAGCGGGGAGCTCGAGGAAGCAGTGTTCATATCAACGCCCACTTCACCGAGTCCTTCAAGGGTCGTGTAGAAAATCATCGATGTGGGCTGGTCAGGGCTACCGTCTTCGCGAGGGGTTCCCTTCACGCGGAATCCCCAGCTACCACCATGCTGGCCGCCAGGAACCTTGACGAAATCGATCGTGAGGTCCAGACTGTTCCCAGCATCGTGGATGGTCTCTCTTCCACCCTTCCTCACATCGTATTCGTCCCAGCCATAGCCAGCCATGCCTTCATTTTGTTCGCAGGTGTGTCTAAAGTCTTCAATGGTGTCAGGTTAGCACTTTGCTTCGCTTCGCCTATGAGGATTGGGGGGTTGCAATTGCAATTTGAGAGTAGACTTACTCTGCTGCGCGGTTGCAAAGTCATCGACCTTGGCCCACATCAATCCAGCAGCTAGACTGTTTGCAATGCGAGGGCGTACTCCGAAGTACAGGTTGGACTTGTAGGGGCCCCATAGCAGCGAATTGTTGTTGGCGCGGGCGGCCTCATTGATTAGGATGGAGGCATCGCTGGGATCGTTTGCTGAGATCCCGGTCGCGTATAGGACCGATGTCAGTAGGGAGAAACCGAAATGTCGCATCTTTGCACTGGCATCAATGGACTTTCGGAGAGTTGACAGAGTTGCAGGCGGAGCTTGCTGTTCTCTCCGCAATTACGTGGCCCGAGCTCCCGAGTGTAGACTACATACTACAGCAACTAAGTATAGAATTAGTTACAATTGGCATATTTAATATTAGTATTAAGTTTCTGCCTTATCTTATATTCATCTTCATATTCGACATCTATTCTATACTCACTATATTCACAGCTGGTCCCGAGGATCCAACGATCCAACCTTAGCACTCTTCGCCTTCCCATCAAACACAAACTCACTCATGAGCTTGCCCGTACCAGGACCATTCTGAATACCCCAGCATGTATGTCCAGAAGCAAGATACAATCCCTTATCATGAGTCAATCCAACCAAGGGTCCACCAAACCCAGTACTATTAGGCAAGTAACAAGCCTGTCGAACCTGAACCGTCCCATCCCGCAACTCATTAGAAATACTCCCAACATGATCAATAATCTCCTGACATCTTTCCTGGTCAACCTCTACCTCCGCAGACGTCGCAGGCAGAGGAACAATCTTATCGCCATCCCCACAAGCATATACCGTATCGTCAGGACGCGCATAAATCTCCGGCGCCGCCGCCGTAGCCCGCGACTCAACACCCGGGTTAAAATTAGCCGGCAGCTCGATATTCGTAAAAAGCGCATACGCACTAACCGGCCTCGTTGGCCGGATCACAACGCTGTGCGCACGCATCGCTGCAATGGGCGCTTCGGGGAGGACTTTGCTCGTCCAAGGTCCCGCAGCGACAATGACATCCGTTGCGGGAATCGTGCGTGTTTCTCCGGAGGCCTTGTCGGTATAAGTGACAGACTCGACCGCGCCATCCGGCCGCGCAACATTCGTAACTTGGCCCAGGATAATCTCCGCGCCTTTCTCCTCTGCCAGTTTGGCCATGGACGTCGTGAAGAGGTACGGGTGGACCTGGGCGGTTTCGCCAGGCCCGCTCATACTCTCGTAGGCGCGCATAAGATCCGGCTCTATCCAGTCTAGATCATCGGGGGTGTTGGAGGAGTTGAGTTTCGACATTGCGGCCGTGCTGCGCTTCTGTAGGGATTCGCTGGGCGGTTTATTGGCGGGTCTGTTGGTCATTGCGCGGCCGCGGACGACGATTTGGCCGCAGTTTGTTTCGCGGTAGCCCCATCTCGTTTTGCCGGAGTGTTCTTTGGCGAGTTGGGCGTGGAGGGGGTAGCTTAGGTCTACGAGGTTGTTCGGATAGGCCCATTGCGCGAGTAATCCGCCGGCTTTGCCAGATGCACCGCCAGCTATCTCGGTGGCTTCGAGGAGGGTGATTTTGTGACGGGTTGGGTCGTAGGAGGGGTGTCTTGTGAGGAAGTATGCTGAGCAGCATCCAATGATACCACCGCCTGGAGGTGAAAAATGTGGTCAGCACATCGAGTCCTTGCGACAGCGCGGGGTAGGAAATGCTGCAGTATAGCTTGTTGTCTTACCGATAACAACGATTTCACGACGATCTGCAGAGGCAGCCATTTTGAGTACTCGTGGTACAATATTTGAAGTTAAAAATTGTAGCGGAGCCACGGTGGTATGGGAGTTGGTTGAGTGTTGAGTTTGAAAACTGGCTGCGGTCTAAAGAGAGCTACGTCACAGCCGATGTGGAGGAGAAACCGCGACTTCCATAGGTCACTCAAGCTTGGAGAAATGTAATCCACTACACCCTGATCAGAGATCTTGGAGGGAAAGTCTGAGAAAAAAAGACATATCATGTCTAGTAATGCTCCAATTTCCAATTGTGACAATGGCAATTAAGTAACAGGGGGGTCTTTGCCGTAGAAGATTTTGAGAATAGAATAACCCGAGGACCATGCTCCACGAATGCAAAAAGGGCTGGGAAAAAAAGAAGAAAGAAAAGTTGGGGTAGAAAGTGAACCCCTCCAGGTGGAACCAATGTAAAAGCAAAGATAGCAACCCTTGAAATACCGCCAATATAGCAGTGGAATCATCGTGACGGACTGAGAGGTCGGTTGAAACCTCCTGTACGGTTCATGTACTGGCGGTACTCGATCTTCTTCTCCTTCCGCACGCCATAGATATCATTGCCCGGTACCTTGGTGTTCTTTGTAGTCCGGAAACGCGTGAAACCCATGCTCTTCCGCATCATAGCCTCGAATTCGTCCTCGTCGGCATCTTCCTTGAAATCCACGTCCATTTCATCTTTGCTGTGCCCGGAGCCATTTGCATGTCGACCATCATCTCGAGATCGAGGGTCTCTGTGTTCAGAGCGACGTTCCCCTTTGTATCCTCGGGGAGGGGATCTGGACCTCGACCGGGCCTTGCCATTTCGAGCGGGAGATCGTGAGCGGGAACGGTCGCGGAATTTGTCGCCCTTTGATGCATATCCTGTGCGAAAATGCCGGTCAGTCCTGATTTCATGCCTGGCTTGTATACATTGTCACGGTCCCGTAGCTGATTGCTGCTGCTTACCTCGTCTATCATTGTAGCCACCACGCTCTCGGCTGGTACTCCTCTTCCGGTCCCTGGCACCATGTCCGTCCCTAGTATCTCTGTCCCTCCTGTCACGGCGATCTCGAGACCAGCTCCGTTCTCGCCGTCTATCTTCCTGGTCGAATCGACGATCGTTTCGAGGACCGTCGCGTCGGTCATTTCGGGGTGGTGGGCGTCGGCGATCTTGGTCTGAGGCTGCATCTGGTGAGCGAGCTCTTGAGTCGCTTGAATCCCACATAGCGCTACTATCAACACGTCGAGCGCGTTTTGCAGGTGGCTCCGCCATGATGGTTGGGGGACAAAGGTGGTGGTCTGGTGCCGTGTGGTCTTTCGATTGGATGAAGTGGCAGAAATTGGGCGGGTTGCTTCTTTCGGGTAGGTTGTCGCTCTCGATGATTTTAAAGAGAGTTCAAAGAAAGGTTCATGAGCAGCTTTGAGAGCTGGGGGTATCAAGTCGTCGCAATTGCGCTTCTTGTTGCGCCGCTGGCAGAACCTTGAGAAGTTTATTACGGTCGGTGGGATGTACCAACCGCGCTGTTCGGGCTGGAAGTATATCACCGAGGCCATCCTCCTATATGATCCATAGACCTAGGCGATAATCAAGAGATTGGCTATTATTAGGTATATTAATAACTGTGTAGATATATTATAATATGACACTCTCGGACTTATGTCCGGTCCTGTTATTCGTGGGAAATATTCACTACCAGGTGCCGGCACTATAGCACCTACCGAGGCGTATACTACTAAGTAGCTCTAGAGAGAATACAATCCAGACATTACAACCAATGTTGCATTAGTTTAGTTGCACAGAGGCAATTTCGTGGGCGATAATATAGCTTCAAATCTTAGTCTATACATTAAGCCATCGCGTACGGTAAAAAGACTTTTACCATGTCTCTTATGATTGTACTATGCTACTTATTCTCCTCAATTTACGACTATTTTCCTGCTCGGCTTACCATCCAACCACCATTCTGCAGGTTTGGGAATACCCCCTCAGTATCAACTTTACCCGCAATCCTTCTCAATTTTTGAGGTATTCCACGCCATAAGTTGAAAGGGGGTCCTGGTCTCGCGAGGAATAATTCGAATATTTGAAGTTGAGGAAAGTGCCGTTTTGCTTGGCTGTTGTTTCGGCGGCGGCGACGATCTTACGAGCAGCGTCGCGCACAGTGATTTCATCTTTATGATTCGTCCACTCGGTCATGAGAAGGAACCCTGTTTTGATGTTAGCTCAAGGACGGCCAGGCGAGTATATTGGACATTATCATATCCGCAGCTCTCACATTGGTGAGATTTTTCCGAAATGCCGAGTGGGGAATCAATGCCAGAATTTGTAGCCCGGATCGCATTTGACGAGATGGGCTGGATAGCAAACGTAATCTTGAGGCCGGGTTTGTGTTTAATTAGGTCCTCTTGCTGGTGGCGACATTCATGTGCAGCCTTATAGACCTCCAGATCAGGCAAGCTTGACATAGTTCGCATATCATGGCTGTCAGGAAAAAAAGTGTCAGGCAAAACAAAAATCAGGGGGTGAGTCTTTATAGAGGAGCTAAGATACTTCTTGGGCTCAGCTGCAATTGAACTTTCCAGTCCGTTCATAATCTGGAAAATTGTGTACTTGTTGCCTGGCAGCATCTGCGCGACATAATGGATATCTTGATCGACAGAAGACGTAAAAGTTCAAGTTGTTCCATGGTGGTTGGGAATTGCGTCTTTGAGCCTTTCGCAAGCTGTACCTGGGAATTTTCGTTTTTATTGACCATTGGATTTTGCAAAGCACAATATCATTAATTAGCATTTCATTGACTTGTGCTGCATTAATCTGTTTTCGGGCTGGTTTGGGCTGCTCTAGCGTGACCCCATGGGCCTTGATAGGGTCGCAGGAGCTTGATATAGTATAGATCCCGATGGGGGGTGCATTGGCAGCGAGAAGTCCCGTCTTTCAGGGTTCAATTCTCCTAACTATCACAGCTACCCAGCCAGTGACAGACTTCACTTCGTGCATTGGTCGGCCTAGTGCCCAGGTGTGAAACAGGTCACCTGGCGAAGGATTCGAGACGGCCTGGTACATTCCTGATTTGAGCAGTAGGCTTACACTCGGATGCGGATATGTTTTGTCTTTCCGGGGATGGGATTACTCATTGGGAATCCAATTGATGGGTCATTGTTGGATTTGGAACGAGGTATTCTTGGAAGGCTCAACTCTTTAGTTCCATTTTGTTGTTGGTACGGCTCTGTTATTAGTCTTGCAAGTTCTAAAATGGAAGGGAGATGGAAGATCTGACAAGGTTTTGGTCACAATGAAATAACATACATACGCTGGTCTTCTTCCGGGAAATAAGAAAAGAAAAAGCGCAAGCTAACTAAAAAGAAAACAATGCAAAAATGCAAAAACAATAGGAGACTTGGAAATAGCAGCCGAACGCGGTAACCACTGCGCCACTCCGACCAACGTCGGAGCCAGGATTCGAACCTGGGCACCCGAAGGAATTCGGTGAGCTTAACCGTTGCGCCATCCTATTGTTGAAGACTTTAACCGACTTTAGCGATACATACCCTGAGTGACTGTTACCTATTTCTTATCCAGAAATACTTTTTCATCTGCAGTCTCGAGTACCTAGGTAGACATGGTTTCCTGCCCAGGTGAGATACCATTTTTATTTTTATGTTATACCTATTTACAAATTTAAAACCTATTCCGAATTTCAGTTTGCTTCAAGGAAGGTTCGAAATTGAACCTTCAAGTTGAGAACTTGGATGCATTGATCTTAGCAAACTCCAGTTTCTCAGACTGAGATATATTGAGGCATACCAGAGTCCCGCTGCGGGACTATACCCCGCCATCCATTGGAGCCACACACTAACGCTCAACTTGAAGCTTCTATGTACTCCGTATAGACCGTGGAATTGGCCCATACTACTACTAGTACCTAATATACATCAATTTTCAACTTGCATATTTATACGGACCTGGTACTATGGATATCAGTTATCGCACTCTGCTATCAACCTCCAATATATCCGCACCCAATTTAATGACGTCACATATCATTTCAACCTCTGCTTTGAACCCAATTGACGGTAATGATACATAGATAGTCAATAGAGTCCTGGAATATAAACCAAAGAATCAACCACCTGGCATATATCAACCAGCGCAGTTGCGCAATTCGCGGCCCGTCCCGTCGAGCCTCAAAGCCCACGAAATTTTTGCAGCGCAATCAACCCCACTTCATCCGCATCTCTCTGCACCAGTCACCCCAAGAGCTTCGCGCGCCATGGCCCCGATCAACCTGTCCCACCGACGGACGCATAATCTCCTGCTGATTTCCAAATTGCTCAATTTGAGAGACACAGCGTCCCCGTTTACCCTGCTGCTAGACTCGCTGGAGCAGCCGGCCACTCCCCTGCTCAAAGAATATATCAGACGTGCAAAGGTGTGTCAGTGTCAGCTACTTGGGTACTAGTAGTAGATCATTCATGTTCGAATTCCAATTTACTCAGGCTGTTTGATACTGATCATCTGAACAGCTCTCCAAAGTCCACGTCACACTCATTTCATTCGAAACACTCCGCAAACCAGATGGCGTCGACGCATTCATTTCCGCTCGCCGCAAGAGCCCGGCGGATATCATGTCCGAAGTAGCTTCAGCTCACCAGCCTGCTACAACCACCGGTCCACCGCAACGTGAGTGTTCCGAAGAACCAGATATCTCCGATATCAATATCCTCAGTCTCGTCCGAGTCCCGATGTCCAACTGACCCACGGCGACAGGCCGCCTCATCCTAATCGACGCCATAAACCCGCTCCTAAGCTCCAAAAAGCAAGACCCAACCTTCCAACTAGCATCATTCCTAGGCTCATTCATCACACCCCGCGACCCATCGGCCCCAAAAGCCGACGCCTCACTAGTGGTAGCATACCACTCAGACACCCCAGGCCCAATCCCAACCCAACAAACCGTCTACAAACCCGCCCACCTCTCCATACTAACCTACCTCGCAACAAGCATAATAACCTTGCACTCATTCTCGCACATCCTGGCGCAGAAGGCGGCGCGGGATCGCAGTCTCGTCGCGCCCGTCTTCGGCCTGGAAGAAGAGCAAGATGGCGTTATCCTGGGCCGTTTTGATCGGTTGAGCGGGACCGGGGCTGCGGAGGGGATCGTGCTTGAACTTGAGCATCGGAGGAAGAGTGGGCGCGGCGTGTTGGAGTGGTATATCCTGCCTCCTGCGTCGCGGTATTCGGCGGCTTGCGTGAAGGAGGTTGTTTCGCTTTTGGACGATAATGTCCTGTATAATCCGCCCGTGGAGCTGGATGCGGGTGCCGGGGATGAGGAGCCGACGTCGACGTTTGAGCTTGGGCTTACGGAGCGGCAGAGGAGGGATCGGGAGGGGGTTGTTTTGCCTTATTTTGATGCGCAGTATGGGGATGGGCCTGGTGAGGGGGGTCGGATTCTTTATGATATGGGTGAAGAGGATGATTTTGATGAGGAGGAGGATGAGATTTAGAGGATCTGTGAATCATGAAATTGCTATGATCTGGTTCGCTATTCGATTTTATTTTCTTATTTGCACGGCTGTCTGGTTGGGGCGCGGGGTCTAGGAAGGAATTTGGTTTCGTATTGCTACATACATTCATACATACAGTTGGGGGGAATCAGAGAGGAAGCGCTGCTATTGGGAGCTGAAGAGATTAAAAGAAGCGCCACCAAAGCAGGAGGAGGATCACGAAGCCGACGCCGGCGAAAGGGCCATACTGTGGGAATATAGTTAGCATGCTGGTGATCAACATTCACTGGGTGGGTGAGTGAATGGATATAGACAAAACTTACCTGCTTGACCAGCAATTCCCAATTAATGCGCACGGCAGCCTTGCGGTATTTCTTGCTGTCTTCTCGTAGACGGCCGGATAGTTCGCCCATGCGCTCCAGACTGTCTCCACGATACAGAAGATCCTCGATATTCTTGGTCATCACCTTGGTGACGTCGCGCAGTTCATCATTCAACTTATCCAAGTTCTGCGAGGCACGGCTATCCTGGTACAGCTTCTTGGTGCGTTGGATGAAGGTGTCAAATTCGACAAAGGCATATGGGCGAAGGGTCGGGGAGAGATATTGGGATTGGGCGTAGGTGGTTGTGAATTCGGAGGCCAGGTCGGCGAGATAAGTGAATGCCAGTTTTCGGGGATAGGACCGGTCGCAGATACAAAGGAAGCAAATGTCGTCTTGAATTAGGTAGCTGTGAAAAGATGTTAGTATTGCAGTTCTCATTCAATCCTTTACATCATTCACCACTTTCCCCCCTGGACATGCGCTCAACTCACTGGAGGGTGTATTGACCGGATTCAATACTGGCTTGAGGTGCAGCATTGCGGTTCAATCGGCGGAAAATCATCTTGCATTGCGACTTGATCTCCGACAGCTCGGACTCAGCCTGTTAAAAGCGACTCCAATTAGTTTCCATTCACACCATCTCTCTCTTATCAACTCCGCATCTTGTTGTTCGCCTCACCTGCTCATCATCGACGGAAGCAGCCATCATCAGGCCTGTTTAAACAAATCTCGTCAGCAAGGTGGTCACTTTATTTGCGGTTCAGACCCATTCATACCATCCAGCCTTGCGATCTGTGTTGATTTCACCATTCTGGCAACTGTGTCCAAACGCAAGCTATTATCACCAGAGTGTTTTGGAGGTGTCCACATCTCTAGAGTAAACTGTCTACAATGGGCCGGAAAAAAGCGGTGACGAAGGGCAGAAGCGGGTGCCGCACGGGGTGAGCTCCACACTCTTCTTGGTCCCCCGTTGATCGCGAATCTAACTGCTTTCTTCTTTATGCGATAGGCGGATCGTGAAACAGTCAACTACTCCTACCGATGTAGGTACGAAGCCGAAAAAGGCGATGTCTAGCCCGGTGAAACGAGCCAAGAAAGCTGCTCCCCGGGGAAAGTGGAGTGAGGCAACACTCTTGACCAGCGAGAAGTCGGTCTTAGTTCATGCGGATTTGGTGGTATGTTATTGTTTCCGCCTTTGGCTTTTCTTACTTCCTTATTTCTATACTATATCCTTATGCGAAACTAACTCAACCCTTCCTCCTTGGGACCTTTATTTAGAATCTACTCGCCAGCCCTGAAGCTTGGAATTGTCTAGATGAAAGCGAAAAGCAAGATATCCTAGCTCTCCTCCCCGCAGATATCCACCCCGAAACCGAGCGCCAGCAAGACAACCAAGAACAAAAGATACCCCCCCCTACCCGCGTCATTTTTGCGCTACTCAAATAATTGGCGCGATGGACTTCGTCAATTCCAGCTCGACCTTGAGAATGGCCACTATGACCCCGAATGGTTGCGACAAGCGGAGAAGGCTCGCAAGCAGCGGGAAAGTGGTGACTTCGACACCTTCAAAGAGCGCGAGTACGAAAAGTTCTGGGGCCAGAAGCAGAATTTCAACAAGAGGCTCCTAGCTGGTGAAAGCGCTAAAATTAAATTGGGCCAGCTCGTTGAACATGGAGTCATTCAGCTTGGTGATGTCTGGAGGTTTCGTTTCGGCTTTGGGAAAGGCGAGAATAACATTCAGATTGATAAGGAAGCCAGGGTAAGCCGCACGTTTCCTCTCATTATTGAGGCAAGTAACTAACAACTTCTAGATTGACCGTATCGATGGCTCGGATTTGACATTTACTATCCCCACTGGGAGACGAACATTCCTCTCCAGTACTTATCCTGGACCCCAGAAAGTTGAACCCTCACCAGTTGGAAGCGAAATTAAGATGGAAGTCATTCCTGCAAGCTCCCAGGAGGTGCTTGCAAATGCCGCAAAGGCATCTCCGGAAACCCAAGAGCCGACCATTGGGCACAGCATCAAACAGGAGCTTCCTGTTTCAAGTCCACCGACACTCCCAGCAGGGTTGATCGCAGAGAATGATGCGGGGGCACCTGCTGAAACTATACCCAGTGTATCCAAGGGCCTCACAGTTACTGATTCCACTGCGGAAGAGGTGGACGAGACCGTGGATCCAACGGGCCTGCCACAGGAAGCAAATGAAACAGTCACCACAGCCGATACTTCACTCAGAGATCAAGGACCCGGAGCTTTTCAGGTCATCATCGTGAATCAGAATCCTAGTACCATACCCGTCAACGAAAGTCTCAAACGCCCAACACCCCAACCAGAATCGGAACCTCCAGCAAAGCGCAAGCGAGGCAGACCTCGCAAGATGCAGCCTGTCCCCGAATCCGAGACAGAGGCAGTGCCGGATCTGGATGAACAGACAGCTACCAGTACCCAACTGGACGCCACAGCCAACTCAGGCTTATGTGTGGAAATAGTCAAATCTCCGTATGATTGGTCAAACTCTGCATCTTCAGAAGCAATGCGATCAAACACGCAAACAAAGGAGCCCGAACAAAGTACAGAAACCTCACCACCTACTGATATCGAAATGGCGGACGCAAGCGAGCGAAATATCCGGACCAGCCTTCCACCCGCAGGATCGTTCACGAACCCTGAACTGCCAATAAAACTCACAGCGTCGAACCAAAGCGAAGAGACACTCGCAACGCTCACAGCTAAGGCCAAACCAAACACACCCGAACCCGAAATCAGAGATAAAGAAGAGCCCGAATCATCCCCTCTTTCCCCAGCCAGGTCAATGACAGGTCCACCATCCAGCCAACCCCATAACCAACCAGAAGAATCTACCAATGAAGCAGAAAGGCAGCCGCATCCCGAGCCCGGCCAAGCAGAGCAAAAACCCGACCCCGAACCGGAACAGCTCGAGGTATCGACCACGATCCGAAACATCAAAACCCCCAGCCCAGTCATCACGCACATATTGAAATTGGACGGGCGGAAGCCTGACGGCCGGACCGGCAATTCCTGGAAGGAATTCCGATGCTACCGGAATAATCAGGACATCGGGAGTCTTTGGGAGTTGCGGGAAGCGTGGTATTTGAAGCAGAAATGATTTGTTTACTTATGGATACCCCCACACGCGTCCCCGTTTCGCTTCTGTTGCATTTCGTTTTTTCTTTTTTTTCTCTCTCGGTTTTCCGTTCTGGCCTGAGTGCTTTCGTCGGTGAAGTGGGGTTGATCGATGGATTGCTTTACGGGACTTGGATCTCGGAATATGGGATACTCTGGATCTAATCCCGGTGTGCAGTGTATGGTAGATTTCAAATGAGCAATTTGCGGGCACTGTGCGCTTTTTCTTTCAAGCTTTTGAAGTTTCCTTACGGAAATCGTAGATTAATCTATGAAAGCCCCGTGATTTGGTCTGCTGGTAGATTCAAGTTTACAACAATCAAAACATATCGTTGAACCAATGAATGCATGTATGCAAGCTATTATCCTGATTCTATCCCAGATGACCAAAGCAACCTTAGGAGCTACTACTAGTATCTCCAGCCCAAACCTCCAATTAAAAAGACACCCCACTAAAATGCTCCATAGCAGGCGGCGTCGGATCCGAATCAACAGCAACATCAACGGCAAAACTAGCCTGAATAAAGTCCTCCAACTCCTCACTAACAGTCTTAAGCTTCTCCTTAACACTCGCGACACCCTCCTGCCCAACAATATGTCTAGACGGCGGATTCTCATGTCCGCCAATGGACGTGATAGCGTACACGGTTTCCGAAACCAAGACTTCCAGATGCGCCGAGCTGAGCGGTGGGTGCATGGAGACGATTTCGGGGACAGAGAAGGGCCCGTTTTCGATCGAGCTGACGCGGGAGGTCTCTTCTTGCGCGCTGCTGGAGCGGTTGCGGGCTGAGACGGGGGTTACGCCTTCGGATTGGGCGTCGGGGAGGCGGGGGACGAGGTGGTTTAGGATTCCGCGGAAGAGCGGGGCGTGGTTGTTTGCTGGGGAGTAGGCGGGGAAGATTGGGGGCACGCTTGTTACTAGGTTTGTTAGGATGCCTATTTCGATGCTGCATTGGAAGATGGTGAGTTTTATGTTGAAGGGGGCGATTTCGTAGGCTAGGCTCTGTGGTTGGTTTAGTTGTGGTCCAAGGAGATAGGGAGAGGGAATTCGCACGTCGCAGAATCCTTCTAATGCCCAACCGGCTGCGCAGTACATGCCGAGCCCCGGGGTGCCGATATGCGCCGCTGGGATGTTGATTAGATGTGGATTTGATTGAGTTTGGAAGGGGGGGCGTACTGATTCCTGATAGGATCATTATGTGTCCGCTGTGCTCTCTTCGCATGTGTGGTAATGCGGCTTTTATTATGTTCAGTGGTCCGAAGTAATTGATTTCGAATTGATCGCGGACGAGGTTCATGGTTTGCTGGGAGGCGGAGAGTTCTTCAACAGTACCGACGAGAGCTGAAGATTGGGTTAGTTTATGAACTACCCCATTGCACGTAGGAAAGCTTGTGTTGGGTTGGTGCTACTTACTTTGACTGGTGCAGCAGAGTAAGATATCTATACGGCCAAATGCGGCGACGGTTTCGGCAACGATCGCCTGGCATTCGCCCATCATTCTAATTGTCAACATATAGATAAGTTTCAATTCGTTCGGAGAATGACAGAGAATGATCTCTAGTTGCGCCCAAAAGTGCGCGATCTGAAGAATGTGGTGCGCACCTGATATCTAGGGGAACGGTCTTCATGCGCTGCTTCCACCCCTCATCGCGGTGTTCCTCCACCTCGGCCAGAAATGCATCGAAGCCATGTCTGCGGCGTTCATCGCGATCAAGAATCGTATGTGCTAGGCCTAGCAGTACATAGTCGCCATGGGAAAGGGCCTGTCGCGCAACTGAGATGCCAATTGGCGAGTCACCCGCCGTGATCAGCCATACTCGAGGACCGTGATGCGAGGGGAATTGGGCGCGCGGATCGGGAAAAGAGTGGGGGTCCATGAGGGGAACAGGATTGCCTCAAGGTGGGATCGGGATCGGGATCGGGATCAAAATCAGGGTCAGGGTCAGCGCGGCGGCTTAAACACGATGCCCATCGCGCGACTGCAAGGTAGGGCGACGGTGGAGGTGTGAGGGTTGGCCGGTGACTGGTGGTTGAGAGGGAGAGCTTTCGGAGACTGCGGAGTAGAAAGTAGAAAGTAGAAAGTACCTTAGGTTACCCTGTGGAGTGGAGGTCCCCACTGTATAATCAACACCGCTTTGGGGAATGGCGCGATGCAGGGATAAAGACCTTAATATTTAATATTTGAAATATTTATAATAATGATTAATAGAGTAAAATTAAACCAACTCAATTCGTCCAATCCATAGAATACTACCTTAAATCAAGCTAGCACTAGTATAGTACTGGGTGATGTTGGAACCCGCTAGAATGCCAAGCCACGCGGGTTCAAGTTCCCTTGCGACCAAACACTTCGCCGCGTTGGCCTCTTGACTTCTCCTCAACATCTTCCCCCGCCATCATGTCTGAACAGCGGCCACGCAGACAGGAAGCCGAATCCTCCGGTGTATGTTATCAATCCACCCATGCATATCAGTGTGCGTCTCATTGACACTCTCCCTTAGTCTGGCCTCAAGGGTGCCCTCCAGGGCCTGGGAATCTTCCTTCTGGTGCAATGGGGTATCAACCAGTACATGGGAAAGAATAACCAGCAGAGTGTTGTCCCCGGTACTCAGCCAGGTGCCATCCCCGCCTTTATCGATCGCCCTCACCCTAGTGAGGTGTCCGACCCGAGTTCCTTGCCGGAACTCATCGCCCCCATCTGGCCGGTCGACAGCGCCCTCGATATCAGCGTCTATGTGACTCCTTCGTTCAATATCCCCTCGTTCAAGTCCCCCAGCAGCGTGCTAGTCATGCAAGAGAAGAACTTCACCATGGGCAACTACAGCGATACCCGTGAAATCGACACCACGATCAAGGTTCCCAAGGCCGTTCAACAGAATGGAACTCTCTGGGCGCACTTTTTCGTTGCGCGCACTGGATTCCAGCTGGACCCTGCTGCCAAGGATTACACAACCGACGATGCCCTTCACTTCATTCGCCCCCTCAACCAGTATCTTCCCAAGAAGAAGGCCAAGAAGCTCAAGAATCTCCTATCCACCGACGAGGGAGAGGAATCCGAGGAGGAAGATAACGCCCCGAAGGTCACCACTGCTTCATACTACCACCCCAACTTCACCGTATCTCTGATTCCCGACGCCGGTACTCAGCGTCTTGCTCAGCTTCCAGCCCCAGTTCGCCAATACGTGCAGCTAGAGCGCAGCGGAGCCCGTGATATCTCCGGACAGAATGGGTGGTACTATCCAATTCTGTTCCTCAACACTTTCTGGCAGCTCAAGACTCACATGATTATCTTGAACTCTACCGTCGAGGAAGTGCCGTTGCATATCACTTTGAATAACATGGCTCACTGGAAGTTCAACCTCGTGACCAGTATCGACGAAGGTTCTAAGCAGAGCGCTCGCCAGGCTGCGTACGGTGGCCCCGTTCCCGGTGGCGGTGATGGAACGGAGTGGGAAATGGTCAAGGAGATTCTCTTGGATACCAACATCTGGCTTCTCGGTACAACTGGTTTCGTCACTATCCTGCACATGATCTTCGAGACCCTTGCTTTCAAGAACGATATTGTAAGCTTCACACCTATGAAGATCACTGGTGCTATCTATTGATGAACTTGCTAACACGATATTCAGTCCCACTGGCGCAAGAAGAAGGATGTTGTTGGTACCTCGGTCCGCACAATTCTCGCAAACGTTTTCATGCAAGCCGTTATCTTCCTCTATCTGATGGACAACAGCGACAACACTTCCTGGATGATTCTTGCCAGTCAAGGCTTTGGAATTCTGCTCGAAGCCTGGAAGGTCACCAAAACGGTGGACGTTCGCCTGCGCCCCCCCACCCGCGTCCTCCTGGTTCTCATTCCTTCCCTATGTCATCGTCTTCGAGGACAAGCACAAGCTTTCCGAGACTGAGCAGAAGACCAAGGATTACGACGAGATTGCCTTCCGCTACCTGTATATTGTGGCGGTGCCCCTGCTCCTTGCCTATGCTGCGTACAGCTTGATGTACAACACTCACAAGTCGTGGTACTCTTACATCATCGAGACCCTCGTCGGCAGTGTGTACGCTTACGGATTCTTGATGATGGTTCCCAGTTTGTATATCAACTACCGTCTCAAGGTAAGCCCCTCTCCCGTGCGCCTCGATTCGTCTTGAGGCTCTTTGCTGATATTTCTATTCTAGTCTGTTGCCCACATGCCCGGCAAGGCGATGGCATACAAGTTCCTGAACACCTTCATCGATGATCTGTTCGCCTTCACTGTCAAGATGCCATGGTTGCACCGTCTGGCTACCCTCCGCGATGACGTGATCTTCTTCATCTGGCTGTACCAGGGCTGGAAGTACAAGACCGACTACAAGCGCGTCAACGAGTTCGGCCAGGGCGGCGACAGCGACGAGGAGGAGGAGGCCGAGACGACCCCCGCCGCCGATTCCGAGAAGAAGGCGATCAAGGCGGAGGCGAAGGAGGATGTGGCTACCCAGTCCTCTTCCAAGACCAACAACTCCAAGCCGTCGACCCGCAAGAGAAAGTGAGCGGTTCTGTGTAGATGCCAGTATTGAGAGTCGACCACCAAAGATCTGGGACTGCGACTGGGCTGGTTGTACATGGAATTGATCCTATGGCCTCGATCTTTCGCTTTATCTTAGATTTATGACTTAGCAGTATTGGCGGGCTATTCTGTTCGCGTTTGAGATGTAACTAACTATGCTTCACCTATAGGAGACTACAGGGTCAACTTAGAATTTCAAATAAATTGTTTAATTGAACACTTTTAAGAATACATGAATTTATTGAATGAGTTAGTAAACGATGAAATAGAAATATCGAGGGTGTTTCGTTTCTTTGATGGGACCCTACTTTTAAAGATTGTTGATGCTTGCCCAATCGGGTCTTAGTCAAACTTCCTCAACTCGCGCAGTCCGTTTTGCACCGAATGCTGCGCAAGATCCCGGCCTCAACCCACTTTACATCAAACTGGCCATCCATCTTAATAGAAATTATCGACACCTATCGCCAATTATCACATCCCTGCCTTCCTCCCATTGTCGAGTGGTGAGAGCGCGCTGCGTCATTTACGCGTTGACGCGCCGGACGGCGGGCATGCAGATTGCCCCAGTTTAGTTCTCGAGCACCATCGGAAAGACTCATTGTCAAACCATTGAATTTCGTCATGGAAGCTGATCAAGGTAAGTCTTGCGAAAACCCTTCGTCTCCAACTCGACGATCAAATATTAATCGAACTTTAGGAAGCGCCGAATCAGGCCTGCTCGATGCGCTGGAGCATCTAGAAGCCGGTATGAATTGAATTGAATCGAATCGAATCCCCAACACAGCCCTGGAAAAGAAATACAGACAGACTAATGGGTATCACAGTCGCGTATGTTCCCGCTAAACAGCGGTACACAGATGCCGGCCAGCTAGCCAAAACAATTGCGTCGGACGCGCACGAGAGCGGCATTCCGCGGGCAGCGCTGGGCCGTCTTCTCAAAGTGCTCACGGCAAGAAACAACCTTGACCAAGGGACGGTGACATCTCTTGTCAAGAATCTGTATCCGCGCGAACGGATATTGTCGAAACATGTTACGCAGGTCGTTTGTTGTCTGGGTCCTAGCAAGTCCAAGCCCACGCCCGCGACGCAGGCGCTGCTGGTGCGCTGGTTGATTGTTGGCTACGATGTTCTGGAGGATAAGTCTCATCTGGGCAAGCTGTATGCAGTTTTGTTCAATCATCTTGATATGATTAGTCTTCGGAAACCGCTTTGTCATTTGTTATCGCTGATTACGCGGAGGAAACACGTGAAGCCGTTTCGGATCCAGGCTCTTATGGAGTTGATTCAGAATGCTGGGGGTGAGGATAGGGAGCTGGTTTGTTTGTTGAAGGTTTTCAAGAACTATTATCCTGAGATTGTTGTTGGGGATGCTGGGTCGAGGCGAGCGGGTCTGTTTTTCAAACACCCTGATCCCGAATGGCCTGGGCATGTCAAGGTCTTGCAGGACCGCAATGCGAAAATGATGGATGTCAATCAGCAGCAATCGAGCTATCAGGTCGTTCATCGGGGAACGGTGAAACGGAGCAGGATTGAGGTTGTGATCCCTGTGCTGCAAACTTCGCGGGTGTCGAGGAAACATACCTCGTTGGAAGAAATTCGGGATATTGATCATTTTGTCGACAAGTTGGATCGCATTGAGCTTCCTAATCAGATAATTTCGACGCTTGGAGATGCGATGGCGCAGAAATATCTCCATTTGGTGCAGTCTGAAGCTGCAAATCATCGTCTTGACGAGTGGTTGAGGAATTTCTTGGATGATAGACTGGAGCAGGTTCGCAATGATGATGACGATGAACCGGAGACGCTTTCATATGTCCTCAGCTTTGTCGAGGGGTATGCCTCTTTTACCAAGGTAAGCTAACACCTTTTCACCCCTCTTGTCGAGGGATTGGGCTTGGACTAATCGTTACAGCAACTTCTTCCCTCGGTGCGGTCTTTCTTGGAATCCTATCTTCAAGTATGGAATGGCCGAGACAACCGCGAGCAAGTTCTCAGGTTGCTCCAATATTTGCCCATTGAATCTTTCGCAACTCTTCAAACCACCATACTATCATCACTTGAATCTCGTTTGCTAGACGCGACGCTCTCGTCTAGAGCTGCTCTGCTCGATTTCTATAGAGCATTGATTGCAGAATGGGGCGTGAAACTCCGACTCGAACCATCCGTCTCAGAAGAGTCAGAGCCCTTAACCCATATCATCAAACATGCGGAGCTTCTAGCCTCCTCCATTCAAGAATTTGCACCCACAACCGACGACGACGACACTCCCGCCAACCCGGCAACCCTACCAGTCCTCCGCTTCTACAAATCCCTCGCAGACCTCTTCTCCCACGCCTCAACAAATGCCCGAATCCGCATCACAGTCCCCCAAGCCGCAACCGTGTACACAATCGCCTTCACACCCAGCATCTCCACCATATCAGGCCTTAACTCCATCCTGGCAGGCTACAAATCCGCTTTCGAATCCTCACTCACCTCCCAAGTCCTAACATTACCCAACCCACCGGACCCACTCTACGACACGAAACTCGTCGGTGAATTCAACGGCTACGTGATGGACATGTGCAACCTCCTCTGGCGCAACCGCGCCCTCAACACCGACGACCCTAATGCAATGGGCTGTATGATTCCAGCCGCGAGTACAACCGCCTTGACAACATACGTGCGAAGCGTGAATGACGCTTCCAGACACTATGATCGTGAAAGCGCGTTCCATGTGACGCTCGCGTCGATTTTCTCTCTCAGTCACCACGCGGCGTTCTGTAATCTTTCGGCGGCTGCTTTTGCGGAGTTGGAGAGTGAGCAGGGGGTTGTTGATGAGGGGAGGCCGAGGATGCGGAAACCTGTTACTCAGAAGGCGTTGCAGGCGCTTGAGAAGGATGGGGGTGTGAAGATCTCTTGGCAGGAGTATCGCGTGTATATGCTGGATTGGTTGGATGCGGTTGGGAGTACGGGGACGGCGGGTTTGATGAGAAGTACCATGAAGGCTTTGAGGAAGGAGTGATTGTCTGGAGATAGGGGTGATGTATGACTTGAATGAATAACCGAAATGGATTTTCCCTTCCCGAATACTACCAGTACAACTTTATTCAATTTATTAGATAATGGAGATATGCCTTTCAATAATAAGTTCGTGAAAATGCCTGTGTTCATCCAAAAAACGCCGCGAATGCTTAGTATTTATACACATATATGGTACACTATTTACTCCAACAACTCTGCAAGCAGGTACAGCTGGAGTCCAATAGGTCGTCGGCCAAAGGGCTCTAAAACTTCTCGGCAGCATTCAAGTAAATATCCTGCACAGTGTGGTCATCACGAAGGGCGCTCAGCAGATCTTCAAGATCCTTAACTTGCTCTTCATCGTGTACTTCGACCAGAGATTCCTGATTAGGATCCCAGAATATCTCCAATTCCTCGATCGTAAGGCCAGACATCTTCGCGAAGGCTTCACCGACCCTTTTCGTTTCTGAAGGATCGGTGAAAATGACAATGCGACCCTTGTCATCCGTAATGATATCCGTTGCGCCAGCCTCGATAGCCTGATCCAAATGGTCATCCGCATTCAGACCGTCTTTCTGCTCCATGGCCACCCTACCCTTCTTTTCAAACAGGAACGTCGTCGGGGTCACCGTTCCTCCTCCGTTCTTGATCATGTAGCGTACGTCTTGTAGAACCCGTGCCTTCTGATCCGTTTGGCATTCCACGACTGCAGCAACCCCGCCGGGGAGCATCGCTTCAATTGTGACTGATTCCAGCGCCTGTCCCGATAAACTGAGTCCCTGGCCTCGCGCAATGGCCGCTTCGATGATCGCCTTCGGAATGGAGGCTCGTTTCGCATTTGAAAGCGCGAGGGCTAGCCGGGGGTTGTACTTTGTATCGGCACCCCATACTAGGAAAGAAGAGAGGAGCGTTAGCACTTGATTGTTGCGATGTACTACGTCAGAAACATACATTGAGTAGCACTGCTAATCTCTTTGCCCACCATCTGGCGCTCTTTACTCTTTGCCTTGTCATTCCTGGCCTTGTCGTGCTTGATGGTTGACCATTTGTTGTGACCAGAGAAGAGCCCGGAATATGTCCCAAAGCCACGGCACGCATTGCAGACAGCAGCCCCGCGGGGGGAACGCAGGAGTCTGCTGAGCTGAAGCGCCATGACTGATGTGTTCTATACCATATGGTATCCGGACAAAAAGTGGATGGGATGTTGCGACTGGAGTATACAATCGGGGGACTGCGGGCCGATATTTCTCCGACTCCGCGGTGAGGACACAACGATAAGGGAAGGGCGATGACGCTGTTTCTATACCTCGATCATCTTCTTCCTCACCCCCACACCCCCCTTTTTCCACTGTTGATGGGGATTGACTCCACAACCTCATCTACCGTGCTCCAATGTCGACCTCCGAATCCGCCGCTCCCTCTTCATCTCCCGAAAATGCGGTGCCGGAGTTGGACATCCCTAAACTCCATGCGCTCCCCTCAGAGCAGCAGGACCTCTACCTGCTCACCTTCACTTCTGATCTAGTGCAGTATATCTCCAGTCTCGACGCCGCGCAGGTCTCATCGCAACAGAAATCGCTGAAGCAGGAATTATTTAAGATCCTGACTCTTTCCTCCCCGACCCTCACGCGAGTCCTCCGCAACAACCTGGGACGATGCTTTGGCGCGATCCTGACAAAAGGGGATCGAGGGATCCTCTTCGAGACGATCACCGACTTGATCGGGATACTGAACGCGGGCAAGAGTGAAGCCGAGCTGAAGACTAAATTCGCTGCGGCGCATTGTCTGGGCGAGGTCTTTGCGGCTGCGGGTGAGAGTGCTTTCATGCAGTCGAACGTGGCGACAGCAAGCATGCTGAAGCTTCTGAAATCGGCAAGCAATCATACTGGCTTGCGGGGCGTGATATTCTCCGTCTTGCGCAAGATAATCGTTGGAATCGGTGTCCCGATCGATGAACAGACTGGTCGGGATATTTGGAAACAGGCGCGCAATGCGGCGACGAGTGATAAATCGACCTTTGCACAGGTCCATGCTTGCCGTTGTATGGAGCAATTGATCAATACGACTCCGTTTTTCGATAATGCGAATGATTTCGAGAATTTGAAGACTATCATGTGGAAGGTCATTGATAGTCCGATTGCGCCGGTGAGACATGCTGCTGCGGCATGTCTTGGCCGAGGTCTGGTTAAGTTGCATGCGACAGAAGCGCATATTGCGGCAGCGCCTAAGCCGAAGTCGAAGAAGTCCAAACGCATGTCTAAGAAGCCTGGTCCGCGACCTGGGGATGAAGAGGAAGAGGAGATGTCTGAATCGTCTGTGGTGAATGCGCCGAAGAAAGACTCACGCCTCTTCTTCCTTCTCCCCGATCTTTTGCGCCAACTCTCAACGCATTATTTGAAGAGCACAACTACGAACCGCGCACGTGCTGGAATTTGTATATGCTACAAATATGCCCTCCGGAATCTGGGAGATAAGATTGTTGAGGAGCGTTATGGACAAATCGCCACCAACCTGCTAGTTGATCTTTTGAATCACCCGACAGTGACGTATAACCGGTTCCGCATACTGATGACTCGGAAGTTTGTCAAGACGATCCTCGAGGATACCATTGGCCGTGAGCTGCTTCGAGAGAATAGTCAGCTGAATGCTGCTAGATGGCTCATCAATGATGTTCTCAAGGATTACCCGCAAGTCATTCAGGAGCGCCGGGAGCCGAGCAAGTATACCCTGACGAGCACCGTCAGTGCACTTTCCTCGTTGATCTCCTCCCTTGGCTCTGCCTTTGGCGTCCATGCTGACAGCTGCCGTGACGCCTTGCTCCAAGTGCTCCCTCATCCAAGCTACACTGTTCAGATCCATACCGCGCACTGCTTGCGTAGCTTCGTGCTTGCTTGCCCACACCAGCTCCTATCTTGCGTTACAATCTGTATGAACAGCCTTAACCGAGAGATTGGCCAGCTTGCCACGCCGCGCCAGGCTCCTCGTCGATGTGTGGGCTATGCGAATGGACTTTCGGCCATGCTTAGTACTTCGCGCCTGCAGCCTCTTTATGGTGCAGTCGACGTCTTTGCTCGGGTCTTTACCCAGGCGACAGATTTGCTCAAGATTAGCAGTACCTCTGAACTGCGAGTTGCCAGCATCCAGATCCAAGTGGCCTGGATCTTGATTGGAGGTCTGATGCCCCTCGGACCAAGCTTTGTCAAGATTCACCTCTCCCAATTGATGCTACTTTGGAAGAATGCTTTGCCAAAGCATCTTAGCAGGGAGAACTCTGCTAAACCAAGTACTCTCGAGATAAGCTTTTTGGCCCATGTCCGCGAATGTGCACTCAGCTCGTTGCTCGTTTTCATGGAGTTCAACGGCAAACTCATCACTGCTGATGGTGCGAAGCGGATAGCGGTTATGCTCCAGAACACGGTTGAGTTCCTGGATGAGGTTCCTCGCCCCAAGTCGATGGAGGAGATTGCGCATCGCCTTCATCCCTCGCTCCAACTGCAAGACTATACCATCTTGGTACGCCGCCGGGTTCTCCAATGCTTCTCGAAACTGGTGCATGTCCATCATCCCAGCCATGGGGAAATAATCAATCAGTCTACCCTTTTGAGTCTGGCTGTCTCTTCGTTCGCAGACCCAGATGCGCAGTATCGGCCCTTGGAAAGCTCGATCGCTGGATCCACTGGCCAGTTTGATGGACTGTGGGATCTTTGCGACAATTATGGCTTTGGCGTTACTGGACTCGCTCGTGAATACATCCATGCAGCCCTGACTGGATCGGATAGCAAGGAAAATGCTCCTGCCTGGTCTGCAATCGACTCCGCGGACCAAGATGTGGATGATGCATTGACTTTTCCAATCTGCCAAGCAAGTGAGCATGATTCAGTGCTCTTGTACAGCACGAGGGCTGGAGAAATTGCCGTTGACCCTCCAACTACTGGTGTCGTCAATTCGGCCATCGATCTTTTCTCAGTTGCTATTGCGCTTTATTCACCCAAAATCCAGGAAAGCAGCGTGGAACAGATTGCTACCTTCCTGACTTCACAGAGCCTTCAAAGAAATCCCGGGAGAAAGGCTGCCCTGGGTGTCAACATCTCTGTGGCGCTTTTGCACGTGCTGAAGGTGTCGGTCAAGGAAACTGACTTTGTGGCTGGGAAGTTAAATCCGTCTACGGACAAGCCCTTGCAGGAGCTTATTCAGGTACGCATTAAAGCTCCGTGGTTACCACTGATTGGGTACTAATTAAAATAGAAATTTGTTATCGACGCCGACCCCATTGTGCGCACGATTGGTGTCGAGGCACTGGGTCGCCTTTGCGATAGTGCCGGCAATGCCTGCACCAATGCACAGGTGAACTGGCTTGTTGATACCATTGTCGCCAACAGAGACCCACATGCTCGAGCTGGCTGTGCTGCTGCCCTCGGCTGCATTCATTCCCAGATTGGTGGCATGGCTGCGGGTCTGCATCTGAAGACTATCGTTGGGGTATTGATGTCTCTTTGCAACGATCCCCACCCTGTCGTTCATTTCTGGGCTCTCGGCGGCTTGGAACGGGTGGCCAATTCGGCTGGCCTAACGTTCTCACCATACGCATCTAGCTCTCTGGGCATGCTTGCGCAGCTTTATAACGCTGACACTCACAACGAAGAGTCCGCCACTTTGGCTACTTCCAACACTGAGATGTCTTTCCTGACCCCTGTGGTAATTAGCCGATGCGTTGATTCCTTGATCAACGTTCTTGGACCAGATCTGCAGGATGTTGCGAAAACACGCAACCTCATTCTCACGCTGCTCCGCCAGTTCCAACTGGAGGAGAACCCTGCTCTGGTGACGGAAAGCTCGAAGTGCTTGGATCATTTCTCTCTTTATGCTTCCAGTTTTGTTGACTTTTCTGGATACGTGAAGCGCTTACAGACAGAGCTTCGCGCCAACGACCATTTCATGCGGGATGTTGCTGTGCGTGGACTTAGCAACTTGATGAAGAGAGATGCAGCTTCAGTAGTGGAG